ATATTTTCGTTTCTCACCCCTGTCACTTCATTTCGCATTGCGTTTATCGAAACGAGAAAAAGAAATGAAACTATTTTCTATAACGTACCTTAAGTTCAAGTCTCTCTGGATGGTCTACTTCATCTGCCCTATGTATCATTAGACTTGAACTTGTTAAGTTAACCGCTGTTAGATACAGCGACATGTACGTCATTCGACCTGGAATCCACAAGGCAAAAGGAAAAGAGGCAGACCAAGCAGAGGCGTAGCGACCCTTCCCGGCGTCCGGGGACATACTTTCAATTTGGCGCCACCCTCGGGAGGAAATTTTCGATTTGCACCACCCCCCCTCGAACTTTTCATTTGCACCCCCCACTCAAACTTTCGATTTGCACCCCCCCCCCCCTCGAACTTTTCATTTGCACCCCCCCTTAAACTTTCAATTTGGCGCCCCCCCCCTAAGGTCGGCGCCCGGGGACATATGTCCTCCCCCCCCCCTCGCTACGCCTCTGAGACCAAGAAATACCTGGAGATGTGACCTGGAAGAAGACACCAAGAAGATTTGATACTCATACAGACAGTTGGAGAGACTAGCCCAGGACAGAGGTGCCTGGAAAGCTCTTGACAGGGGCCTATGCCCCAGGAGGGACGACAGGCAAACCTAAACCATGACACGGCAATGACTTGTTCCATGGCAATTGCCAAAGTATACCGTGAATGTACCCATTACCAAAGTATACCGTGAATGTACCCCATTACCAAAGTATACCGTGTATGTACCCATTCCCAAAGTATACCGTGAATGTACCAATTACCAAAGTATACCGTGAATGTACCCATTACCAAAGTATACCGTGAATGTACCAATTACCAAAGTATACCGTGAATGTACCCATTACCAAAGTATACCGTGAATGTACCCATTATTCACACTGGCCGAAAATTATACTCAACGTACCAAAGTATACTCAACGTACCAGCTACTGTTTATCAAAGGTTATATCAATATCCTGATTGGCCGGGGAAAAAACAAACACAGCAAGCTCTTAAGCTCTTAATTAAATCCCATTCTACGTTAAGTTTCCCTTTCAAACCTGACGGTCTATGGGGCAAGTGAAGTAGAGTTCAATAAAAGTTCACTTGTTTCTGTGACCTCGGCATATGAAGAGATAGTGTGGTCAGTACTATGCCCAGACGCCTTTACTCTCCCTAACGTAAGTTAGGTACCCATCAGAGTTAGGTGGACTCATGGACGGTCTACTGACATAACCCGGATTCTAACTCGAGACTTGCGGGTTAGCAGTCCAGCTCTCTACCGCTATACCCACTCCGTCCCATTCTACGTATGCCCTAGCTTATACACGAGTGTTCTGTTGGAGAATTTTGAATTCTTCTCCAACCAATGAACAACCTGATCTCTACAAAACACCGTCCATGGGCGCAAACTAAATTGTATCGTTTCCGCTCAAAACAGAATAAGACCCATCATCTGTACTACGTTAGAATGCTAAAACTCTAGTTTAGGTTAGAATTAAGTTGAAAAATCAGGGAAGGAAAGATTTAGTTATAATTTATTAGAATGTTTTAAAACTCGTGTAGGCTAGATTGGGGATTCTAATAACCACGGGATAAAATAAGCTAGAATTGTGGTCGGTTGTGCAAGATAGTCGGGCTATGGAGGCTTGGTTGGGCTACGGTCCGGTTGGTTGGGCTACGGTCCGGTTGGTGGGGCTACGGTCCGGTTGGTTGGGCAACGGTCCAGTTGGTTGGGCAACTGTCCAGTTGGTTGGGCTACGGTTCGGTTGGTTGGGCTGCGGTCTGCTTGGTTGGACTATATTGGGCTTGTTGGTTATGTTACTTTATTATCGTTTAAACTGGTTTGAGCTAATACATTATGTCTTGTAGTGATTGCTACGTCCCTTGTACTATGTATATCATGGTTACCCCCCCTTCGAGTGTTCACTGTGTTTTCCGTGATGTGTAATTGATGTGTACATGTAGTCAGTTAACGAAAGGTAGAGTCAGAGACAGGACGTATTGCCTGAGAGGTCTGTATATAAGAATAAAGTATTTAGGTTCACTCAGAGAAATGTGTTTTAAGTAAGTCTAGATCTAAATGTGAAAATAACAGGTTTAACAATAAATAAACTGAAGTTCGCCTGTTTTCTAAGACGGCGAAATAAAATCTCAACTGATTGTGAATTAGAAGGAGAGTTAATACACACTTAGCGTTTCTTTAATTCGGCTCTCTTAGTATGTATAATGATACTAAAATTTTGAAATATTCGCAAACTTGAGATAAAAAAACGAGTCCGAATCAATGAGGAAATTAAGATCTATATAACTCATGCAATTTGACTAAAGAGAATGAAAAAAAAGAAAAATGCAACCCACCTTTGCGTGATCGACAGAAAAAAAAAAAAAAACAAAGAACATCTCTAAAAAACCTACCTGGAATAATCATTAGAAATCATAGAGACAAGTAAACAATAGCACCAGATCACGTGACTTAGATTGTTAAGATTTCCTCCCCCAGACATAACCCCCGTGTCATCCATAACATTATCACTCCCCCCCCCCCCCCTCCAATCCTAACCCTAACAGTATTGCTTCTTCTTCTTCTTCTCGTTCTTAATTATTAGTGTTGAAGGGGATCGAGATTTATCTGCCAGTGGGTTAACAGTATTGCAATGTGTAGGTTTACCATTAGAGCTAAGGTTAGGGTTAGATTAAGGTTAGACCGTGCAAGTAGCATGTGTAATGTAAACCCTTTATAGAATAAACCGGGAGTGATCTCCCCTAAACTTTCTCGAATATTCTTATATAAAACAACAGGGGATGGGAACTCGGGATATAGTTATGATTTTTAATCCATTTTAAATACTTAAACTTTTTCAAAATAAAATAGAATCTCATAGAAAAAAGTATTGCATACCAAGCGAACGCCGAATAAAGATGTTCATAATGGTGCGCAATATTATTAGTACTTTATACATTTAGATGCGTTTTTGAGAAATCGGAAATAGCGTAAACTAGTACTTCCCGTCAACGGAAATTACTCAAAATTTGACAGAACGAAGAGAATTAGATTTTTTACTTACATGTGAAATTTCATTTATCTATCTGAAATAGTACTCAAGTTATAGGCTTTTGAAAAATTCAAAGTAGAAAAGGTACCACTTCCGGTTATCGGAAATCGCTCAAAAGTTGATATGGATCTACGATTTTGATAAAATACTTATATATGAAATGTCATCAACCTAGCTGTAACGGTACTCAAGTTATCGTGTTTACACACACACAGAGAGACACACAGACATACGGACATACGGACAAGATTGCAAAATTATGTTTTTCCGTATCAGTGAGATGTAAAACGTCGAGATTTGTAAAAATCTCGATTTTTTTTTTGCACGATTACAAGACTTTCTCTATACTTCGTATATACGAGAAAGTAAAAATATTCGAGAAAATTTAGGGGTGAACACTCCCGGTTTATTTTATTAGGCTTACATCTTTCTATAAGTAGGCTTTTTAAGCTTTTGAGTAGATTCAAATTTTCCTTAATGCGAAAGTGCACCATTTGGCACTAAGTTATTAACTTCCATTACTTCGGCAACCGGATTTTGTTTTTTTTTTTGTTAAAGCCTAGACAAGATCACGTCTAAAAAAAGACAATGATATTTGATTTTGCAGGTTGGATAACAAATTCTTCGTGCATGGTTGAAAAAAAAAACATATTAATGCAGTTATAATCAGATAAACAGTTATCGTGAACTTAGCATCGAATGCAAAAAGAGATCGTTTATCTATAATTTTTTAAACTTTTTTTTTGTAACGCTAAGCTTAGCTTAGTAGAAAAACAAAATTAGCTTGTAGATCTAGCAGATTATAGTCAAACTCTTGTGAATAGCATTTGTAGATTGAAAATTTAAATTGGGATTATTTAGGATTTAGGTTGTATTCCATTTGTTTCTGGGTAATGTTCCAATTTCAGTAATCAGAAACGTTTCTAACCTACTTAACACAACGTAATCCAAATTAGCTAAACAAAGGCTACCATGCCAAACAAAGCATTTCATAACCTAATGTAGCGTATCGTGGCCAAAATTTATGTCTTCTTTATCCAGCGTAACCATCACAAACCAACTCACCTTTTCAAACCCTAGCTCATCCTATCCCAATCTCGCTCAGCCTACAACGATCCAGCCTATGCTAGCTCATTTTACCCCGTGGTAGCGTAATATTCACTATTCTAAACAAATCCAGTCAATTATAAAAAATTCTAGGCTAGAATTTCTAGCACATTTTAATATATTACAACACAAACTTACCTTTCCTAATATAAAATTGTTTATCACATTCTAACATCAACTTGCTTTACCTCGAGTAACGTTTAATTTAAAAACTTACTATTTAGATCCTTGTTTTTTCTCAGGTGTTCGTCATTATCAGTCAACATGTCAGTAAAACAAAAAGACTTTCTCAACAAACTTCAAGGTTTTTATGTACAGATACTACGGAGAAAAACGTCTAGTTTGTATTTATAAAAAAAATGAAAGCATTTGTGGTAACTTTAACTTGCATCATACTTTCTTTTGTATATATATATATATATATATATATATATATATATATATATATATATATATATATATATATATATATATATATATATATATATATATATATATATATATATGGGGTCATCAATAAATGACGTCACGCTTTTTTTGACGATTTTTATCTCCCCCCCTCCCCTCCGTCACACTTCGTCACAAAAAGCCAGACCCCCCCCTAAAATGACGACACACCTCAACCTACAACCCCCTAAAAATTGCAGTTGAATGTTTTTAAAACATTGATATTTTTCCAAAATCTTGTCTAAACTATTACAATTTATTAAAACAGTTATCTAAAACGCTAAATCTATATACTACTAAAAGTCAAGTTTGTTTACATGTTTGAATATTTATTTTTTTGTTTGTTTGTTTGTTTGTTTGCCTGATTGACTATCTCGCATGGTTGCACTTATCTTTGAAAGCTGTAAAATAGTATGTAGGTAGAGAAAATTTTTGTTTTAAGACAGACTGTTAATCACACATTTGTTTAAGGACGTTAATTAATTTATTGATTTATTCATACGCAGAGTAACCCATTTTTTTTTTAAAGTTTAGAACGACCACTACACTCGGCGGGACCGTGACGTCACAGTTTTTTGTTTACTCTTTAGTACAATAAAATGGCGGCGTCTATCGAAGAAAATTGTGTTCCCATTCAAAAGTTTAACGCGTTCTAAATCTAATTTTCTGTCGGTCATAACTTTAACAATACGCCCGTTTGCTGTATTTATTACGTTCCAACACTTATATCAATTTTAAACTGTCTTTTTTCATTTAGTTTTACAATAAATTTCTCTAGATCTAAAGATCAACTGTCGAAGGAAAGTTATGAATCTAGCCTAGATCTAGATCTAGCCTAGATCTAGGTCACTAGACTCAATGTAAATTCTAGATCTAGAGTTAATGTAAATTCTACATCTAGAATCTATTTCAGGCCTTAATACATCTAGAATCTATTTCAGGCCTTAATTATTTTATATAAATCTTTGTTTGGCTAATTTAAGATAAAATTTAATTTGAAAGTTACTAGATTCTACTACTAGACTTAGATCTAGATCTATGCGCGGAGACTCAAAAGTATAGTATAAAAATTCATTTGTGACGTCACGAGTAAATAGCTAAGTTGGTAGCGTAGTCCGCTCTCATGCGGGTGGTACAGGTTCTAGACCAATATGTCAATGATATTTTTTTTCAATTTTTTTTTTTTTAGATGTGAATGATAAAGTTGCCTATCTGAACTTGGCAGGATACAGGGCAGGTGAAGTAGAGTTCATCTGTTTCTTTGTCCTAAACATATGAAAGGATAGTGTGGTCAGAGACATGCTCGGCTGGAATCGTTTTTTAAACGATAAAAACATGTTGTCTGAGACTTGGCGGGACACTGGGCAGGTGAAGTAGAGTTGAGTAGGTGACATGTGACGTCAGTATATGAAGGGATAGTCCGAAATCATTGTTTTCGGTGTTTTTAAAAGATAAGAAACATATTTTTGAATGTCATATGTTGGGGCGCCAAAATGGTTTGGAAAAATAAATTGAAAGGTTGAGGGGGGTTCAAATCGAAAGTTTGAGTGGGGGGGGGGGGGGGGGGTTGAAAATCGAAATCTTGGGGGGGGGGTTAAAATCGAAAAGTTTGTCCCCGGGCGCCGGGAAGGTTCGCTATGCCTCTGAGTGACAGACGTGATGTTTTTTGATGGATGACCCCCGAAACCCACAGTTATCCAACGGATGACGGGTATTCTAGTAACGTCTAAAATTCGTTTTCTAACATTGCTTTTTTATAATACAAAAATGTGACGTCGCAACATCTATCTGACCCCCCTCCACCTCATCACACATCGTCACAAAATTACGGACCCCCCCTCCCCCTACGAGTGTGACGTCATTTATGGATGACCCCTATATATATATATATATATATATATATATATATATATATATATATATATATATATATATATATATATATATATATATATATATATATATATATATATATATATATATATATATATATATATATATATATATATATATATATATATATATGGCTTGGTCCAGCACGGTGCGAGTTATCTCCCAAAGTTCCCCAGCGTTCTCTTAGCACCTGGGGTCTTTGATTGGACGGCCTGCACAAGAAAATAATCGATTACGTAATATAATCAGGCGCGTCGTTGGGTGCCCCGGGGGTCGTATGACCCAGTGCGCCCTGGACTCTCTGATGGTGTCTAGAGAGTTTATATGGATCTAAGCAAGTAGATGTAGATGTGTGAGATTTGATTACATTTGAATTCTAATTTTCTTGTCAACAGCTACTATTACTACTTTGTGTTGAGTCCACACAATCGCAATATTGTGGAATTCCTCAATTGCCGTTAGAGAAATACGAGCAAGACTTTGACGCCAGATTCATATCGACACCTCTAGACAGAAACATACCCTCGCCGCCGGAATTAAATCAAGGCGACTGTGGCGTGTCTAAAAACGACCAATCAAAGCAGATCGTCAAGGGCCATGATGCTCCAGCCAATGCTTGGCCCTGGCAGATCCTGTTGATCGGCAGCTCATACATGTGTGGAGGATCTATCATACATCGTGAATGGGTCGTGACGGCGAAACACTGTGCTAAAGAAAATGTTGTTTCAATCTACTATGGAAGCATCAGTTATAGAAAGGGTAAAATGATCCGGACTGTCAAATATTTCCCCTACCCGTCTAGCGACATCGCCGTTTACAAACTCTCTTCACCGTTAAATTTTTCAGACTCCGTGCAGCCGATTTGTTTGCCTCCAGACAATGTTTGGGATACCACGCCTTGTTTTGCCACAGGCTGGGGGATAACATCTAGAGAGAAGGATACACTTCCCGACACGCTGCAGCAAATTCGGAGCAGGATAATCAAACAAACCGTATGCCAGGCTGCCCAAACAGTTAAGGGACTCTTCAGCCATAGAGGGTTTTATTACTGTTTACAGTCCGTGGAGTTCCCTACTGGAGAGTACGCCGGCTCCCATATGGGGGACTCGGGAGGTCCATTGAGCTGCTTGAAGAATGGACGCTACTACTTAGTTGGAGTAGCTAGCCATCTTACAAGATCGGATGGAAGTCTGATAAGTTTTTATGCAGCTGTGCCTAGGGCTGTCCCCATTATAATTGCCGGCATGAAAGAAAATGCCTAGCTCATTTGTATGGATCTGAAAATATCGTTTTCGCGAGGAGTAGATTAAAAACTCCAGCCTGTCTGATTACTTGGGCAGTTGTCACATAGATTAAGCTGTGGAATGGCGATCTCTTTTATTTTTCTTCTTTCTCTTTTTAAAATTATTTTCTTGGACAATCCATATACTCCCAGTGACTTGATCGAAGTCGAAGAAAGCTGATGTACCAACCTTTTTATACATAAAATACTTAAATCATTTATTTTTTAATCAGAGAAACACTGTTTTTTTCCTAAATGAAGTTAATTTGAATGTACTCAAGTAGTTTTTTTTGGCTACACTACAAACTAAAGATACACGCAATTCTGTAGTCGCCGACATTCATCTATGAGTCATTCCGTTAACAAATAGAGTTTAATGCTTTAATGCTTTAATTTTTCTCCGATTATTTTTATTTTAGCTTTTACTTTTAGGCAAAACAATTTTTTTTGTTCCTTTACTTACTATTCAAAAAATAAAAAAGATAAATAAATATCATGAAATAGTCTTTGTCCCACATCTGATAAATATTTTCGTTTCTCACCCTGTCACTTCATTTCGCATTGCGTTTATCGAAACGAGAAAAAAAATTAAACTATTTTCTATAACGTACCTTAAGTTCAAGTCTCTCTGGATGGTCTACTTCATCTGCCCTATGTATCATTAGGCCTGAACTTGTTAAGTTAAGCGCTGTTAGATACAGCGACATGTACGTCATTCGACCTGGAATCCACAAGGCAAAAGGAAAAGAGGCAGACTAAGCAGAGGCGTAGCGACCCTTCCCGGCGCCCGGGGACATACTTTCAATTTGGCGCCACCCTCGGGAGCAAATTTTCGATTTGCACCCCCCCCCCTCGAACTTTTCATTTGCACACCCCCCCCCCCCCCTCAAACTTTCGATTTGCACCCCCCCCCTCGAACTTTTCATTTGCACCCCCCACTCAAACCTTCGATTCGATTTGCACCCCCCCCCCCCTCAAACTTTTCATTTGCAGTCCCCCCCTCAAACTTTCAATTTGGCGCCCCCCCCTAAGGTCGGCGCCCAGGGACATATGTCCCCGCCCCCCCCCCCCCCCCCCTCGCTACCCTCTGAGACCAAGAAATACCTGGAGATGTGGCGTTGAAGAAGACACCAAGAAGATTTGATACTCATACAGACAGTTGGAGAGACTAGCCCAGGACAGAGGTGCCTGGAAAGCTCTTGACAGGGGCCTATGCCCCAGGAGGGACGACAGGCAAACCTAAACCATGACACGGCAATGACTTGTTCCATGGCAATTGCCAAAGTATACCGTGAATGTACCAATTGTCAAAGTATACCGTGAATGTACCAATTGTCAAAGTATACCGTGAATGTACCAATTGTCAAAGTATACCGTGAATGTACCCATTGCCAAAGTATACCGTGAATGTACCAATTACCAAAGTATACCGTGAATGTACCCATTACCAAAGTATACCGTGAATGTACCAATTACCAAAGTATACCGTGAATGTACCCATTACCAAAGTATACCGTGAATGTATCAATTACCAAAGTATACCGTGAATGTACCCATTACCAAAGTATACCGTGAATGTACCCATTACCAAAGTATACCGTGAATGTACCCATTACCAAAGTATACCGTGAATGTACCCATTATTCACACTGGCCGAAAATTATACTCAACGTACCAGCTGCTGTTTATCAAAGGTTATATCAATATCCTGATTTGCCGGGGAAAAAACAAACAAGCAAGCTCCTAAGCTCTTTATTAAATCCCATTCTACGTTAAGTTTCCCTTTCAAACCTGACTGTCTATGGGGCAAGTGAAGTAGAGTTCAATAAAAGTTCACTTGTTTCTGTGACCTCGGCATATGAAGAGATAGTGTGGTCAGCACTATGCCCAGACGCCTTTACTCTCCCTAACGTAAGTTAGGTACCCATCAGAGTTAGGTGGACTCATGGACGGTCTACTGACATTAACCCGGATTCTAACTCGAGACTTGCGGGTTAGCAGTCCAGCTCTCTACCGCTATACCACTCCGTCCCATTCTACGTATGCCCTAGCTTATACACGAGTGTTCTGTTGGAGAATTTTGAATTCTTCTCCAACCAATGAACAACCTGATCTCTACAAAATTACGTCCATGGACGCAAACTAAATTGTATCGTTTCCGCTCAAAACAGAAATAAGACCCATCATCTGTACTACGTTAGAATGCTAAAACTCTAGTTTAGGTTAGAATTAAGTTGAAAAATCAGGGAAGGAAAGATTTAGTTATAATTTATTAGAATGTTTTAAAACTCGTGTAGGCTAGATTGGGGATTCTAATAACCACGGGATAAAATAAGCTAGAATTGTGGTCGGTTGTGCAAGATAGTCGGGCTATGGAGGCTTGGTTGGGCTACGGTCCGGTTGGTTGGGCTACGGTCCGGTTGGTGGGGCTACGGTCCGGTTGGTTGGGCTACGGTCAGGTTGGTGGGGCTACGGTCCGGTTGGTTGGGCAACGGTCCAGTTGGTTGGGCTACGGTTCGGTTGGTTGGGCTGCGGTCTGCTTGGTTGGACTATATTGGGCTTGTTGGTTATGTTACTTTATTATCGTTTAAACTGGTTTGAGCTAATACATTATGTCTTGTAGTGATTGCTACGTCCCTTGTACTATGTATATCATGGTTACCCCCCTTGAGTGTTCACTGTGTTTTCCATGATGTGTAATTGATGTGTACATGTAGTCGGTTAACGAAAGATAGAGTCAGAGACAGGACGTATTGCCTGAGAGGTCTGTATATAAGAATAAAGTATTTAGGTTCACTCAGAGAAATGTGTTTAAGTAAGTCTAGATCTAAATGTGAAAATAACAGGTTTAACAATAAATAAACTGAAGTTCGCCTGTTTTCTAAGACGGCGAAATAAAATCTCAACTGATTGTGAATTAGAAGGAGAGTTAATACACACTTGGCGTTTCTTTAATTCGGCTCTCTTAGTATGTATTAATGATACTAAAATTTTGAAATCTTCGCAAACTTGAGATAAAATAAACCGGGAGTGATCTCCCCTAAACTTTCTCGAATATTCTAATATAACACTATGGGGGATGGCAACTCGGGATATAGACTTCTAGACATAATTTTTAATCCATTTTAAATACTCAAATTCTTTAAAATCCTAATTTATAAAAGCCCAATGTGCGCACATCTCCTCTCTCTCTCTCTCTCTTTCTCTGTCCGCAAAAAATTTTCGCCGGACATCACGTCAGAATCGGCAGCGATATATCGAGAATTTTTTACGGACTTTTGTTGAAAATAATATGTTAGATGTTTTAAATGTATAACCACAATTTTATTTAAAGAAGAAAAATAAAAATTTAAGGCGTATTCGAATGTAGAGAAACAGTATTATTTATGCAACCGGAAAAGCATTAATATATGTGAAAAAGAACGCATAAAACTGTGACGTCACTATTGCTTATACATTAACTATTGACGTCATCTGCCTAAATAGCGAAGATGTTAGTGTACATTAAACCACGCAGGTGGTGCGGGTTCGAGACACACCAAGTCAACTTGGTTAATGTATTTATTTTTATTATGCTCGGGCTAAACTTAAAAAAAAAATTCTTTTAGGAATCTAGATCTAGATCTAGATTGTCGGGTGTCCGATAGGGCACTTCCCGGCGCCGCAGGCGCTTCAAATTTGGCAGGATCTTGCCTTGGGGCGACAGAACACGGGGGCCGGTTGGCCGAAAAGTCTACGATGAGGGGGTCAAAACTGACCTCGACTGACCGGTACCTTATATGAGCTATAAATCGAAAAAAAATGTCCACGGATTAAACCTCTTCATAACTCTTGAGGTCGTAGACCGACCCTCGGGCGAATTAATTAAGCATGCAAATTCTCAATGTTTTCGAAAGCCTAAGCGAAGCTGGGCAGCATGCCTAGTAGAATATAATCTCGTAGAAAAAAGAAATGCACACCAAGTGAACGCTAAATAAAGATGTGCATAATAGTGCGCAATCTTATTAGTACTTTATAAATTTACATGCGTTTTTTGAGAAATCGGAAATAGCGTACATAAGTACTTCCGTTCAACGGAAATTACTCAAAATTTGACAGAAGGTAGAGAATTAGATCCTTTTACTTACATATCAAACTTCATTTATCTATCTAAAATAGTACTCAAGTTATAGGCTTTTGGAAAATTCAAAGTAGAAAAAGTACCACTTCCGGTTATCGGAAATCGCTCAAAAGTTGATACGGATCTACGATTTTGATAAAATACTTATATATGAAATTTCATCAACCTAGCTGTAACGGTACTCAAGTTATCGTGTTTACACACGGACACACACACACACACACACACACACACACAGACACACAGACATACGGACAAGATTGCAAAATTATGTTTTTCCGTATCAGTGATATGTAAAACGTCGAGATTTGCAAAAATCTCGATTTTTTTTTTGCACGATTACAAGACTTTCTCTATACTTCGTATATACGAGAAAGTAAAACGTGTTCCGAATCAATGAGGAAATTAAGATCTATATAACTCATGCAATTTGACTAAAGAGAATGAAAAAAAAAGAAAAATGCAACCCACCTTTGCGTGATCGACAGAAAGATAAAAAAAACAAAGAACATCTCTAAACAAGTTTAATTAAAAAAGTCTAGTGACATTTTGTGCGCAATTTCCTTATGTTATCTAAAAATAGCTCTGACGTATAATGTTGGGGTGCGTTCAAGCTAGAAGAACAATCGGTTTGTAAGTGTTTATGTAATTTTAAAATTTGTGACCGAACGAGAGAATATTTTTGAAAACTTTCTTCGGCAATATTGTTCTAAATTTATGACAGGAATCGATTGGTACATGTTTCAAGTCGCTAAGTGGTCTGGTTGCCGAGATATGGGCCAATAACTGCTTTTTTTCGAGATTTTTTGGCTTTTTCTGGGAAATCCATGAACGAAACCCGGAATTTTTATGGCCTATGTTCATCCTCGTAACTTGCTTAACATAATTGCTTTTGGAACTAGTCATCGATATTGCTTCGTTGAGGAGGAGATACGACTTAAAGCTGCGGACACACATTCATCCATCCATCCATCCATCCAGAAATGACGGGTTAATAAACGCAATTCTCCAGAATGGAAATTGCGCTAAAAAAACCTACCTGGAATAATCATTAGAAATCATAGAGACAAGTAAACAATAGCACCAGATCACGTGACTTAGATTGTTAAGATTTCCTCCCCCAGACATAACCCCGTGTCATCCATAACATTATCACTCCCCCCCCCCCCTCCAATCCTAACCCTAACAGTATTGCTTCTTCTTCTTCGTTCTTAATTATTAGTGTTGAAGGGGATCGAGATTTATCTGCCAGTGGGTTAACAGTATTGCAATGTGTTAGGTTTACCATTAGAGCTAAGGTTAGGGTTAGATTAAGGTTAGACCGTGCAAGTAGCATGTGTAATGTAAACCCTTTATAGAATAAACCGGGAGTGATCTCCCCTAAACTTTCTCGAATATTCTTATATAAAACAACAGGGGATGGGAACTCGGGATATAGTTATGATTTTTAATCCATTTTAAATACTTAAACTTTTTAAAATAAAATAGAATCTCATAGAAAAAAGTATTGCATACAAAGCGAACGCCGATAAAGATGTTCATAATGGTGCGCAATATTATTAGTACTTTATAAACTTAGATGCGTTTTTGAGAAATCGGAAATAGCGTAAACTAGTACTTCCCGTCAACGGAAATTACTCAAAATTTGACAGAACGAAGAGAATTAGATTTTTACTTACATGTGAAATTTCATTTATCTATCCTAAATAGTACTCAAGTTATAGGCTTTTGAAAAATTCAAAGTAGAAAAAGTACCACTTCCGGTTATCGGAAATCGCTCAAAAGTTGATACGGATCTACGATTTTGATAAAATACTTATATAGGAAATTTTATCAACCTAGCTGTAACGGTACTCAAGTTATCGTGTTTACACACACACACACAGACACACAGACATACGGACAAAATTGCAAAATTATGTTTTTTCCGTATCAGTGAGATGTAAAACGTCGAGATTTGTAAAAATCTCGATTTTTTTTTTTGCACGATTACAAGACTTTCCCTATACTTTGTATATACGAGAAAGTAAAAAAAGAATTTTTCGAAAATACTATTTAGCGTAACACCAAGATATGATTTATCACACATATTGACATTGAGAAAATCAGTGTTACTTCCAGACTTTTTTCTCCGGGGGGGGGGGGGGCACTTGACATTTTTTCTATATAAATTATATAAATTTCATTTCGGTCGGGGGGGGGGGGGGGTGGCGGTAGAATTTTTCGGGGGGGGGGGCGAACGAAAGATGCCTGGATGAAGAAACTCTGGAGAAAATAGGAGAGAAAAAATTGTAAAATAAATGAAACGCTCTATAAAATATATACTTTCAGAGTTTCAGCGACGTATCAAAGGAGGAGTGAACTTCAACCGATCCTGGGCAGAATATCGAGAAGGGCTCGGCTCGTTGGATGGAGACTTTTGGATTGGAAATTAGTTTATATATCAGCTCACCACAGCAGTAATAGAAAACAAAATATTTCTATTTTTGTGACAGAGCGATACATTAATTTTATATGTGTAACAGCGAATTAGTGTATGTGTGTGTGTGTGTGGTGTTCAGAGTTTCTTCCAGGCATCTCTTCGGGGGGGCTAAGCCCCCCCGAAAATTTTTTACCGCCCCCCCCCCCCCCCGAACGAAATGAAATTTATATAATTTATATAGAAAATATATACTTTTAACAGTGTCCGCCCCCCCCCCCCCGAAGAAAGTTTACCGCCCCCCCCCCCCGAAGATTTCAAGTGCCCCTTCCCCCCCCCCCCGGAGAAAAAAGTCTGGAAGAAACACTGGTGGTGTTGGGTATATGAAGAGACCACTTGCAAAACTTTGAAAATCCACTGTTTGGGAAAAAACAATTTGCTTTCATAGCCCCCCCCCCCCTTCCCTAATTAAGTTCCAATTAAAGTAGTATGCTTATTTCTTTCCTAAAAGATACATTTTAAAATCAATTAAGTAATATTAAAATATTGAACATTTTAAGAATAGTTAACCAAAAATATTTAAGTCGATTTCCTCAAAATCAACGAGAAGTGACATAACTGTTGGACTCATCAATTATGTAACAGAGATTTCGAGCAATTTCCTAAAGCAGTTTCATTGTTTACGTTCTAAAACTACATATATAATCCTGCATTTTGCTACTTATAAACCAGAATCATTTTTATGGTTTAATCAGGATTACTTAGTAATTCAGGTGCTAAGTACATTCAACTATTTACAATTTTTAATCAAATTTAAGGGGTAGGCTGCTGAAAAAAATAACGTGGGAAAATCATTTCTTTATTTATAAGTCCTACATATTTATTTTTGTGCATCTACTTTAGGGTAATTGAGGGGAAATATTTGCATGCATCAGGGACTTTTCTTAACAGATGGTTGCCATGTGGTGTAATTCCGGTAAATTTAGAATTCATATAAATTGTATGTCATCATCATCATCATTCCTTTGTGGCCCCCTGGAAAAGACACCTATATAAATGTATACTTATTTATTTATTTTTAAATTTTAAAACATACAAAACACGCACATACCCTTCCTCGATCATACACATAGGCCTACACAGATTTTAGTGGTATGGCGCGATGTGTTAGCTCATCTACCGTAATACGAAAAGACCAAAAACAATTGAATCTTTCGTTCCTCACTCTAAATTTAAATTAGAACTTAAAAGTACCACCGTTTACAGAAACAACTCAACACTCTTAATCTCCCTCTCCCCCCCCCCCCCCCCCCCCACCAAAAAAAAACCGTCCATATACAACACTTGTAATTGTAACAATGCCGTGTAGTTAGTTATGCTCTTGTTTAGTACTGCGACCGGAAAGATAAGATACCGAACACGCATACCTTACCGCAATCGTTCCGCGGACCCAGCACAGGTATATATAACAGTCCCCAGCAGTTTAGAAAATTGAGAAAAGCTTTCCGCGCGTACGCGGATGAAACCCGGCTGTGTCCGAGTGAAATGGTGTTAGCGTTAACAAATAGTTGTGTTGTTTGTTCTGTCGTAGGCTATTTGAGGAGTAAAGAGTAACTTGGTAACTCTTCCTAACAAAGGGAGGTTAGTATGAGTTTTAATTTTAATTTTGTTGAATTGTTGCTTTGTATAATAGTTAAGGGACTTTAGAGGAAGGTACTCCATACTTATTAAAGTAAAGATTCATATTCAGATATAACGATCCATTAGGCAGATGAAGTAGAGTTCATGTTTTTTTTTATCTCTGTATATGAAGGGATAATGTGGTCAGCAATATGCTCCGGCGCCTTTACCTTTCCTAACGTAAGTTAGGTATCCTTCAGAGCAGGGTGGACTTTCGGGTTAGCAGTCTAGCTTCTAGACCACGCCGCCCTACCCATACATATTGGTAAATGTTACAATCGATAAACTTTCGTGTTTTAAAGATGTAATTTTTTTTAAATGTGCACAGGTGAATCTAACAGTGTTAAATCTTAGAAAGGGGGGGGGGTAGTTTAGTGGTGGAGTGTAGTTCTTAGTACAACACAGGTTTAACCTGGAAGATAATCTAGATCAGGGGTCTCCAAACTACGGCCCTCGGGCCAGATGCGGCCCGCGAGGTCCTCTCATCCGGCCCGCGGCGATCTTTTTGTCCACGGAATAAATGTTTGTTAGATGTGGCTGAGAAACTATGCCCAGAAAATTCAAAACAATTTGAAAATGTAGCTTTGGGTGCAAATATGACCGCCATGTTGCAGACATTGGTGAAAACATCGTGACTCAAATAGCGAAAAATGCAAGCAAGCTTCGCAATTTTTTAATTGTAATGGATCAGTTGCTAGACAGCTGTTCCACATCTCAACTGCTTATAATCATTAGAGGCGTGGATGAAGACATAAACATAACACAAGAGCTGGCTTCCCTACTTAGAATGTATGGTACTGTAACCGGAGAGAATATAGATAGTTAAGAGACATGTTAAAAGATAGAAACACAGAATCGCAAGATTTACCATATTTCACAGCAGTAAGGTGGTTAATTTACGATAAATTTTTCTGAGCAGAGTATTTAAGTTAAGAAAGGAAATAGGTGTTTTCCTTGAAAGTAAATGCAAGCCACAAGCTGATGTACTTACTGTCTGATGAAGAATGGATATAGAAATTGTCCTCTGCTGCAAACATAACAAGTCATTTAAATTTTCTGAACCTAAAACTACAAGAGATGGAAATTTAGTTTCTGATCTATACACCCACCTAAAGGCTTTCAGATCCAAACTTGTTTTTGGAAGAAGTACAACCCAACAACTTGACGCACTCTCAGTAGTGCAATGTCTTTATGGCTGAAGCAACCACTAAGTTCCCCACGTCATTTGCATACGAGATCATCAAAGACTTAAAGCTGCAGTTTCAGTAGCCGTTTTCTGACTTGGATTCAAAGGCAAAAAAAAAGTGAGACTGTTTCAGAACCCATTTGTAGCAAATGTGGCCAGTTGCAAAGATTAACTGCAGCTGGAGGCCATTAGAGAACGTTCAAAGAAGGGCGGGTGGGTTTATATAAGTTTTTGCAAAAGGAAGATTTTCCAAATATATAAAACTTTTGCTCCAAAGTACCTTTCAAATTTTGGAACAAGATACATGTGTGAACAAACATTTTCTAAATTGAAATACGTGAAGAATAATTTGAGAGCAAACTTGGACCTCGAGTGTGTTGTTGGCCACCGACAGTGTTTCTTTCAGACTTTTTTCTCCGGAGGGGGTTTACGTTCTTTGGGGGGGGGGCGCTACCACCCCGAAGAGATGTCTTGAAGAAACTCTGGCTTCCGAACTGATGTTTGATAGTTAATGCGGCCCTCGGGCTGAAAAGTTTGGAGACCCCTGAACTAGATCTACAGCGTAAACTAATACAGATAAACTAATATATACATATATATATAGAGAGAGAGAGAGTGAGTCAGAGAGGGAGAGAGAGACACCTATATACATATATATAAATAATATCTAGAGGCATATATATATACATATATATATATATATATATATATATATATATATATATATATATATATATATATATATATATATATATATAGTACCTTCTGAGAATACACGATGAGTGCTGAGGTGGAAAAAAAATCCAAGGACGTTGCCGTGGAGAGGGTAGGATGGAATCATCAGCTCGAGTTTTTCTTCTCCTGTGTGGGGTACGCCGTGGGTCTCGGAAATATCTGGCGCTTCCCTTACCTGGCTTTCCAGTATGGCGGAGGTGAGTTGGTGGTCTGTTAGTGGTCTGTTGGTGGTCTGTTGGTGGTCTGTTAGTGGTCTGTTGGTGGTCTGCTAGTGGTCAGTTGGTGGTCTGTTGCTGGTCAGTTGGTCGTCGGTGATGTGTTGGTGGTCAGTTGGTGGTCAGTTAAAGTTTAGTTAGTGGTCGTGTTGGTCGTCAGTTGATGGTGTGTTGGTGGTGTGTTGGTGGTCTGTTGGGGGTCAGTTGGGTGGCAGTTGTTCATCTTATTTTAGTTATACAGTGCTTTGTTTCAGATCATATATTGTATGTTTTATACCAGTGTGTGGAAGGAATCAACTGCCTTGATGTAAAGTCCAACTCTGGTGTCGTATAGTATTGTGCTACTATAACGTCAAGTGTCGCTCTATTGTGTCCTAATATGTAATTGTGTAAATGGACTATGTGTCCTATAGAGCGGTTTCAGATCCCTCTACGAAGAATTTTATCCTGACTTGAAATAGTTCATTTTCAGTTGAACGATAGTAATATATTAGACACATATCATTGTTCTATTCTTGAAACAGGCGCCTTTCTTGTGCCATATGTTATCATGCTGACGATATGCGGTCTGCCGCTCTTTTACATGGAACTGGCCTTTGGTCAGTTCGGCTCTTTAGGGCCTATAACTATATGGAGGGTCAGTCCAATTTTCATCGGTAAGAAACTTATTCATTTTTTTTATATATTTTTTATCACACACTTTTAGCATCTTATTTAAAATGAAGTGTAACTGTACAGTTATGTTCGTTAGTCTTGAAATATTTTTTTACTTCCTATCTTCGAGATACCTCCGTTGATCTACCGGTCATAATCAGTGTTTCTTTCAGACTTTTTTTCTCCGATGAGGGGGGGGGGGTAAGGGGGGCACTTGAAACTTTGGTGTTGGGGGGGGGGGCAGACTAAAATTTCCGGGTGGTAGGGGACGAACACTGGTAAAAGCATATAATATTTTCTATATAAATTATTTTGCGATAGGGATGGGGGAGGGGGGGAGGGGCGGTAGATGTGATTCGGTGCCTGCCCCCCTCCCTTCCGAAGAGATGCCTGAAAGAAACACTGGTCAACTAGTCATACTGTGTAGTCAGCACTATGCCCAGCCGCCCTTACTCTCCCTAACGTGAGTCAGGTATCCAGGTATCCATCAGAGTGGGCTGGGTGGTTTCAGGTACGCCCTACAAAACACGAGTCCGGGATCCGAACTTGAGACTTTTGTATTAGAAGTCGTTTATTCTACTCAGAGTTTCTTCCAGGCATCTCTTCGGGGTGGCTTCCCCCCCCCCCCCCGAAATATAATTTATATAGAAAATACATACTTTTAACCAGTGTCCGCCCACCCACCCCTGAAATTTTAGTCCGACCCCCACCCCCGAACATTTCAAGTGCTCCTCCCGGAGAAAAATGTCTGGAATAAACACTGATTCTACTATCCACCCATGACGTCCCATGCTAGTTAGTGTTGTGTACTCACTGACTCGCCGCTACCGGTGATCAAGTGCGTCGCACAACATATAAGACACACAACCACACACACACACAGGTTACAAAACACAAGACCAGATAAATCAGAGGCTCGTAATAATAGTGAAATAAAAAAGTGTAATACCTGTCTACACTATCTACACACAGTCTGTTCTAAATACTAACACAAACTAGTAAAGAAAACTAAGTTATATTGGCTATAGAACTAAAGTACTAACCTACACTAACTTTGTAGAAGTAACATACTGGACTGAGGCACGCAAAGAACGCTATCACAGAACTTTCATACCCGTATGTAAACAAGTACAAACTAGACTATGATCACGTGATTAAAAAACAGCTCACAACATGAGTGGTGGACGCTAGGGGGCGCGACAGGTCACTACGTACAAACAACATTCACCCCTTTCATCCCCTTCCCTCATTCATTAGTTAGATTAGTCCTTTATGAGCTTCAGTACTTGAAACTTTTCAAGGCCGGTTAAGCTCAAGGTTGCTAAACCGAAGTCCCGAGTTCGAACCCCCGGGTAGATGAGGCTCGATAGCTGGGGACAGCCACTCTTCTAGGAGAGACAACTCCAAAATCAAACAACTACTGCCTTGTAGTTTGTTCTTGTTTGGACAAAGGCTATGAAAACAAACCCAAAAAAGAAAAGCAGGCTGAAATCGGAGTCAACGTCCGTCCCCCCCGTCCCCCGAAGAAAGTCTACCCCCCCCCACCCCGAACGAGATGGAAAATATATAGTAAACATACTTTTACTCTTGTCCGCACCCCCCTCCCCGGCAATTGTAGACCGCCCCCCCCCCCCCCCCCCCCGGAGAAAAAGGTCTGGAAGAAACACTGAGCATTAAGAACGAAGAAGAATAAACCCATAAACATGTTTTCCTACTTGTATGACAGGTATTGGGATAGCCATGGTACTCATCTCCGGTATGGTCTGTCTCTACTACAACGTCATCATCATGTACGGCCTGTTCTACTGCATGACGTCACTGATCTCGCTGGATGACGTACTTCCGTGGTCGACGTGCGGGAATTCCTGGAACACCAAGTTCTGCGTGTCCGAGAAGTTGGACACGTCCAACATGACGGAGACACAGGCGGTCAATGCCACGTTAGGTCAGTTCAAGGTCAGATGGGAGGTCAATGCCACGTTAGGTCAGTTGAAGGTCAAGTGGGTGGTCAATGCCACGTTAGGTCAGTTCAAGGTCAGGTAGGAGGTCAATGCCACGTTAGGTCAATTGAAGGTCAAGTGGGAGGTCAATGCCACGTTAGGTCAATTCAAGGTCAGGTGGGAGGTCAATGCCACCTAGGTTTGTTGAAGGTCAGGTGGGAGGTCAATGCCACGCTAGGTCAGTTCAAGGTTAGATGGTAGGTCAATGCCATGTTAGGTCAGTTCAAGGTCAGGTGGGAGGTCAATGATACGTTAGGTCAGTTGAAGGTTAGATGGTAGGTCATTGCCACGTTAGGTCAGTTGAAGGTCAGAAGGGAGGTCATTGCCACATAGGTCAGTTAATGGTTAGATGGGTGGGCACAATTATTTTAGGCATACCTTTGTCCCCCCCTCCACCCCACCCCACTTGAACGAAATAGGAGTTATTAAAAAAAGTATATATTAACTTCCCCCCCCCCCACACACACACACACAAACGATAATGTAAGTCCCCACCCTGAACCCCGAACGTTTTAAATGCCTCCCCCCCCCCCCCCCATTCTCGCCCAGGAAAAAAATGAAAGATACTCTGCTATATTTGTCCCTGAAAACTATTATATTTAATTCATTTTTCACCCTCATCATCTTTAATTGTCTCCGCTGCGTGCACGGAGAGTCTACTAATGTGCCGGGAATGCCGTGGCATAAATTTAGCACACGGTAACTGAACCCACCAAAAAATCGTTTCATGAAATACTCGAGTTATCGGACCTGCGGCTCGGCTCACTTTCCGGTGTTCCGATAATTAGACACACCGTGTTGGCTGTTAAATTTGTGGAGAGACTTGCCACACATGTGTATGGTGATATGTGGGAGATAAACGTGTAGAAGAAAAGGGCGTCTGTGTGTTGAAATTTTAAAAATAGCTCAATACACTTTAAATCTTTGACATAAACAAATTACTACACATATTATTACATTTCCTTTATTCATAGCTTTGATTTTACTATTAAATATAACATTATGAATATCGTTACTCTCAACAATAAACATACTCTTATCTATATATAATTATCTATATATATAATTCTCCTCTTCGAGCCGTTAGAAAACAAGCTGCAAACGCTCTCCCTACCTCCCCACCCCTACATGGTATTAGTGAGCTGTGTTCACTCTAAATGTTTACAAGCAGAGCCAACGATTTTAAACGTAAGGGGGGGGGGGGGGGAGGAGGGGGGGGGGGGGTTATGGTCCTTAACGAGCAACTTATAGTGTTTTAAAGAAATATTTTCAGTGTCAGCGTTGGTACTGTCGAATTCACAAATTATGAATTATTGAAAATTAGAAACAACTAAATAGCGGCGTATGTTATGCCGCGGGCCGGCTCGTAGTTATTATTAGCACATATTATACACAACAGTACACATATTATTTCATACATCAGTAATCATATCATTACACATATTATTCTACATATCATTAGCATAAATTATCTCCGCATAATTCGTGTTAAATCGCAGACAGAGCGAACTTTGTCCTGTTCGAGTTAGGATTAGGGTTACGCTAAGGATTAAGAACAGAACAAGGGTAAAGACTAAGATTGGAGCCCCTTTTTATGGTGACGATAGTAACAAAAATAGCTTTAATGAATTCTGATAAGTGTTTCTTCTAGACTTTTTTCTCCAGGGTGGGGGGGGGTGGACAATGTTAAAATTATATACTTTCTATATAAATTCCATTTCGTTCGGGGGGGGGGGGCGGTAGACTTTCTTGGGGGGGGGGGGGGGGATTGCCCCCCACACCCCCCGAAGAGATGCCTGGAAGAAACTTTGATTCTGATTGCGTTCTACATGTACCGTTGATAGATCAACAATTGGAATTTTTTTTAAAAAATACGTACGCGCTTGAGCTGGTATATTATTCTACAGTGGCGTGAAGAGGGTTTAAAGAAGGGGTTAGGGCGCACGAGGTACAATGGGGTTGTCCATAAAGGACGTCACAGTCGCAGGGTGAACGGGGATCCGTAATTTTGTGACGATGTGTGATGAGGGGGAGGAGGGGGGGGGATTCAAATATTGCGGAGTCAAACATGCATTTTTTTTAAATGTTAGGAACTAAATTTTAGCAGTTATTCCGCGTTTTAGAAAACTATTGAGAAAAAAAAATCGATGATTAAAAAAAAAATTCAACTGCAATTTGAGAGGAGGGGGGGTGTTGGCTGTGGAGTGACGTTATTTTAAGTGGGTGTGAATGGGGAGGGTGTCTCGCTTTTAGTGACAATGTGTGACGGATGGGAGGGGAGGCAAAAATCGTCAAAAAGAGTGAGTTCATTTATTAATGCCCTTCCCCCCCCCCTTTTTTTCTACCTTCAATTTATTAAATAAACGAACTGTATGAAACAGAAATCAAATCGTATTGCTAATCTCTTCTATAGTCTTTCAGCCAATGTTCGGGATAAAGTGTAGTGTAGTTTATTAGATATGTTACCGAAAAATAGAAGGGAAACCCTCAAAGCAACCTATTATAGTATCTTAATACAAAAAATTAGCTTCTATTTTTATTTCTGTTTTGTCTTACTGTCGTATCCGTCAACACTAAACTGTTTTGATTGCAAAAAAAAAAAATTTTACAGGAAAGATGGACTTGGACTGTGTGTCCAGCATCATGTCCAACCAGACGGGGGTCACGTGGGCGACCTTGACCTACAACTACACGCAGACCGTCCTCAAGTCATGTGACAGGGCTGTGCTGCCCAGTGAGGAGTACTACACGTGAGTTGTTCTAGAACACACCATGGTTTACACGGGGGGCTAGAGCATTAACCACTCTGTCGGTCAAGTCAATAACCCCTTCACCATCGACCTTTGCCCCCTGTAATTTACACCACCCCCCCCCCCTACTTTTTTCCTTCAGTTAAGTACCCTATCTTAAGAATAATTATACTTATACCTATCATCTATCGTTACATCCAACTCTATAACCATCCCTAACATTATCTAACGCGATTCTTAACACTATCCCTAAAACTACCTCTAACATTATCTCTAACCCTAACCCTAACACTATTCCTAACACTATTCTTAAAACTTTTCCTAACATTATCCATAACACTATCCATAACACTCAGAGGCGTAGCGAGGGGGGGGGGTGCGGAGGGGGGTGCGGAGGGGGGTGCGGGGGTGACACCTTTTAGGGGGGTGACACCAAGGCAAAAAATAGCAAAATATATAGAGAAAAATTTGAGGGGCGGGGGTGCAAATCGAAAGTTTGAGGGGGGATGCAAATCGAAAGTTTGAGGGGGGTGGGGTGCAAATCGAAAATTGAAAGTTTGTCCCCGGTTAGGGGTGACACCATTAAGTGCCGCACCGGGTGACACACGACCTCGCTACGCCACTGCTAACACTATCCGTAACATTATCCCTAACCCTATTCCAAACACTACCCAAACATTATCCCTAACAGTATCCTTAACAGTATCCCTAACACTATCACTAACACTATTCCTGAGACTATTCCTAACACTATTGTTAACAGTATTCCTAGCACTATCGTAAACACTAACCATATACTTAACAGTATTCCTAACACTATGGTAAACACTAACCCTATACTTAACAGTATTCCTAACATTATCCCTAACCCTATCCCTAACACAATGCCTACACTATCCCGAGCCCTATACCTAACATTATCCTTATTTTTAACTCTATGGATTAAAATTGTTCAATTAATAACTCATACCACCCTAAATACTATAGGTGTTATGCAGTGAGATATTTTGTATGATATCCTTTTCCATAAATTATCTTTTGTCCTGAGATATTTAGTCTGAGATATTTTGTCAGGGATATTTAGTGAGGGATATTTAGTGAGGGATATTTTGTCTGGGATATTTAGTCTGGGATATTTAGTCTGAGATCCTTTGTTCTGTCACCGTTGAAAGCTAAGGTTGGGCCAGAGTTACAAGTTACGGTATCAATACCAGCAAAGAACTATCGCATCGAATACGTCCTATAATGATATTTTTAAAAACGCCGAATTAGTTTTATCGATATCAGCAAAACACTTTCGATTCGGCCCTAATGTAGAACATGCAATCATCAACTCTACTCCCTCTACTCTTGCAGGCGTCACGTTCTAAGACTGCATGAGGCCGAGTACATGGGCAACCTGGGCGGGATGAGTCTAAAGCTCTTCGTTTTCCTGGCCATCACCTGGATCATACTTTTTGTTATACTCAGAAGGGGCGTGGAGACTTCCGGCAAGGTCAGAAAAAAAAAACGTAGACTAGAAAAGATTTCTAAGTTTTTTTGTTTTTTTTAATTGAAACTATTTTTTTGTTTTGCTTTAGGATCTTGAAAAAGATCTTGAAAAAAATAATAACTTGTATTGATAGTAATTATAAAAGTATTGTTATTATTAGTATCTTTTTCCAACTTTTCAATGGTCATAAAAACAAAACAAAAATTCACTAAAGAATTATTGTGCTGACTACCAATACAAATCAGGCGGCTTGGCCTAGCGGTAGAGCGCTAGACCGTTAACTCGACAGTCTTGAATTCGAATCCGGGTTAAAGTCAGTAGAACGTCCCTAGATACCTGACTCACGTTTCGGAAAGTAAAGGAGGCTGGGCATGCATAGTGCTGACCACACTGTCCCTTCATATGCCGATGCGTTAGAAACACGTGTACTCTACTTCACTGTTAGGTTTGAAAGGGAACTTTACTTTTTTTCTACTACAACTAACATAGACATAAAAAGTGCCTTGTTTAATATTATCCTCTAATTTCAGATCGTCTATTTTATGGCACTATTCCCATACGTGGTCCTCATCGCCTTGCTAGCCCGTGGGGTGACGCTGGAGGGTTACTGGAAAGGTATCGAGTACTACATCATACCCAAATGGGAGAAGCTTGCAAATATCGACGTGAGTTTTTTGTCTTCTCTTACAGCTGATACTCCATTTTGTTTAACCCTAAAACAGACGGATCTAAGGGGGCGTACTAGGGAATATTTACACAGAGATTATGTCCCTTACACCTAAAATATATCCGCTTCAGAATTTGAAGATGGCAATAAATCAGAAAAACCAACTTACTACAGAGCTATATCTTCAACCTCCACCCCACCCCTCCTCCCCAAGATATAAAAAAACTAAAGGCCATGTACATTTCAAGTCGATATACATACAGTAAGTATTGGTTCACCAAATAATAATGTGGGACGGCAAGGCCTAGCGGTAGAGCGCTATACTTCTAGCTATTAGACCCGAAAGTCTTGTGTTCGAATCTGGGTTCAAACCAGTAGAACTTCCCTGAGTCCACTCAGCCCTGATAGGTACTCACGTTAGTGAAAGTAAAGGCAGAATGCATAGTGCTGACCACACTATCCCTTTCTATGCCGAGGTCACAGAAACAGGTGAATTCTATTTCGCTTGTCCCACGGGGTCGAAAAATGGAACTTTTAATTTATATATATATATATATATATATATATATATATATATATATATATATATATATATATATATATATATATATATATATATATATATATATATATAAATGCATTATAATAAATAGTCATGACATGAATTTAAAATGGGGATTTGATGTCCCGTCAAAAAACATTCTAAACTGTGCACTTATAGAACGTTTTGACTAAAAGACGAGGGGTTACTAGTATGTAATGCCCTGCCCTTAATTTTGTTTTACCCTAGCCGTTTCGGTGTTTAGAAAGTACGTAAACACGCACTTTTAACCAGTGTTTCTTTCAGACAATGTTCTTCGTGGTCATTTGAAACTTTCAGTGGAGCGGGTGGGGGAGGGGAGGGGGGGTGGCGGGCCTAAATTTCCGGGTGGGGGGACGGGACACTGGTCAAATTATATATTTTCTATATAAATTATAAATTATTTTCTATTTCTTTAAAGTGGGGGGGGGGGCTGTTTTTAACGTTTAAAGCGGGTGTAAAGAAAAATATATGTGTTGATAGAACGTGACGACGACAACTCACTAAGATTATTATTTCACAGCCGGTAGTTTTAAAGAATGTTGATGCACTTTTAAATTAGGAACTAGCATAGGAAACATGAATTTTGATGTTTACATGGTAAAAGAGGCATCTCTGTAGGATTAAGGTCATGGTTAGGTCAGCATTGTGAGGTTAGGGCAAAGGCTAGCTAAAACAGCAATAATAATAATATTGATACATTCCTGCCGGTAAAGCTAGAAATACCGAATATATACACGTAATGTATCTTGCTCCACAAACCTTGATTCTGCCCCCCCCCCCCCCTTTTCCATCTCACATAGATATGAACACTAAACCACATCGTGTGATCTTGGTTCAACTCAATCACTGTTTTTATAAATAGAACTTTAAATCACTTGCCCATAGAAATGACCAATGAAAAATCTCTATTCAACAGGTGTGGCGGGAAGCAGCCAATCAGATCTTCTACTCACTTGGGCCGGCGTTTGGTACTTTAATAACACTGGCGTCGTACAACCCGTTCAAGCACAACTGCTACAGGTATGGGTTCGAGTCCTTTAATAAATGATAGTGAACGCAACAGGGAGTCGGCGTGGTCGGGCAGATGAGGCTCCTCGATAGATGGGGGCAACCAATCTTCTAGGAGAGACAACTCCAAAATCAAAACAACTGCTGCCTTATACTTTGCTCTTGAATGGACAAAGGCTATGGAAGCAAATCTAAAAAGAAAATTAGGATGAGATTGAGTCAACGGCCTATATGGTGCATAATCAGTTGACACGTATACTTAATTGTGTTAGAGGGAATCTCTTCCAACCTTAAAATTAAGAACGAAGAAGAAGAAAAAGTAGTGAACGTAACGTGTACGCTAAGTATTATTATACACGACGTACTCTGTGCTATTATTTTAGCCTTTTTAATCACTGTAATAAACCTTACCATGAACATGATAGATATACTAGCTACGAAAATAATGCGCTTCCTCACTACATTGCCCTGTCGGTGTTTTTATGAGACCCCATAAAACTTATATGGGAAAGTTTGTCTTAGTGGTAGAAAACTAGACGGCTAATCCGAAAGTCTCGAGTTCGAATCCGGGTTCAAGTCAGTAAAGCGTCCCTGAGTCCACCCAGCTCTGATGGGTACCTAACTCAAGTAAGGGAAAGCAAAGGCGGCCGGGCATAGTGCTGACCACACTATCCATTCATATGCTGTGGTATCTGAAACAGATGAGCTCTGCTTCATCTGCCCCATATGTCTTGGGCACGAAAGGGAAAGATGGTGATGATAAAACGTATAGACCGAGATATAAGTTAGAATTGAAAGTGAAAGAGTTTAGTATCAACTGAAGTAAAAGTCTCAACTGAAGCCAATTTCTGTGAATTAGGGCCAATCAGTTGTCGTGTTCTCGGCATTTGAAAATAATTATACGGTCAGCACTAAGTCCAGCCGCCTTTACTTTCTCTAACGTGAGTCAGGTTAACATCAGAGCGGGGTGAACTCTAGAGTCTACCGCCCCCCCAACCCCCCCCCCCTCCCACTGAACGAAATAGAATTTATTTAGAAAAAATATACTTTTACCCGTGTCTGCCCCACCCCCCCCCCCCTCCTTGGTAAATTTAGTACGCCCCATTGCCTCCCACCCCACCCTCCGAAAACTTCAAGTACAATCCTAGCCCTTTCACCAAGAGAATCAAATTCTGAAAGAAACACTGGCGTACTCAGAGAAGTCCTACACACTCGTATCTCAGGATTCGAACTCGACTCTTTCGGGTTAACAGCAGTAGGTTATATAGATGTATTACAATGTGTTGGGTGCCTCAATACATCTTATCGCCGTCCCCCCCCCCCCCCCCCAGGGACGCTGTTCTTGTGGCTGTCATCAACTGCTCTACCTCGGTCTTCGCCGGATTCGCCATATTCGCCATGTTGGGATACATGGCTCACGTGACCAACCAGGATGTGGAAAGTGTGACAAATAGCGGTGAGTGTGACAAATGTGACAATTAGTGGTGAGTGTGACAAATAGCGGTAAATGTGACAAATAGCGGTGAGTGTGACAAATGTGACAATTAGTGGTGAGTGTGACAAATAGCGGTAAATGTGACAAATAGCTGTGAATGTGACAAATAGCGGTGAGTGTGACAAATGTGACAATTAGTGGTGAGTGTGACAAATAGCGGTAAATGTGACAAATAGCTGTGAATGTGACAAATAGCGGTAAATGTGACAAATAGCTGTGAATGTGACAAATAGCGGTGATTGTGACAAATGTGACAGATAGCCGTGACAGTGACAAATGTGACAAATAGCGGTGACAGATGCTACAAATAGCGGTGAATGTGACCAATGTGACACATAGTGGTGAGTGTGACAAATGTGACGAATAGCGGTGACAGTGACAAATGTGTCAAAGAGCGGTGTATGTGAAAAATGTGACAAATAGCGGGGAGTGTGACAATTGTGAAATGATAGTTAGTGTTTACATGGTGAACCATTGTGGTGAATGTGACAATTATTTTATGACTACCAGTGATAACTGTGACGAATTTGACTAATTATGGAGGGTGACCAATATTAGGTTTGGGTATCTGAGGCTTGCCCCCTCCTCCCCCACCTCTCCCAACTTCCGCCCCCCCCCCCCCCCACACACACTCCCACACACACACTCCCCCCCCCCCCCCCCTCACAAACACACACAGTAAAGGGAAAAATATCTCATTAAATTAAGTTGATTAACACACCTTTAATTTTCACACTAGGTGCCGGGCTGGTTTTTGTTGTCTACCCAGAAGGCATCGCTCGCATGCCCTTTGCCCCAGTGTGGGCCATCCTCTTCTTCGTCATGTTGATCTCCCTTGGCATGGATAGCCAGGTACTCAAACTCCTAACACCGGAAGTTTCGGCCTTAAGCCTTCATCAGATAGGATTTTAATAAAAATAAAAATATATAAATAAATATATATATATATATATATATATATATATATATATATATATATATATATATATATATATATATATATATAAGGATTTATTTTCTGTATTTCGTGTGTATCTTTTCTCATTCGCGGAGTGGCCAGACATTTATATTTCAAATCGTTGATTATTTTCAAGTAATTTTCTTTCCAGCGTGTCTATATTTTGAGGCTTTACTTTAAGTGGGGGAAGGTGGGTTAGGGGAAGGGGTATGATGTAATTTTTTTTCCCAAATTAGATAACGCCCGCCAAATATATGTTTTAATTTTAAACATCGAAGTCCGTATGTGGGTGTTCATTTTTGTAGGTGGTGAAAAAACAAAAAAAAATTTAGAGTTTTTCGAAATCTTGTTTCAGCTCGCCATGTTTGAGACCGTCATCAGCGCCATTGTGGACGAGTTTCCTAACGTACTGCGCAGGCGCAGAATGCTGTTTTCTTTTGTCTGTCACGTCATCGGCTTCCTGCTGGGTATACCGATGGTGACCTACGTAAGTCTTAGTGACGTCATTGGGCTTTAGATTTGGGACGTCAGTGGGCTTTAGATTTAGGACGTCGTTGGGTTTTAGATTTAGGACGTCATTGGGCTTTAGATTTGGGACGTCAGTGGGCTTTAGATTTAGGACGTCGTTGGGTTTTAGATTTAGGACGACATTGGGGTTTAGATTTAGGACGTCATTGGGCTTTAGATTTAGGCACGTAAACCGTAGTTAAAAGGCTTTAGTAGCTTAAGCAAATGAACATTAGGTTTGACTTGGTTGGATCAAGGTAAACAAAAAATATTTACGATCACACTAACGAAGAAATATATCACCTGATGAAAAAAAATTTTCGGCGTATGGATGTGTTCGATAAAGTTCCACAGCGGGACATACTATTGAAATAAACAAAACCAATTTTGAAAAGGAACGTAATTTTATAATAAGAGATTTCTTTGGTCTTATCAGAAATTGACGAAAATGTTTAAAATATGTTTTTGGGCAACTATCTGTTATTTTCACACAAAGAGGAGGATTTTATTTTCATAAATGGTAACTTTCAATAAAAATAAATAAACATACACAGATACACAGACACACACACACACACATATATATATATATATATATATATATATATATATATATATATATATATATATATGTGTGTGTGTGTGTGTGTGTGTGTGTGTCTGTGTGTCTGTGTGTGTGTGTATATATATATATATATTTACAGTGTACAATTGAAAAAATATGTTAAAATCAAATCCACAGGGGGGCATGTGGGTGCTGACCTTAATGAACAGCTACTCGGCTAGTTATGCTCTGCTCTTCACGTGCCTGTGTGAGCTGGTCGCTTTAAACCATGTTTACGGTGAGTTACGGCAAGTTTCTGTTCGCTTTAAACCATATTTCCGGCGAGTTACGGCAAGTTTGTTTTTGGTCACTTTAAACTATATTTCAAGTGAGTCACGGCAAGTTTCAGGTCGATTTATACCATGTTTACGGTGAGTTACGGCTAGACTTTCTTCCAAGCATCTCTTCTACCGCCCCCCCCCCCCCACGAAAGAAATGGAATTTATATAGAAAATATATTTTTTTGCCAGTCCACCCCCCCCCACCCCCCCCCCACCCCCCCACCCGGAAAATATCAACCCCCCCCCCCCCCAGTTACGGCAAGTTGTTCAAAAAAAAAATCTCAGTCACATACGTCAAAAAATGTGTTACATATGCTGTAGATATGTGTTTGAATATATGACAATTTAATAAGTTTTTAATTATTGAAATGCTAAAAATTGCCCTGACTTTAATAATGAAGAGTGCTAGTTACTTCCCATTTTCAAGTTCAAAACAGTTAAGGGAGGTTATCTAAAAAACATTTCCTAAAAGTACTTTAATGTAACAGAGAAATTGAGTAATAATAAAATAACTTAAAAATGATTATTTTTTATTTAATTTTACATATTCATTAATAAATGTAGATGAACTTTTGTCTACTAGTAATTTTTGAATTATCATTTGACTGTAGTATCAACTTAAAAACAAGTAAAAGTTCTGTTTATAATGCAATTTATATTAAATGAAAACAGTTTCAAAGTAGTCTTTTAAGGCTTTTGCTGCCTATTAATTCTTTCTTTAAACCATCTTTAATTTTTACAATAAAGTATCAAGAAAAATTATATACATCATGCCGGATATAGAAGTTGTATTTTATATATAAAACGACACGTATATTATAATAATCGTTACGTTGAAGTACACATAACGAGTATTCTAAAATACAAGAATGATTACTGATGTGCAGCTAGCTATTTTTGCCAATGGCCTAGGAGTTGCCTTGTTTCTGCTAGTAGTGTTATACCACTATGTCTCTGTCAATAATGTTAAAAAGGTTGACTGATTCTACACTGCCATCATGTCATTTTTTTTCATCACAATCCAGTTCAAGCACCTCTGTTTTATGTTTACATGTCAAAATATTTAAACAATAAAAATATTTAAAATTTAAAAAAAAAAAAAAACATCTTTAGTTTGTTTGTTTTTTTAACAATTTGGGAACACTTTTAAGAAAACACAAGCAACGTTAAAACTTCTGAAAGAAACACTATCTACATCATTGAGGTTTAGCGGCAAAAGTAGGAAACCGTTCTATATTATAGAAGTAAGCTCTACTTTTTGTCTCTATGATCTACAAATGCGATCAGTGTTTCTTTCAGACTTTTTCCCCCGGAGGGGGGGGGGGGGTTGGACACTGGTAAAAGTATATATTTTCTATATAAATTGTATTTCATGTAGGAGATGGTGGACATGCTTCGTGGTGGGTGGTTGGGCTGGGGTGCTTCCCCCCCCCTCCTCCCCCAACGAACTTGACAAATCATGCATTTATCGAATTTTCAAAATAAAATAAAACAAATTATAAGTTTGAATGACTAGTACCAATTCCCAATTGTTCTCCCATAAAAACTGCATTATTTTCTATGATCGTTTAATTGAAATTAATGTCGTAGTTTGTTAATATTGATTTGAAGGCAACAAACAGTTTTGTCAAGACATTGAGATGATGATCGGGTTCCAGCCCAACTGGTACTGGAGGGTATGTTGGACGATCATCACACCTATAGCTATTGTGGTAAGGTGTGTGTGGTGGGGTGTGTGGTGGGGTGTGTGGTGGGATGTGATGTGATGTGGTGGGGTGTGTGTTGGAAGATCATCACACCTATAGCTATTGTGGTAAGGTGTGTGTGTGTGGTGGGGTGTGTGTGGTGGGGTGTGTGGTGGGGTGGGTGTGTTGGACGATCATCACACCTATAGCTATTGTGGTAAGGTGTGTGTGGTGGGGTGGGGTGTGTAGTGTGGTGGGGTGTGATGGACGATCATAACACCTATAGCTGTTGTGGTAAGGTGTGTGTGGTGGGGTGTGTGTGGTGGGGTGTGTGGTGGGGTGGGTGTGTTGGACGATCATCACACCTATAGCTATTGTGGTAAGGTGTGTGTGTGGTGGGGTGTGTGTGGTGGGGTGTGTGTGGTGGGTGTGTGGTGGGGTGGGTGTGTTGGAAGATCATCACACCTATAGCTATTATGGTAAGGTGTGTGTGTGGTGGGGTGTGTGGTGGGGTGTGTGTGGTGGGGTGTGGGTGGTGGGGTGTGTTGGAAGATCATCACACCTATAGCTATTGTGGTAATGTGTTTAGACGGCCAACGTATGTGGTAATGTGTTTGGACGGTCAATGTATTGCGGTAATGTGTTTGGACGGCCAATGTGTTGTGGTAATGTATTTGGACGGTCAATGATTAGCTTTTGGACGTTCGCAGTATTGTGGTAATGTGTTTGGACGGCCAGTTTATTGTGGTAATGTGTTTGGACGGCCAATGTATTGTGGTAATGTGTATGGACTGCCAATGTGTTTTGGTAATGTGTTTGGACGGTCAAAGATACGTTGTATTTGGACGGCCAATGTATTGTGGTAATGTGTTTGGACGGTCAAAGATACGTTGTATTTGAACGGCCAATGTGTTGTGGTAATGTGTTTGGACGGTCAAAGATACGTTGTATTTGGACGGTCAATGTATTGTGGTAATGTGTTTGGACGGCCTATGTATTGTGGTAATGTGTTTGGACGGTCAAAGATACGTTGTATTTGGACGGCCAATGTGTTGTGGTAATGTGTTTGGACGGCCAATGTGTTGTGGTAATGTGTTTGGACGGTCAAAGATACGTTGTATTTGGACGGCCAATGTGTTGTGGTAATGTGTTTGGACGGCCAATGTGTTGTGGTAATGTGTTTGGACGGTCAAAGATACGTTGTAGTTGGACGGCCAATGTGTTTTGGTAATGTGTTTGGACGGCCAATGTGTTGTGGTAATGTATTTGGACGGCTAATGTGTTGTGGTAATGTATTTGGACGGCCAATGTATTGTGGTAATGTGTTTGGACGGCCAATGTATTGTGGTAATGTGTTTGGACGGCCAATGTATTGTGGTAATGTGTTTGGACGGCCAATGTATTGTGGTAATGTGTTTGGACGGCCAATGTATTGTGGTAATGTGTTTGGACGGCCAATGTATTGTGGTAATGTGTTTGGACGATCACCGTTTTTCACGTTCTTGACCACACCCTCGCACCACCATGTATGTCACCTTGACCTCTGTCTGCAGCTGATGCTCATCCTGTCATGCATATTCTACTCTCCCGTCGAGTACAACGGCTACGAGTTTGAAGGCTGGGTTCAGGGACTTGGTTTTCTCATGGTGGTCCTTCCCATAGCCGCCATACTGCTAGGGGCGGTAATCCAGGTCATACGATATAAGGTAAACTCAGCTGGATTTTTAATACATGTAGCTTACAGAGTTTCTTCCAGGCATCCCCCACCCACCCCCCACCCCCCTCTCCGAAGAAAGTCTACCGCCCCAACCCCCCCCCCCCCGGACGAGATGGAATTTATATAGTAGACACATACTTTTACTAGTGTCCGCCCCCCCCCCCCCCCCCCCCCCGCCCCGGAAATATCAAGTGCACCCCCGGAGAAAAAAGTCTTGAAGAAACACTGGTAGCTCAGGGTATTTTTATGTAGCTAGTTAAGCTGCTTTTATTAAGTTTTCAGCTGCGTATTCGCATATTGAATTGAGCGGAATTCACACAGTTTAAGATGCTTATAAAATATGTGGATACTTCTCTCAGAACTATTCTGAAATCTCAAAGATAATTGGTTAGCAATTTGTCTATTAGGTTTAGTTGATATTAACACCTAAATTTTAGGTTTGGACTTGGTTTGATATTAGCTCTATCGGTTTGTGCTAGTTTGTGTTAAAGTTAGGGTTCTCAACTTGATGGTATTTTAGAAACCAGAAATAGAGTAGATTACCATTTCCGGATGTCGGAGGTTATTAAAAAATTGAAAGTGATCAAAGTATTAGATATTATAATTATATATGAAATCTCGTCCACCTAACTTATATGGTACTTAAGTAAGTATAACTTCCGGTTACCAGAAATTGCTCGAAAGTGGAGAGAAAATTACAAAACGTGAAATAACACTAACTTAGGAAATTTCTTCGACATAGCTGAAACGGTATTCAAGTTATCGTGCAAACAGACACACACACACACACACACACACACACACACACAGAGACGGACAGGATAACAAAATTAACTTTTTTCCGGCTCTGGAAGGTTGTAGTGTTAGGTGTATGACTAGAACAGTAGCGTACGCAGGGGGGGGAGCAGGGGGAGCGGCCGCTCCCCCTCTGGCCATTTTCAACAAAGTGGCGCCTTTTTGGAAACTTTTTAAACTCAAAGTTTTAAACAATGATATTTGTTAAAAAATATTTTCGGTCGGCACATCTATGTAAATCACAAGATACCTCTACGGTAGTACCACTTGGCAAGAAGGGTGTTAAGTTTAAGGTAACTGTATAATGTATTTGCTTACGAATAACTGAATTAGAAAATTATACATAAAACTTCACATATAATTGCTTTAAATATACAGTTTGAATCGTGTGATTGATTTTTAAAAAATTACAATACAGAAACAAATACAACTGATGTGGCACCTCTATTTAAATTTACTTATGAGCAAACTGCGTAGTGTTGGGGAAATTTTGACAAGGTCAACAACGTCATCATGATGAAGTAGTAGATCTAGTATTCTTACAGTTTGGGCGATAGTGATTACGATTACAAAATATATGAAACAGTTACAACCCCCCTCCCCCATGGACCCCTCTGTAAAAAAAATATTGTTATAATACCACCGCTACTTATTTAAATCTATTTCTGTAATATATATTTGTGTAATATATATGGGCCTATGTATGTTTAGAACAGTCATCTAAAAACTGACGCTATGTTTACTTTGAGTTGGTTATCTCCCCCCCCCCCCAACACTCACACACACACACACACCTCACCACCACACTTGTGTAGAGCGACATTAATGTCACACCTAGGTATACACTGGGTTGGATAATTAACCTAAAGTGAACGGACAGTGGTGAATGAAGTTGAACTCACCACCCCCCCCCCCCCCAACCCAACCCAAGCTGATCTGTTAAGTATATGTAGAAAAACGCGTAATGATGTACCAAAGTACCATGCCGCCAGAAAATTAGCTTTTCAAACGTAAAAAGTTTTGAATATTGTTTTTGCAATTACCAGTAAAAAGGTATGTGATCAATACAAACTAAATTATCTGCCCCTAATTGTCCTCACCAAACCCGGCTCTGTTTGTAAACATTTAGAGTGAACCACAGCTCACCAGACCATGTAGGGGTGGGGTTGGTAGGGAGCGCGTTTACAGCTTGTTTTCTAGCGTCTCCCAGAAGAGAATTATATATATAGATGCTGTTATTCCGAATGTTTTTCAATTACATCGAAAAGCGTGGTTTTAGACCAACTCTGATTTAAAAAACTTTCATTATGCTGTAATACTTTAGCATTTATGATGACGATATATTAAATTCTGATTATAGACAAAAACGTTTTATTAACACGAATAGTGTTAAACAATTTCATTATATTCTAAAGTAATTATTTATTTGTTTTGACATTTATAATTAAATGTGTAGATATATACACATTTATATTAAGAGCGTGATTATTTCCCCTATTTCACTTGTCTTAAATAATTTCCCAGGAATTATTATGTAAGAATTTTTTTAACAAGAATTACAAAACAGATTGTGTTACGTTCATTGTTTTTGGTTGTAGTGTGTGTATATTTTTTTTTTGTTTAGATTGATACAATTTTTGTTTTGTCGGCCAACATTGTGTGTTTTTTTCTTATTTCTTCAGAGTGCTACTTTCAATTTATTTTACAGTAATGACATACAGCTAGTAATTATATATATATATATATATATATATATATATATATATATATATATATATATATATATATATATATATATATATAATAAAATACACGTAGGCCTATATAGAACGTGTTACAAATTCGGCGCCTTTTTTTGCTCTTTTCGCTCCCCCTACAACGAAAACCTGGATACGCCTCTGGACTAGAACTATAGTTAGTACGCTCGGGTATGTTGCATTGTTTTACGCTATACTAGCTCTAAGAATAACTGACAAATGCCCTCTTTTTCTTTCAGGGCATCAGGAAAGCCATGGCACCCCACCCGCTGTGGGGGCCGGCCAACAAGGAGGACAGGGTGGGGCGGTACGCGACAACCAATGAAGGGTTCGAGGGAGACTCGGTGGACGAGCTCAAGGACCCCGGGGCATTCTCCCAGCAGACGATAGTCACCATGGACATTCAGCTGGGCAACGGGAAACACGGCGAGTCGGTGGAAACGTATGCTTTTTAAGAATACATATTTGTGTATCTCTACCGCTACTCGTTACCTGATCTCTACATAGAAACACAGCTACTGTTCTATATTTTAGTTAAGACGATTTTGAACAAAAAGGAGTTTCTATTTACCGGCTCAAACCAATAAATTACAGCGTGCGTTAAGAATACAAGGATTGTGTACAAGTGTATGCATGTATACACTTTTCTTGTTTGGCTTAGAGACTAAAACCACTTTGTTATGCATTTTTAATGTACAAATACGATCATTAAAAAACATTATTTCTGTAAGATGTTTGAATATATACATATACATCTATAATACATTAGTTCGATACATCTCGAATCGAAATCAAACACATACAACTCACATCACAGACAAACAAAATCACACAGAAATCACAATAACATACATCACCGAAACGCATAAAAAAAGGGGGGAAATTCATAAATTTAAGAAAAACAAATTTTTCATTGGTAGATTCTATACTATGTAGTTACCTTCATATAATGTTTTTTTTGTAAATAAATTTACATATATGAAAGAATTTTCTTTAAAAATACTCTATATTGACTTACAATATATATAAAAGTATGCTTTCAAAAATGAGTTTTGTGATTTATAAATATAAAGAAAGCTGTGTATGTGTAATATATATATATATATATATATATATGGTGCCGATCAGACGCCTCCGATTCACTTCCGCTTTGAAATGCTACTCATAATTTCGTCGTCTGATGGATCGTGGTGGTCACCAGACTCCAGATCAGTGCTCACCACTGACCCCTTCGCGGGTGAGTCGACCCCGACCCCTCGCATGTCGGGTGTGGCCAGCGCGAGGTCAGCGCTGGGGGTCAGCTGCCGCGGTGTCGTGTTCTCGCTGACCATCACCTGGACCGTTGTCGTCTGCGACGGCTGCTGTTTGCTGTCGCCGACGGAGAAGCAGGAGTAGCCCAGGCTGTTGATCCAGTACGCCGCCTTTGCGCAGGCCTTGCACGCGCAGCTTTTGGGATGGCGTTTGTTGAGTTCCTGGAGGAGGAGAGTCAGGAACGTGAACATCTGAACATAAATTTTGTCAAACATCTGAACACTAACTGTGTCAAACATGAACATCTGAACACAAATTATGTCAAAGGTGAGCATATGAACACAGATTGTGTCAAATATCTGAACACAAATTGTGCCAAACATATGAACACAAATTGTGTTAAACATATGAAGACAAATTGTACCAAACATGAATATCTGAACACAAATTCAACATTTCAACTCAAATAGTGTAAGAGGCCTTATATTTGTAGGATTGAAAAGTGTTGATTTTTTATTGGAGGATTGAGCGGACTTAGTTTGGATGAATGTGTTTGGTTTTGGTTTTCGAATGAGTTGAGATATCATGGATTGGTGTATTTGAGATTGTGATTGGTGTACGGATGAATGTGATTGGTTGGAGTGATGATAAATAAAGTGAGCGATGTTTTAGTTGGGGAGGGGGGGTGTTAATAGTTGGGATTGCCAAAAAAGTGTATGGTATTTAATTAGAGGTGGCGGGAACAAGATGGATTTTAATTAGAGATGGCGGAGTCTAAACGTGTGTTTAATTAGAGATAGTCGGGACAAATGTGAAACGGTAAGATGGAATGGTTGCGCAATTAGTGGCGTGTACCAATTAGCAGGGCGGAAAGAGTAAGGGGAATTGGACGATACTGCGTGCCGCCATTCTTCTTCGTTCTTAATTTCAGTGTTGGAAGCGATCCCCTCCAACACAATTAAGTACACGTGTCAACTGATTATGCGCTATTGAGGCCATTGACTCCGATTTCAGCCTGCTTTTCTTTTTGGATTTGCTTCCATAGCCTTTGTCCAATCAAGAACAAACAACAAGGCAGCAGTTGTTTGATTTTGGAGTTGTCTATCCTAGAATTGGGCCTGTCCCCAAATAACGAGCCTCATCTGCGCGAGGTTTGAACGCGAGATTTTTCGGTTTAGCAAACCATGAGCTTTACTCGGCCACGCCATTGAAAGTCGATATCTTTCCTTAACCCTCCCCCCTCCCCCACCCCTACCATCACCAATCGTGACGTAGACCTTACCTCGGCCAGCACTGGGGGCGTCTTGTACCTCGGGCTTTGCTCCGCCGGCTTCATGCGGCACTTGAACAGCTCCTCCTCGGACTTGGCCCTGCCCACCTGGGAACTCCTGATCCCGGAGTCCACTCTCTGGTCCCTGCCGTCCACCTCCTCTTTACGCTTCGATCCGCCTGGCGCGCGGTGACCTTGCTCGGTGTCAAGGTCGTCCCTGACGTCAATGCTGGTTTTCTCTACGAAGGCGGCTGGAACCTGGACGTATCTCTCGCCGGCGGGCAGCTGCTCTTCTGGGTAGAAGTTGGACATTGGTTTCGGGTGGATGCCGATAGCTGGTAACCTGAACACAAATACATTGTCGTTTCTTATAGATGGTAACCTGAACACAAATATATTGTCGGTTCTTATATCTGGTAACCTGAACATTGTCGGTTCTTATTGCTAGTAACCTGAACATTGTCGGTTCTTATAGTTGGTAACCTGAACACAAACACATTATCGGTTCTTATAGCTGGTAACATGAACATTGTCGGTTCTTAAAGTTGGTAACCTGAACATTGTCGGTTCTTATAGCTGGTAACCTGAACATTGTCGGTTTTTATAGCTGGTAACATGAACATTGTCGGTTCATATAGCTGGTATAATGAACATTGTCGGTTCTTATAAGAACAACGGAATAGCTACACACTATCTTAAACATTATTAATTTAGGCTTGTATCACTGTAAGCAGAGTTTCTATCAGGCATCTCTTCGTCTACCTCCCCCCCCCTTCCCCTGAACGAAGTAGAATTTATATAGAAAATATATACTTTTAATTTCAACTAAGAAGGGTTCACTACGACTTACTGACTTAACGGCTCACCCATTCCATAAATGACGTCATGCTGATTTATTTTTTTTTTTTTTGCATTTTCAGTGCACCCTTCCCCCACCCATTGTGTTATTAGTTCATCCTATACCCCCCCCCCCCCCCCCCACACACACACACACTTTCCCCATGCCCCAACCTGTCACAGCCCAACGACAAAACAAGTAATAATAATTCATATCAAAAAGAACAAACCACGGATGCCCACCCCTTACCCTACCTGGTGTCCGTCTGCTCGCTGGCTTCCAAACGTGGCGAGCTCATGGCCGACCTCCTCGGCTGGGTAAGACTGTCAGACGACTTGGGGCCGCTCCTGGGACTCGGCTCTTTCTTTGACTGCTGCGCCCGCCTCAGTCTGGTCCGCTCAGAGCTTCTCTTCTGGTTAGGTGAACACAAAGCGGTGTAGAGTCAGTTTAAAGTCAACGGAAAAAAGCGGTGTAGACTCATATTTCAAACCCCACTATAACAAAATATATTTAACAAATAATTTTCCTTTTTATTATTATTTTTACACGAAATTTTAAACTGTTATTTTTTTTTCCTTTTCTTTTTCGTTCTTAAGTTTAGGATTGGAAGGGATCCCCTACAACACAATTAAGTACACGTGTCAACTGGTTATGCGACATTGAGCCCATTGACTCGGATTTCAGCCTGCAAGGCAGTAGTTGTTTGATTTTGGAGTTGTCTTTCCTAGAAGAGTGGCTGTCCACAGCTAATGTCAGCTAACGAGCCTCATCTACCCGAGGGTTCGAACTCGAGACTTTAGCAACCATGAGCTTTGCCGACTCGACCACGCCGACCCCTTTTATCCTTTCAAAACCATGCGGTTAACCTTAAATTGAATTTACTGCCTGTCTTCAAAAAAAAGGTAGCAACATACGCCACAAGTAAAAACGTTTTAATTTTTTTTTTCTTCTTTAATGTCTCCAATTTTTTTACAATTGTCACCAAAATACGCACTGTTTAACTGTAATAAGTTACCTACATCCTTTTTTGCGTGTCCTATCACTGACTTATTAAAACAGCAGACAAAGAATCCAACCAAAAGACGGTTTTTAACGTTACCTTTTCTTTCCTTTTCCCGCGACTAGTGGACCTGGCTAAGGCGTCAGATTCCCACTCCAGGTATTCTTTCCGCCTCAGTCTGGACATGACGTGTCGGTATTTGAGGTGAAGGTCCCAGCGTGACCCACTGGGGAAACTTAAAGTGAGAGAGAGGGAGAGGGGGTGGTGAAGCGGGCGAGATTAATATATATTGTATCCATTTGCTTAGTTCCAATGTCTGGGGGGGGGGGGGGCACTTGTTATTTTTGGAGGGGCGGACTAAAATTTCCGGGGGCAGACGGGCGAAAACTGTTAAAAGTATATACTTTCTATATAAATTCCATTTCGTACGGGGGGGGGGGTGGTAGACTTTCTCCGGTGGGGGGCGCTCTGGTGGGGTGTAGACCCCCCCCCCCCCCTCCCTCCCCCACAAACCCCGAAGAGATGCCTGGAAGAAACTCTGCAAAGTTCTAGGACGGCGTGGCTTAGCGTTACAACGATAGATTACTAACCCAAAGTCTCGAGCTCGAATCCGAGTTACAGTCAGAAGAACGTCCCCGAGTTCACGCAGCTGTGATGGGTACCTAACTCTAGTTATGGGTATAGAGCTGACCACACAAGGTGACAGTAACAGGTGAACTCTGCACTATGGACCGCCAAGCTCAAAAGTGGAACTTGACTTTAAGACGCTGTCGTGTTTTCTGAGTAGGGAGCATGAAAAGTGCGATTCTTTTTCAATTCCAGTGGAGCAAAGAAAGTCTACCGCCTATATGCAGAGTTTCTGCACCCCACCAGAGTCCCGCCCCCCCCCCCCTCCCCCGACAATATCAAGTGCCACTTCCCCTTGGCGTTGAAAAAAAATATAAAAAAACATTTCCATTGTCAACATGGGTTCCGAACCCACAACTCCAGTCGGCCACAATGTCACATATCAATTTTACAAAATGTAGTGTTGTTGTATTTTGAATAATTGATTTTGTTTTAGACTATTGAGGGACTAGCCTAGCATATTGCCACTATCGGCAATAAAAAATACTGAGGTATAGCTTCAACATAACAAAACAAACAAACGAACGTACCTGTTGTGGGACTGGCCCGCTGTGTCCGGCAGCGAAAACCTGCTGTGGTGCCGCACCATCCGAGACCTTTCCCGCGCAATCCTTACGCTGGCCATGGCGTGCTGCAGGCCCTCCGACGTGCCAAGCTTATGTTCCACAGGGAACCTGGTCTCGTCCCAATCCTGGTTCACCGGTTCGGAAAACATATCTCCAGTCGACCGGTTGTTCAGCGAGCAGGGCTGCGGCTCTTTTGAGACGTTGTCGGCGTTATTTTTCCCATGGAAAAACAACGTGGCTTTGGATGGTGTCCAGAGGATTAAATTCCGTTTTTGTCGGTTTTCCGTGACCCGGATGCTCTCTATTTGTGGGTGTGGGAGGTTGTTGTCGTAATCTTTACTTCCGGGCATCCCGCCACGTGCAAGCCAGTAGATCGGAAACTCTTCTTGCTGTGGAGGTAGTTTCCCTTGATTTATCCAGTAACTCAACGTCACGGGCGATCCCATTTTTATATTGTAGTTAAAACCCCCGCTGGTATTCTCCGACCGGGTCAAATCCGACGGCATTGAATCGCTGGCCAGGTAAGTTTCGTTCTTTGGCTTGCCTTGGGAATCACTGGAAATCCGATTAGACGTACCGCTCCAGCTAGACCTTTTACCCAACCCCGTATCGGGGGTTAAAATTCTGGAGCCCTGCGACCGAGGAGGGAACATGGTCGAGCACTGATCCGAAGTTGTGAACAGGCTCTCTTTCCCGAGCTCGCTTTCCAGTTGCTGGGATCCGAACCGCATGAAGTTTTTATTTTTGAGCCCTTCCATCCTGTTGCAGACGGCTATCTCCTCGAGGTATTTGAACCCCTGGCTACACTTGGAGAAATTACTATCCACCGGCAGCTCTTTGTAAGGGTTCCGGAAATCGATGGTGTTCCAAGTGGGGTTCGAGTCGGAGCCGTTTTTGTACGAGGCAGACGGTTCACTTCCGGTTGTGACAGTGGCCTTGGTGGTTGGCTCCTGAGAGGTCTCGGAAGTCGACATGCTGAGCCTCTTCTTCTGCCCGCTGGGAGGCGAGCGATTTTTGATTCGCGAGCTTCTGCTCTGGCCTTTCTCAGAGTGGGTGAGGTGCGGAATTTTTTTGTTGGATCCTTTGCTCATGGTCGCACTGCTCATAGCTGAAGTCGGCATAGTTGTTTTGTTTTTTTTAACTAGGCCAGCAAAGTTTTTTGAAAATTATTTTTATAGTAAATTAACTAAACAAAGAAGAATAAAAATTTAAAGAAAGTTCAACGCGAATTCATTATTATTGTTAAATAGACATTTTAAAATAGCATACGTAGACCTTTACTTATGCCACAGTATGTTCATTTCTGTAGAAATAATCGTACAGTTATTTAAAATGTATAAAAGAAAATATACGATGAATTTTACTTTCCCTTCCTAAGGGTGTTGGCCGGAAGTTGTGTGCGCGTCTGGGAATTCCCGCTGTTTTAAAATGTGCGTGCAACACAAAACATAGAAACAAGCACGAAATGTTTTTCTCAGTAAATATTTTTAAAAAATTATTTACCTATTTTCTTTGAAAAGAATTTTACGCCGTAACTAGTTTCTCAAGTGCTCGGGGTAAAAAAAATATTTAAAGTAACCCTTTTCGACCCGATGGTCAATAGTGAAGATGAAGTAGAGTTCACCTGCTTACGAGACCTCAGAATCTGAAAGGATAATGTTATTAGTTGTCATGCTCAGCCTCGTTTACTTTCTCTGACGTGAGTCAGTGTTTTAGGCATCTCAACCCCCCCCCCCCCCCCCCCCCATGAAATAAATTTATATACGAAATATATATAATTTAACCAGTGTCTGTCCTCCCCCCCCCCCCCCCCCTCCTCCCAAAAAAAATGTCTGGAAGAAACTGGTCAGAATTAGTGTAGCTGTGTTGACTCGAGGGGGGAGGGGGTCTAGGAACTGGTTATTCTTCTATTTTTTGTTCTTAATTGTAATGTTGGACGGGACTACTTTCAACGCAATTAAGTATTACGCGTCAACTATCGCGCCATTTAGACCATTGACTCCGATTTCAGCCTTTAATTTTTGGATTCGCTTCCATAGCGATTCATGCAATAATTACAAGACAGCAGTCGTTTGATTTTGGGGCCTCATCTGTCGGGGATTCAAACTCAGGACTTATTTTGGTTCAGCAACAATGAGCTTTACCGACCCCTACCACACTGGAGATTCGAACTTTCGGCTTATTAATCTACCCCTGGGTGTACCACGCATAAGAAGCAGCCATTGCAGGGGTTCACCCCCCCCCCCCCCATTTAAATATAGAGACCTCAGTGACTGGCAGCATTTCAGTAAAGATAACTGGAGATAACCCAGTGAAGTAATGGTGACATTAGCAAGGCACCAGCATGTAACACGTTTCTAATTTGTGCTCTGGACAAAATGAAAAACAGGTTGGACTACTGTCATCTGAGATTCTAAAAACTGAATTATCTCCCATGCATGTTTAAAGGTTAGTATCACATTCATTTTAAAAGACAATTTGAACTCGATATAACTTGGATTAGGTATGACTAGTTAGCTTGTGTAGCAGAAATAATAGCTTACTTTTTCCAGATCTTTGCACTAAATGTCTATCTGTAGCTTGTGACATACATAATCACTTAAACTCTTCGCTGAATTATAATTTTTTTAAAAGCAATTACACAGGTCACCAATGCTCTTTTCAACAGTAAGGAAGAACAACTCTGATAAGGGTAGAGAACTCCCAACATAAAATCAACACAGGATTATTCTTATAAACAGATTTATTTACAACCACAACAGATATATTCAGTAAAAAAACAACAGCTGATTACCTCACTGAACAGACTGAGCCTAGTTTTAAAAGTTTTATTTAATTCAAATAAATCGACATTTATTTCTGAGAAAATAAAACATGTACACACGACTAAAAGCAGTTTGTGATAAAATCATCATAAAAAAAAATCGATAATTTTGTCAAGATAAATGTTAAATATCTGAGGCAATGATACTAAAATACAAGGATGTATCAAAAATGGGTTTTAAACATTTAATCATTCACTCCCCATCATAAATTTTTAAATTCAATTCTACAGATCAATGCACCTAATGATCCCAAGACCAACATTTTGTGTTTGCTGCCAATTAAAACATTTGGGTACACTTGTATAATGAACTGTTTGGTGAATCAGAATAGGGGAAATTGTCAAGTAGCTGCACAAGTACTTACCTAAAGCCACTGTACAGGTACTAAAAAACCATTTAGTACATGTAAAGGTAACATGAGCCATTTACCACCTGTAAATGTATCAAAAGCCATTTAGCACCTGTACAGGTACTAAACCATTTAGCACATGTACAGGTAACGAGCCATTCGGCAGCTGTACAGGTACCAAAAGCCATTTAGCACTTGTGCAGCTACCTAAACCCATTTAGCACCTATCTAAATCAAAAATTAAGAGATGGAGACAATATTCAATGTGGTGGGGGGAATTAAAGACAGTTTTCTTATATACATGACAGATATGAAAAGGAGTCGTTATGAATGAAAACTGATCCTACACTAATGGCAATGTGTGTAAAGCAGCTCATGAAAACATGTTCTTTGAGATTCTCAGAGTGCCGGTGTAAGAAACGTCCCCAACATGCAGTCATTCCACGGCAGGCTGCAATCACTCCACATTAGCACAATATAAAAGAACCAAAACACGCCAGCCCGCACTCATTCCATCGTAGCCAACGTTGTAACTATGCAACTCTACGCCTTCTTCTTCTTGGCGCTGGTTTTAGTGGGTGTGTCATTATTTTTCCTCTTGACCCCCTTGGGTGCACCTTTGCCTTTCTTCTTCCTCTCAGCCTTCTCCTTCTCCTCCAGCTCCATGTTCTCTCTCTCTATCAGGGTGATCAGTGTGTTGCACCTCCTCTGTAACTCCTGCACATAAAGGTAGAAATATTTACCACAAACTAACATAACAATGGACAAGATAACAGGAGTTGAATTTTACTAAATGTCACACCTGTAGTGACTCCTATCTTATGAAAGTGATCAATCACTTTAACTTACTTTAGTAAACACATACTTTTATGCAAATAAGTGGGTTAAGATTTTAAAAATGTATAAATGATTATTAACAACATCGTCTGTTAAATATGCATTTATCTTGTGCAGGTTCATTTAAATGCAAGTTCAAATAATGTTTATATTAAAGCTAAGTTACTGAAATGGGGTTGGATAGGGTACACACTGCGCTGACCAAACTACACATAGACTACACTTGGAGTAAGAGAAAATGGCACAGGACAGAGGACACGTGAGATGTTTGGTTGGCGACCCTTACCCCAGCACGGGTGCTGGGCAGTGATGATGATGAAAATTACTAAACTTTGGGACAGTGGTGATGAAGGTTACTGATCTATCTTGATCAGATAACACTGACGAGTGAACAGTTGTTTTGAATTACAGTTTGAGTAATAAAAACAGTTAGTCAACCTTTCATCACAAACAGAATTTTAAATTCTAATCTACATTTGGCATGTGAAAATTAGTAAAACGCATTTTTTTAACCAAAATTTGATAAGTGACATGGACAAAAAAAGTTCTGGAAAGAATGACACACTAAATGCACTATGCATGTAATTTCAGTAAGATAAATACTGAATATTATAAACTGATACAATTTACATGGAAGGGATGGTTTATTCATATTAAAAATCTAAAAAAATTTAGGACACTGACTCTGACATAAAAGCACTGTATGTCAATGTACAGACCAACAAGCTGATAAGTTTCCCTTTAAAAAAAAGAGTAAAAATAGAATCCGTACTAACCATAGCCGTCCTTGATTTAATGAACCAATCAAATCTGAACTGGGGAGCCTGTCTGACAGCTTGCCTCAGCTCATCGTAGACGTTCTCCTTATCAAAGCCCAGCTTGTGTAGCATACACACCAGGAACCTGTCCTCCTCTTCAGTGTAGTTTTTACCTTTGTTTGTTCCGTACTGGATTCTGAGTTGATGGAATGGTGCTCTATACCTTGACATCTGGAAAAAACAATTTTTCTTGTAACAACTATGATGGTGCACTGTGAGGGATATATAAAAGTAAGATGAACATTGAAATGAAATATTTTAATTGATGAAGTGTAGCAGTGTGCTAAGTATCTTACAATACCGTTGACACTGTTTTAATTCAGATGTTCTCAGATGTAAATAAAACTAGATTGAAGGGGGGACAAAAATCTACTAAACAAAATGTTATAATTATTAACACATGATAGGTTAAAAAAAAAGGTGTATCCTTGTGTCAAGCTGTGTTTACTATTCAACTTTAATCTTAGTAAAGAAAAAAGAAACACAACACTCACCTTGGCATCTAAAGCTTTCTTGATGCTTATTCTCCTCTGTATCCTGGCCTCACCCCTCTCAATCTGAGCCATGATGCGCTCTATATCCTGCAGCTCATTGCACCTCTCCCAGAACACACTGCTGTACTGATTCACCTGGTAAACAGCAATCAACATATACACATTATTTAGCTCAAAAATTAATAAGTGCACATCAGTTAGCTCAATAACAATTGAGTACACATCAATTTAATTGAACAATCAATTAGCTCAAGTTTCAACATACTGTTCACAAATTGGTCCAGGTGACATTAAATTTACACATCCAAGTTAACTGACTTAATCACCCCTCTGTAACTAAATGCCTTACAGATACTTCCCAGCATGTCCTACACTGGCTTTACAAACTACCATATTAGTTCACCAAAAATCATTGGCAGTCAACATACACACCTATATTTAATAAGACACAACAACCCATCTAAAAATAACTCAGTGCCTCATAGATATTGTCCAACACACCAAAGACTAGCTGTAGAAATGCCGTCAACATTACCTCCTCTGGTGTCTTCCCCTCCACCTCTCTGGCTATACTCTCTATGTCATCTCTGCCAAACTTTTCATTTGCCTTGATGAACTGTTGGAAGTCTCTTTTGCTCCAGTTTGTAAAGCCCTGCTTGCAGAAGACAAACAAAATCCAAATCATAACATACATGTCTTATAGTAAGAACCCACATACATACGATAAAAATCTCATAGTTGGTAAGAACCCACATACATAACACACATAACTACCGTGCTTTTATTGCTGTTTTACTATTTTCCAAAGGATTAATGTATTTTAAAACTATTTTAAAAATTATTTAAAACAAAAGTTGTCAGTAGTGTCTCCATTAACTTACGCACTGAGGAAGGTTGTTAAAATCGGCTTTAGTACCAAATGAGTTAATATATAGAACTCCCTATACTAAAAAAACATTCTAGATATCTTCTGCCAAAATTTACGTTTTTGCAATTTCATTTTTTCCCTTCAAAAAAATATTTCCCCCAAAATTATTTAAGACATTAAAGAACTCAATGCCTATTACAGAAAAACCAAAATGTTTGAACAAATAATGGTTTGAGTAAGAGAAAATTTAGGTAAAGCAATACCTCTTTCAACAGAGTTTCCTTTTCAGCAAGCTCTTCTTCATCTAGTGGAGCAGACTGGTCAATTTTTGCTTGTTCTTCCTTGCGGATTCTGTCAGCATCAGCACCAAACTCAGGATTCTTAGGCACCTGTTGTTAGATTTTAGCATTATAATGATTTGAAAGCATATTTATAAAGCATATAAGAATTTTGAAGCTTGGTAAACTAGACAACTAAATGAAAAAGAAAAGGTGATTTGTATTGGCAAAGGTCTACTAACCTTGTATCCAATAGTTTTGCGGAAATAATAGATTTCTTTATCTAACAGCTCAAACAGCCTAGGTGGGAAAAACTGGAAATCTTGAATACTAGGCTGCTTGGGTGGTCTTGGAGCCTGTAAAGAAGAAAACAAGTAATATTTCAATAGTGAGAGAAAATAGTTTTTCAGTTTAATATATAGTACAAATATTCAACAAACCTCTGAAGTAGTATTTAAATAGTGAAAGAAAATAAGATTTACAATAAAAAAAAATATTACAAAATATTCAACAAACCTTGGGGGCTTTAGGTTCACTGACACGCAGGGCCTCTCTGAAGTAAGCATCCACAGCGTAGTTGGCTTTGCGCTCTCTCTTTGGGGGTTCAATCCAGGCACCAATGGTACCCAGCTTGTGTTTCTCCCTGTAGTCCTCACCCTCAAATTGGTACACACTGTCAGGGGCGTCCATGGTGAAAGTACGCAGACTGCTCTCACCAAGTTGGTCCATCTTCTCTTTCAGCTCTTCTGTCTGTTAAAGTTAGTTATAAAATTAAAAGACTCATCCAAAAAGTATTTTCATTAGCATCCAGATGGGATACTGTTAAAAAAAACTTTAATGTTGGTAATTTCAATTTTTTAAACATATAATAGCAAAATTATAATTAAAAATCATATAAACATTCTATAACTGAACCAAAGCACTTAACCTAATCGACCACCCAAAAATATCAAAATTAAGATAACTTACAGGAAAATTTTAAGATAAAAACCAAAACCTTCCATTCTTAAAATCACTAGGGTAAATCTATTTCTACCAGAATGTGAAGAAGTGACTGACCTTTTTCTCACCCCTGGCAAGGATAGCATCAATATCTTCATCTGTGATCTCAGACTCTTTAGAGGCAAACACATGGCTAGCACCATGTCGAATCATGTTCAGCACCTCATCTTTCCCAAGTTTGTTTGTATTCTGGTCCACCAACCGACCTGGAAACAAATTAAAAACTATCAATCCTTGGACATAATCAAATAAATAGTGACACATCAACAACAATGTTAACCTTGGGGCTTAATTTATGAGTACTTACATTAGTGTTGAAAATTTTAATGAAATAACAAAGCAGTTACCTTGCTGGATGACCACATTGTCCAAGCGCAATTTCATTTCAGCCCTCTCCACAATTCTTTCTTCTACAGTATTTTCTGTAATAAATCTAAAAACTCGCACTTGTTTCATTTGACCGATACGGTGAGCACGATCCTAAAAATAGAAACAATCCAGCATAAATAATTTTAAAACTTTATAATCAACCCTAATTACTACACATTCTGAAATGGATTATAAACAATAATCAAATCACATAGCAGAGTCAGTATAGAGTTATATTTATAAAACAAAGACTGATGTTTCCATACCATGGCCCATTCTGAAATGGATTATAAACAATTATCAAGTCAGATAGCCGCTTTAGTAGAGTCTGTATAAAGTTATATTTATAAAACAAAGACTAATGTTTTCATACCATGGCCTGCAGATCAACTTGTGGGTTCCAGTCAGAATCAAAAAGTAAGACAATGTCAGCGGTGGCAAGGTTAATGCCGAGGCCACCAGCCCTGGTACTCAACATGAATATGAATTTGGTGCTGTTTGGGTGATTAAAGTCTGAAATAGATTTCTGCAGAAAGAAAGTCACAATGGTGTTACAAAACAATTCTTATTCAGTGTGAGAATATTTGCCTAAATCCCCTTATGAATCTCAAGATTAAAATATTTTTTTTTAAATCCATTGAAGTTTAAACTTAAACAAAATCAAAATGATCTGCGATCTTTATAAAATATTATTGAAAGATTTTCTGCCTAAAGATTTAGAAGTTGATTTATTAATAAAATACCTGTCTTTCTTCATGTGGTGTCTGGCCATCCAATCTACAATACTCATATCCTCGCCAGAAACAATAGTCTTCCAGGATATCCAACATTCTTGTCATCTGACTGAAGATAAGAACCCTGGAGTCTAGAATAAGAAGAGAATGATAAAAAAAATTAATAAATATTATTTTCCAAACTAGGCAATTCATGATAACAATTTAACCCCTAAATTTTTTAACAATAAGCTCAGAGCTTAAAACACATTTCTTACCATTTTCCTTCACTCTTGGCAATAGTTTATCCAGAATAACCATTTTTCCACAGTTCTCAACTAAATGGTAATCTGTTGTGTATGGGGGACCTAAAATAAAACAATAGAAATAAATGCTCAATTAAACATAATTAAAGTTAAAAAATGGAAACAAAAAGTATAATGCATTTTCAACAAATAAATATTGAGGCACTGTACAGTTCATCTTAGTGCATTAATGTTGAAAACATACCTGGCTCCATGCCATCAAAAAGGTAAGGGTGGTTGCAGCATTTTCTCAGCTGCATGAGAATGTTTAGAAGTCTCATCTTGTCAGAGCGACCAGCACCGTTAACAACATCAATATCCTTCATTAAAATTTTAGTGTAGCTGCAATAATAAAAATACTATTGAACAACACTGAGGACATCAAGTTCCTTTAACAAGGTTTTAGTGTAGCTGATATATCAAATTCTATTTCCTATATGTGCTGTTTGTTTGTTAATAGATAGACTGGAGCTGTTTTTGCTAAAAGTATTGAAAAATTATTTTGTGTTTTCTAAAATAAAATTATGAAATGACTACTGTAAATAATCAATGCAAAAAAAAATTTGAATAATTTATTGCTGTGGTGCAGTTACAATTAAGTCAATATTAGAACAACATTTTTAACTAATGTTTATAAAAATTCAAGCATTTTAATGTGCAATGAAAATTTTGCTTTTTTACACAAATTTAATTAATAATAATTTCTAGATTTCTAACTTTGGTATATTTTTAGACCCAAAGTGTTTCTAAAACATTTTAAAGTTGAAAGATGTGGGAGGGGGCTTTTTCATATTTTTAACAATAATTTTATTAAGAGGTTGTAAAACTGTTTGGCAAAAATACTAAGTTTGTAAATAATTTGGTATTCATGTTATGTGAAATGTGCTCTACGTTTATGGGAAATGATTTTCTAAACAACAAATTTGATGTATAATAAAACATTTGAATATTGGTGTAAGACACTCGTTGGCAGCTTGATTTGTTTCTGCCATTCTTTTACTTCAGCCTAACAAAATAGACTTCTGCAAACTTTAAAACTAATTGTTTTGTTTTATTTAGAGTTTGAGAAAATAAATGTTCAAATACACTCACAGCTCTCTTTGCATTTTGCTTAGACCAATAAAAACTTTGGTTTCTTTTTTAGGCAGCAATCTTTTCTCCACATCAGATTTGATTCTTCTGAGTAAAAATGGACGGAGTACCTGGAAAAGGAATACATTTTCCAAACATCAAATTTACATAGGAAAGAGTTAGAGCACTTTAACAAATATTAAACAGCACTTAATAATACAAATGTTGATCAAATAAGCCTAATGAAATAACTAGCAGCAGCTAAAGTGAACTGTTACAAAACTTAACACAAGAATAAATAAAGCCACTCACAGCATGTAATCTCTCAACAAGCTCTTGATCACCAAAGCAGCTGTTCGCATTAAACCAAGCATCAAAGTCCTGCAGAATAACAAGTTTTAGAGCATGAATTCCATTGTGCAAATTAGCTCCTTATGAATGTACTAAATAAGGATGATTGCCTAAAGCAAAAAATGTTTCATTTACCTGAGAGTTGTTGAACACATCAGGCAGAAGGAAATTGAGAAGGGCCCATAACTCATGAAGGTTATTTTGCAGCGGGGGTACCAGTCAGCAGTAGACGATTTGTTGATTTAAATTCTCTTACTATCTCTGACAACTACAACATGAAGAAATACATTATTAAACATCACTTTCAGGATTACTAGACACATAAAAAGAAATTACGTTACATACTTAGCTAGCATCAGTAGGTTAAAGTGGTTTTCTGAAGTTTCCGTAAACCACATTTGTCAATATGTTTAACATATCTTAAGCTAATAAATCTCTTATCACAATTAGGGACCAGCAAATTTTTATTTACTAAATACTGTAACAAGATGTTAAAAATAAAAAGCTTAAGTCAAACTGATCATTAAAGAAAGACAGCAAAAGTAAAAAACATTTAACTTACTTTAGATTTTTCATTCTTGATCCTATGGGCCTCATCAATGACAATGTAGCGCCAATTAAATTTTTTCATGACTGACTTCTCTCTGATACACATTTCGTAGGATGTGATGCAGACATCCCACTCACCTGGTACTAACACATCTCGGATAAAAGCAGCCTAAGAAAGAAAATGTAAAAAAAATATTTTTAAATTAAAACTAAAAAAAAAAAGATTATTTTATTTTCTGTTGTATCTTGTATAAACAATTGGCAGTATAAACAATTGGCACTCTTATATGGTATCTAGTTGAAACAAATATTATGAAAAAAATTAGATTCTGCAAAAAGAAATTATAACTGTCAACTTAAGTTATTGTATTACAAAAATTGCTATAATCACTGCTATCACATCACAAACTTCTATAAAACAAACCTACCCTTTTTTCTGCATCACCAATCAAGCATACAGCTCTAAGAGATGGACACCACCTCTCACACTCTGCCTCCCAGTTGGCCAAAGTTGATTTTGGACAGATGACCAAATGTGGAGAGGGTATGTTACGGTAATGCTTCATATATCCCAAAAGAGATATAGTCTGTAGTGTTTTTCCCAAGCCCTGTAAAACAATATTTTATAATACAAAATAATTTCCTTAAATTTAAAAAAAAAAAATGCTTTGTTAACAATTATCTACATTTTCAAAAAGACTAACCATTTCATCAGCCAAGATACCATTAATGCCATTTTCATATAAAGAAATCATCCAGTTCAAACCCCGAATCTGATAGTCTCTCATTTCTCCTCCTTTAACATCTGTGGGGAAAGAAAACTTAGTTAAGAAAAGGGATTTTTTTTCTGTAGAGTGAAATATAAACCTTCATGAACTTGGTCAAATCAAGTTGACAAAATGTATAAAGTAGCCTACATGAAGGACTGGCTTCAAAACGGAGAAGAACATTTCCAGACTTCTTGGCTTCTGTTAGAAGTTCTTCATCTTCTTCTTCTTCTGTTCTTCGATGGCGATGACTAGAAGATCAGAAAACATTGGAAAAAAAATTCCAGCATTATTATTTTACAATTAATTGTTTTATCAAACCACTTATTAATAAAACTATGTTAAGTCTCAACCATTACACTAATGATACTTACTCCCCAGCTGCCACAAGCTTAGACTTTTCATCATTTTTATTTAATCTGGGTCTGCCCTTCATTTTTAATGGACTGGTGGGACCACCCCCTCCAGCTTGAGCACCTGTCTGCATGAAATGGGCAAACAATTCTGTCTGCTTAAGCAAAAAGTTAAATCTGTTGCTTCTGTCTTTTTCCTGAAAGTATTAATTGCAAATGAATAAAGAGGAATTAAAAAACCAAACAAGTAAACAACATTGATATTTTTAATTTTTTTATAAAAGGACTATAATTATACTTTCTTTGGGGGTTCAGGCATGAAATAACTAATTTAAATCTATTAATGTTTGCAACATACCAGTTTTTCTTCATAGGCTTCATCTTTAGGCCCTGGTCTAGGTGGAGACTTGAGTAAAATGGATGGTCCACTGACACTGGCTGGAGGCTAAGTACATAAAAATACAATTTAAACAGTGAGCTTATGTTGGGTTGTTTTTTTCAAATGTGTGTTCTTTTGACATTTCTTTCGTCGGCAGGCCTAATTTTTTTTAGATCTATATGTGGGGATTCATGGTTTCTTCAATTGCTTGCTCTGAAGAATTTTGTTTTATTAATTTCCTTTGACCAAGTCTATACTCACATATTGTATTGATCTGCAAGGATACCTAGATAAAAATAACATGAGCTGGCCATACTAAATACTAAATTCAGTCAGATCAATAGCCTTTGACCAAAACTAATTAGGCCTTTTAATAATTATTATTAGCCTAAGCTTGTTATTTTGAAGCCTATATGGCATTTAGTGGCTGAATATCAATACCAAAGCTGCAAAGCACAAACATAGAAGTTCCAAAATCAAGTAATGGAAAAAGACTATCAGCACAAACATATAAGTTTCAAAATCAAGTAACAGCTTTAGGTAAATTCTGATACACCTTAATTATTAGCTTAGTTGCTAACTCCTATTTCCAGTAGTCGTTACTTTGCATGCTTTTTTCCCATCCATCGTATTTACTTGCTCACGCTTAAAATTTTAGGAGCTACCAACATACTAACTGAAGAGCGGACTGGTAATTTGATAAGATTAGATTTCTAGATCCAGAAAAAATATTGATTAAGAGTGCCACTTGCAACAACTGGTTGTCAAGTTGAAGTGTCCAATTTATTTACTGACAATCAGATATAGAACTCTATATCACATATCTTATACTCGCCCTAAACTTACTAATAAAACTCACTAGACTCTAGATCTAGTCCTAGAAGAGTGGGGCCTAGATCTAGAATCTAGTCCTGGTGCAACAAACAAATTAATGAAATGCATGCTGTGTACAGCAATTTGATTTACGTCTATTCGTCATTAGTAATAAACTTAATACTCCCTATAGATTATTGGGTAAAATCTTAGTTTAGCGTCGTAAATTCCTACGTAGCTAGTAATGTGCGATGAACGTAACTAATGAATATTTCTTTCATTTGGCCATATTTATGTCATATTTTACATAATATAACAGATAACTGAATAACAAATCACAATCCATTACCAAACCAGTCATAAATATCCTGGAATAAACTTTAAACTACCCCGTTTGAGACAACAATGAGTAAATACAAGCTGCGGCCATGTTTTGAAAACAATAAATTGTCTATTCGTATGTCTTTTGTGTTGATTTTGTGGTTTAATATGATTGTTTTGTATTGTTTTAATATATGCCTGGGGGTCGTCCATAAATGTCGTCACATTCGTAGGGGGGGGGGGGGGGTCCGTAATTTTGTGACGTTGTGTGATGAGGGGGAGAGGGGGGGGGGGTTCAGATGGTGCGACGTCACACTTTTGCATTTTAAAAAAGCAACGTTAGAAAACGAATTTTAGACGTTATTATGCGTTTTAGAAAACTGTTTTAATACATTGTAATAACAATTGATTAAAATACTCTATTTTGACAGAGTTCAGACAAGATTTTGGAAAAATATAGCTGTTTAAAAACAATTCAACTGCAATTTTGAGGGGGGGGGGGGGGGGGTTGTAGGCTGAGGTATGACGTCATTTTAGGGGGGGTCTGGCTTTTTGTGACGACGTGTGACGGAGGGGAGGGGGGAGGTTAAAAAAGCGTGACGTCATTTATGAATGACCCTCTGTATAGTAATTTTTCTTTTTTTAAAATATAGTTGACATGAATGACTAATAGACCTTTTCAGACTTAATAGTGTGCATCCAAGACCACAACAATTGTTGGGAGGTCGAACTTTTGAACACTTTATTTGCAGTAAGCAAATCAATATTAGATCACTCATAAATGACGTCGCTCTTAAGATAGTAATGACAGCGTGCATTATTACAGAGCAAACATATGAACATATTGTTTCATATAGAAATTGTGATTTGTGGTGGGGAGAGGTTGAGTAGAACTCAGCGATGCGATTTTGGAGACGGGTCAGGGTTTTTTTTTTTTCGTGAAAACAGGGGATGGTTGTGGGAGTAAGACCAGCTGTAGAAGTATGACGCGTCATTCATTGGTGATCCATTTTCTCAGTGGGGACGATAGAACTATTAAGAAGGGTCAAAAAATGTAAAAAGCTTGCTGAGTCGCATTTCTTGAACCCCTCCTTTTCACTCCCCCACTTAGCACATCGTCACCGAGTTAACGCTCGCACGTGACGTCATGTACCGGTACCGCCGACCGTTAGGCTAATTTTATAGAAAAAAAACAAAAAACAAGCACTGCCTTTTTGACACTTATGCGAGATTTAATTTGATTACATATGTTGGTGTTCAATTAAACAGCCCCTAACATATCTATCACTCGTCCATTTAAACATACGTGGTTGTTTCTGCAAGCTTGCTGTTTTGAGACTTTCAGCCCTTTAAAAATGTATTAAGCTCTCACCGTATAGAACTAGACTACACATATTAAGCTCCAAAAGAAGCTTGGTGAAACCAGGATGGCCGTCCGATTTTGAAGCTGCTCTGCGCTTTATAAAAAGCACAATAAACGATAAGATGACACTTATATTAAAGTAAATTATAGTTCTGAATCTTGATACATTAAAAGTGATATTCGGAAATTAAGAGCCAAACAGTCAACATATTTCAATTTGAGCCCAAGAAAATAAATTTCCTTAAACAATGGAACGTTACTAAATTTTCGCGCAGTTTCGCGAAATTGAATTATTTGAAGTATTTACGTCATCTTACAAGCGCGAAAGCCTACTGGTACTCTAACGTGGCCCATGCTAATGGCCGTATTCCTAACGCCCCGCATTAGACACGGTTTATTCGTCGGCAGGCATTTGGTGGCAAGCCTTTTTGACGGGGATAATGTGTTGAGGCCGTTTTGCCAAATGTCTTAAACTAGCAGGCTTGCAACATTTGTGATGATTCGTTTTGAGCAAGGTAAACATATACTATTGCTTATTTATTGTTATTTTGATTGAACAAAGCATTATAGAGGTTCTCCATCAATGACCTAGATATTTTCCCCGTTCACCTCCTTTCATGAGACCGACAAGTCATAAATTGCGGAGCCGCCTTAGTTGACGTCACAAATCTTCACTCACTCCCGTAGCAAATCATATGTGACATCATTTATGGACAACCCCATATCACTTATTTGGGCATTTGATTTTGACATTTTGACAACAAAGGATAACCAAAATGTGTCTGACAGGTGGAGACTTGCGATCGACCATAATGACAACACGCACTTAAAGGGTGGAGTGGCTGATAATTTTAGATGATGTTTTACGAGGGAAGCTGGTGGATAATACATTTTGTCTCTCTGTATATATAAATGATGACAAACATTTATTGTTGTCAAAATTATGGTTAGAGAATTTAGATAAGGCAGAGTGAAGCGTAACGTTTTTACATTATGACTAGTTGTGACATCGACAACAAAAATATGATGGAGGTTGGGGTTTAATTAAGGTAAAGAGAACTAAAAAAAAAAAAACTGTCATAATTTACGATAGAATCACTAATTGAAAAGAAAAACCTGAAATGAAAATAGTGAACATTCAAACAACAAGAATAAACTCAAACTAGATCTATATAGTAATAGTAATGATCAAATAAACATTAGTACAAAAAAACTGATTTTATACATGGATACAAGTTGCATCTCACAATACTTCTAAAATTAATAAAGTTGTTTGTTAGGAAATTCAGCTTTTAAAGGGCAGAAATTTTAAAAATGCTTTGTAGGATGGCCTATACAACAAGACAATCATATTTAAATACATTTTCATACGAATAGAAATGAAAGGGAAGCTACTCTAAATAACATTTTCTTAAGATGGCTGCCGTTTTTAATAGCAAATTTACGATCTCGAACAGGGTTGATACATGTTAATTTCAATTTATTTAAATTGATTTAACCATCAATATTCAATGGTGATCTATTATTCAATTATCTATAATATTTTATTAAAATATACGAAAATAAACTCATATTTAAAGAAATATACATTAATTCACTCTCTCCCCCATTACTAGTTTTGGCCGAATTTACGACGCTAAACTAAGATTTTACCGATTATTGATATGCCTCGCCTTATTTTATTTTAATAAGTAGGCTAATAATAATTGTTTTGTATTGATTTTGTGAGTGGGTTGGGGGGGGGGGGAGGTTGGAGAACAACAGAAACAGGAGCCGGGATTTGTAGAATTGTTAATGTGTTGGATAACTACCAAGTCCATATAGATCTATATAAATAGCCATGTACTAATGTTATATCTCACCGAATCCTCTTGCTCTATATCATCAAGTCCATCTAACTCAGAGTCAGACATTTTATATCCAAATTTATATTTTATTTCTAACACAAAGCACCTTTGTGAATGTGTTTAGCGGTATGATTGCCAGATAATAGTCGGTGGGTAATTCTTTCATAAAAGTAATATATTAGTTTGCAGAAATGTTAAAGTTTCTATTCGTTCTTTTAACATTAAAATTTACTTTTCAAAATAAAAATTTATTTTTATTCAGTGATAGGATTCTGACTTTAATACTTCCAATAAAATACGTTTAAAAATTTTTAAGTTGTTAAAAAAAAATATGCCAAACTGACAAGCAAGTTTGGCGGGGATAAGTCGGACGTACCGGAAGCGAATAAGTTTTACTATAAAAACCGCAAGAATGTGATTATCGAAACAAAACAACTGTTGTATGGCTCAATATTGTCAATAATCAATACGAAATGCTCACGTAAGATATCAATTACTATAGTATTTCCAATTATTATTTTACCGTCCACAATTCTAAACAACTCTGTTACGCGTTATGTTTGTGTATAGTCTTTCGAAAATAAAAAAGATTCTTTAAAACTAGAAATTCAAATAACGAGCCGGCCCGCGGCATAACATACGCGGGTGTGGGGAAATTGCGAAAAGCGAAATGGCGAGGCGGGAAAATGCGAGAAGGTAATGCGAGACATACCTGCGGAATTAAGGGTAAATAGCGAGGCACTTTTTGCGAAAAACATTTTTTTTCTTTTTTTTCCATCTTTATTTGTTTCAATTATTTTTTAAAATATTTTTAAAATGAACAAGCACTTAACCATACCCTTTAACACGAGTGTTGTATGTTGTTATTTTTTATCTAGATACTAAGAAGATAGATAGATCTATATCTAGATCTATCTATTTAAAAATCCTAACATCGTTGCTGTGCTACTGTCATCACCCGCTCTTGTTAGCGAGAGGAAAATCCCGTCTCAGTCGGCATTAATTTAAAAATCTAGCCCGTTCATGTTTATACAAACGTGAGCTGTGTCATTGTGAATTGGTATAATCTTGTCAGCAGGAGAGATATTTTGCAACATCTATTTATGGAATTTTGTACTTGCAAAAAGTGTAAAAGTATAAAGAATTCTAAAAAGTGCAATTTATTTTTTTATTAAGTAATTTTAATTACAAACAAAATTTACAAACAAAATCTTCTGAAACAGTCCTCAAACACACCTCGTGACACCATCTTTCACACATAGTACACCCAACCCAGTTCATTAGACTCCCATTTATACATTTTTCTTTTGCTACTTCTTCCAATCCACATTCACAACATTTCACATTCTCATCACAGTTGACCTCCTCGTTCATCCCACAAACAACACTGGCACCCATGTTCTCATCATCATCATCCGCACGCTCAACATCTGTTTTCCGTTTTTTATAATTTGTATTTTTTCTCATTTCTGTAATTTTGGCAATGTCTTGCTCATTGTTGTCACCAGCAATTGAGTTTTTTTAAAACATTGATATTTTCCCAAAATCTTGTCTAATTTCGGTCAAAATAAAGTATTTTAATCAATTCCTATTACAATGTATTAAAACAGTTTTCTAAAACGCGAAAAAACGTCTAAAATTCTTTTTCTAACATTGCTTTTTTATAGTGTGACTTCACATCTACCCCCCCCCCACCTCCTCCCCCTCATCACACATCGTCATAAAATTACAGACCCCCACCCTACGAGTGTGACGTCATTTATGGAAGACCCCAAATAACACCACCACCAAAACCAAAAAATTCAGATAAGTTCAACTTGGTTTTAAAAATATTTGAAGTAGGCCCATAGCTTACGATATAGCACGAGCAACTGATAATATCGGTGACGTCACTTTATTTTGTATCCAAATGATGTAGGCATTTCCTTGTGCTTAGATTTATATGGTAAAAAAAGCTAGAAAAAAATCGTAGGCGGCGGCTATAATACAAAATTTCTATGCAACAATAGAAAATATGTTTGCGGCGGCAGCGGATCCGGGCACGGCGATCTTCAAAGACGGTAAATCAGGCGGCCTCGGCGTTCCACACAAAAGACAGAAGTTGATCTATCGTCGGCGGTATTTCCGTCGGTTTCGAACAAGGTGGTATTCTAAGTCGACACAAAAGATGGGGGGGGAGTTGACAAATCATCAGTATGTCTAGCGACGGAAAAATCGGAAGTTTTAACAATGTAAACGAAACGTCTTTGAAGTCTGGACCAAATACCACTGAAAATCGGGTGCGGTAAATTTTTCGCAGAAATCTTCGCATTTCAACACCACCCAGCGTAAGTATCGGCTTGTGGTAAAATGCGAGACAAAAAAGTCACGTGACCGACCGTTTTCGCGCCCTTCTCGCATTTTCCCGCCTCGCCATTTCGCTTTTCGCGTCTCGCAATTTCCCCACACCCAACATACGCCGCTATTTAGTTGTTTCTAATTTTCAATAATTCATAATTTGTGAATTCGACATTACCAACGCTGACACTGAAAATATTTCTTTAAAACACTATAAGTAGCTCGTTAAGGACCATAACCCCCCCCCTTCCTTCCCTCCCCCCCCCCTTCCCCCCCCCCCCCCCCCCTACGTTTAAAATCGTTGGCTCTGCTTGTAAACATTTAGAGTGAACACAGCTCACTAAAACCATGTAGGGGTGGGGAGGTAGGGAGAGCGTTTGCAGCTTGTTTTCTAACGGCTCGAAGAAGAGAATTATATATATAGATGTACAATGTACGCGATTCATTAAGAAGGGGAGAAAATAACAGAGAGAAATGTTAACTAACACAGCTCCAGAGTTATCTCCTTCGTTTAAACAAATAGACCTAGAAAAATTAGCATAGGCCTAGATAGACTAGAGTCTAGGACCTAGCCAAGTTCGAAGAAAAAAATTAAAGGCTAACACCTCCATAATTCTCAATAATCTTAAATGAAATTGTGATCTTAAAATTAACATAAATATAAATAATATAATAATTATAATTAATGTGCACGTTATCCTGCCTCATTATCAATGAGTTGACCGTACCCAAATTTTTTCACCAGTTTTACGCTACAGTGGCTCTCTTTTTCTAGATCCCAGATCATTCTCTGATATTATTTAATGTAAGCGACTTCTTCGACATCTGTTAGTGTTATGGCCTTATGTTTTATAACACTCAAACTAATTGAACCGTTGTATGCTAAAATAATGCCCATTAGTGGCAAATGTAACGAATTTAAGATGCAATAGGAGCCGTCCACGAATGACGTCACCTAGGACATGTTGGATGATTTTTACCCCCATCGTCACAAGTCAGTCCCAGACCCTTTTGCCTCTTCCCCCCCCCCCCATTCCCCCACCAAATTGATAGCTCGAAGTTCCACCCACCAAACCATACCGACTTACTAAAAGAGTATCTAGATCTGGCTAATAGTAATAAAGTAGGTAACTAATTTTTAGCGCAATTTCCATTCTGGAGAATTGCGTTTATTAACCCGTCATTTCTGGATGGATGGATGAATGTGTGTCCGCAGCTTTAAGTCGTATCTCCTCCTCAACGAAGCAATATCGAGGACTAGTTCCAAAAGCAATTATGTTAAGCAAGTTACGAGGATGAACATAGGCCATAAAAATTCCGGGTTTCTTTCATGGATTTCCCGGAAAAGCCAAAAAAACCTCGAAAAAAAGCAGTTTTTGGCCCATATCTCGACAACCAGACCACTTAGCGACTTCAAACATGTACCAATCGATTTCTGCCATAATTTAGAACAATATTGCCGAAGAAAGTTTTCAAAAATATCCTTTCGTTCGGTCACAAAAAAAATTTTTGAATTATTTAAAATTTGGACCGAATTAGTAGGCATTTTTTCTAACCACACCACACGCGTCATCACGTTCAATAGCTGCGCCATCACGTTCAATGGCTGCGTCATCACGTTCAGTAGCTAGGCGCGCAATGGTTTTTAATCATGTAACTCTATTGTAAATAAAACATGTATTTTAACCAATGGTTTTACTAACCCTGCTCTTGATTTACGCTACGACAGAGCTATTTTTAGATAACATAAGGAAATTGCGCTAAAATTGTCACTAGACTTTTTAATTACCTTGTTTTTAATAAACCATCCCCACTTCACTTACCCTTTCTTCCATACAGGGGTCTATAGGAAAAAATCCCGGTTGCCCTCCTGGAAAATATATGGAACGGTACTGTATTAGTCCTATTAGTGTTTTGATTAAAATAAATTGTCGGGTATTTTATCAATAATTTTCAGACTTTCGTGGAGGAAAAATGTACAATGAAAATTTCAATCTAGGATTGAGGACTCATTTTAAAATTTCTTGGGCCTTGTGGACACATCCAGTCCACTCGTGCCTCCACACAACCACACCGATTCTTTCATAATATAATCCAACGCACAACCACTTCTCAGTATACTGTAACGGCTTACGCAAAATTCTAACCATGAAGACCTATAGAGACCCACCATTTTTTTTATACATTAATACGTTCAGTTAAGGTATAGGTCAAGTTCTTTAACTTGAGCAGGGGCCAAATTAGGTCAAAAAAGGCACACCCCTTTATTTCGACGCGTCACCGTTTGATTGAGTAAAGGGAGGGAAGCACGCTGTACTGTTAGCAACCGGTAAGAAGAAAAAATATGGCTCCGGATTTTACCAGATCGAACAGCTTCTAAGGTATAGGCGTGGATAGAATGGGGGTGCTGAATTAAACACGAAATGGTGACGTAAATAATATTATTAAGTTTTTTAAAAGGTAATTTTTAAGAAGGAATACTTTAAAATATTTTTTAAAATAATTTTTGATTGTCGACAATACATTTGCATGTAATCGGCCCTAAATTATTTGTAGCAGTGTAAGCTATCACGGGTATCAGCATCGTTTTACAATAATCATTATGTTGTGTATTTGGCGTGTAACATAATAAGCAACCTACTGTCACATATTTGTTTAAGTTTGTAAAATACACTAAAATTTTAAAAGTGCTATCATATTAAAGTAGCTTGAGACTAGGTGGTTGGGTGGTAGAGCGCACGACTGCGTACCCGAATTCGGATCCCGAAACTCAAGCAGGTAGGACATCACTGAGTCCACCCAGCACTGATGGGTACCTGGCTCGGGTAAAGTAAATGCGGCTGGGCATAGTGCTAGCCACACGAATCCTTTATATGCCTCAAAGATAGTGTTTCTTTCGGGTATCGCTTCGGGAGGGGGGGGGAGCACTGCCCCCGAAACGAAATAGCATTTATTTAGAAAATATATCGTTTAACCAGTGTGTCGTCGTCCCCCTCCTGGAGAAATAAGTGTGAAAGAAACACTGGTCACATAAGCAGATGAACTCTATTTCATCTGTCCCATGGATCGCTATGTCTGAAAGGGTAACTTGACTTATATTACAGCTGAAAAAATTGGGTTACTGATTTGTGAAACTGCCCCGCCTAACCTATGGGCGTGATTGACAGATGGAGGTGGTTATCGTACTGAACAGTGGCGTCGTTAGGTGGGGTGTCACCCGGTGCGCCACATCACGGTGTCCCCCCCCCTCATTCTTTTTGCTCTGTAAAGTTTGCAGTTGGTGTCACTCTCTCCCCCCCCCCCCCAGCTAAAGCTTTAAAATGTTCACATTTAATACTATTGATGTTTATCTATAGTCGGTTGTTATAGGGCTGGTAAGTAGGTCACCAACCAGTTTTATGGCTCATGCAGGTTTTATTGAGCCGTAGAACTGGTTGGTGACCTACTTACCAGCCCTATTACAGCTGGGTGTAGCATTGTTTTCTCTATAGTTTGCATGTTTACGTCATGGTATCACCACCACCACTTCCTTGTCGGGATCATCACTATGTACTTTAAATACTTTTTAGCTATAATTAACCATTCATTGAACTGGCAAAAAAAACAAAACATATTTATTCTATTTATCTTGGAATTTTTTTTCTTGGTGTCACCCCCAAATGGTGTCACCCGGTGCGGTTCGCACCCCCGGCACCCGCCTCGCGACGCCTCTGGTACTGAACATGCGTATATAGCATAGGACAAGTTGACCCCTATTTCATAACTTGTTACACAAGCATTTTTATATCACATTCATCCTGTTTCACCACAGGCCATTTTTAAATCACTTGCCTGCATCCTGTATCCCAAGCATTTATTTAGTGATATAAATTGTATGTGTAGGCCGATACATTAAGGCGGTTCAGTCACACTCCGGCGAACGAGAAAGCAGTCTTTGTAAAGCAGGTTGTAATCGTTCATACGCAACCATTCCCCCCCCCCCCCATCCTCTTAATTCAACACATCTGCCCTAAAGCCCCACACCATTTCCACCCCCGACCTCTAAATATAAACGACAGTAAAGAATTATCCTAGTTAAAAATAGACATTTCAGACATTATGTCTAACTTTTTGAACTTAGCCAGTTCTATCATAGTTTAGTAAAAACACCCCCATTTGAACTTAGCCATTTCTATCATAGAATAATAAAACACCCCCAACCCAGATCCGCCCTTGCCGTCGCCCGTCTGTCCGCGCACAGATGTTTGTAGTTTTATAAGCGTTAATAAGGTCGCAGCCAGGGGATTATCGATTACGTAACACTGCTGGGCTGGTCAGGCCGTGTCGTAGTCGGTTTCAGTACGATATTCCGCCCTCCAGAGGTAGGTTGGTTGTTTCTTTGTACCTGTTCATTCAAACGTGGATTAGAAATATGAGTGGTTTTCTTCAGTAGGATCATTCTTTCGTATTCTTACTTTGTAAATTAGTTTTAAATTTATAATTTTAATTGAATATAGATTCTTATATGCTCAATTTACTCGTGTGTTCGTTCGATGTAGGCCTATACAATACAATTCAATACATTTTGTTAGTTTTTGAAGTCAGTTTAGATTTAAGTTAGTTTATTATGAGTGTACATCTATATTTTTTTACATATTCAGCCAAAAGCTCAACTTTTGTGTATTCATTTTCCTAACCTAAAAAAAAATTATACAGAGTTATTTATAGAAGATATTTCGCTGGTCTGTGTCATATAGACCCAGGATTTGAATTACGTCACAGCCGATGTATGAAAGAGTGGGGCTGCGTGCGTGTTACAGGTAACTATAGTAGTGTTCAACTGAGTCAGGTTATTTCAGGTAAAGGTTCAGACTCAGTCGTTGTTGGCTTCTGTCTTGAACTGGATCTTTGGTTAGGGGAACGGTTTATATGGGGCGTATGGGGTTGTGTGTACACCGACGTATGCAATATCGTTGGACCCTGAAGTATGTGCTAATATTGGACACTGGCGTATGGGGTTGTGTTTACACAGACGTATGGGCTAATACTGGACACTGGCCTATGGGCTAAAACTGGACACTGGCGTATAAGATAATTTATTACCCGTGAGCCGAAACTAGGCAGTTTATATAGGGTGATCAATGGTATGGGGCACTGTGGTAGACAAGTGTGGGTTTAAAGGTTAGAGGAATGGCTTATATGGGGCGTATGGGTTTGTGTTTACACAGACGTATGCGGTATTGTTGGACCTTGTGGGCTAAAACTGGGCCCTGACGTATGGGATAATGTACTACCAGTGAGCCGGAAATAGGTGGTCTATATAGGGTGATCAAAGGTATAGGACACTGGTGGTAGACAGGTGAGCAGTAGGGGAAAAAAATCCTCTTTAGACCTAGCGATCCATTGGGCAGATGAAGAAGAGTTCATGTTTCTTGACCTCCTCGGTATATAAAGGGAAGGTGTGGTCAGCACATTGCCCAGCCGCCTTTACTTTCATTAACACGAGTTAGGTACCCATTAGAGCTGGATGGACTCAGACGTTTTACTGACTTGAATCCGGATTCGAACTCGAGACTTTCAGGCTAGCAGTCTAGCTCTTGTAGACATGCCTGGGCGTTAAAGTGCGCAGTGCTCACGACCGGACCCCTCATAAGACAATCATACCTCAATGTCTAAGTCTATTGTAGCCAGAATAAATAGCGTGAGACTACCTACAACCGACAGCTGTCATCCCTCTACATCCGCCTTCCAACAAACTTACAGTACTGCTACACTAATATAAAATATGTATAGTATAATTAATTAGATGGCGGCTATTTGCATTTGCATGGTGAGTAATATGTCCCGCAGACACGGTCATGTATTCAATAAACGTTTTAAAAGTATAGTTTATTCATTTCCATAAACTCTTTAACATAAAGCCAGACGGGACCTTGAACATAACTTAACATATTCGCATATTCCTCCTTTTGTCAATAACAACACCTCAACTCCAAAACTAACGCTATCTGATAGCATACCTATTGATACCACATCGGTGAACATGTGGGTTGTCTCTCATTGTAAACAAAAATAAATAACTGCTTCATCTTTATACCTTTACTTTGAAAGCGCAAGATCTAAGCATAACCTTAGCCTTTTTTATTTAAAAGAAAATAAGATTAAAGATGGATACAGTTACTTTTCTTTAAGGTCAAAATAAAGGAAATCTGTAGGAGTATCTACACTATACTATAAATGTTCGCACGCGTGATTTCGTTGTTTAGTTTGACCGCCTTGTACCTATACAGTTTCAGCCTATCCACACTTCTAGCGCACCCCCACTTCACCCCCATAACTCACGCGCCATCTCGTCCTTACCACACTGTAACCTCTATATTGACATTTAAGATTGCAGCATACTTTAATACAGTGATTTTCAACCTTTTTTTTTGGAAGTACCGAACCCCGCCAGTTTCATATGCGCATTCACCGAACCCTTCTTAAAAGCTGTATCGCCCGCACTGACAAAATCCGAGTCGGGTGTGTGTCTTGACCTCCGCCAAACCCCTAGACTGACTCGCCGAACCCCTGGGGTTCGATCGAATCCAGGTATGTTTAAAGTGTCATGGCATATAAGTTTTGAGCAACCTTTTTCCGAGACTTTTAGGTTTTTAGGCTTTAATGGACGTGTCGTCTTTCCTTACGGGGCAGTAAAGGGGTGAACCTGTTAATATAAGGTTCTAACGATCAATATAAAGATTTTCGCCTAAGATCATACAAGGTTATGCTTTGTGTGAAACTGGATTTAACTGGGTAGACCCTGGGTGCTGCTGTTCGCGTTGTATGTCAGGCTGTCTTGTTAAACTGACGGAGTGTGAATATATATTTTTATAGGAGTTTCAACGTGTTCTAAAAAAGAGATTATAGAATACTGTACACATAGCGGAGTGCGAATATTGGGTAAATATGTTGCGGTAAAAACCGGAGCCAGTGTTTCTTTCAGACTTTTTTTACTCCGGGGTAAAAGTATGTTTTTGTATCTTCTATCTTATATATATATATATATATATATATATATATATATATATATATATATATATATATATATATATATATATATATATATATAATTCTCTTGTTGGAGACGTTAGAAAACACCAAGCTGTAAGCGCGCCTAGCAACCCCCTCTCCTTCCTCTCTAGGCATATCCCTACCACCACGACCCCCACATGGTCTGGTGAGCTATGGTTTACGCTAAATGTTTACAATCGCAGAGCCGGGTTTAGTGACGGCTATTAGGGGCAAATAATTTAGTTTGAAACTAAGAGGAGGCTGCTTCGCGGGGTGGGGTGGGGATGGTCCTTAACGACCTACTGATAGTGTTTTAATGCAAATATTTTCAGTGGCAGCATTGGTACTGTCGAATTCACAAATTTTGAATTACTGAAAGTAGAAAATAAAACAACTAAATAGCGGCGTATGATACGGTGCGGGTCGGCTCGTAAATTATATTTCGTTCGGGGGGGGGGGTGAAGATATGCCTGGAAGAAACTTTACCTGGAACGTGTTATAGGCCTACGATACATTGTGCCCAATGTTCTGTTTATTACACTAATTGCAGATGTAGAAGCATGAATCCCAGTGTATAGTGTATGGAACTTGTATGTTTTTGACGATATTCTGCATCGTTCTAACACACTATCCCTAAGACGTATTGAATTTCTCCATTCATGTGTCATAGTTAAGTTTAGTGCCCAAAAAATGTGAATTTTATGTGGCCTAAAAGAAGTAGGCCTATGTCCGTCGTTTTTTTTTTTATTATTTGTTTGGTTTTTTCTTTTTCTTTATTTCCTTTTTCTTTGTGGCTTAAAATTAAAATTTAAAATTAAAATGTGTGTGGCCTAAAAATGTGTCCGTCGCTTTTTTAATTAATTAATTAATTTTTTTTTTAATTTTTAGGCTTTAAAATTAAAACATGCGTAGGTTTTGTGTGGCCTATAAATATGTCCGCTGTTGCTTTTTTTTCCCGTTTTTTTTTCTGGCAATTTTTAATATATATATATATATATATATATATATATATATATATATATATATATATATATATATATATATATATATATATATATATATATATATATATATATATATATATATATATATATATATATATATATATATATATATAATTTTTTTTTTTTTTTTTTTTTTTTGGCTCAAAAATCTGTAAGTTGTGTGTGTCCCGTGTTGCTAAACGAGATCATAGGCGAGCGGTTGTTTTTTACTTGTCTTCTCTCCCCTTGTGCCAACTGTTGATTTTTATTCCCGCGGTTCACGGGCGGGTTGACCTACTTGTCCTTAGTGCACAGGCGACATAGTGTGTAAACAAAGATACTTGACCTTTTACATCACTGTAACTTAGTCAATATTATTTTAGGCCTACATCCACTTCCCTATCCACTCATTATTTCTATTAAAACAATAAGTATGTTGTTTTTGTTTTTTTAAACGCTCTTTATTAGATGGTTATAAAGTATTCAAAAGATAATGTTTTACTTTATAAAACTAAAACAGTTCACCTACTGACCCTAGCGTACAGCAGACACACTTCAAAAAAAAAAAAAAAAAACACACGTTTTTAGTGGGTGCATTGGGCCGTGACGGTTGATTCATAGGCTTCAACTCCAACCGCTAGATACTATTTTTAGACTTCCATGGCGGGTAGTTTCAAGTATGTCCTGTCCTTGCACGCTTGCGTAAGTTATGAACTTAATTTTTTTTTTTTTTTAAATTTCAATTAGTGGTAGAAGTAGAAGGGAGGCGAAGAAGCGGCCGTTTTGAACGCTCAAATAACTAGCATGAGAGAGAGAGAGAGAAAAAACTGGATTTTTATGCAATACCCAATATGCCCCCCCCCCCCCCCATCCACCCAACGCACACATACCCTACCACTACCAGCTCATCTATCTTTCATTGCTACACAACTTCTTGACACTCATCCTCATTTACTACCTATTAAAGGCTATTTTAAACATTTCATGTGATGTATTAGTATGTACTATAGTCCTAATTTCACATTATGTGGTGACAAATCACACACACACACCCTTCCCCCCACACACACCCTCCCCCCCACACACACACCCTTCCCCCCTCACACACACCCTCCTCCCCTCACACACACACACACCCTCCTCCCATCACACACACACACCCTCACCCCCTCACACACACCCTCCCCCCTCACACACACACCCCCCTCACACACACCCTCCCACCCACCCCCCCCCCTCACACACACCCTCCCACCCACCCCCCCTCACACACACACACCCACCCACCCCCCCTCACACACACACACACACCCCTCACACACACACACCCTCACACCACCCACCCCCCCTCACACACACACACCCTCCCACCCCCCCCCCCCCTCACACACACACACACACCCTCCCCTTGGTTGTTCAGTTATTCGCCGAGAGACTAGGTGAGGGAAGGGCAACAAGACGGCGGTTTGTTTTGGTTTTGTTTTTGGCACGACGTGTTGTGAGTTGGCTTGGGTGTGTGGGTGTCCGTCAGCACAATCCGAGAACGAGGCCAGGCAAAGGGGAGAGCACTTACATCAAGTACATCACAAGAAGGCAAGGTTACGTTTCTTTCATTTTTTACCGCCAGTCTTGTTTCTAGATGTGCATGGTGCACTCTTTTCATAACACGTGTGTACATTTTTCAGCTTTATAATTCTTACTATGGAGTATTAGCTACATGTTACTTACTGATGGCGGATTTTCCATCACACGGATAGCGTGGCGTTGGAGTATTAGTCAAGTAATAGGCCATACAACCACGTTTAGTATTAATGTTGCTTCTCTAGGTAGAACTATAGATTATATGAATGAGTTTTTGTTTTTTTTTTTTAGAATTATATGAATAAGTTATAGTTATTGTTTAAATAATTGTTCTCGAAAAAGCCAAAGGGTACGCAGCGATGATATAGCTGAATAAATTGCTTGTCTTAGAAAAAATTATACATTAAAGTCACTGTTTTCAAACTTTATAACATGAAAGATTTTTAATGCATGTTAGCGTGACTATTAATTTTTAATATTTTCTAAACCCTGTAAATAGCTTTGTCTGATAATTCACACTGTGATATTTTTCTTTTTAATATATCTTTCTAAAATTTACTAAAATCGACAGCTCAGTAATTTTCGTTGCGTTGTCTCCCTTGTATATTTTCCCATATATAAAAAATGGCAGTCTTTGGCAGATATGTATTTAAATTAAAATTTAAAAAAAAAAAAACACATTTTGTTCCAGACAGTATCTTTACTGATTTAGAACTTTAACCAATACAGTATAAAATATTAATTGTAATTGTATAACAGTAAAATATGTGTATAACGTTTTAAATTGCGTTATTAATTATTTTTATTTTTTTACTTTCTCGTATATACGTAGTATAGAGAAAGTATTGTAATCGTGCAAAAAAAAAAAATCGAGATTTTTACAAATCTAGACGTTTTACACCTCACTGATACGGAAAAACATAATTTTGCAATCTTGTCTGTGTGTCTGTGTGTGTGTGTGTGTGTAAACACGATTACTTGAGTACCGTTACAGCTAGGTTGATGAAATTTCATATATAAATATTTTATCAAAATCGTAGATCCGTATCAACTTTTGAGCGATTTCCGATAACCGGAAGTGGTACTTTTTCTACTTTGAATTTTTCAAAAGCCTATAACTTGAGTACTATTTCAGATAGATAAATGAAATTTCACATGTAAGTAAAAGATCTAATTCTCTACCTTCTGTTAAATTTTGAGTAATTTCCGTTGACGGGAAGTACTAATTTACGCTATTTCCGATTTCTCAAAAACGCATCTAAATTTATAAAGTACTAATAATATTGCGCACCATTATGAACATCTTTATTCGGCGTTCGCTTGGTGTGCAATACTTTTTTCTATGAGATTCTATTTTATTTTAAAAAGTTTATGTATTTAAAAAGGATTAAAAATCATAACTATATCCCGAGTTCCCATCCCCTGTTGTTTTATATAAGAATATTCGAGAAAGTTTAGGGGAGATCACTTCCTGTTTATTTTAAACTGAAACAACGCAATTCTTAACAAGGAGTTTGTCGTAAATAAGTTTCGGTAAAATGGCCTAGAAAAAAAATCCATTTACTCGTTATTGGTTCTTATCGATTAGCTGTACATATTTCGTTATCATGGTTAATAACAATGTACACATCTTCAAACCGAGTATGCTGGTATGGCTAATCTACAACTGACAAGTATACCTAATTTAAATGTTCTTAGTAAATACGATGCATTAAATTGAAATCCTATAGGCTACATATGGGACGGAGTTGTCTAGCGGTAGAGAGCTGGACTGCTAACTAGAGGCGTAGCGACCCTTCCCGGCGCCCTGGGACAAACTTTCGATTTTGCACCCCCCCTTCCCCCCTCAAACTTTTGATTTGCCCCCCCCCCCCAAGATCGGCGCCAGGGGACATATGTCCGTCCCCCCCTCGCTACGCCTCTGCTGCTAACCCATAAGTATCGAGTTCGAAACAGGGTTCAAGTCAGTAGACCGTCCCTGAGTCCATCCAACTCTGATGGGAACCTAATTCGTTAACACTTAACACTGATTTTAAAAGATTAAATTAGCATTCAGGGTTTCATTCAAGACATTTTTTTCTTCCGAAAGAGGGGGGGGGGGGATTTAGCTGGTTGAAATGCTTATATGCCTTTTTATATAATTTAATTAAATATAATGCCTGAGAGAGAGAGAGACTGATTACAGTATCAGTAATAGAATTACTACATAGAATGAATTCGTAGAAAGAAAACCGTACAGTCGTAATTCCTCCCCCCCACACTTTTCTGCTACTATTTATAAAATACACCAAAGAACACACGTATTAATGACGTCATATCATAAATTGACGCGTTCAATAAAAGTGTTAACTTGAAGGGTGATGTGTAGCCGCATCACGACGGTATAGATCTAGTGTAAGTCTATATATAGCGTGCTGTCTGGGATATAGGTCAAACTACACTTCCGGGTTGTGTTTAATATTTTTTATAAGGATGATCTCCGATACAGAGTGGATACCAGTTTCACTGAGGCGTTTTAGTGAGTAGAGTTCAAACAATATGTGTGTGTATTTTTTAATGTAATTTTCAATTCATACCTAGCGTTCGGTAGTGGATATATAGATTCTAGTAAGCAGTTTAGCCATGGGCGTAGCGACCCTTCCCGGCGCCCGGGGACAAACTTTCGATTTGCACCCCCCCCCCCCTCCTCGAACTTTTCATTTGCACCCCCCCCCCTCAAACTTTCGATTTCCACCCCCACCCCCCTCAAACTTTCGATTTGCACCCCCCCCCCCCTCGAACTTTTCATTTGCATCCCCCCTCAAACTTTCAATTTGGCGCCCCCCCCCCTAAGGTCGGCGCCCGGGGACATATGTCGTCCCCCCCCCCCCCGCCCCCCCCCCCTAGCTACGCCTCTGAGTGTAGTTGAGTTCACCGGTTTTATTTTACATCTGCTTAAAAAAAGGAGTCTGTACTTTGTTCAACAGATTTTGTTTCCCCGTCCTCGAGTCGAGTACCTTATCAGTGCTGGGTGGACTCGTTGGCGTGATGTGGAACTGAAGTTGAGACTTTCGGGTTGGCAATCTTGTGCTTTACGTCTCGATCACGCCAATTCAACTTCAGTTTCTTCCGGGCATCTCTTCGGGGGAGGGGGGGTGGCTCCCCCGCCCAAAGAAAGTCTACCGCCCCCCCCCCCCCCCCCTTTCCCCGGACGAGATTAAATTTATATAGAAAACAATTTGGAAGAAACACTGTTCAACTTCATATAAAAGCGGCTGAAATAAAATACAATATAAATGATACTATTTTATACTTGGATATATACATATATGTTTATCTCCATATTAAAGTGTTTTCAATTTACTGCTTTAATTAACCAATATTATTTTTTTTTTAAACACAGATGCATTAACTTTCTACAATGCCGAGGTCGACTCCAATGCAATCACTGTACCACCCAGACAAGCAATCATTGAATCAACATCTCATCAACCCAACACCGTTTGATCACAGGGTTGTCTTTCTTTGACCCCCTCCACCATGGACGGCCCCTCACACGGGTCTAACGGCCACCCGGCGGACGATGGTCAGTTCCACCCTGGCCTGTCCACCATTGACGAGAACAAGGTCACGTGTTTCTCTGACGAGGACGAACCGCTGCAGTACCCCAGGATCACCAACAAAATTCTCTCCTCCGTTGACGAGTCGTTTCTCTACTCCAGTCTTGGGAATTTAGCCGAACCGGAAGTCGGCCATAGAAGACGCGCCGCCACCATGCAGAACATTCACGAGAAAGCGAGTTTTTTAAACTTGACTAGCGAGTCGCACTTGGGGAAGGTTTTCCAGAAGGCGTTGATTTATCTAAAAACGGATATGACCTTTGGATCGATTTCCGGGTTAAATACGGCCGTGGTGGATCAGAATTATGATAAAAAGATTCTCTTACCAGAAAGCTCTTCAACTGACGTCATAGCCAGCGGGAAATATACAAAAAATTTGCTAGTGGTTGGGCTGACGACGACGCTCCTGTTCATCGCGTTGGGTTCGGTTCGGAATTTACAGAGTAGTATGAACCATGAAGACGGCGTGGGCGTCATCTCTACGGCTGTCAGTTTTGTGGGGTACATGGTGGGGAGCGTCTTCAGCCTCTCCCTGGTGCAGATCTTCCAGCCCCGGAGCTGCATGATCGCCGGGATCGTCCCGCATTTTGTCTACGTGGCGGCCAACGTCTACCCCGCCATGTGGCTCATGGTGCCCGTGTCAATGTGCCAGGGCGTCGGCCTGGCCGTGTTCTGGAACTCCCTGAGCACCTACGTCACGCTTCTCGCGAGAGGTCGCGCCAAAGAGCAGAACGAGGTTTTCTCCGTCGTTTCGGCAAGATATTTCGGTATCTTTGGTCTTTTCTTCCAGGCTTACTTCATCATCGGGAATCTCATCTCCTCGCTTGTTTTATCATCCGGGACCCCCTCGCCCGATCTTATCCTTCTACCCGATCTGTTAAATTCAAGTTCAATAAATATAACAAACTCTCTACCCCATCACATTACAAGTTCTTTCATGACATTACATGAGAATCTCTCATTGAACGCATCAGATGACTACACGTCAGAACCCGCCCATATTCAGTCGTGTGGTAGTAGCTTCATGCCACACGACGACCTCGGCGGCACCTCCTTCCACATCGACGCCCACACTAAATACCTTCTCCTGGGCATCTACATGGCCTCCGTCTTAGCCTCCATGGCGCTGGCCGTCGTCTGCCTAGAAAAACTCAACCCCCGCCTGCTCGAGTCCCCCATCTCCCGCCTGGAGCGGGTCAAGACGCAGCTCACGTCTCTGGTCAAGTTCAGCACGCGGGTTCGGTTCCTGCTGCTTTTGCCGCTGATGGTGTTCTCGTTTATGGAAGTTGGTTTCGTCACTGCCGACTTCACCAAGGTCAGTTATTTTGTTCTATGCTAGTCTATATTTTATATTAGATGATATTGTCTCCCTTAGACGCTATTCTTATGGATATGGTGCACCATAGCTGATACATAATTTTCATCATCTTTTCCCTTTTGTGCCCAAGACAGATGGGGCTGCGTACATAATGGCATTCTAAAAAATAGTGTCAAAATTTGAAATTCAGAGTACGAAATAAATCAAATTCCATACGTTTCCTTTCCTATTCATTCTATTTAGTTTTTGTAATTGATAAGGTGAAGCGTTACGCAAAATAACAATTGTTATTGTTATTTCTGGGTTACAAATTTTAAAAATGTCATTCTAGCTTTCCAGTCTAGAAACTCCACGCGTTTGCAATGCCTTGGAATGTAGCAATACACGTTTCACACCTCATATGCAAACAACAGGGATTAGTATTTTTATGACGACGTATCGAGTTATTGCCCTTCTCAGTAAACAGACTAACTTTGACCACAATTTAAGAAAACTTTAAGTCACTGAGATCGTTCATAGTCGGCTTTTAAAAATGTTAACAATTCTATCATGGTGTTGTAATCAATATTTTCCCACGTTTTCTTTAACTTGCTTTCTCTGTGTCTTTCTGTGTTTGTTTGTCTTTCCAATCCAATCTTGCGATCGAAATTTCTGGCACTTCCCAGTTAGCTAGCGCGCTGAAATTTTCAGGGAAGCTTTGTTTTGGATGACAATTGAATATTCTATTGTTTTTATTACTAAATTAATCCATGGAAACATTTTATTGATCATTTTAGACCGCTATATAATTGTACCAAAAAACGTGGGGGAAAAGGGACATTACCCAGTAACTGTAATTTGATGAAAACAAGGTTCGGCACTCCCCCTCTTTTTGCTTACTGAGTAGTTGTCACGCTGTGTTTGTGTACAAACAACCATAACGTAACAACTGGTGGCCAGTATGGGGGAGACGATATGGTCGAGTGGTTGGGCACACGATTGCTATCCCACTCGACACGGGTTCAAATCTATGTGTTCTAGTCAGTAACGTATTCACACAACGTGTTTTTTACGAGTTGTCTTTTTACGAGTTGTCTTTTTACGAGTTGTCTTCGTTTACCCAAAAAAAAGTGAAAAGATAAAATCGATAGCAAGATTTACATGCAAACAAACAGACAAACACTAAAAAGTAGAAAATAATAATCATTAAAAAAGTTTTAAAAAACCCACGTTTTCTGATTGAACTAAAAAGTAGAAAATAAATACTATACATCACAATAATGCAAGCGATCACTCTACTATAAGCTATCAAAAACGTGGGGCGCCGTGATTTTCTTACAGTTTCTAATACTGTTGACTCTCTACAAGCTCCCTAATAAGTCAATAGTATTATCTAATCAATAGTAATATAACTTTTACTTCGGCGACCCACGTTTTTGATAGCTTATAGTAGAGTGATCGCTTGCATTATTGTGATGTATAGTATTTATTTTCTACTTTTTAGTTCAATCAGAAAACGTGGGTTTTTTAAAACTTTTTTAATGATTATTATTTAATCGAAACAAATACTGGGAAACGGTTGCGGGCGTGTGTGATTAATTACGTTTTGTTTTTAAATTACTTTTTTTTTTAAATAATGAATCGAATTGTGCAGGCCTACGTGACGTGCGCCCTTGGTATTCACATGGTCGGCTACACCATGATCTGCCTGGGGGTGTGCGGGAGCCTCAGCGCCTACCTCAGTGGTCTACTCACCCAGCTGGTGGGGCGTGTCCCGCAGATTTTATTTGGTAAGGTTCATGATGGTAGGGTGACTGACGTTTTGATTGATCATGTATATGTATGTAAGTCACACACACACACACACATATATATATATATATATATATATATATATATATATATATATATATATATAGGCCCTACAGATACATATTTATGCATATACATACATTTATATACAGCCTTTCTTCCAGGCAACTCTTCTCTTTGCCCCCCCCCCCCCCCCCCGAAAAAATTCTACCCCCCCCCCCTCCCGAACGAAATGAAATTTATATAATTTATATAGAAAAAATATACTTTTAACAGTGTCCGCCCCCCCCCCCCCCCCACGAAAATTTCAAGTGCCCCCCCTCCGGAGAAAAAAAGTCTGGAAGAAACACTGTTTATATATGTGTTTGTGTGCAGGTAAGACCTACATTGGCTACTGCGTTTCTGTTGTTGTTTTTACATAGCAGCTTTAGTGTTTTTTAATTGCTAATTACCTTATTGACTAAAACAGTAATTAACGCCCACAACTTGCTCTAGTTAGTGTGTACCACGTTGGGTTAAATTTTACTATAGAGGCGACAGATTGATGTGTTTTTATAGGTGATCTATTTATAAACTATTGTGTTCCGGTTGGAACTAGTTTTTACCAGCACGTTGGAGCTCAAAAACGATATTGTTGTTGTCGTTGTTTTTTTTAATGGTGTTGTTGTTTTGTTTTGTTGTTTTGACCTTTGGCATCCATCGTCACGTAAAGCTATTTTATGCTAAGACGTGGTAGTAGTCCTGGAAGTGAATGTGGTTTCCGTGTCAAGGTCAATGGGTTCATGAATTTGAATGGGTACCCAGTACTAATGAGCCTCTGTCCGGATCTCCATTACTAATGGTTCCATAATTTGGTGCCTAGTAATAATGGGTCCATGATTGGGTACCTAGTACTAATGGGAATGGGTGCCTAGTACTAATAGGTCCATGATTGGGTTCCTATTACTAATGGGTCCATGATTGGGTGCCTAGTACTAATGGGTCCATGATTGGGTACCTAGTACTAATAAACCCATGATTGGGTGCCTAGTAATAATGGGTCCATGATTGGGTACCTAGTACTAATGGGTCCATGATTGGGTACATAGTACTAATGGGTCCATGATTGGGTACCTAGTACTAATGTGTCCATGATTGGGTACCTAGTACTAATGTGTCCATGATTGGGTACCTAGTACTGATGGGTCCGTGATTAAGTACCTAGTACTAATGGGTCCATGATTGGGTACCTAGTACTATTGGGTCCATGATCGGGTACCTAGTACTAATGGATCTCTAACCCAATACCCGGTACTTTTTGTATCCTGGAATCATCCTGTGAAGAGATAAATACAGAAAGATGGCGATGTTTTGTTGTTAAAATAATGCTCTTCTGAGCTCGTTCTACAGCTAATTGTAGTTTAAATTCACGATCAAACCCACTTCTTTCTTTAATAAATTAACCGCCCACCTTCACATTTTAGATTTTACCTGTTTGTGTTACCGTGATAACTAAACGACTATGTACAAACACTGTTAGCATTTTCACGTGTTGTGATAATGAGGTGACGAAACTTAATTTATCATCGATGTAAAGATTTCACATTGTGTTACAAATGTGATTTCGAAGCCACTGTTTACCATCAATGTATAGATTTCACATCTTTGTGTTAATGAGGTTACAAAGCCACTGTTTACCGGGAATGTTTAGATGTCGAATGTCTGTGTTAATGTGCTAACGAATATGACATCTTTGTGTGAACGTGGTACCGAAACTTTTGTTTACCATTGTTTTGATGTCACATGTCCGTGTTAATGTGCTAACGAATGTTTACCATCCCAGCTGTCAGTCTGAACCTCGGTGTCCTTGTCCACATGATCTACTGGAAGCCCTCTCCCGATTGGCTAGTGCCATTTTTTGTTGACCTTGGCCTCTGGGGAATCAGCGATGGAATCTGGGTCAGCCAAGTTAACAGTAAGCCATATAAATATATTTTTTTGTCGATTTTCAATTTTTTTTCATAACGTTTTTGTTTTTTTGTTTCCTTGGATTACTTTACACAATTATTTTTCTTTTAAAGAAATCGTTTAATTTTTTATATTAAGAATGAGACCTATATCTAGCCGCCCAACGCACACACACACACACCTCAGCCATTTTTCTCAGTCATAAGCTGTCACTCACACTGTCTGACCAAATGTCCTACCACGTCAACTAAGACAAGTGGTCCCAGACAGCTAAAAAATTATTCATCTGCAATTTTAAAAAAAATACTGTACGTTTTACTTGTCATTTATCTTATCACAAAATCCTTATCCTTTTAGAGAGCGGTTTCTACCGACTCTTTCCCTATATCCGTATTTTGACGAAATATTCACCGTATTGATAAGCTTCTGCTTCTGAATCAAATAACTTCTCCTTCCATTCATACCTACTACTGCACTTATCTCTAATTGATAAAATCTTGACTCGCTTCATCATTCGGCGCTTTACTGTCTTGTTCTTGCATTAAATATTATATTTTGGATGGATGGTGGGTGGATGAAGGGATGGATAGAGGAAGGGGGCCGACGGACGGACAGAGACAGATATAGATGTGTCTACGTTCTAACCTTCCCCCTCCCCCGTCCGTGTACAATCGCAGGTCTGCTGAGCGTCGTGTTCCCCAACCACTACGAAGAGGCCTTCGCCTTCCTGAGGATCGCCCAGGGTCTGGGCAGCGCCATGGCCTTTGGCTACTCCAACGTGCTGGGGATGATGTCCAAGATCTACATCACTGGCTCCATCTGCCTCGCCGGCGTCACGGGCTACCTCATCATGGAGTGGAGGCTGCGTCGCTCGGACAAAAAGAGCTCCGGCATTTTGAGAGAGACGACCATTTAGTTTCATATTTCTCTCGTTTAATTTTAGATGATTCCTAGTTTTAAGAAAGCTGTCATTAGAGCAGTTTGAAAGAGACGACCATTTAGTTTCATATTTCTCTCGTTTAATTTCATACGATTCCTAGTTTTTTAGAAAGCAGTCATTAGAGCAGTTTGAAAGAGACGACCATTTAGTTTCATATTTCTCTCGTTTAATTATAAATTATTCCTAGTTTTTAGAAAGCTGCGATTAGCCTCAGTACAAAAGCATCAGCAGTTTGAAAGAAATGACTATTGAAAAGTCTGATATTTTTATCGTTTAATTTCAAATTATTCCTAGTTTTAAGAAAAGCTTTTGTGATTATTATTCTTTAGGGATCATTTATTTAACTTTTATGGATGAGGGAGTGTTCATTGTATTAATACATTTTAAAAATAATGTTCCTTCTATATCCAAATTAAGCTATTTGTACATAATAATATCATAGTTTGTACAGTAAGGTTAACTACAATGCAATCTACATGGATACTTATTTTAATGATATTAACAAAGCTGTACAATTTTTCTTAAACATGTTCATTAAGTTACCGTTTTAATTTGATTTTAGTCTGTGGTAGTGTGTAGGACAGTTTGTTGGCTTGAATGTTTTAACAATTTTTTTTTATAGATCTTATGGAGTGTCAAAATAACACTGTATGGTGCCTGTTTTACATTTGTTTAGGTGGGATTATTTTTGCCCTTTTGTTTGCATAAGAATTGGTACTTAAGTGTTTTTACAATTTGAAGAACATGACAAATAAATGACATGACATAAGTGACGTCACGCATATGACTCAACTAAAATTTTTGTGACATTATTTACACACAACCTCCCCCCTACCTCCCTCCCAACCAATCGTAACGTTTGGAATATATCATGTTTTAAAATATTTAAAATAATTTTTTAGGTTACATGTTTATGTTGAACATCATCCAAATTTTTTTTTTTAAATGGATTCTATGGTCTTGTTAAAATAATGACATTCCCGCTGTCTCTGTTGTCATATTCAGCTTACAACCACCCCCCCCCCCCAAGCTCTACTATGGTTCAATGGTTCATCACTGTTATTATTTTACAAATAAACATTTCATGTATGATTCATATGGCAGGATTGTTGTACAAATGTGGCTTCTACATTAAACCCTTTTTTTCATGATATGTAAAAAAAATGATGTAAAATACTGACTTTAAAATGACATTTTACTACTAACGTACATGTATTATGAATAGTTTTTAAATTATGTATTAAGTTTTTTAACATATTTTGGTTTATTAAACAATGGACATTTTTTGTTAGTGCTTTATCAAGTTTATGTTGTGCTTAATCTGTTCAGTTTTGCACCATTAAAAAACTGGACACTATTGAAACTTTTTAAAAGCAATTGTTGGTTGAAAAGACAGGTTTTTTTTTTAAAATGACAATTTTTTCCTGTGAAATTACATTTTAATTAAACTATGACTACGACATGTTTCATTTTTAAATAACAAAGTTCACCCATTAATATCACAAGTTATGGTTTGTCTTAATAATGACTAATGTCACCTATAAAATTTTCAGCTTTAAATAGGCCAATCTGGGTAAATTGAATATTGACATAAATGTGTAATAAATTGATCTCACATAATAAACTTTTCAATTTAGGATCCAAAAAATTGTATACGCATATTATTTTTATAAATTTTTTTTTTTAAAATCACTTAATTAAATCTAGTGATTTTCTTAGAAAATAAATCCTTTATTATTTGTCTCATTACTCATAATTATAATTTTTTCATCACAAAGTAATTATATCTACCTTTCAATTTAGCCACTTGTAAATTTGTGTCGGTAATTATTTTTTTACACTATATTCTGTTTAATTTGTTGAATACCTTGTTCCCATTGATATTAAACATTAAACTCTAAATTATCCAATGAGATTTTATTAGAATTTTTATACTAAACCAATATAAAAAATTAGTTTTTAGTTTCTTAACATATTATTACTAGCTACCCATTACAAAGTAAACCTATATTTTCTGATGCACTAACAATAAAACTGAAGTTTACATTGAAAGAGTTTCAACGAGAAAAATTGTGAAGGTTAATTTAGATTGTCCACCCAGCTCTGATGGGTACCTAACTCACTGTAGGGTAAGTAAAGGCGGCTGGGCATAGTGCTGACTACACTATTCCTTCATGTGCCGAAGTCACAGAAACAAGTGAACTCCACTTACCCCCGTAGACCATCAGGTTTGAAAGGGAACTTACTTAACTTTCTACAGGTTATGAATAGCGTTGCCTGACATTCAACCAGAAGACTCCAAGGGCTTCCCTGGAGAAAAAAGTCTGAAAGAAACATTGAACGGCCCTACTAAAAAAAATCTCTTGTGCTGTTACACAACAGCTGCCTGTGTATGGATTATTCTAGATGTGTTACAAGGGCATGGTTGAATCCAACGCTAGGACTTGAAATTTTTGCTTAATAAACTATGACACTGTTATTGTGTGTTAAACCAAATGTGCGGCTGTTAAAATATTCTGGCTAAATGTTATATAATTTTCCTTGGAGTAAGCACATCACAAAAGATGGGGGGGGGGGGGGGGGGGGCAAATTTATAAATAAATGCAACGTCATATTTCTCGCGTTGGCAGTAACAGTGTCAAATATATACCTTCAAAATAGTTTCTTTTATGCATCTCTTCGTGGGGGGGGGGGGGGGACTGCACGACCTTCACCTTTACTCTACCCTTCCCGCCCCCCCCCCCCCCCCCCCATTCCTTCAAAATAAAGAGAAAAAATATATAATTTATATAGATAATATATACTTTAACCATTCTCTCTCTGCCGCCCCCTCCCCCCTCCTCACTTCCCTTCCGGGAAACCCTTAGGAAAAATATTTAAACGGAACCCTGGAGCAGAGGCGTAGCGACCCTTCCCGGCGCCCGGGGACATACTTCCAATTTGGCGCCCCCTCGAGAGCAAATTTTCGATTTGCACCCCCCCCCCTCGAACTTTTCATTTGCACCCCCCCTCAAACTTTCAATTTGGCGCCCCCCCCTAAGGTCGGCGCCCGGGGACATATGTCCCCCCCCCCCCCCCCCCTCGCTACGCTACTGCCCTGGAGATGTGTTGTGTATCTTTCCGTCGACTGTTATCGCCACAAATGTGTCGGCGAATAAGTGATTCACTTTGCGAACGTCAACAAGTATCAAACATCGTAGATAAGCGGCGGGAGACTAATCTATGATCTACACATTCTAAGCAGAATCTCTACAAGTTCCATCAATTTGACGAGTTAAGGGTGATAATTTCGTCAATAAAAGAAAGAAATATTTTTTCGGCGGTTGTCTACCTTAGCTATATTTTTTTTTTCTTTTATTAAATTCAACAATTTACTTTAATTTAATTTTTTTTTTTTTTTGTCATTCGAATTTTTTAAACAAATATATTACCTTTAAATTTAAAAAAAAAACAAAATTACAACCCGACTTCATGTTTATACGAAAGTTTAAAACCCTTATTAATTATTTAGTACTACACCATGTCACCAAATTTGCGCACCAAAATCTATTCGCACAAATCTAAATCGTTTGGTACCGTTTTAGTGCAGATGGTTGTATAAGAAAGTCGCCATGTCCTAGAAACATCTCTTGAGGAAAGGATTGTGTACATAAAAAGTAGGTTTTGTCATTTTCTCTCCATTACTGAAGTCTATTTAATTAATTGTATGTCATAGCTTAACTGATCTAATATATCTACACTTAAAGCAAGGGTGAATAAGATCTAGAGTATTGGCGTAGTAAGTCTTGTATAGATCTAATATTATATCTAGATTCTAGATCTAGATAGATTTAGATTCTAGATTTATACAGAGCAGTGCTGCAAACAAATTTGGCATCAAACAGTTTGGACTCTGGAAAGGGGGGGGGGGGGCTGAGCTAGAAATTTTTTTATCAGTGTTTTTTTTTTTTAACGAATTTGATTTTAAAAACTTTGTTCGGATTCAATGTGTTTTTTGTTATTATTATTTTATTTAACTTATCACTATTTAAAAAAATAAAGCCTTGCCCTGACTCTAAACTCCAAATATCAGCTCACAACTTTATGATAACAACAATAACGCATTTTGTCCAGTGGATCCATAACCTTATGCCCTATGCAGACCAGTTTTTTTTCCCCAGACATTTTTCTCCTCCGTAAAGGGGGTGGAGAGTTGATATTTCCTACCGGGGGGGGGGGGGAATGAACGACAAAGTATATATTTTCTTTAAAGTCTAATACTTTTTCTATTTGGTCTGGTGGGGAGGTGAATGCAATGCATGAAAGAAACGGTGATATATATATATATATATATATATATATATATATATATATATATATATATATATATATATATATATATATATATATATATATATATATATATATATATATATATATATATACCTGAATATTTAACATCCTCAGGTAACGAGTCTTTTAAAAAGAAAATTGAACCATAAATTACTGGAGCGCCACTAACATCGGCCTTTAACATCGAACCTAGCTCCTCAGCAATCATTCAACATAAAAGCTCACAGCACATAAACAACCAGAAACGTTAGTTCCTGGTTAAAAAAAAAGAAGAAAGAACATCATCACACCTACAGTAAAGAAACAGTGAGATCCTAAGCCTAAACTCTCACCATGTCGGAGAAAGTCGGCGAGATCCCAAGCGACTTCGTGAACCTGATCCTCACCTTCATCCAGCAGATGCTTCTCCTGGCCATCCTGACGACCAAGGAGATCGTCACCTTCTTCCTCGAGTTCCTGGACGCCGTCGTCATGTACATGATGCGCATGTACTCATAGAGACAGCAGGGCCGCAGTGTGAACTTGGAGCCACGGTTCCAGTTTAGAGACATGGGTCATGTTTTGAATTTAGAGCCAGGGTCATTTTGTTTGTGTATCCGTTTAAAAGCTTAAAGGGCAGCTTTTTGTTGTTCGTTTATAAAAAAATAAAAGTTTTGATGGGCGATTTAGTGCTATGGGCTATGCATCGAGTTTAGAGGCAGGAGCCATCTTACGAGTTAAAAAGAAGAAACTAGCTTTAGGTGAAGGGGCTCTTACGAATTTAGAGGCATTGGCAACCTTTTGAGTTTAGGATTAGGGGCTAAATGGTTAGGGGCCAACTGTAGAGTTCACCGGTAAGGGCCATCTTTCGAGTTTAGGGGCAGGGGCTATGTTCAACAAGGGTAATCTTTCGAGTTTAGAGGTAGGGGTCAATTTTCGGGTTTAGAGGCATGAGTCATCGTTCGAGTTTAGAGGCAGATCCGTGTCTCGTGCTTAGGGGTATGTGACATCCTTGATGAAAACTTAACATCACTGATTTGAATAATTTGAGTTTAGTTCTATGGGCTAATGTTTTTTGCTTGAAATTTGACATCAAAATCGCTAGACTCGAGCCCATTAATTGCTTGTATGTTACAAGCACATCAAAATGTCTCTTGTGTAATACTATTAGTAATAGTGTAGTTTGGTCCATCCTTTCGTTCATTCACATTAACATTTCTTGGATACAATATCAAGTTTATTTTAAATGTGTTAGATACATTATTACTAATATATCATCTTCTACCAATGTACTAATGTTATATAAATGTATGTGCAGCAAGATTTCTACAGTATGAGTACTATCAAAGGCTGACCACGTTTTCTTGGGGGGGGGGGGGTTAAAGTCATGTAAATATATCATTATTAAACTATCCCTATGTCCTTTGTAATTTACCATTTTAATAAATTTTATACAATTTTCACAAATATTTTATGTTTGATTTAAGAAGTCTTAGTAGCATCTACCTCATAATTTTTTAATCTAGAATCATCACCTGAATCATGTTTGTGTTGTGTTCTGAGTTCTAGATGACTGCCATCGACTAGTGTGTCACTCAGTTTATTTACTGTCTACGTGTTGTTGAGTAAATCTTAAACTTCTCTCTCTAGCTTTTGTTGTATGAATGTATACAGTAATACTTATTCTATATGAATGCAGTATCATTCGAAGTCTAAACTTTGCAAAAAGTGGCTAGTTAGTTAGCCCTGTTACCTGTGATTTTTTTTTTACTACTGATTTTTAAAGGGACGTAACTCGTGTGTTTTGTTGACTACGTAGATCTTGTATTTAAAAAACAAGAACACCTGGTTATGTTAGATTCATTTTGACGTCGGTGAGAACTGCTCACTTACTCCACAGACGACCCCAGGGCAGGTAAATCATGTACGCGCCCTTTTTTTCAATCGAGAATGCCGGCGGTCATCTAACTTCTGACCAAAAACAAGGTTTTATTTTTATCATAGATTTTTTAAATTGCTGCTTCATAATATTACTTTCAAACAATCTTATATTTTGGGTTAGGGAAATAAAAACCTGAATTTGTTTACAGATTAAATTATTCACAGTAAATCAATTAAATGTAAACTTTTAAAAAAATGTAGGGGGGGTGGCGGCAAAAAGAAGCACGAGTGACTAATTGTTATATATAGAACATGAATAGTTAAACAGTCTAGCAGTCTGGCTGTGGATAAAGAAACGTAGAATATGTTCCTGTGACTCACATAGCTGCCATTAAAAATAGGGTCAATACGCGAACAAGCAATCGATGTACGTTCCCGTCATATCAAAGCAGGTCGCCACTTAATTAATTGACCAAAGCACCTAATTACATGTTGAAATTGATCTACACGACCCTTATTAGTAGGATGCAGTATAGTGCTCAGAAATTGTCTTTGTTTCCTTATATATTTTTAGAAATGTATCCATTGTATTAATTAATATGCCTAGGCTTATAATATTAATAAGATATTGTTGTGGTATAATCTATCTTCTATTGGAATTTTTTTTTCGTTTTTTTTAAGCTGCTGTAACTGATGACTAAGTCGGGCCTGTCTATATATAGGTTAGTTTACAACCAATACCAGCCGTTTGTATGGCACACCGTCGTCTCATTTAAACCGATTTTACTTTTAGTTTATAAACAATGTTAAAGATCCATAATTAAGGAATGGTTTTTTTTAGAAAAAAAGAAAAGAAAAAGTATATGGCCCAACTTTAACATTCTTTGTTGTTTTTTTATTTTAAAAATATCAATATAAATGCAACAGTTTTAGTTACAATATAGTTACGACATTACCATTTTAAAAACAAAACTAAATAGAAATAGAAAATGAACGTATGACAGCTGAATTGAACAATTCAGAAATTTAAATGAATATTAGAAGATTGAAGAATGACTTATAAAAAGTTGAAAGAAAAAAAAAATCTAAACTCGTCAAAATTCTTCTAAACTATAAAAATAGTTCTATCTTTTTCTTTAAAAAATAAAAATAATTAAATAAATAGTGCTATTTATGCACGTACATATTTTCTTAAAAGAAAACAAAAAAGGTCCCCATGATGCAACGGTGCCAGTCTCTAATGGCACTGTGTCATGACCTGTATTTAAACCAGTGCTGACAGATCTAAGGCACACATGATGCCACGACAACAAACGATGTGAAAGAGTTTGACGTGTAGGTAAATCAGAGGCGTAGCGAGGGGGGGGGGCGGGTGGGAGGGAATGGACCGCACCGGGTGACACCATTTAGCGGGGTGACACCAAGGCAAAAAATAGCAAAATATATAGAGAAAAATGATAATTCCACTTAATTAAGTGATTAATTCGAGTATCAAATAGTCTTTTAAGAGGTGCAAATCTTAAGTTCGAGGGGGGTGCACATCGAAAGTTTGAGGGGGGGGGGTGCAAATTGAAAGTTTGTCCCCGGGAAGGGTCGCTACGCCTCTGGGGGGGGGTGACACCATTAAGTGCCGCACTGGGTGACACCCTACCTCGCTACGCCACTGAGGTAAATGGATGTGATACCATTTAATAAAGGTGTTTTTTTTTTTGTTAAGTGTTTAACGAGTCGAGGGATGATCAGCCGTGCTACAGATACAGTTCAATTCAATGTTTGGTTTGTATGCTCTCATCAGAACAAGGCAGTCTAGAATATTGTTGATGTTTTTTTTAAATAATTTTTACTGGTCTCGCGGGTAGATAAGGATGATAGTATTATAATAAGCATGGAGATGAAGATGGTCATTAGGAGATTGTCAATGAGAAGGAGAAGAATTAAAAAGGAAAGAATGAAAAGAAAATGGGAATTAAGAGAATGAGGTGAATGTTTAGAATGGTAATTAGGATTAGAATTGATGGTTTATGATCAGGATGAGGTTAACAATGGGATGAAGATTTGTGGTTGGGGTTATTGTAACGATACCCGAAAACATGTTAAAATTAAATTTAAAAAAAAAAAAAACAAGAGACTGCAAAATTTTAAGACATTGGTATCCATTCTGGGAGCACGTAGTCTTCAAACTTCGCGTCGAACTGGCCGCGAATTTTGGAATCCTTTTCCACGAAATCGCTGTAGTAGACGACTTTCCCCTTGGCGAGGAAACCGGCCCACCAGGAGAAGGATCCCATGCTGATGATGGAGTGGTCCAGCAACGTCAGGACCTTCAGGTCCACCGCGGGCTGCCCTGACTCAGCCAGCATGACCCCGGGGAGGCCGAGAAGATTGCTCTTGCACCAGGCATGGTCGTCAGACACGACCAGAAACGCGACGGACGGGCTGACGTGGTCCCGGAAGTACGTCATCGCTTTTAAAAAATACTCCCGGGGCGCGACGCGGTAGCCCTCGTCGACCGACTTCCAGTGGAGCTTGTCCCCGCGCCGTACGTGCACGCCGACGATGCTGGTGTCGGATGTCGTGTGGTTGTAGGCGAGCAGCGTGTGTTCGATCACCTTCTTCGCCTGGTGCACGACGCCGTCGTGAAACTCCACTAACTGCCGCACCGACTCCAAATTATCCTTGAAGTACTTCCAGCTCTGAAGGACGCCGTCGATGTCGTAGTTCTTGTTGACGTCGAGCTTGAGCAAGTTCTCGTCTAGGCGGCAGCAAGCGGACTCGGAGATACGGACGACGTTCCGGCATTGGTTTTTGTTGCTGCGGACCTGCGGGTGACGCAGAAGGTGGGAGAGGGTCAGGTCGCCCCGGGAGACGAGGAGCCGGTTCTGACCCTGGGCGATGCTGGTCAGGGAGGCGTACTGGAAGAGGAGACTCCCCAGGCCGCCCTCGAACTTGTGGCAGAGAATGTGCTGCCCGCTAGAGTATAACAAAGGCAAAAGAGGTTGTACTTTAGTCGGCATGTTATTTAAATATGTTAAAAATATAAAAGTATAATTATAAAAAGCTCCCGGGCAGATGAGACTTGATAGCTGGGGACAGCAATTCTTCTGGGAAAGTAAAAGTAAAGTTTCCCTTTCAAACCTGACGGTCTATGGGGAAAGTGAAGTAGAGTTCACTTGTTTCTGTGACCTCGGCATATGAAAAGATAGTGTATTCAGCACTATGCCCAGCCGCCTTCACTTAAACCCTTTAGTTGAACTCGGATTCGAGCTCGAGACTTACGGGTTAGCAGTCCAGCTCTCTACTCCAAAATCAAGCAACTGCTGCCTTATAGTTTGTTCTTGGTTGGGCAAAGGGTACGGTAGCAAAACCAAAAAGAAAAGCAGGTTGAAATCGGAGTCAGCGACCTATAATAATATGGCGCATAACAAGTGGACACGTATAGGTAGAACATAGGAAAAAGCGGAGCAATTTAAAAAGGAAAATATGTTACCTGTATGTTCTGTCTGATTTCGGCAGAAACCTGGTGTCGCTGGGCGTGTCTCCTTCCGGGTCAAAGTTTTCAAGGAAAACCGGAAGTGATAGCTTGTAGACAACAATGGTGGTGACGATAAAGAGAATACAGCTTCCGCAGCCTGATGAATGTAGGGGGGAGGGGGGAGAAAAGAGTGAAACATCAGATATACTTTTAAAAAACATCCCGTCTGTTCAGTCTTCTTGGGCATAGTGCTGACCACACTATCCCTTCATATGCCGAGGTCACAGAAACAAGTGAACTCTACTTCACTTGCCCCGTAGACCGTCAAGTTTGAAAGGGAACTTTACTTACTGTTCAGCCTTACAAGGACTATTTTATGTACCTCCGTCTACCTATGCAGCTTTTCTTTGAGGCATCTTTCTGGGTCCCTGGAACACGTCGTCGTCGTCGTCCCCCACCCCCTCCTCCCGACCCCCACCCCCTCCTCCCGACCCCCACCCCCACCGGACAAAATAAAAAATATAAAATATATATAGATTACAAACAAAATATAATCAGTTTCCGCCCTCCTTCACCAAGAAATTTCAATTCCCCCCCCCCCCCCCCTTTCGCAAGTTTCAAGAGCCTCCCCAAAGAAAACGTTTGAAAGAAACCCTGTGCCTGTGGCGTAGAAATAACTCTTTTTTGGTAAGATCACTGAAAAATTTAGGGTAGGCCTTCTTATTCTTCTTCTTCGTTCGTAAGTCTAGTGTTGGAACGCAAATTAAGTATTACGTGTCAACTTGTTATGCGCTGTATAGGCCGTTGACTCCAATTTAGGGCAGACCTACTTCTCTGGTCTATGTAAGGGCAGTAACGACGTTATTAGCGCTGGTATGGTATCGTTAACCTAACTCTAGTGGTATTCTAATTTCTAGCCGTACACAGGTATGCTATTCTGATGTTATCCGACCTAGAGCAGTAATTTGGTAGGTTGATCTACATTCTAGGGATAGGGTTTCAAAATTGTTACCTTGTGCGAGGCGAAGTAAAGTAAAGGAGACAATAGTCAATAGAATTGGGTAATTGTGATTTACTAGATTTATCTTCCCCTGAAGTTGACAGCTGATTGAAGAGTCAATTTATGACTTCTTCCTAAATATTATTTTATGGACAATTAGTATGTAGGACATTACCTCCAGTCTATTACTCTTGGCCTAACACCCCCAACACCCCACCCCCTTGCCTACGCCACTGTCTTGTGTCTAATCTAAATGTGAAACTTACTAAACATGTTTTAAATGTGTTTAGATTTAAACAAAAATGGTATGTAATATGATAGTTTGTGGCCTTAATGAGGTAGGGGTGGATCTAAAAGTAATAATTTTGCGTTATATAATTTGTGCATGGTCCCTTTACATTAAGAAACTGATGGGCGATTCATCATTCATCTTCTTTTATTTTAGACGACAGGTCCTATTGTGTAACTTAAAGGTCAACATTACGTGTGCTTACACTCACCTTTACACTTTGCCCCCATTACAGAAACGCCTATAAATAACTCTTCTTAGGGCTTCGCTCTGTTTGTTGATCCAAAGCGTCAAGTGAATTGAAGTTGCGATTCGATGACAGGGCATGCATTGGTGTTTCAGCAAGACAAATCATTTCCGAGGTTTCTTTCATACCCGATTTAAATATTAGGTATAGTGGTATTATTATTATCATAAAACAATTGTAAAAAAAAAACTTTTAATAAATGCTGCTTATTATTAACTTTATAATACTTGTTGTTTTTTTTTAAAAATAAATTTAAGTATTATGATGTGTTTAACTTCTGCTATATTCTTGACCAGCTCTAAACCAAAGCCATTTTGAAGTTTTAAAACAATGAGGAATGAACTCTCCCAACAGCAAAAGAAAATGTGAAAAACTATCTCCGGCGCTGATTCAGTTGGCTTTGGTTGACTCGAGCGTGTAGAGATGGTACCGATCAATTCACACAAGCACACCCAGGCTTTGTGGTGTAAACATTGATCCACGATAATTACAAAACACTGTCAGGGAAAGAAGAACAAAAAACGAAATGTCACAAAGCGCATGTAGGAGAATTCAAGAAGGACGAGTCCATGTTAACAGGGTGGATAGGATGGTATTGTATGTAGAGAAAAAAAAAACCTACACAAAGAATACGTTTGTTTGTAAGCGAGGTCTGGTTTTCTTTTTACCCATCTAGCCTAGGTGAGTTCGCCGATTATAGATTGGTCTGATAAAAACGCAACAACGGAACGCATTTTGGAGTGACGGCTAGGATATCAGGTTCCGGCTAGGCCTGGGCTAGCACTAGATTCTGGTTAAAAATATCTCCTACTCGCTGTGATTCGATCCACGGACAGAAGATGGGAAAAGAGATATGGACATGAGTCTGATTCGTGCTTTACAAGGATGTCTATTGTACACACATAGTTCACACGTTTCATTAATTGAATGATAATTTGAAATAAAAATATGAGTAAAAAACCGACAACTCGATATTGTTACAACTTGATATCATTTTTATAATATAGCACTATTAGCACATATGTTACAGTCTAGCATCGAGTTACATTATAACTATAATGTTGCAATATAACGTTGATGGCACAATGTAATACCACTGTTACAATAAAACAACAATGTTACAGTATACCACATATATTAAATTATAACACTGATGTTACAATACAACAATGATTTTACAATACAACACCAGTTACAATATAACACACATGCTAAAATATAATAAATGAGAGTACAATATTTTTATTATACCATGTTACAATACAGTGTGACACCTCACTAAAACATGCACCGTATTTTCTAATTGCCAGCATCACACGAAGCACTCTATCCAAGATCTTCTCTTCAGCCAAGTATAATTTATTTTCTGTTTCAAGAATGTAATCAGTTAGCCGAGGAATGTGACCCCCCCCCTGTATAATAGCCGGCTATTACATCACCCATGGACCTACCTCTACCTTTTGTACAGGTGTGCGAGATATTTACTCTGTCACTGTCCGTTTGTGTCTAGACTTGACAACAGTTGGTCAAATATTTCACACAAAGGTGATAGGAAGGTCAAGGTACACTGGTAGTGTGGAATGTTAGAGATTTTCAAGTCCTGGTTAAAGTGTGGCGTGTGTAGGGTTTTAGATCGCCGACCTCAGGGTTTCGGCTTTATGACGAAAACGTGTATAGATACAGAGGCGTAGCGTGGGGGGGGGGGGGGGGGGGCGGGGGTGCGGACCGCACCGGGTGACACCATTTAGGGGGGTGACACCAAGGCAAAAAATAGGAAAATATATAGAGAAAAACTTGAGGGGGGTACAAATCGAAAGTTTGAGTGGTGGGGGGTGCAAATCGAAAACTTGAGGGCGTAGGGTGCAAATCGAAAACTTGAGGGGGGGGTGCAAATCGAAAATTTGTCCCCGGGAAGGGTCGCTACGCCTCTGGGGGGGTGACACCATTAAGTGCCGCATCGGGTGGCACCCGACCTCGCTACGCCACTGTATAGATATACATGGATTTAAAAGCATAATAAACGCACAAACACTCATGTGCATACACACGCACACCCATATTCATATGCACACACAAACATGTGTGTATGTGTGTGTATACATATACTTACGATGTATACAGACACACTCATACCTACACACCCACACACATATTGTATGTATACAATGTATATATACACAAATTCATATGCACACACAGACATATATATGTGCAGGGGCGTAGCGAGGGGAGGGAGCTGGGGGTGCGGACCGCACCGGGTGACACCATTTAGGGGGGTGACACCAAGGCAAAAAATAGGAAAATATATAGAGAAAAACTTGAGGGGGGGGTGCAAATCGAAAACTTGAGGGGGGGGGGGGGTGCAAATCGAAAGTTTGAGGGGGGGGGGGTGCAAATCGAAAATTTGAAAGTTTGTCCCCGGGAAGGATCGCTACGCCTCTGGGGTGTGACACCATTAAGTGCCTGTGACCTACTTAGGTCTAGTCATGTTTTATTTTTGGTTTGACATTGTATAATACCTTATATGGATTGATGGTGCAACCACCGGGTTTTTTCCACTGTCTTATTAAGGGTGTCTAAGACTAAGAAATTTTCCATCAAGATCTGATTGATTGATTCAGATCAGATGACCACCCCAACCAATGGCTACATGAGTTGAGGATAACCTCCCCTGTGGCCTAAGTCTTTAACTAGATCGCACACACGCGACACGAGGCAGTCTACCTTGATCAAGCGGTCCATTATGACCAGGCCGTCCATTTTGTCCGGCAATAGATTCTGACCATTTGAACGTGAGAGAACTTAAGTCCTGAGTGTGTAATGCTTTCTTAAGTTGTTTTAGTCTTCTTGTATAATATTACTTGTCGCCAAGTGATTCTTGAAGCTATAGCAGTGTTGTGTGGCCTGTGGCTATTTTTATACAGTGTTAAAATCTGTGATAGTATTTTTTCTTACGCTTTGTAAGTTGGGTTTTGTTATTTTCTAAATTAAATATTTTATCTCGTTTAACCTAGTGTTCTGCCACAACTGTGTTCGCTTATTAAAGGTTGTATGCAGATTGAATGAGTTGTTAACTTCAATAGTATCACTAGCTTTCCCTAGACATCGAAATCGAGCCCTAGTGTGTTGTTGAGTTAGTGTTCATTCATTTAGGCTTTAAGTCATTTGCATATAACCCCGAAAAAAGAATCCGGGGACGTTCACCATCTATCTGGCTGGTAGATAGGTAAACGTTACATGCCGCACCGGGTGACACCCGACCTCGCTACGCCACTGTATATGTGTATGTATGTGTGTGTGAATGAGTGTGTCTGTATACATCATATGCATATGTATATGTATAAACTAATTTTAGAATCATGCGATGGCACAAAAAAGGACATACAAATAGAGAGAATCTGTATAAGTAGCCATGGTATATGGCACCATTTCAATGCCGACTGATATTTTTTCTTTATCTATGGACCCACAAGTGTAACAGTTCTGCTGACTGTACATTCATCAGAATCTAGTCTGGAACCGAACCCTAGCCTTACATGTTGGAACTATCACGAGCTATCACTCGACCATTCTTGTTGGTTTCTTGCAGTAAACTTGAACTTGCTATATCTTTATCCTATGTAGTGTATGTTCACTAACCAGTGGCGTAGCCAGGATCGTCTCAAGGGGGGGGGGGGGTTCCAATTTTTACCCGGGGACAAACTTTCGATTTGCACCCCCCTCAAACTTTCGATTTGCACCCCCCCCCCTCAAACTTTCGATTTGCACCCCCCCCCCTCAAACTTTTGATTTGCACCTCCCCTTCAAACTTTCGATTTGCACCCCCCCCTCATACTTTTTATATATATATACCGAGGGGTCTATGGGGGGTTATGATCCCCCCTAACCCCCCCCCCCCTGTCTACGCCACTGTCACTAACACACATCGACACATACGCTCATACATACACGTTACGCGCACGCCCCCGCACACACACACACACACACAGCACAATCAGGCACGCGCACACACGTACAGGCACGTACACACACACACAAGCGCCGCAACGTGACTGTGTGCCGTTTAGTAATTTCCGTATCGCCCTTTCGTCACACCTATGTTAAATATCAGATCGCCGTTAATGAAACGATACGCAGCAATTTGTTGTTTTTGTTGCGCCTTATGATGCTTTAAAGAAAAATTATTCTGGCAAATAATAGTATTTCGTCTTTTTTTTTTTTTATTGCTAGAACTGTGCTTATTTTAGGCTAGGGTGCATTCTGTAGCGACGTGTATGTGAGGGGGGGGTGATTAGAATCGGTATATATATATATATATATATATATATATATATATATATATATATATATATATATATATATATATATATATATATATATATATTAAATATATATTTGTGGGTATGTATGTGTAGAAGTTAAAGCTTTATAAGGCCTATCTCGCAACACATGCATGCGCAAAAGTTTACGTAGCCTTCGTGTGTATAAGCAAGAAAACGCAATCAATGCATTTCACTTTGGGTGTCGAGGGTAGCTGAAATAAACTAAACCAAATTCAATTGGTACACTTTTTACGATATTACTGTTTTTGAAAAATAAAATGAAGTTGTACCAGATTTAACCTTTTCGAAAATGTGGTGGCTAAAAATAGCGATGACGATGTAGATAACACTAGAGAGACAGTAGGGGGCATAGCATAGAATATAGAAGATGGGGAGTGGATTCTTTTAGTGTAGCTGGAAGATAGACAAGTGAATGTCATTTAAATAACAAATAAAGTTTTGTGTTGACTATTCAGCTATTCTTTGTGTTTGAATTGAGAGTTAGGAAACAAGACAGATGTCCTCTTTACAGAAGTCATCACAGTATAGTTAATCGAGTTCATATAGTAATATTCATAAAACCCATATCACAATAAGGACTTTTGAAGCACGACACACACTAATGGCAACGTCAGAAGAAAAAGACAGTATGTTTCAAGTTTGTCTTAAGATGGGTCACAGTCTACATGGGTGCAATCAATAAATAACCGGCACTCGGCTGTCTGGAGCGTATCCTAGCAATAGGATTGCTCAGTATTGATTTGTGCCCCCGCTATTACTCTCTAGACTGAAAATCTTTGTCTCGTGCGTTGTATGATATGCCACGTAGGCTGTCCGAGTTTCAAAAATAACTGTATCCGCTGTGTTCTATATTCGGGGCGTTCGTAAACCGGAATGCTTTTCTTTAGGCCTAATAGTCAATTTTTAAAATCTGCTCCTAAGCAAGTAAATTATGTCAAAAAATGAGAGTTGTTTTAAAACAAGTAAATTAAGAATTACTTATTGTTTTAACTGCGGGTGATTTAAGTCCGAAAATACCCGAGTTCGAACCCCCGGGCAGATGAGGATCCACAGCGGGGGACAACCACTCATCTATGAGAGACAACTTCAAAATCTTGTAGCTTGTTCTTGGTTGGACAAAGTCTATGGAGGCGAATCAAAAAAGAAAAGCGGCCTTAAATCAGATTTAACTGCCTATATGGCTCATAACAAGTTGTCACGTAATACTTAATTGTGATAGAGGGAATCCCTTCCAAAACAAGAATTACGAGCGAACAAGAAGAAGAAAGTCATAGTGCTCTTCACATGCCGAGATAAAAGAAACATGAACGCTACTCAATTTTTTTTCGAATGACCAACTGGTCTGCAAAGTAGTTTACTTTTTAAAACTGAGGTGACGGTGTGCAAAAGGGTTGATCATGTCAAGGATTATCAGGATTGAGGGGGGAGGCGTATTAGTTTTTGGAGAAAGCGTAGAGGGTTAGGAAAGGGTATTTCTTAATTGAAACACGTTATTTTTTACACGTTGTTACAAGATTTTTCACATTAATTATGAAAAAAATAGTTTTTCGCAGTATATCAAAGCGCATGGTTGTTAAGCCTGAAAGTCTCGAGTTCTGCCCCTTTTTGCTATTTCAGCGGTACATGTTTTTAAATACAGGAGCAACAGGTGATGAGTAATGCTCATGCAGATGACAAACAGCGTTCAGATACTGGGCTGAAATTAGGGCTCGTATTCGTTATATCATTTTAAAATGTGATACAGGTTATTTGACGCACGCACCTTCCTAAGTGTCGTCCATAAATGGCGTCACACTCATAGGTGGGAGGGGGGTTGTGATTGTGTGACGATGTGTGATAGAGCGGAGTGGGGGAATCAGATAGTGTGACGTCACACACTTGCATTCCAAAATGCAACGTTTGAAACTGAATTTTACTCGTTATTTCGAGCTTTAGAAAACTAGTTTGAATTTTTTTTTAACATCGATTTTTTTTTAAATATTATCAGATCTCGGTCAACATAGTGTATTTTAATCACTTTGTATTACAGTTTATTACAACAGTTTTCTAACGCGAAAATAATGTCTAAAATTCAGTTTCTAACATTACTATTTTAAATGCAAAAGTGTGAAACCCCTACCCCTATTAAGACATCGTCACAAAATTACGTACGCCCCCACCCTCCGCCTAACGAGTGTGACGTCATTGATGGATAATCCCTTATAATAACAGTGTGAACAAAGGTACGTTCGGCAACTTATCATTACGTAGCAGCTGCGCGCGCTACTTATAGACCAAGAAGACGCACCATGTTTAGAAGACTAACCACTAAAAGAAAATGCTTCCTTCTTTTTTTTTTTTTTATTTTCGGTGGGGCAGACTAAAATTTCCAGGGAGCGGACCCTGTTAAAAGTATATATTTTCTATATAAATTCCATTTCGTGACTGATCTAAATGATAATATATTTAAATAAAAAAATTAGTGATAAAATTGCATTTGATATTAGAAATCTATATAGTTTAAATAAATTAAAAAAAAAAAAACCTGCCGATCTGGTCTGGGCTTATATCACAAGCTTTTTCTTGTATAACAGTTAATGCCCGAGGATGAGTTTGCGCTCGAAAGATAAAGATAATAATAAATAGTAAATAGCGTTGGTCAGAATTTTTAAAAATTCCCAACATTTGAATGCATTTAAATGCTTATTAACAATTATTTCAAGAGATTTGTTTGCTTTTTATTTTTGTCTTGAAGTAGTTCAAAAGTAAACGTCAAACTGCAACTTATAGCTTTGAATTGCATACTCAGACAGTTGTAACTTGTAACAAATAATATCTGTTTTTATTTATTTTTTAAATTTTTTTTTTACCAACAACCCGTTTTGGTTTAACATAAAATTATAATAATCTGGTTAAGGCCTAGCATCATTTAAAAAAAAAAGTTTGTGCAGTTTTAATTTTAAAAAAACAGATATCTAATTATAGTTTCACTGTCTAAGTAATATAGAATCTACTCATAAATTTAAACAAAATCTCAAGCTTGATGAAGCTAATTCTATACATTTTATAATTGTTTTAATTTAGATATTTTTAAAAACTGTTATTGTAACCTGCTGTTTGTCTGTTATACTGGATAAAACCTGGCACTTCCGGCCTTATTCATTCAACGACGGTAACCGGGCAAATCTAGAATTGATACCAGACTGAGTATTTAATTACCCAACAACAAAAGTGAAAAATGACGACGACTTCTACCTTTCAAGGCATGAATACCGACTCCAAACCATCGTCAAGGTTAGAAATATTAAATAAATAGAGTTGTTTATGGATAAATTGCCTAAACATAGCGTTTTTTTACATCATTATTTTGGGCTTTGGGCCACACCTGCAAGTCCAGACTACTCGAATTTTTTGGTTCTTTTTTAGGTAAAACTCCATTTCAGCGTATTTTATTCTCCGTTGCTTGTTTACCTCCAGTTGAGCGTATTTTATTATAACAACCGAAACACACCAAAACATTAGGAAAACACGATTTATTAATTGTATTGTATAATTTTTGTTTTAGCAAATGAATAAATATGAATATTTAAAAAACACGGTAAGTTTTGGGTACGTAAAATCGCCCGCGACTAGTAATGTGAAAAACAGGTGACTCCTTACATTTTAATAATTATTTCACATTTTGAAGAGGATTTATGTTTTAAAAATACAAAAATGTTTCCTTGTTTCATTTATGTACCTGTTTTTAAACAATTGAATTAAAACTTTTCAGTAATAAATGAACACCAGCGATGTTTCCAACAGATGCAACCATGCTCATTTACTATAGCAGCCATCTTGTTAAAGTTTTATTTTTATAGACTTATAGCGCAAGATTCAGGCGGAAGTCACTCTATTTTACAAATGGCTGCTGTTCACATAGCAAATCTTGCTTGCAGACACTGCTGTTTAAAGTTAATTTCTGGCCTATATTGATATATTTAGCCATTGATTTAGGTTTATTATTCATTTATCTATAATATTTGACACAAACATATCACAATATACTTCTATTACAGCCTTCACAATGAGGTAACGTTTTCGTACATTAATAGCCGCGGGCGATTTTACGTACCCAAAACGATAGATTACCAAAAACACGACTTGTTTATTTGTAAATTGTATTGTATTTTTTTTAAAAGGCATTTGTCTCATGGTGAAACTGATACACTGTTAATTATTCTGTATTATATTTTTGTATTTATGCAATAAATGTACAAACTCTGTGTTTTTTTGTTTGACAATTTCGCCAAAACTGAAAAAAATATTTTTACTATAGAGTTGTATGTTATTTAAATTCATAGTAAATCTACCATCCTTCCAAATATTTTGATATATGTATCAAGTATGATTTTTTGTGTGAGTAAATTTCTGGCTTTTAAAAAAAAATTGACGTGGGGTCGTCCATAAATGACGTCACACTCGTAAGGGAGAGGGGGTCCGCAATTTTGTGACGGTGTGTGATGAGGGGGAGGGGGTGGGGTTTCAGATGGTGTGACGTCACTTTTTTTGCATTATAAAAAAAGCAATGTTAGAAAAACGAGTTTTAGCCGTTATTTCGCGTTTTAGAAAACGGTTTTAATAAATTGTAATAGGAATTGATCAAAATACTCTATGTTGACAGAGTTCTGACAAGATTTTGGAAAAAGTATCGATGTTTTAAGAGAAATTCAACAGAAATTTTGAGGGGGGGGGGGGGTGTAGGCTGTGGTGTGACGTCATTTTAGGGGGTCTGACTTTTTGTGACGACGTGTAACGGAGGGGAGGGGAAGGAAAAAATCGTAAAAAAAGCGTGTCGTCACAAAAAGCAAGACCCCCCCCCAAATGACGTAGCACCATCTGAACCCCCGTCCCCTCAACACACACCGTCACAAAATTACGCCCCCCCCCCCCCCCCAGAGGCGTAGCGACCCTTCCCGGGGACAAACTTTCAACTTTCGATTTGCACCTCTTAAAAGACTATTTAACACTCGTATTAATCACTTAAGTGGAATTATCATTTTTCTCTATATATTTTGCTATTTTTTGCCTTGGTGTCACCCCCCCCCCCTAAATGGTGTCAACCGCGCTACGCCTCTGCCCCTCCCCCTACTAGTGTGACGTCATTTATGGACTACCTCTAACATTATTTTTTTTTAAATGACGTGAGTTGTCACACTTTCTCTAACACTCCAAGCCATCCCTCACCAAATTCCACCCCCCCCCCCCCCCCCCCGGCCCACTTTTAGCAGCATTATTGTGCCTTTTAATACTTTTATTCAGTTTAGTTGAAATTGGAACACTTAATTGTACAAAGTGTGCATCTCTATTTTTGTAACCAACGAACAAAGCACTTCAGTCAGTCTCTTTGTTGTTTTTTTATTCATTTGTTAAAACAAAAATACAATACAAATAAACAAGTCGTGTTTTTTAAACATTCATTTTATTCATTTGTGAAAACAAAAATACAATACAAATAATAAATCGTGTTTTCCTAATGTTTTGGTGTGTTTCGGTTGTTATAATAAAATACGCTCAACTGGAGGTAAACAAGCAATGGAGAATAAAATACGCTAAAATGGAGGTTTACCCTTTTTTATTAGGCTAGTTTTACTTTTTCGTCATAATTAGATCTCTCTAGTTCTCTAATATGAAATATTTTACACTAGGCCCTACACTAATGAATTTTAGTGAAAATATGCTCATCTTCAATAATTACCCACTATGCTAGATCTAGACAACAGAATGATGAACTGCAGATGTCTCATTATCTCATAATTCTAGTTCTAGTCTTGAAATGAAACATTTTTTTATTGAGGTTAGGCCTAATGATTGAAAAAAGCTTTATTGGTGTTAAAACTAGTGAAATACATAAATCTATAGTATACTAAAGGCTATCGAGATGTCTAATGCATTTTGGAAATTTAATTATTTATTGGTGACTCACAATCAAGCAGGAATAAGCCTCAGCGACAACCAAGTGTACAGAAAGGGTATAATTTAGTATTGCTCACTACCCTGGAAGCCGGGCTGGTTTCTAACAATATGGCCTCCACACTGGATGCAAGACTTCAGACGTTTTTTTTTCATCTTAGTTCCAGTGACCTTCTTAGAATTACTATTAAAAATGTTTATCACGAGAAACCTGGCAGGTTTTTCACGTTATAAAAACAAGCTGTAGGTGGCAGGGCTAAATATGGCAGAAAAGCATTTTAAAATTTGCTTTGGAGAATAAAGGCTTAGGCCTAATTAAAAAGTTGGTATTAGGCCTATTAAAAAACAATAGAACATTTAAAATATCAGCTTGGGGAGTTCAAAATTGAATTGGAGGTTGTAGAACTATTAGGTTTATCAGTCTATGAAACAAGAAATCAAATATTAGTCCCAAATGAATTAAATGTGGATGACTATTATTCAGTGATCATGCTTAAATTGTAAATTGAGTCAATTTTACATTTAGCGAGAAATCTAGTAGTATAATTTACTGTGGAGGTGGGAATGTGTGTGTACTTAGATAAGTCAATAAGATTTTTTAAAATCGTAAAGCTATTGGTAATACTATTTACTATTCCTTTTTCAATAAATATTTAAAAGAACTGTAATTTTATTTGATATGAAATTGCTAAAATTTAAGATGCTTTGTTAAATTATTGAAGTCTGTAACATGGACATGGGTTTGCAGGATATTTCCTAAGTTTATCATAGCTGCTCTCTCTCATTCTGGGAAAAATCTTGTCACTGTATGTACAGTGCTAGTGCCTCTAGTCCATGTGCCTAGTTAGCTACTAAGTATTCACTAGCAATGTATGCTTTAGCTAATTTATCAGGACGACTAAATCTTAATAAATAATATGCCTAGGCCTGTTTATTAATGAAAATAATGTACCTTATTAAAAATCATTAAATCGATATGATTCACTCACAATAAATTGTATCATCTTTTTAAAAAAAAGAAGAAAATAATACATGTTATAAATAGTTCACTAAATCTAGTAGGCATACTCTTACAAGTTACATTTTCCAGTGTATTTACCCAAACCATGGGCATCAAAACTATTTTACTTCCCCTACAGCTGGGCGAAAAGACAACACATTTTTCAACCACTAAATTTTTTTAAAAATTTGCTGGTCCAAGTTTATTATGCATGAGGTAAAATGTATTCATAATTGATTAAAAAAATCACTTATGCCAGAAAAAAAGTAAAAATATTTCATGCAACCACGGGCGCATAGGCCTGTAAAGGGTTAAGCTATACAACAAGAAATGCCAAGATGTAGAATGTAAATAATGAGGCCCCAAGATTTCGGAATCAACCTCTAAATTTTACATGTTAAAAAGTTCTGTCTCTGCATTTTCAACTTAAATATAAATTCTTAAACTATTACATTAATAGAAAAATTCAGCTTTAAATTCAGTAGAAAGCCACTTTTAAAGATTTAAAAACAAATTTGGTCCAAGTCAACAACATTGACCTAATCCATTCAGCCAACCTAGTAGTAGAAGCTTTTACTTTTCTTAATCACATAAAACTAAAATGTATCATTTAGTGAAAACAAATATTAATGGGACAAACAAAGTTCTAGTTGTCTCATGAAGGGACCAAAGTGACGTAGTTATACCTGGTAGCAGGTTTAAATGTTGTTTTAACATCACAATGCTATTTTACATTCCAGGGTATTAAATCCTCCTGGTGGTGCCTCAAGCAATATCTTTGGTGGATATGAAGATAACACACCAGCCCAGAGAACCCCAATCAAAAACAACCCGGATAACGTAAACAGAGGGAACAATGATATTTTCCATCAAGGTAGTCACCCGGAGGCTGTTGCTCCACACATCCGCAATAACCCAGACAATGTCAACAGAGGCTCTAGTGACATCTTCAATCAAGGACCGCATGCATCAGCCAGTGCCCCTAATAAAAATTCCAGGGCTCCTCGAAGCGGTGATGATTCTTTTCATAGCTTATTTGGGAATAATGGGAAAAATGATGCGTATAGTGCATCAGCTATCGTTTTAGGCAAAGAAACCATTCGTAGAAACCGTCATAAGAGTCCCGACTCATTTTCAAACGTTTTTGGTGACCCTGCATCAGTTAATATGAGACATTCATTTCGTCCTTTTACTGACCACAATGACTCTGATTCGTTTTCTCGCATATTTGGTCACTGCGGTGACATGGCTAATAACCCACCAGCAGCATCTGCCATGACAATGCCATCGTATACAAGTGCCACTACTGCTTATCCGTTAGAAATAAGTCCCTCTAATCATAGTGTAGCGTCTTCTCATCATTACCAGGATGATCGTGAAGACTTAAACTCTTCATTTAATCGAGTATTTGGTGAATACATGGCTAAACCAAAGCAGGCAAGGGCTAGAAGGTTCTGTGATAGAAGTGGTAGGATCAATTACCACACAGTAAATTGCGTTTTTTGCACAATTTGGGTTAAGTTTTGCCGTTGACTCAAGCATTTTAAAATTCATTTATTTTTTTACAAAATGAATTAAGTTACGCCGTTTTCATTTATTTATTTTTTTACAAAATGAATTTAGTTACGCCGTTTAATTTTAAAATATAGTTTTAATTCTCTTTCTTTGTTTTTTTTTAAAATGGCATACTTTTTTTTTTTACATAATTTTCCGGCCTTATTAGTTTTGTACAAATCAAATCTGAATTATAAACTAAGCATTTGGCATGTTTAACGCTAATTAAACATTGACTGCATACAATTTACGTAATCTGTACTTCATTTAGTTGAATAACTAATTTTGTAAACATTAATGTAGTTTTGTGTTTAATTCTTTATAGATAAATTTGGTTAAATTTCGACTCAAAATTAATATTAGCATGGATGTTTATAATCAAGTTCAGATCCTTAATTATATAAATGTTAATAGTGCATGACTTAAGAAGAGCACTTAAATTGATCTTCCAATTTATGCTTAGTTTAGAGTTTTAGAACTTTTGTATGTATACAAAATAACTCAACTAATGATTGCATGCTAAATATTTACTTCTCATTAATTTAACACTTTCAGCTTACAATCCTATCACAGGAGAGCTTTATGAGCAAGCGCCCAAGAACAAGCCAGAGCCTTATAATACTGGAGTTACCTCACATGTGAGTTTTATCTTTATAGCAATGTTGTCACAGTGGAACTATAATTAGCAGAGATAACATTTCTGCTTTTATCCGTCAATCTGCTCTATCCATCTGAAAAATCTATTTTTTGGCTGACCGACTTTTTTGCCAAAAACACGGGAAATATTTTAAGCCTTTTCATTTTTCTGTTTTGTTACCCATATTCGAATGGTCACATCTTCCCCTTCTGCTTTATGACTTTTTCACTAGTTTTACAAAAGAGTGATCAGGCTTGAACACTATCATGCATTTTGTTCACTGTTTTTCTTACTTTTATAAAGCTAGTCAGACGTTGCTGGCAGTCCTGAAAAAAATTATTTGATGCAATTTGTTGTGTGGCTGTCTAGCTCTTAATGACAATATGGGTTGGGGTAAAATTCGGCTGGTTAATGTACAAACTCTTGGCTGCGTCTTATATATAACTTAACCTACGTGGTTGTATATAGGGTTATCTCCAGTAGAGATGTTTTTCTTTTTTTACGAAGTTCGACTTTTTCCTTTAAAAAAAAACGGACAGCTATTGCGCAGACCTAGACTATCTGATTCATGGTTGTGGTTATCGTGAGGCCTATGATGCAAGTTTGCAAGACAGCACTTTTGTTTAAATATCTAATTTTAACATGGTTATTTTGAGTTTTTTTTAACTCAATTTTTTTTTTTTTTTTTTGATGTGGTTACATGATCTATCGGGATCTATATCTAAAGGTCTTTAAGCTTTTGTAGAAAAACTTAGAAGTTTTTGTTGCCGTCACTAACACACACCACACACACACGTAGTAAAAAAAATTCTGCTTTTTACGTAGATCATTTATATCTCTGACTCAGAATTAGCAACCTTGTGCTTTTAAGTATGGGGGAAGTTTCAATTATACCATTATTCAGCATTTTAATTTAAATTATTATTTTTGAAACTGCTGGCATTGTGTAGTGAGATCCTGTTTTTCAGTCACCTTTGCTATACTTGAAGCAATGTAAATGTTAAGTTTCCAATTGATGTTTTTTTTTTTATCCATTTAGCATGCTGAAGGAGATTGCCAGGTAGAACAGGAGAGTGTTCCTACGACAGACACAAAGGCCCAAGCTAGTGGTCAGGCATCTCAGCAGAACCAGGGCGGAATCTTTGGTGGCGGGGCAAGCGACTCTCAAGACCACAGGTCCACTCGGGTTAGTCAACCCCCAGGGGGTCGATCCACCAAGCTCTGGTGATTGCATTGTGCAATGGAAGGTGTTCTTTGAATATTCATTGTATATGTAATACGTATACCAAGGAGAGGGTTTGCTTTGAACGACTTTGGCTAATAAATGTATACATTATTACTTTATATGTATGAAATGCTCCAATATTTTTTTTATTTAGTCCAAATTATTCTAAACATTGCCCAATGTTAACACATTTTTGGCAAACTTGTGAAGTGTCAATTTTCTAAGATCCACTGACATAGATACTTTAAATTGAATTAAAAGGTATTTTTTTAAATTAATTTATTATTCATACAATGCCTGTTATTTTTCTCTCAATTTAGGCATGAAAGGTTGTTTTAGGTTGTTTTTTTTTTCTGGCTATTTGCAACTTCCAATCATCACTGTCTGTTGTTAGGCTTGTAAGGAAAACCCTCTATTGTTTTGGTGTTCTTGATATCCTTTTTGCACACAGTACTGTAGGTGGGTAATTTAAGTATAATAGCACTACGTATATTTGCATTAGGGCTTTTCCGTGTGCAGCCAGACTTGTGATATCGTGGCCTTTTTAAAAACAAACTTGTTTTGCTATAACTGACCTTTTGATTGCTTTTTTTTTTTTTAAATTTTTGTTTGAGCTTCAGATAATTGAATGATGGTATTAGAAGCTCTGCTGGTAACAAACTATGCAGTGAATTGTGCATAAGCAATGAAATGTTAAGATCTAAAGTGTACTAATTGTATATATTCTGTACTAAGCACACTGTAAATACGAGCTGTATTGGGGGTGTAGGCATGAACTAGTATTTCTTGAGCCCAGTGTTGTACAGCTGTCTTTTGATCCATGTGCAACAAATTCAGCTACTGCTGTGTTTACATTTGTATGAATTTCTTAAGATGTCCAATGTCTACATTTTTATATCATTGCATGCATTTTTTGCACGTAGATCTGATTTTCAACATTTTTTTTAACCCAGTAGAACAAAGACTTAGAGCCATATAGTTAACAGTAATCTGTGCTTCTAACACATCAATACTTTAATGTACTTCTAGCAAACTCTTCACAATTTTATTTTTTGTTATATCATTCCATCTTGTGGCAGAACTGATCAGTGCAATGGCCAATATCTAAAATAAAAATAGAATTTAAGACAGCGCTTTTTATTTCTGTGGGATATTTTCAGCAATATTTGAGTGGCCTTGACAGTGGAATAATCTACAGGACTGCTTTTCTTGTAAGCTGACAGATTATTCCATTGACTACCAGAATTAGTTTTTTCTTGCATATTTAGAATTTTTTTTAAACCTAGCGTCCATATTAAATATGCTATAACCTTATGTTTTTATTTTCTTCTCTTTATTATTTTCCTGTGATAAGTCATTTGGTCTATTCCACATCAAATCCTCCCTTTTTAGGTTGTTTGTTTTTGTTTAGTTTCCTATGTCCCAGTATATAACACAGATTATTTGGTGACTGGTAGTTTAGTTTGACAAGACTTTCATGTTTGCCTTTTTTTAAATACTCCTCATCTAGCTACTTAATGTTATAAATGGCTTAACATTTTTTACTAATCAGTTTTTTCTGTACAGGACTCCATAGTCTTCCTGTCTAACAATTTTTCAAACATTGAAGAGAAGTTGCACAATACATTATAATTGTGTTCAGGATCTTTGTATTTATATCTCCTAATGATTATAAATATAATAACTTGCCTTTGGCTTGCCTGTAACTTACGGCAAATTTGTTACTGATACTAATAGAGTGGACTACGTAGACTGTTGCATTAAAACTATAACTGTTTGAAGCTTAGCTGGTGCGCCTGTTGTGTCTGAGTGTTGTTTAGAAGCGCAAGTTGTGGTTGTGTTGTTGGTTTTTTTTTTACCACTTGCATGCAGCAAAGAGATATGTGTTCTGCATTCCACTCTTTTCTAGTACTTTGATTTTGTAGCAAAAGTACCTTCAGTCTGACCAAATGTTTTGTTGGTACGATTTATTTTGTTACCCCCAATTTGAATGCTCTCTTTTTGTTACGTAACTCCTAGGCATCAATATAGAGCATAATTGGTTTTTTTTTTTTTTTTTTTTTTAGAAAATATTTCACCTAATGATCAAAATAAATTGACTTCAATTGCAAAATGACTGATACATTGCTCTTTTACTTGTGACTGCAAGTGTCTAAGTTCAGAAGAAATTTAAAATACTAAACTTGATCTGTTTCAGTTTGTGGTGTAAAAGGTTTCATTTTTTCATCTGACGTAACTACTGAATATCTTTGTGTTACATCTACAAAAAGTAAAATTATTTATCCATTTTTATTAAGATGAATATCTTATGTTATGGGACTTTTTTATAGTTTGTTCATTATTCTGATTTAGAGCTCTTGCTGTTTAATAAATAAAAGAAAATTGCTAACATTTACCCTGGGAATTTTGTTTGTTTTTTACTTTCTCGTATATAGGAAGTATTGTAATCGTGCACGGAAATCACATGAAATTGAGTTTTTAGTATTACACTTCAGTACTTCGTCATATACGGAGTGTTGGGCACTTATTTTAATGGGACAAAAGTTCTAAATCCAGATTTATCCAAATTTCGGCGTTTTACGTGTAATAGTCGAACAACTGGGCTCTGTAATTCTGTGTGGATAACTTGAATACTGTTACAGCTAGGTTGATGAAATTGCATATAGATGTCTATAAGTATTACATAAAATTTTTAGTTCTGTATAAACTTTTCAGCTGTTTCCGGAAGTGGAAGTTATTCTACTTACGGTTTTTCAAAAGTTAATAGATTAAATTTCTAAAGATCTATCTCTGTTTACTGTCAAATTTGGAGTAATTTCGTTTAACTGAAGTCGTACTTTACGCTATTTCCAATTTCTCAAAAAAACAAAAATTAAAAAAAAAAAGTAACGGGAATTAATTAATAAAGTACTTATGTTCCGCACTATTAGTATTATACACACATTGTTTGCTGTTCACTTAGTGCGCAATTATTTTTATACGAGATTCTATTTTCAAAAGTATTTAAAAATGGATTAAATAATTATATCCCGAGTTGCCATCCTCCGTATTGTTAGATAAGAAAGTTTAGGGGAGATCACTCCCGCTTTATTTTATCTATGTTGTGTACTCACAAGGGATATCTGCTTTGGATTGCAACATGTTGAACATTTAATTTATCTACATTGATATAAGATCTATATGATGTGTTCAGAGATGGGGTTTACCCGATACGTAATGTGATGGTGATACGGGTTTTCAAGGAAAACACAAATGTGTATTAGGTGTGTACTTGAATTATGCATAGCTGCTGGACATGTAAATAGTGACAGGAGCTGTAAGTATAGCTGTATGTTTGTGCATTTTTTTTAATGGGGGTGGGTTAAGTTTTTTGAAAGGCTTTGGTGGGAGGCAGGAATTTGTTGAAGGGTGTTTTTTTGGGAGTGGGGGAGGGGGGGTGAGAAATGTATTTTATAATTATTTTAAGAGAGCTAAAATACTAAATTGTGTATATGACATTCACAGTTTTCTAGTAGTAGTTGTAGTAACCATAAAGCGTTGCGAGCATACTACCGCCGATAGCTAGAGACAGCTTTTACTTTGGGGGTTAACATCCCCAACACGCTTTTGTATAGGCCACTGTTTGTGGCACAGCACAAAAAAGCTTGTCAACTTAGACTGTCCGGTTACTCGTGTACCGCCCACCTCCGCCCCGGTTACAATTTTGTCCCGTTTAACTAAAGGGGTCGTCCATAAATGACGTCACACTCGTAGGGGGAGGGGGGTCCGTAATTTTGTGACGGTGTGTAAAATGAGGGGGGTTCAGATGGTGTGACGTCACATTTGTGCATTATAAAAAGCAATACTAGAAGATGAGTTTTAGCCGTTATTTCGCGTTTTAGAAAAAAAGGTTTTAATAAATTGTAACAGGAATTGATCAAATTACTCTATGTTGACAGAGTTCTGACACGATTTTGGAAAAATATCGATGTTTTAAGAAAAATTCAACAGCAATGTTGAGAGTGGGGTTGTAGGTTGAGGTGTGACGTCATTTTAGGGGGGGGGGGGCTGGCTTTTGCGAGGACGTGTAACGGAGGGGAGTGGGGGAGGTACAATCATCACCAAAAAAGCGTGACGTCATTTATGGATGACCCCCCCCCCCTGCCGTAACGACGCGATAATGTTGAGTTGCAGAGTTTCTTTCAGGCATCTCTCTGGGGCACCCCCCCCCCCCCCTCCACGAACGAAGTAGAAAAAATCTATAGTTTATAAAGAAAATATATACTTTAGCCAGTCTCCCCCCCCCCTCACTCCAGGGGAAAATGTCTGAAAGAAACACCGATGAGTTGACTGCTACCAACTGGTAGTCAGCCTAGCTTGAGCATGGCCCTGATTAATACCAACGGGAAACAGCTTGGCGTACACATTACAGCCCACAACACGGTAGGGTGGAGCGGTTGTTTATCGATTTGTTTCACGGTGTACGTTCGTGTTTTTAATCACCTTGAACTTTTAAAGTTTCGCTGCTCGTTTCACAACAGTTTCATTTCCCGAAATAATAATATAATCGTTCAGGGTTTCAGACGTTTTGCTAATGATGTGTGTTTGTGTGGTGGTGGTGGTGGGGGGGGGGGGGGGGGGTAAAAGCCTGTTGGAAACCCTCGTTTCTAGCGATATGTGTGAGAGATATTTTGAACTCAATCGCAGTCTGACTGGCCAATGAGCTAGATGACCGTTTTAAAGAGACTATGAGCTGACATTACTTCATTCATGCAATTTAAAAACACACAATGTTGCATTTTCAGATCACCCTTTCACAATCCATTACAAACTGGCAGCCCCTTTCTATCATAAACTCTCAGTCAACCTTAAGCCACCGCTTCCTCATCTCGCGAATGGATGTCGTCAGGACATTTCTCCATCTGCTTATAGTCGGTAAAACTGGCTACGGAAAAAGCGCCACCGGAAATTCAATCTTGGGCGAAAATGTCTTTGAGAGTAAAGCTAGTTGGACGTCTGTTACGAAAGACGTACAAGGATGTACGTCAGTTATAGGTGACAGTGCCGTGTTGGTTGTGGATATTCCCGGGCTTTTTGATACGGAAAATGATCAGCGGAAGTTAGAGAAAAGGACGCGAGAGACTATGAAGAGCGCGTTTGAAATCGCGGTTGGAGGATTTCATGCTTTGTTGTTGGTTTTCAAATACGGAGAGCGCTGCACTGATGAAGATGACACGGCGGTGAAGACACTTCTGTCTGTCTACGGCTTGAAAGTGTTTAGAGAGTATTGTATCTGTGTGTTTACGTATGGTGATCAAGCCGCAGGCGACATGGACGTGGCTTTTTTCCCAGAATGGTTGAAGAAACAAAAGGGCGCGATTCAAACGGTGCTCGGCGAATGTCAAGGACGTGCGGTGTTGTTTAACAACCGAGCAAAAGATGAAGCAGAAAAATGTGACCAGAGAAATATACTGCTGACAATGGTGATGACCTTACCCACAAAAAATACAACTTTCGGGATAGATGACGTCATTTCCGCCGAGGATTATAGATTTATTAACGCTAATCTTGAATCAACCAGAGATGTCTTTTTCGAAATCAAATCAAGATTAGAAAAAATAAAAGCAGACTACCGAAACGACCATGATCCAGAAAAACACGACAACGGTATTTTAGAACTGAAAAACAAACTGACGGTACACCGGTCCAAATTGACGCAGCTTGATGACGACACAGGAAAGCTATCTGACGTCATAGAGGCAGTGTCAGAAAAGGAAATGGAGCTACACAGAGAGCTACTGATTGCAGACTTTGACGAGGTGGACGCTATAGCTCTTCTGTCGCGAAGACAGTCACATCTTTTTTCTTGATATATTCCTTCCATATTGAGTATCCTCACCTTTATCTCTCCTATTCTTCGTCATACTACACCTCCCCCCCCCACCTTAGAGCTCGCAAACCCCCTCTCCGGGCGAGATAGAAAAAAAAAAGGGCCTATAATTTATATTGAAAATATATACTTTAAACCAGTTTCCGCACACCCGGAAATTTTAAGATCGGGAGTTTCAAGCGACCCACACCCTTCCCTACCCGGAGAAAATTGCCTGAAAGAAACCCTGGTAAACATTTTTTACTGTTATAATACTCTGAGTGTCCTGTTACACCGTGGAAAACTATATTTCACACCGCGGCCTGAAAACACAATTTTCCGGATGAAGCCGCGAATCGCTATAGGAAATATGAAGTAATTACTGTTGATGTTGCAGTTGACCCCAATCTTGGAGGAAAACTTCAGGAGAAAGTTACACAATGTACATAACCAGAGTTTCTTCGGAAGAAAGTCTACCGCCCCCCCCCCCCAACGAGATGGATATTAAATAGTAAACATACACTTTTACTAGTGTCCGCCCCCTCCCCCGAAAAATGTTGACCGACCCCCGAAAATTTCAAGTGCCCCCCCCCCCCCCCCCCGGAGAAAAATGTTTGGAAGAAACACTGTACATAACGTAATTTTTTAAGATTATCATCAACGCTATTTTTTTAGCGCAATTTCCTTACAGGAATTGCGATTATTAACTCGTCATTTCTGGATGGATGGATGGATGGATGGATGTGCGCAGCTTTGAGTCGTATCTCCTCCTCAACGAAGCAATATCGAGGACTAGTTCCAAAGCAAATATGTTAAGCAAGTTCCTAGGATGATTGTGGGCCAAAAAAAAAACTCCCAGATTTCCCGGAAAAGCCAAAAAACCTCGAAAAAAATGCAGTTTTTTTGCCTATATCTCGGCAACCAGACCACTTAGCGACTTGAAACATTTACCAATCGATTTCTGTCATAATTTAGAACAATATTGCCGAAGAAAGTTTTAAAAAATATCCTTTCGTTCGGTCACAAAAAATTAATTAAGAATTTTTAAACTGAGCATCGTGTAGGCCTAGGATGATATTTTTAATTTAAACTGAGCATCGTGTTGGTTTTTAGCGCAAAAAAATATCCTTTTGTTCAGTCACAAAAAATTAAAAATTGTTATGGATAACATAAGGAAATTGCGCTTAAATTGTCACTAGACTTTTTATTAACTTGTTTTTAATTATACACAAACATTTTGTATTTTATTTGAAAAAATTAAAGGCTTTTTATTATCGGATATTGATGTTTGTTAAACAGGTTTATTCATAAACATTGTTATAATATTTCCATACACTTGTATCTTCTGTATGTGTGTGTGAGTGGATATTTTGTTCTCAATATCAGTTGGTTATTTAGTATTCCCTTTAGCAGAAGGAAGTCACATGATCCCTCTTGGGCATCCATGTCCTTTATATCTTTTCTATTCATTTCAGTTAGTTTTGTAGCAAAAACGAACGATTTGGTATCAAATTTAAAAAAACCAAAAAAAAACTATAGGGCCAGTCTAAAAATGACACCGTTTTCACCCCCCCCTCCCCAATCACACTGTCGCAAGAAACTCCAATACAATGACGGTGGGGGGGGGTGCAAAAAGTCTAACCCCCCTCGAACATAATGGAATTTATATAGAAGATATAAACTTTTAACAGTGTCCCCCCCCCCCGGAAGAAACTCTGAGTAAAAGTATAGCTTTTGAAAATAAGGGGTCGTCCATAAATGACGTCACACTGGTAGGGGGGAGGGGGGTCCGTAATTTTGTGACGTTGTGTGATGAGGAGGGGAGGGGGGGGGGTCAGATGTGGGACGTCACACTTTTACATTATAAAATAACCATGTTAGAAAACAAATTTTAGACGTTATTTCGACGTCATTTTTGAATGACCCTAAATACAAAAGGTATGTAGCAATAATAAAGGTAGATAAACCATAAAATACTTCGAAACGTGCCGGTAGCCTCCCCTGACTTTTGCCTCTTCTTGTTATTTCGGGAAAACCCCCTCACACGTAATACTCAAAAAAAGTTTTGCCACTACTTTTATTTCAGAAAAGGCGTTCGACTTCATCAACAAGGTAAAGGTTGTTGACACTCGATCTAGTAGGCTTAGTTTTTTATCATGTTAAACGTACGAGTTAGTAAGCACGATTTCATATTAAGTTTCAAATATTAAACATGAATAACGTATTTGAATTCAGTGAATAACAGCAGACATATATAGACAAAAAATCGATACAATTTTAAGTGTAGACAAAATCAATCGTCTGCTGACAAGTGGAATTCGTCAGTGGCATAGCCAGGAACTTTTTCAGTGGGAGGCCTTGTGTTACTGTGCAGCATAGTAAGCTAATTATACTTTACTACACACATCAGTGGCGTCGCTAGGTCGGGTGTCACCCGGTCCGACACCTCATGGTGTCACCTCCCTTAAAATGTATATATATATATATATATATATATATATATATATATATATATATATATATATATATATATATATATATATATATATATATATATGCTTTAAGGGTTTTTTAAAACTCTAGTTAATAATTGATTAAACTGCATAAAGCATTTTTCTTCTGTATGTTTTGCAACTTTGCCTTGGTTTCACCCCCTAAATGGTGTCACCCAGGTGCGGTCCGCACCCCCCGACCCCGCCTCGCGACGCCTCTGACACACATGTAATGGTTATTATGCTCAATGTTATTCTTTGGTCAACTGGGAGACTCGTGTATATGATACAGATAGGTCTTATTTTACCACGTAGTATTTCAACTGATATCACTCAGAGATAGTCGCTAATCTTGAGTATAGACTCTATATCATCGTAGTTTATCGTATACAGTTGTAGACTATAACTAAACTATAAAGCAGTTTATGCATGCTGCTGATTCTTTTTGTGACGTCACTGTAAGTCAACTTTGAACTTGCGAGTATTTATTCTGGCTGAGAACAGTGCTTCTTCCAGAATTTTTTCCGGGGGGGGGGGGGGGGGGGGAGGCGGACATTGGTAAAATTATATGTTTTCTATATAAATTCCATTTCGTTTGGGAGGGGGGGGGGGGGTGCTGTAGACTTTCTTCGCCCCCCCCCTCCCGAAGAGATGCCTGGAAGAAACTCTGGCTGAGAAGTATAGGCCTAACCAGTAAAACAGAAAAAGAACAAGAACAGCTATTTTTAGAGATGACGCGGCGACTAGATACATTTCCCGTTTCGTTTTTTGTATTTGTTATTTATTTAAAAACTAACATTCCCAATATTACAAAATTTTCGTGGCAACTGAAATCTTTAAATAAAATAGTTATCGACCTGTATGATTTATGCAGAGCCGGCGCTAGGGGTGCGCGGGGCCTATGGCCAACCATCCGCGCGGGGCCTTATATTTTTTCCATTGGTGTCTAAAACATGTACAGTGAGGCGTTTTTTTTTTCTTCTCAACGCGAATTAATATTTATAACGATATATATGGTATTTTAAAGCTGTTTCTCAATGTCGTATTAGCATTAAGACACTGATTAACAAATAATGTGTTTACTTAGAAGTGCTTTTGAAACGTTGCTTGTTTCTGTTAAGGCTTTTTGTTTGAAAAGTAAAAAATAAAACAGATATAAGTTTGAGACACGCATTAAAGAGACGATGAACGTCAGCTTCAAACCTGATTTTTTTAACATTAATGTTTATTTATGAAAATCTTACCAGTACGTTCACAAACGAAGGTCTACTTTTCTTGCCTTTCGTGAGGAAAATTCCATGATTATATCATCATAGTCCAAACTGGAGGCTATGTCTTTTTCTATTGACAGAATCGACAGGCCGCAGAGCCTGTCTTGGGACATCGTTGATCTCAAATAGTTCTTGATCAACTTCAGTTTGGAGAAACTTCTTTCGGCGCTTGCAACTGTGACTGGAACTGTTAGCAAGATTCTGTAGGCGATCGCCGTATTGGGAAAGGAATCCCGAATACTCCAAATGTACTGAAGGCACTGTTTGGCTGACCTAATACCTTCGGGCAAAATTTCTCGAAACATTGTGAGCTCTGTACACAAATCTGCCCCGTTTAAGTCACGTGAGCTCACCGATCGCAACTCTATATCAAGATTCATGCAACTTTTTAACAAATCCTCATTATTTAATTTTCTCATTGTGTTTATGTTGTAGAGAAACCCAAAGAGTGAATCGTATTGTCGTAGCTGTTCAAATCGAGTGTTCATGCCAATAATTGCTTGATCCATTATACACAAGAAATACTCTGTTCTAAACTCATCTTCACCCGATAACGTGCTGTCATCTGTACTCTCATATTCAAATTGTCTTTTTCTTTTTCTGCTTCTTTTCTGTTTGAATACTTGATCCACATCCATTGCTTTGGCAATTTCTTTTGCAGTAATCATGGCAGAATTAAAACCATTTTCCCGATAATTTGTCAAGTAGGTGACGAGTCCTTTAATTTGCTGTATTGCTACATCAAGCTGCATATCGGCTGATTGTAGCGATTTACTCACAGTATTAACTGCGAATAGGATGTCATACCAAATGATCACAGCAAGGATGAATTCAAAATTTCCTACCTCAAAATTAGCAAGTGATTCTGCTTCGGCTTTTACCATAGGGTCCTTGGACTCATCTGATACAGTGAAAAGGGCTTCCTTTATTTCGCTTATTTGGTAGCGCAAAGCTTTTACACTCTCTATACGGCATTCCCATCTTGTGTCTGACAGTGATTTTACTGTGATGTAAGGCACAGCTTCTTCCAAAATCTTCCATCTTGCAGGTGAACCGGCAAATATCACATAGATTCTTTGCAGAACACCAAAAAATGTCACTGCTTTAGAGCTGATCTTCGCCATATCTCCCAACACAAGATTAAGACTATGGCAGCCGCAGGGTGTGAAAAATGCGCGACTATTCTTGCGAAGAATATGGGCTTGCACTCCTAGATGTTTTCCTTTCATATTAGCCCCATTATCGTATCCCTGTCCTCGACAGTCATCAATATCCAAGCCTAATTTCTCGAGTGCAGCTAGCAGTAACTCTGACAATCCTTTGCCTGTTGTGTTTTCAGCAATAAAAAATTCCATGAAATGTTCCACAACTTTTAAGTCACAATCTGAAGCATCCACAAAGCGCACAATCAGCGATAGCTGTTCTTTGTGACTGACGTCAGGAGTGCAATCAAGTATTATTGAGAAATATTTTGCAAGTTTCAGTTTAGCGATAATTATCTTCTTCACTTCAGATGCCATCAATTCTATGAATTCATTTTGGATTTGATGTCCTAGGTAATGATCATGTGTTTCTCCATCTTTAATACGACGAACGTGCTCTTGGATGGTTGGATCAAGTTTTGCAAGCATCTCAATCAATCCTAAGAATTTACCATTATGTGGTTGGTAGAGCTTTTCAGTTTTTCCACGAAACGCACTGTTATTTTCAGCAAGATACTGCACGACAGCCAGGATTCTTGTCAGGACATCCCGCCAATGACGTTTTTCTTTATTTATTTGATCTAGCATCTGGACATCCGCTTTAGGGATTCTAGCCATGCTTTCATATTGTTAATATGTTCTGCAGAAAGCTCATGTTTTTCCAGTTTTTGTCCAAGATGTCTCCAGTCATTACAACCCCGTTTGACAATTTTCCCGCGGAAGATTTTCCATACAGCTTGCAACAAAAACAAAATGCTGCATCTTTTATTTGAGAATAAACCAACCATCGCCTATCTACACATTCTTTGTTTGGCATCTTCCGAATATAAAAATTCCTTGAAAAGTGTCTCTTTTCCATATCTATTGGATAATCATGGTCGTCAGGTAATCTGATCGGACCTTTCTCCAACAGCAAACTCCGAAGGGCATTAGACATATGTTCCCAATTACCCGGATCGTATATATCCTTTACGATCATTGGGAATGAATTATCTTCGCCAGAATCATTTTCAGAAAGGCCGCTTGATTTGTCCCTATTGTCAAAATTCGGGGGGTTTGCAGCTGACAATAAATGACGCGAGGATTCATTATTACTGTCATCACCACAAATGGTAGTACTCTCATTGTAGTCCTTTTTGTTACGTTCCACATTTGCGACATTGGAATCCACAACCAAATCAACATTTTTTTGTTGTTTACCAACTTCCTTTGGATAGCGTATGTACTTGTCCAACGCGCCTGCTTGTGTTTTATCAAATTCTTCTCTTAAATTGCGTTTCCTCGCTTTTGATGCACCTGATTCATACTTGCGAAATCTATCTCTGTCTCTTGTAGCCATGGTGTAGAGGAAAAATTGTGAAATCACTTTGAAGCAACGTTAAATCGTTCCACAGTGGCGGGTGATAGTATCGATATTTTCTCAATTTATCGAGTGTTAACAGTGGCATTCAAAGTGTGTGGATGCCGGGGAAAATAGCAAAACATTGATAGATTTCGGAATAAGCCCGAATCGTGAAAAACACTGTTTACGGCTATAGATATCCAAATGAAATGACTTTCAAATGTAATCACGGACGCTCAGTAAGGTGGAACACTGGGGGGGGGGGGGGGGGTGACAGTCGGTGGGGTTAGGTGAAGGATAACTGTACATTTAAATCTATGGGATGCCAAACCCTAAAAAAATCAGTTCGGGTACTACGTTACTGGATCTCTGACCGCAGCCATTCAAGAGAAGGTGCGTGTTTATAGAGCGTCCGCGTATTACATTACAGATTAAGACCGCGTTCTCACAAGAGAAGGTCCGTGTCTATAATTAGAAAGTGAACCATGTGACAGCCAGCTTCATGTTATTTATGGCATGCTCGGACTGCCGGTAATTTAGACGTTTTAGAAATCAGGAGAACTTTACCATTAAACAGTCTCGGCCCGATGTATCAAACAGTATAGACTTTATAATTTGTTTAGTGTGCCTACACTATTTTGAAACAAGAATCACTATGGCCTTAACTATTATACTGAATATCCCTACACAGAGGCTTAGCGAGGGGGGGGGGTGCGGGGGTGCGGACCGCACCGGGTGACACCATTTAGGGGGGTGACACCAAGGCAAAAAATAGCAAAATATATAGAGAAAAACTTGAGTGGGGTGCAAATCGAAAGTTTGAGGGGGGGGGGGGTGCAAATCGAAAATTTGAAAGTTTTTTCCCGGGAAGGGTGGCTACGCCTCGGGGGGGGGGGGGGGGTGTGACACCATTAAGTGCCGCACCGGGTGACACCCGACCTCGCTACGCCACTGTCCCTACAATTAATTAAAATAAACATGTGCTTAATCACTTTACGAATACCGTTAAAGTTTACCAAAATGAAAATGGACATAATTACTGTATAAATGCCCTTCAAAAATATAAAAATAAATACAAGTATAATGTATTTAAAGATGTCCTTACAATATATAAAATAAATATGAACATAATTACTGAATGGATGCCTATCAAACGTATCGTGGTGAATATGCATAATTACACAAAAGATGCCCATACAGTGTATAAATTATGATTTTAAGGATAAATACTCTGGATGTCCGGGGCATGTCCCCATCCGCTCTCCCCCCCCCCCCCCCCCCCTCCTCTTCAAGCCATCATCAGGTCACTGACTGTTTACTACAGGCACCCCCGCCTGCTCACTAAAAAAAAACGTCTTCAACGGTCCGCAAACAATAAGGTATCTTTTTACGTTTTTCCTCCCATGTCAGGTCGGGGGCTAATTCGCGACCGCCATCTCAAGTCACCTCAGGACAATAGCGAGTCGCCCGTGCCAGCGATGTGTGACACTAATGTCTTTCTTTAGAATAACGGTCTGTCCCAGTCCATGTAGAGGATAACTCACTAACATCAGCCGTGGCCTCAGTTTTAACATCCAACAATTTCGGCCATTTAGTTGGGGTTTTTTTTAATTTAATTCAGCAAAAAATATTTAAGTTTACAAACTAATTCAGGCAACAATGGCGTTGCTGAAGCGCGGGGCCCCTTCAAGCGCGGGGCCTGGGGCGGCCGCCCCGTTTGCCACCCCCTAACGCCGGCTCTGGATTTATGATACAGCCATACGCCCAATGTAATGTAAGTAAAACAGGTACTTGGAACTTAAAAGACAACGCCCTCTCTTTTTGTGATACATTTTTCGGGTCAGAGTTATCGAACATTTTTTCAGGAAAATGCTGTTTACGTCAGCTTTCAATCAATAACTTGTGAAGTCTATGGCCAAGGACTAAAAATAAACTCTTCGTATTTGTGTGTGATAAAGGGTGAGTGAAGAAAATAATTCAGTAGGTCTGTGTGCATTCTCGTTTGGGAAACACGATAATATGTTGATACACATGGTATGTTGATACTCGTGACGTGTTGATAACCTGATGTGTTGATAGAGTTAAGTGTTGATACAAATGTCGTGTTGATACACCTGGTATGTTGATACACCTGACATGTTGATACACCCGACATGTTGATACACCTGACATGTTGATACACCTGACATGTTGATACACCTGACATGTTGATACACCTGACATGTTACACCTGACATGTTGATACACCTGACATGTTGATACACCTGACATGTTGATACACCTGACATGTTGATACACCTGACATGTTGATACACGTGACGTGTTGATACACCTGACATGTTGATACACCTGACATGTTGATAACCTGACATGTTGATACACCTGACATGTTGAATCACCTGACATGTTGATACACGTGACATGTTGTTACACCTGACATGTTGATACACCTGACATGTTGATACACCTGACATGTTGATACACTTGACATGTTGATACACCTGACATGTTGATACACCTGACATGTTGAAACACATGATGCGTTGATACACTTGGTATGTTGATACAGCTGAAATGTTATACACCTGGTATGTTGATACACCTGACGTGTTGATAATAACCTGACATGTTGATACACCTGACATGTTAATACACCTGACATGTTAATACACCTGACATGTTGATACACCTGTCGTGTGGAAACACCACACCTGAAATGTTGATACACCTGACATGTTGATAAACTGACATGTTGATACACCTGAAATGTTGATACACCTGACATGTTGAAAAACCTGACATGTTGATACACCTCCTGCCCTGTGGATTCCAGGTGAGGGCCTGTCTTGTTATGCTGGATACAGGCTTCCTGAGTGTGTGGCCAATCCCAGAGGCGTAGCGAGGGGGGGGGGGGGCGGGGGTGCGGACAGCACCTGGTGACACCATTTAAGGGGGTGACACCAAGGCAAAAAATAGCAAAATATCTAGAGAAAAATTTGAGGGGGGGGGGGGGGGGGTGCAAATCGAATGTTTGAGGGGGGTGGGTGCAAATCGAAAGTTTGAGGGGGTGGGGTGCAAATCGAACGTTTGAGGGGGGGGGGGGTGCAAATCGAAAGTTTGAGGGGGGGGGGGGGGGTTGCAAATCGAACATTTGAAAGTTTGTCCCCGGGAGGGGTCGCTACGCATCTGGGGGGGGGGGGGGGGGGGTGACACCATTAAGTGCCACACCGGGTGACACCCGACCTCGCTACGCCACTGGCCAATCCATTTCCATTTTCTATAGAAGAATCTCTTCTTCAGCTGGCAGTTGATTTGTCCGTAGCCATAGTACTTCATTTCTGATAGTTTTAGGCCAGCGAAATCGCAGGAACTTTCTGAGGCATGAGTTTATAAATTATTGTATTTTCTTCTTATTTGTGTTATGCTATTAGGTTGATTTAATTTTTATTCCTCCCCTTAGAGAAATGGACCGCCCAGTGAGTCTTGACGAAATACATTTGTTAATGGTCGGTAAAACCGGATACGGAAAAAGCGCTACCGGAAATTCTATCCTCGACAAAAGGGTGTTTGAAAGCAAAGCCTGCGTGACCTCAGTGACGAAAGAAGTACAAAAAGGAGATAACATTATCTGTGGCTCTCGTGTGTTCGTTGTCGATGTTCCGGGGTTGTTTGATACGGAAGTAAGCCCAGCAGAGCAAGAAGCTATTGCGAGAGATTCAATGAAAAAGGGTTTTAAGCAATCGAGAAGATTCCACGCTTTATTGTTTGTTGTGAAGTTCGGGGAGAGGTTTACTACCGAGGATAGCGATACGTTTAAAACCATAATGTCTGTCTACGGTAGAAAAGTGATAAGAAATTACGGCATTTTGGTGTTTACGTACGGCGATCAAGTTGAAGCCAGCGAAGAAGTGGCGTCTTTCCCAGACTGGCTGAATAAACAGGAGGGCGAAGTTCAAAAAGTTCTCAACGAATGTCAAGGACGGTACGTTTTGTTCAACAACCGCGCGAACGATATCGCAGAAAAATGCGAGCAGCGAAATACACTGCTGACGATGGTGAGGACATTGTCGTCCGGAAATGACACGTTTGGAAAATCGGATGTCATTTCCGTCGAGGATAAAAGATGCATTACCGATATTAAAGAACAAAATCAACTGAAGTTTTCTGAAATCGATTCAAGGGTTGATAAAATCAAGGCTGATTACCGAAATGATCACGATATTGAAAAGCACGATGAGAAAATTTTTGAACTGGAAATAGAATTATCAGGAAGAAAATCCTATCTTGAGGAAATGGACGGCGGGACCGAAAAGTTTTCCGAGCTCATCGGCGACGTGACCGGAAAAATCGTCAAATTACAAGAAGAACGGCTTGCTACTGACATGTGCATTGATGATGTCTGCATGCTTTCCCGTCTGTCTATGATTGATAACAGTTGACGTCTATGTTATTACTAATAATTTTTACATCAGTTAAGATGATTCGCAAAAAGCAAGATTATCTCACAACAGATTATTTGATTTTGCTGTAAACAGCGTGATCAGAGTTTAAAAAAAAAGTCTCAACAAAATTCAAATTTGCTTTTTGTACTCGATGCAGCAGTCAGCGACTAGAAAATGCCTAATATAAACCCCAGCATTGAGTGTGGCGCCGAGACATAGCAGACGACACAGACGGCCATACAGATTGTCTTGACTTTCATAACCAGCTGTCTTAGAAGATCTCTTGTGGAGTCTAGTTGGCCGCACACCAAAAGCCAAAACAACAAGCAACGTAATAGGAACATTTGGCAAATAAACCATAGTTTCTTCCAGGCATCTCTTCGGAGCCCCCCCCCCCCCAAAGGTCTTCGACCCCCCCCCTTAACGAAATGGAATTTATATAGAAAGTATATACTTTTAACAGTGTCCGCCCTCTCCCCCCCCCCCCCCCCCCCCCCCCCCCGGAGGAAAAATTCTGGAAGAAACACTGAAATAAACGCTTCCACTACAAGTTGAACAAAAACATTTGGGAGAAGATGAGGCTGGATAGTGGATAGGTGTAAACTGTCGACAAACACCACTAGATGTGATCTAAGGTGGCCAGCAGAAGTGAGGCCGTCCGAATAATTAGTCGTGTGGGCGGGAGCTTGAGTCAAGTCTACGCTTCTTCAAGTAGTCTTCTGTGTAACACGATTGAGACATGGACATTTCCGGTTAAGGGGACACGTCAATAGACTGTACTCATTTGTTAATATTATAATCCTTACTTTTACCATCTTTGTTGGTTGCTTAATTCAACTGCTCAATACATGCTTTGATCATTATTGTATGCTAATTTATTTAGTTGGTTATAAGTTTATTGCTACAACTAATTCAAATACCTTCCAACAATAAGACTTATTTATATGTATGTGATAATATGTAAGAATGTATAGTTGGTAACACAACTGCGTCAATTTCGTAGTCTTTAAAATGTTCTTAGTATTAGCATTAAATTTACTTTTAAAGATCTACTTTAGAATAGGTATAATCATAATAATTCAATAATTTAAGTTTGCATTCGATTTTTGAAATTAGTGTTTTGGAATTTATTTAGAAAAGCATTTTAAAAAAACCCCAACTATTTTTTTAAACATTGAACTATTTCAATTGCTTGGAAAAAAAATGTACCAATGTAGTCAATTGGTTTTCACAGCCCACTTAAGGCCTTGTGCTTCCACCAATTTGTTATCATAATTAAACAATCTTCAAAATTGTCATGGTTTTTATCTTTAATTATGTGCTTATTCAACATCACATTTAGGGGTCGGCGTGGTCGAGTCGGTAAAGCTCATGGTTGCTAAACCGAAAAGTCTCGAGATCGAACCCTCGGGCAGATGAGGCTCGTTAGCTGGGGACAGCCACTCTTCTAGTTTGTTCTTGGTTGGACAAAGGCTATGGAAGCAAATCCAAAAAGAAAAGCAGGCTGAAATCGGAGTCAATGGCCTCAATGGCGCATAACCAGTTGACACGTAACGCTTAATTGTGTTGGAGGCGTGGTCGAGTCGGCAAAAAGCTCATGGTTGATAAATTCGAACAAAGTCTCGAGTTCAAACCCACTGGCAGATAAATCTCGATCCCCTTCAACACTAATAATTAAGAACGAAGAAGAAGAAGAACATCACATTTGTTTGTTTGTTCTTAGTATGTTTTTTTGAGCTAAGGTTACACTTTGAATATCTGATTTGTGAAAACTATTTCACAACAGTAAATGCAAAATTTAAATGCTAAAAACTCTTGTAACTACAGTAATAGTTGTTAGATAAGTTTTCAAATTTTGAGAAAAAGAATATTTAGATTCTAGCCAAAAAATATTAAAATAAAATATCAATAACAATGAAAAAAAAAGCAATAAAAGATTTATTACATACCAATACATTTTTTAAAAACATTTTTTGAAAAAGTAATTCATCTTTAAAAAAAATAAAAAATAAAAATTGCACAGCTTTTCTTAATGCTAGTCTGATTTAAGAAAAAGAAAAAAAAATTAATTTCATCCTATATTAATGGTAAAAAGATTTCATTAAAAAAAAAAAATTAACAACTGGAATGAGATAAAATAAATGTAACAAAGTTTACATTAAAACTGGTATATAAAAAATATGATAAAAATATTATTTTGATGATTGTAAAAAGCAATAATAAAAAAAAACAAGCAATATTTCTTATAAAAGTTCAACATAGGATACATAGCTTCGTAGTTTCTAATCTGAAGTTTTTATTGGAAGACAAAATAACCTATTTGAAGAAGTCAATTTTATTTTTCTTCTATTTTGTGCATTCTCAAAAGCTTCTTATTATAAACATCTTTATATACTTATTTATAAAAATGGATTGAGCATAACAGTCAGAAGCATATAACAATTTTCTTCAGCAGGACATACACACACAATTGCAAGCTAACCTTTTAAAAAATTAATACAAATTTATTAACAGTACAAAAATATTAAGTTTTTGTAGAATTTTATCAGTAAAAAGCAGCAGAAAGCTTGGTGTGTTTTTAAATAAATAAGTAGATGCATTGCTTATGGACCGGGGAGAGGCACTTCTTCATACGTTATTTGTATGTAAGGATATTGTAATGGTAAATGCCAGTATTCATCATTGTAGTACAAGTAGAATGTATCATATAGTAAAAAGTATGGGAGGTACTCAATCAAGTGCGCCAGGACATCAACCATGCTTTGCCTGCTCTGGAAGTAGGAGTAAAACTTCTTCAAGCTCTCCAGAAGGCCTTTGTTTTGATAAATTGTAGTGGCGTTGCCGACGCAAGTTGGTTTTTTACTGTAGAGGACTGCCTTGGTGTAGTTGAGGTGAACCGACTGGTTGAACGTAGCGCCGTACTCGTGCATTTTGTCAAAAGCTCTGATGACCCAGGAGGCGCAGTCAAAGGGATCAAACCATGTGACACCAGCTGTAAGCAAAGATGAAACATCATTTTGAAATTTTTTATATACTGAAAGTTTATTTTAAAATTAATGTCCCAAACAAAACATTTTTGTATGTAACAATTACAAAATAATTTTACTATTTTGTATGTACAATAAATGTATTCTTTATAGCATTATCAACTACCGGCCTGAACAAGTTTTGTAAATTATTTTATATATTACTGAAATCTATTTTATTTTTTTTTAAATTCCGCTACTGGAAAAATTATTATTGTAATTTTTACAAATGTCTAAGAAATGTTTATTATGTTTTAATTTTTGCATAGAATTCTTTCTAAGCTTCAAAGAGACATTACGGGCACAGTGCTTTATCTTTTAAATATACTAAACAGTGTTATATATTGGAACTAACATTGTAAAATTATATTTTTCATATGATAAGATTGTGTAGAGATCATAAACTTTTACTCCCTTTAATTAATTTCCTGTAATTATGAGAAGATATCAGATATAGGCCCTTGAAAACAAGCTTTTGATTTTGATTTAACAACTTTACTCAAAATTTGTCTAAAAATTTAATTTTTTCCTTCAGGACCTGGTTGTGTTTAAGATCTGAAATCCATACCATAAATCTTTAAAATTATTAATTAAAAAAAAATATAAATAGTTACTTGGCTTTTCCTTAACTGTCCATGTTTCATAAAATGGGAATGTATTGTTGTCAGATTCTGTCCAATCAGCAAACTTGTTGAAAGTATCACCTGCAATTATTGGTTAAAAAAATATAACATATCACATCGTTTGGTTTGATAGGTTTTACTGATATAATTTACAAAACTTAGATGATGAAAACAGGAAACATATAGTGGACTGTAAAAAAGATCTTTTTAAATTACAGAAATTCGCAATAAATCTTGACAATTCGTAACTGGAGCAGTTATCTAACATATTTGTTACATATTTTTTTTCTCAAAAAATGGGAATGAGTTCAAACCCTTAAAAAATGCCTATATTTGTTGCAAGTCTGTTAGGCATCTCTGAGCCTATCAAGCTATGATGGGTACCTGGTAACTGACATAAGCTATTGGCAGATGGGTAAAAATAACTGATGGCCAGACACTATATTATGGTCAGAGTAACAGTACATTTTTGTAATTGTAATTTGTAATCTGCTTTTCGTACCATCACTAGTTGTTAAATAGTGGAAGTACTTTACTTTTTTGAAAGTGCAGAAATGTAACCACACACTTAAAATAATTTGCGTAAACCTACTGATAACACAGTATTTTATTTTACCGGAAATTTCGCTGACTTTGACCAGGGTACCATTGTCCCTCCAGTGCTTCTCATCTATGCCCATGTAGATGCAAGATGCGCCTTGGTTGCACCAGAGCAGATCATTTTGCTGCTGTCTGTCATGGGGAAATGTGCAGTTGAACAACTGGAACAGCTCATACCATTCCATGGTCATGTTAAGACCAGACTGGACATGATGAAATCCTATGGCATCGTGCATGATGTTCTGAGGAATTCGATCAATTATCATTATTATTTTCACATATAATAAAAGTATTTAGTATAATTAACAAATTTGGTAAAAAAAAAAGACAACAAAACAACTGTTAGGAATAGAAGATACATTATTCAACTTTGAAAGTAAAATAAGCCAAATATAAGATTCCTTACAAGAATAATAGGAAAAATGTGTCAAGGAATTTAAAAAATAAGAACTCTAAAGCTGAAATTTCATAGTTTTGGCCTTCTATGAGCAGTTTAATAAATGTCTCAGAATTGAAAATACAATAGCAGAAACCTTTTAACTTAAAGATGACTAAGTACAACAATATAATGCATAACACAGGCAGTAGAAAAAAATAAAAAAATAAAATTAGAATGTAGTTGTTAAGGAATGTTAAAGCAAACTGTACCAGCATTTCTGTACTTACAAACTTTTTAAGGAAATCTCCAAATTTAAACTCCCACACTGGAGCTTTCATTGCATAGACATACAAGGTATCTGTTGGTGCCACTTTAGGCATAAAGTTTGATTGCATTCCGGTAGGACAGAATGGAATTAGGCCAGCCTTGCAGAAAGGATCACTGATTGGTCTGCTTGCATAATCTCTGGAGGAGATCATCATTAGAACGATATTAAGCCAAAACAGGAGAGTTTACACAATAATTTTAAAAAGTTTACAGAGTTTTCCATTTCTAAAGTTTTCTTTTATTCTATGTGTACACACAATAAATGGACGGAGTGGTCTAGCGGTAGAGAGCTGGACAGCTAAACCCGTAAGTCTCGAGTTCGAATCCGGGTTAAAGTCAGTAGACCGTCCCTGAGTCCACCCAACTCTGATGGGTACCTAACTCACGTTAGGGAAAGTAAAGGCGGCTGGGCATAGTGCTGACCACACTAACTCTTCATATGCCGAGGTCACAGAAACAAGTGAGCTCTACTTCACTTGCCCCATAGACCGTCAGGTTTGAAAGGAAAACTTTTCTTTACTTTTACACAATAAATAATAGAGTGTAAAAAAAACTTAAACATAAAAACTACACCTGTGTTTTTGTGGCCAATTTGGTTCTGTTGAATTACATTCTGATATCCAACAAGAGGCTTGTGAGACCAGAAGAACCAAAAACACATACCAGAATGTATGTGCTTGTGACATTTTACTAGCTGTCACCCTTTTGATGAGAATAAAATAAAAATAGAAAAAATATGTTAAAATCATAAAATGAAACTTCCATAAGAAAAAAATTAAAAATCTCTTATACCTAAATAATTTATATTTTTAAAAAGTAAAAAAAACCTTTATACTTAATCAAAGCGTGCAGTGACTGTTTATATAGTGTATACTTTATAGGTAGAGTGTATAGTGTATAGGTTGAGTGTTTACAATGGTATGGTGTCTGGTCAGAAAATTTAACTCTAAAGTCTAAAGTTAAAGTATTAAAGTTAACGAGCTGACCCGCGATGTAGCATACGCCGCTTTCTAGTTGTTTTATTTTCTACTTAACAACAATTCATAATTTGTGAATTCGACACTACCCCATCCCCTTGCCTCCCCAACCCCACCCAGTGAAAGCAGCCATTTACAGACCACAATAAAAAAAATATCAAGCAGAACTTATTATCTCCCCTTATTTCAAATAGTTTAAAAACTAAATTATCTGCCCCTAATGCCTAATTGCTAATAGCCGTCACATATTTGAACCGGCTTTTACCAAAAAAATATCTTTAAATGTTCCTATAGTTTTAGTCATGCATTTTGCACAAAGCTGGCAGGGCAGCAGGGGCTACTAATTTTAACTAATTTACTAAAACTAGAGAAAAACTAAAAAAAAATCACTAAAACTACTAAATTATTTAATTAAACTAAATTTTAATGCCAAACAATAACATTTGATTTTGTATTGTACTAGATCTAGTGTCTAGATCTAGTACTAGTATTGTTTGTAAGTAAGCTGTAGTGGTAGTGACACTGTAGTCAAGTGTGACTCCGTGTAGTGTAGCCTACATTTGGACATTTCAGACTTTTGATTTATGAGTAGTAGGTCTATTAATTATTAATAATTAGGGTGCCCCATAGGTCACTACCTTAAGTTATAAGTATTATGATATTTAATATAGTAAACAACACGGTGTAAAATAAATAAATTAAATATTAATTCACTATCAATCCACCATCTTGAACTAAATCACATGATATCCATTGCTAAAATTAAAATGAAAAGTAACTGGACGTCACATGACTTTTGCTGCTAAAAATAGATCTAGATGAAGAAAAAAAAAACCCACCTAAAATTAAAAATTAGATCTTAATCTTTACTGAGTTTACTCTCTTTAATTCGGCCTGTTCAACTATTACTAGATCTAGAGTATAGATCTAGACTCTCTAGATCTAACTAGACTCTAGCAAGACCAGTACCAGTAGTTTAACACTAACACTTAACAGACTAGATTTTCTGGTAGTAGCCAGGTTCAGGCTAGCTAGATCATCAAAATATTTAAATATTACTTTTTTAGTATAAGATTAGAATGTAACTTGTTTATTTTGAGTTGAGTTACAGTGAGTGTACAGAATAGATTAGAATTAGATCTAGAATCTAGATCTAATCTAGATTATGATTATTATTTAATTTAGTGTAGTTTTGTTTGAATCTGTTTTATTTTAAGTTTTAACTACTATTTAATTTATTACTTTTATTATTATTTATTATTATTATGAATTATTATTACTAGTCTACTAACAATAATTAATAATTAAATAACTAAGTTTTTTTATAAGGACACTTGTTCAAATGTCAAATACCCAATGGGACAAATATCCAAAAGCCAAAAGTTACTTGCCCAGAAAAAAGGGTAATTTATCGTTTTGGGTACGTAAAATTGCCCGCGACTTGTAATGTGAAAAACAGGTGACTCCTTAAATTTTAATGATTATTTCACATTTTGAGGAGGATTTATGTTTTTTAAAATACAAAAATGTTTCCTTGTTTCATTTATGTACCTGTTTTTTAAACAATTGAATTAAAACTTTTCTGTAATAAATGAAGACTAGCGATGTTTCCAACGGCAACAGATGCAACCATGCTCATTTACTATAGCAGCCATCTTGTTTAAGTTTTATTTTTATAAGCTTATAGCGCGAGATTCAGGGGGAAGCCACTCTATTTTACAAATGGCTGCAGTTTATATAGCAAATCTTGCTCTCAGATACTGCTGTTTAAAGTTAATTTCTGGCCTATATCGATATATTTAGCCATTGTTTTAGGTTTATTATTCATTTATCTATAATATTTGACACAAACATATGACAATAATCTTCTATTAAAGCCCTGACAATGAGGTAACGTTTTTGTACATTAATAGCCGCGGGCGATTTTACGTACCAAAAACGATAGATTAGCAAAAAAAAGTTAATATCATATAGCCTATATATTTATATATTACCAAGTAGACAGTCACAGTTAGACCTATAATTTATTAGTTTGCAAATCCAAAGAAAGTAACCTACCTGCCACCTTCTATTTTCCCAACTGGCTGTATGATAACTCAACTGTAACGTCTTTATTTTTTAATTTGAAAATACTTCGCTATCAGAAACTGATAACCCGTTGGAAGACAATAAGAAATCAGGCCACAGGAGATAAGCTATGCGTCTGTTGATTTATTCATTTCATTATTAACTACACAATAACTATTACCTTTGCACTTGATTGGGGTTAAGTAACATTTAAAGACATTTTGAATTTTTGGCAGGTTTTTTTTTAAATTTCTAGTACACACAATTATTTATTTTGATATTTATGCCTATGAAATTTAAGAGCTAAGACTGCACGATGATGTTTTACAGTTTTCTTGCACATCTTTGTAGTTATTCAAATATATATATACTCATAGAAAAAAATACAAAATGTTGCCATCTTCATCAGCTATTTATTTCCAAAATAAAATTGCTAGTAGGCTGATACATATCAATAATAAACACAGGTGATCTAAATATACTAGAGATTCTCTGTTACAAATATCCACTTGTTGATTAGTTAGGTCTCAAGTTGAAGTTTTATCTTGTAAGAAACATTATCTTATTAAGTGATAAGATAAGTAGTGGGAAAGTCCATATTTTAATGCTAGTAACTCACATGACATTTTTAATGAGAGAATTACAATTATCGATCAAGTTTTTAAGCACGTTACTATTTTTAGGCACACTTTTGTATATTTTTTATTATTGAAGTATTTTGTTGCTCTATTTGGAGACAAACACAAAATAGATCTCCAATGGGCAGGTTAAGTCTCCTATAGAGATAGATTAGAGGACAGCTGGAAACAACTAGTAAAATATGTCATGTCAAAATTTTACTGATAATCAAATCAAAATGCTATAATTGTAATAAAAGAGTGTTGAAAATGTACCTTTGACTTTAAGGAAAAAAAACAGCATATTTTTATACAGTCACTGATAATATTTTATGAGTTATCTTTTGTTTTTACCATGTCCATAACCCTGGACTTCCCTATATCACAGGGCTATAGTAATATAGGTGGGGAAAAAAATCTTGTTAAGAAATTGTGTTGCCCAGCTTATGGTCCTATAAGGCAGGGGTTCCCAACCCCGTGCCTGCGGGCGCAATGGCGCCCGCCGAACGATTCGTATGCGCCCGCCTCTCACTATTCGACAGAGACAGAATTTTTTTCATAAACATTATTGAAAGGTTGAAGGGGATGGAAATCGAAAGTTTGAGGGGGGGGGGTGCAAATCGAAAATTTGAGGGGGGGTGCAAATCGAAAGTTTTGTTCCGGGTGACGGGAAGGGTCGCTATGCCTCTGGAAGGAGTTTGTCGATTTAAAATAGGTGGTGCCCGCCACCCTACCGATATTTTAGAATGTGCTCTAGAGTAAAAAAAGGTTGGGAACCCCTGCTATAAGGGGACACTTTTCTTAGTAGTTGCTTGGGCTAAAAAGTATAAATACCATACATCATACAGGCAGAATGCAAGGTTTTTTTTTCTTTGGAAGGATTGGACTTTATCTTCTTTAAGATGGTTCTCAGCATCTTATCTACAAAACATTATAAATGTAAACATTTGTTTGTCTATATATGTATTTCTGCTTTAAAATATCTTAGAAATACAATGTTTTTTTTGTTTCAGCTTGTTATTGCCCTATCTACCCAACAGAATAGCGTAACTATTTAAAAAAAAATTTAACACTATGCCAGGAACAGAATATGTTGCTCAGGTATTTAGCAGTATTATAGTTTATTCATCATCAGTACCTGTTTGTGCTGACGACACATGGGGCACATGAAGTAGAGTTCATCTGTTTTAGAGACCTCTGCATATGAAAGGATAGTGTGGTCAGCATTATTCACAGCTGCCTTAACTTTCTGTAACTTGAGTTAGGTACCCATCAGAGCTGGTTGGACTCAGGGATGTTCTATGGACTTGAACCCAAATCCGAACTCAAGACTTTAGGGTTAGAAGTCTAGCCCTCTACTGCCACACTACCCCATTTAGTTTATAATGCAGTTTAATAATATTCTCTTGAATTTTATCATGAGTTAAGTTCTAATTAATTTAATAAATGATGTGTTATTTTTTAAACATAAAATTTGTTAAAACCATGCTCACTGTTCTTTTAAGTTTTTTAAAAGTATATTTTGTAGCCTATTGTTCATGTTTCAGCAATTTTAATTTATAACATTTATAAACAGTGTATCACATTGTTTTCTTAAGGTCACAGATGTTGATATCAAGTGGAAAGTCAGTATGGCAGTTAGCAGTAATGATGTCAGAAGCTTAAATGAACCAATGGTAACAATGATGTTGGTGACCACTGAAGAGAGTGGAAACACAGTCAACAGACCAGTGGAAATGACCTTAACAAAATTCAAGGTTAGCTATTTATAGTTTTTGGTCTAATTAAAGGATGTACACATGTGGTGAGTTTTCTCAACATTTATGTTGTTTCGTTTGTTTAAAAAATGACTAATTGAGCAGATTTCTTCTTATTGAAGATAAAGAAGTACTCTTTCTCATCAGACAGGGCATGGGGCAGATAAAATTCAATGTAACTTTTTCTCTGACCCAAGGGATATTAATGTGCCTAGTTCTTTACCCAGCCATAACTCTTATCATGTACTATTCAGAGCTGAATATATCTAGGAACATCTTAATTCCTATAGACTGAGGCCCTTGAACAGAGACTTTTAGGGTTTTCTTGTTAGGTTCCATTTATTTTTTTTTATAGCTACTGCTGACCCCTCTGATTTTTGTGATTGAAAAAAAAATTAAAATTGTTATATTCCTCTTACCCATTTCAAAAGATCCATAGAAAAGGCTTTTTATTATTATAATATATAATTAAACTAACATATAAAGTTTCCCTTTTGAATTCACTGTAGGATTTCTATACCTAGAGGTGTAGATGTAAAGTTTAACCAATTAATTCACATGGGGTAAATCAATCAGAATGTAACTTACACACCTCTTTGTGTTTTTTTGTACTTTAACCATACATGTATTCACTTTGACATTCAGGATAGAAAAAAATAATTATGGGTTGTATTTTGATTTTTTTCTTCAGGAATTATTGAGTACAATGAAACAAATACAGAATCAGATGGAATTGGCCAAACTTGTATGACAGCAGCTACATGTAGTCATATATATATATTGGATTCTGCCAGTTAAATATTATAGAAGAACTATATGAAAAGCATATAATTTTCAAATACAAAATACATTCTTTTTATTGGAGTGTATTCCCAACTGCAACATTAAAAATTAAAGAGTTTTAGTGGCGCTTAGAAACCCACTTTGTTTAAAATATTTATAGTAACACAGATATTTCACACTCAGATTTATAAGCCTACTTTTATAAGCTGTTACTGTCAATTATGTTGTGTATTGTTGCTATTTGTTTAATTTGCCTAAGTTAATACGCTTAATAGAAAAAATATGTTTTGCATTTTGGTCAGTATGTTTTGACGACCAGTAAATATTACTTGACTGCAGCAATTCAAGTGTTTAATTTTTTTCATTTGATTTGTAATAATTTGAGGTTAGCAGCAATAGCTCACAAGTAATGCATATTTATAAAAGATCTGAATTTTCAATTGTAAACTCACCATTTTTTTGGAAGAGATAATTGTACTTTTGAATGATAAAACAAAGAAATCTCAGTTTCTTAAATAATTCACAAAGCTAATAAATGACATAACTGCATTAGTTGTTGCTGAGTACAGATAGTTGCTCCAATAAGATTTCCAGACATTTAAATGGGATATTGTATTTCTATTCATAGATTCAGTTATACAGGCATGTTATTGAAGCTGTTTTTTTTGTGTGAAATTAATGTCCAGCTTTATATAAACTATAGACTTGGAGGACATTTTTCAAAGATTTGTTCCTATTAGGTTAAAACTTTTACTCAACATTCTGTTTGAAACTTAATAACAAATCTTTTCATTTATAATTAGTGTTTAAATTTATTTTTAAAATCTGTATTCAGATATCAAGAATGAAGCTGATAATGTTGACAAGAAACTTGCATTCTTTGATATCATCTTGCGGGCATTAATAAGAAACAGCAAATTAAGTCATATGTTTTTGTACCACATTTTCTCTTCACTAATCATCACCAAGATCTGCATGTACAAGATGTTAATCTATCATTTTTGAAATGTATTATTTAATTTATTAAACAGTTTTGCTACATTCTTGTTTGTTGTAATGTGAAAATTAATTTAATTTGAAGAATAAAAAAAATGTCCACATATTTTCTTTTCAAGGGTACATACAGAATTTAAAAAATTAAAATTTCTTAAGTTTAAATAATCTGTTTATTGATACAGTAAAGCAAACAGTGAAGTTCCACCTTAAATAGGGGGACAAATAAATTATTTATCAATGTGCACAAATAAGAACTTACATTTTATAAACAGTAAAAGTTTATTAAATTAACGTGAAATTTAAAAAAAAAAAATTTTTAAGTGCTCTCAACTACTTTTATACTTACTTTATAAAATATCCTGGTCTATTTGTACTTGTCTATTTATAGTTTTTACAATACTGGACAACATCCAGTTTCTTTTGCAACAATATTGAGTATAAATGATGCATAAACAGATGAAAAGTATCCTACTAATGCCCATTGTTTGTTTTCCTATAATCTACCTTTCAATGCACAATTTGATTTATTAATTTAATACTAGTTTTATAAAATCCTATTTAAGCTGGCTAGGCATAGGTTCCCCTTTCAACCCAGCCAATAGATTTCTTGCAGCAAGCACAGCCATTGCCTCCCTTGTACTGTGTGTTGCACTGGCAATGTGTGGTAGTACAATACAGTTTTTCAGCTTCAGTAAAGGACTATTAGTAGGCAAAGGTTCTGGTGAGGTAACATCCAATCCCGCTGCTCCGATTTCTCCAGATTTTAAAGCCTCATACAGATCTTTCTGATTGACAATGCCCCCTCTGCTGCTGTTTACAAAAACCGCTGTGTTTTTCATTTTTTTAAAAGCTGCAGCGTTGAACATTTCTTTTGTTTCAGGGGTCAGTGCACAACATGCTATAACAAAGTCAGACTTTGTAAGAAGTTCGTCGAAGCTTGTATATTGTGCATTTGCTTCTTCAGCTTCAGATTTTTCTGACCTACCACTGTATAGAATTCTAGCCACACCAAACGGCTTCAAGCACTTGGCGACCGCAATGCCGATTCTTCCTAGACCCACAATGCCGACAGTTGCTCCATCCAAACCAGGACCACAAAGCCACATGGGTTTCCAGGCACCCCATTCTCCACTTTCTACCGCATGCATACCTATGGAAAAGTTTAATAAATATGATTTAACCAACTTGAAATGTAAACTACAATTTTAGATTGATAGGTGTTGATTCTAACAATGAAATTGAAAAAAAAATATTTTTATTGTACGCATATACTAGATTTATTAAAACATTTATTATCTTGAAGTATTTAAAGATTGCTATAGTATATGTAAAAATGGCAAATTTATAAGTACCTGAAACCATATAGCAGTGATGTGTGCTGCTTCTATTTAAAACTAAAACTCTGGAGGAGTTGGGGATGGCATTGAAAAAACCATATGCACCAGAAGTAATAACTTTTAAATTAACCTTCTTTGAATCTCCGTGAAGCTGCAAGTAGCAAACCAACAGTAAGTTCTGCAGTGGCATTAGTCAAAATTCCTGGTGTGTACCCAACAAGTATATTTCGCTTTGCACATTCTTTTAAATCGATATGGTCAAACCCAACAGACATGGTAGAGATGACTTTAAGACTTGGTCCTGTGGATAAGAAAATTACAAGTATGATGTCCCAACTAAAATCATTGCTAGCTAATAGATTCTAGTGATTGTTACTTTTCTTTTAAGGTAGTGGAGCAGATATGTTATGGCTTGAACTCAACTCCAACAAAGTAAAATGCTAATTTTCTATGTTTGGTTTATGAATAAAGTAGGCCTGGACCTTGAAGTAGTACCAGATTTTTTATTTATAAATACATTTATAATTAAGCTCCAATAATTTAAAAAAGTTATTCCTGCTCCAATGCTCAAGTTAGATAACCATGGTTTGTTTTACATACATTTTATTACATAGGCCTATATTTTTTATAGGCCTAGATCCTATACTATACAATATAAACTAATATAAACTCATTAAGTTAATAGGCCTATAGAAATATAGATTTCTATTTCATCAAGGGGGGGGGGGGGGTTGTGAGGACATTCTTTCCTCTAATCCCCCCCCCCCAGTTAAAGAAATAATGAATATTCATTTAATAAGAATTTTAATATCCTACATCACCTGCCCTATCTAACAACTCCGAGTCGATGCTATCGGTAAGCAAACACAAAAGGCCATCAACGCCTGCAACGGATTGCAAATAAAGTTTTCGTGGAGCTGGTTCGTCTGAATCCCAAGTTGTAATATCGCATTCTGCAGCAAGCATAGCTTTCCCTTTCTCTGGAATACGTCTGCTGATGAAAACATTTGGCCTAATTTGACTCATTCTAGATCTAGCTCTAGCAGCTACACAGCAGCTTTTAGTTATAGCCAGCAGATTACACAAATGGCTTCGTAAAATATACATAGAGTCTAGATCTTAGAGATAATGAAGCTGTTACTGTGATGCGTGTTTCAATGACTGTAAAAAAAAACAACAACTGATCCGTTAGTGCGGGCGTACGGTTAGTGGTTAGTGTGTGCCCTGCTTCAGTACTACAGTAGGTCAGAAAGAAGCATCAGGTCAGTTGGTGTAATAATAATACTACTCTACTAGATTCTAGTATCTACTAGTCACTAGATTCTAACTTCACTAAGTACTTGGGCACTAGATTCTAGCTAGGGCGATAAAATCAGTTAGGATCTAGAGATCTAGAATCTAGATCTAACTAGAAGTCTACTTGAATCACTATCGATTCGATAATCGATCGTTTTTTCTTGACAGAAAAGTAAGGGGAAGTAACTGTAAATAGTTAAAATAATTCCTTTTCAATTACCTTCAATTCTATATTTAGAGATCATGTGACACACAATCCAGTGATAAACAATACCAGCAAGAGAACTAGATCTGGATCAAGTTCTGTGTAAAGATCTGATAAGAGATTACTAGTCTAGATTTACTTGTCTTAGTGCAACTTATCATTCAGTCTAGGTCAAGAAAAGCATTCGCCAAAAAAAATAAATTAATAATCTAGTACGTGTGCATTTTGCTATTGAATAATATTAATAAATTCTAAATATATAGAGTCTAATTGGTTTTTTTAGTTTTAGGCCTAGATCTAGACTAGAATTCTAGATCTAGTGTAGATCTAGATCTAGACTCTAGATCTAGGATTTTAAAAATATTTTTAATAATTTTATTATTTTTATTTTATTTCTCAAGAAAGTTTCGACTCTACGGTTCTAGACTTAAGCTCTAGACTAGAGAAGAGTACTTATTAATTATTCAATTTTTCAATAGAAATGTAATGTTAAATGTAATAAATGACCTTGTCACACTCTTGTGACCCTTTCTAGTAAACTTTCTACAACTACTAACTAACTACTAGTAACTAGTACTAAGTGTAACTAAGTAACTACTAAAAGGTAAAACTCAGCAACTCTGTATTCTGTGCTGCAATATTCAATATATTACATTTTATTACATACTAGCGTAACAGTCCTGCATCATGGTGCTCACTGGGGAGCCCAGGGCGTGTATCACATTTAAAAAATTAACATAGGCGCCATAATGCTCACTAGGGAGCCTGGGAAGAGTTTCTTCCAGGCATCTCTTCGGGGAGGCTACCCGAAGAAAGTCAACCACCCCCACCCCCCCGAACGAGATGGAATTTATATAGTAAGCATATACTTTTACTAGTCTCCGCCCCACCCCAAAAGTTTCTAGTGCCCCCCCCCCCCCTGGAAGTGCTGGTGTGCCGCCGCTCTGAAATTAAAAATTTTCTTTTGCAGAAACCTTCTTAGGAGCATTCTCAATAGCTCCGAAAGTTTTATGGCTGAAAGATGCAGCAATGCATAAAGGACAAACAAACACATTAAATACTAAATGTTGGAGTGTTGGGGCATTGATTTAAATGTGATCAGAAATATGGCTGGAAAAAAAAAGACTTTTAAAGTTAATTTTTTCATGGCTTTTGTTTTGTGATTAATTTGTGTATGTGTGTGTACCCCAGGTGTAATCATGTCACAGTCATCACCAACTAGTGCCGGGTACCTCTACCAATACACCAACTGTCACATTTTAAGAGGAGGCAAAATAATCAGAGAGGATTTGTGGATCAGAGATGGGAAAATCATGGATCCGGAAATTCTTTTCTATGTAGAAAAAGTCAACGCTGATAAGAAGATAGATTGCAAGAACATGATAATCTCACCTGGATTTATTGATGTGCAGTTGAACGGTGAGTATTATACATGGATTTTTCTATTGCCTATTTTTATAAAGAAGAGACTGCATGTTCGGCCAGTGTAGCACATGACTGCTAACTATAAAGTCTTGAGTTTCAAATCTTGGACTTGTTGAGTCTGTATGATGTCCCATAGCTCAACCATAGATAGTAATGGTGGCTGAATATTGAACTCATTACACTATCCATTTATGTGCTGAGTCACTGAAACAGATGAATTCCATTTTATCCGCCCTGCATGATAAAAGGCATAAAATGAAGCACTTACTTTTACTTTTTATTTTTTAAAGAGTAAAAAAAAATATTTTAAATTATACTGATGGTCAATATAGTAGGTGAGTTCATCGGTTTATCTGATCTTTGCATATGAAGGGAATTGGTGTTCTGCACTATGCCCATCATCATCATCATCATCATTCCTTTGTGGCCCCTGGGGAGCAAAGGGCTGCAACCACACATCTCCATCGGACTCGGTTTTGGGCTGCCCCCTTTGTCTGTGCCCATGTGTGCCCAGCTGCTTTCGCCTCCAACCGTTCTTCTCCAGCCACTATATATATTTATTTTACCATACTCAAGGCAAGGACTAAACAAAGTTGAAAGAATTCTAGAACATACTGTATACCCAAGCCCAGGGACCTTACCAGATGCGTCATGACTGTATACCCAAGCCCAGGGACCTTACCAGATGCGTCATGCGTAGCGACTCTTCCTGGGGACAAACTTTCAATTTCTGATTTGCACCCCCCTCAAACTGTTGATTTGCACCCCTCCTTCAAACTTTTGATTTACACCCCCCCCCCCCCCTCGAACTTTTGATTTGCAGGCCCCCCCCCCCCCTCAAACTTTCAATTTGCACCCCCCCCCTCAAATTTTTCTCTATATATTTTACTATTTTTTGCCTTGGTGTCACCCCCCTAAATGGTGTCACCCGGTGCGGTCAGCACCCCCCCCGTCCCCCCTCGCTACGCCTCTGCTAGAGACTATTGGGTTAGCCACCTGGTGTTTGACCACTCAACCAGGTATATTCCACTTAAAGCGACAACTCATCCAAACCAATAATTCTTTCATTGAAAGATTGATTTTTGTTTTTTAAATACATGAATGTAATTGGAAGTAATGTCCCCTTTGTTTATTCTCTCTGATCCTAGGTGGATATGGGTATGACTTTTCCACTGATGTAAACCTAGAAGAAGGAATTGAGAAAGTTGCTCATGGCCTCTTATCACAAGGGGTCACTTCTTTCTGCCCAACTATCATTACATCTCCTCCAGATTTTTATCATAAGGTTTGTAGGCCAAGATTTGTATTTAGAAATATTTCACATTGTTATAGAACATTTAGAAGGTATTGCTCTGCCTTTAGCTGTGCAATCAGGGCCGGCGCTACCTATAAGGAGAACTAGGTGGTCGCCTGGGGCGCCATCCTTAAGTGGGTGCAAAAATGTGTAATCGCAATAATCGAAAAGTACTTAATAATTAATAACTTTGATTATCTTTTATAAACTAAAGAAAAGGTAATATACAAAGGTGTAGCAATCTATTTCGGTGCCCGGGACGAACTATTAATTTTGCACCCCCACCTCCAAATTAGGCCAATATAGGCCTACATTTATTCGCGTTGGTGAAAATGCACCTCACCTATCTAATTTGGAAAAGTCGGGGCGCTTTTTACCAGTCACTTTGCCTTTTTATTTTGGTTTCACATAATTGATGTAGAAAAAGATTAAATAAGTCTGTAATTTAAATTTCGAACATTTATGGCTGTTGATTTAGTGAACGCTCCAGGGCATGACAGGGCGTTCCAAAACACGTGCAATTTTGGTTTTTAATAGAGCTTGTAAGTCTCATTTTCTCTGATATTTTGAATTAGAAATCTAATGTAATGACGGGGTGTTCAAGGTATCGTATTTTTTATTTGGCAGTTGTTGTGTAGTTGTGTAGTAGAGAAATGAAAATGTAGGTGATGAAGTATCGTTGTTCTGGAGTCCGGGAGTATCGGCCCTTGCGATATTAAGGTATCAAAGTGTGTTGACTGTTATCTTATATTAGAAGGTCCAGTTAAATCGTTGTTGGTTGGGAGTATTGATATGAGTTGTGAATGTATTAGAGTTTGAGTATATCGACTGGTCGAGTTTAACGTAAGTTAGATGATTTCAATTCAGGATGGAACGCACTTCAAAAAAGGCATCTTTTAGCTGAAAAATCTTGAGTTTTTTTAGGAGTCTATATTATTTTGTATAAATATACATGGTATTATATTATTTATATAGGCTGGAAGTTATAACTAACCATACACTTTCTATTTTCATATTATTATTTTTTAATATTTAAACATTTATTGCAATTTCTTAAACAGTACCTGTATTTGATTTTTTTTTAATTGTATATTTATTTTGGGGATCCAAAAGTAAGTACTTTTATGGCTATTTTGGGAAGAACATAGTTGTTGTTGTTGTTGTTTTGGGGTTTAAAGTCCGCTTTCAAACTTACGTTTATATCGCAGACTATTTTTGGTGGTTAGTTCGTGGTTTTTGTGTATATACAGTTTGGTTTCATTTGTTTTCCTTTCATTTTTGGGTGTAGTTTTTTTATTGTGCGGGATTTGTATTTTGTTATTGGGTGAATATTATTTTATCTTTACAGCTTATTAGACTGATTCTTCGGTTTTGTGCACATATTTTTTTACCAGGCTAAGCAGAGTGGATGGGGCGTCCATAGCCAGTAATGTTTCTGTTGTTAGTAATGTGTTTTTGTTTATCTGGAAGTAGTTGATGAGTTCTTTTCTTTGATTGTTGTATGCCTTACAGTGTATTAGGTAGTGGTCTATTGTGTTTATTTCATTGCAGGTGTGGCACCATTTCTTTGTGTGAATGAAGGAGGCTGAACCTAGACGCAGCCTTGTAATTTTTTTATTAATGGGTGGCCGTTGGTCTTCTGTAACTTGCAGTCTCCCGTCGGGTGGACGTAGTATGTTGTGGGCATGCCTACCCTTGTCGCTTGCGTTCCATTTTTGAATCCATTCTTCTTTTATTTGTTTCTTTATAGTAGCCTTCATTTCGGAATAGCCTATTCCCGTTTTCACAATAGCTCTGGATTCCACTCCCTTTTTAGCAGCTTTGTCGGCATACTCGTTACCTTGTATGCCGATATGGGAGGGAATCCAGATCATTTGCACCGAGCGACCCCTTTGTTTCCACTCGGAGCATTTATGAAGAATTTCTTCTGCAATGTCGTCCCTGCAGCATTCTCCCCCTTTAATGGCCTGTAATGCTGACAGGGAGTCTGATAATATGCTGATGCTGGTATGTGGGGTTGTTGGGGCGTACTCGAGGGCCATAAGGATGGCCGTTAGTTCGGCAGTGAAAATGGAGGCGCCGTCTGTCAACCTAAAGCTTTTGGAGTGGTTGAGGTGGGGGATGTGGAACCCTGCTCCCACTTTCTCGTTTATTTTCGATCCGTCTGTGTAGATGGTTAGGCTATTGGTTGTTATCCTTTCTATCTCATTTGAAGCCTCAATACGGGCCATTACTGGGTCCTCTTTTTTATTTATCTGATTGTGCAGGTCTGTGTGTAATGATGGGGATGTCAGTTCCCATGGGGGGACTATAGGTTTGTGGATGACTAAGTTTTGATCCGCGATTGAGGTTTGGTTGCAGGATTCCAGTTCCCCCGGTGTTTTCCAGCTGGCGGGGGGGCTGAATTTCCCAATGGGGATTCCCCATGCCCTGGGTAGCACTGGTAGGAAGGCCGCTGAGGTTGGGTGGTTTTGATGTTTTACTTTGGCCCAGTAGTTTAGCCTGAGTTCCTTCCTGCGGAGTGAGAGGGGGATTACTCCCAGGAGGACCTCTAGGGCTTCTTTGGAGGTACTACTATTACAACCGGCAATTATGTTAAGGGCCTGGTTCTGTATTTTGTCGAGGGTTTTTTTTGTGTAGTTTGAGGCCGAGTCATAGACTATGCTGGCATAGTCTATTTTGCCCCTTACAAATGATTTGTAGAAGGTTAACAGGCACTCAGTCCTGGCACCCCAGCTGTGACCTTTTAGGTATCTCATCATATTGAGCATACCCTTGCAGCTTTGTGCTATGCCTTCTATATGTGTGTTCCAGGTCAGCATGGGGTCAAGAGTGACTCCTAGGAACCTTGTGGCCTGGGCTATTTTTATGACTGTATTGTTAATTTTTAGTGAGACCTGTTTGGTGATGGTGCGTGATTTTTTGTGAGTGAAGACCATTCCTACCGTTTTGGATGCGTTTATCTTGAAACCCCATTGGTTCATCCACTCCATCATTTTATCCAACTGAGCCTGTAACTCCCTTTTAATTTTCGTAATGGACTTGCCTGACCGCCATGTGGAGGAGTCGTCAGCATATTGGGACAGGGAGTTCTTTACGTCCGTGAATTCACTATCTAGGTCGTTCACCATGATGGAGAACAGTGTGGGGGCAATGACCGATCCCTGGGGTATTCCATTTTCTAGCTTGTATGTGTTGGAATATTGGTCGTTTACCCTGACCTGCATCATTCTGTCTGATAGAAAGTCTGTTATATAACTAAGTAGGGGGCCTCCTATTCCTAATTTTTTAATTTTGTGGGTTATCGCCCATGTCCAGCAGGTGTCGTAGGCTTTGGCCACGTCGAGAAAAATGGCTACTGTGTGTTCCCTTTTTTTGGTGGCAGCCTTGACGTCGCTTTCCAGTCGAAGTATCTGGTCCACTGTACTTCGATTTTTTCTGAAGCCTGACTGGTTAAGACTCAGTAAATTATTTTTTTCTAGGAAGAAGTTTAGTCTTGTGTTGACAACTGTTTCCAGAACTTTTCCTAGATGAGACGTCAGGGATATGGGCCGATACGACTCTGCTTCGTGTGGGGATTTATCTGGTTTAAGGATGGGAATTATTGTGGCTAGTTTCCATTTTACTGGGATTTTTCCTGAGCTCCAGATAAGGTTAAAAAGGTCGGCTATGATAAGAATTGTTTCTAATGGCAGCTTTTTAATTAATTCATAGCTAAGTATGTCTGTGCCTGAAGCAGTGTTCTTTTTTTTGTTTATAGCGTTTTTAATTTCTTGTACTGTAATGGACACGAGCGAGAAAACTCTCAAAGGTATTTGAGAGGTGTATAAATTAGTTTAAAAATCAGGCACAGCGTAGTTACAATTGATATGGTTATAAAATCCTGTCTGTCTGGTTTATTTCGGACTTTACTAAAGATTGGGTCTATTTGATGTTTTAAAAATTTTCGGTAACTAATTGAAAATTTAAAAACAAGCCAAAACAATTTGGTTTTCACGTGTAATGGCGACATAAACAATGGCATCCTGCTATTGGATAGGCCGACATTGATTTTATTGTACACATTATAAGCTAAAAATAGAAAACTAGGTCATGGGCCTTTTTAATTTGCATTGTTATTTAAAAACTTGATCTGCAAAGTTTTGTAAACAAATAGTTATCGATCACTAAGTTACTGTACAGCCAATCAATATTTGTCTTACGAAAGTGAAACATCCGGTTTTAACTTAGGCTTGATGAAAATAAATAGAAATGTAGCCTTAAACTCAACAAATTATTTTCAAGTTCTCTGGATTTGCAACTTTTATAGCATTTATTCTAAAAATATAAAATTTCTAAATTAATTTTAGGCTTAAGTTTTTATTTTTTATTTTTTTTTTACGGTCTAAATCTAAAAAGCACGTTTTTATTCCATGTCAACAATATTATGGAAGGAATCTCGTCAACTCGCTCGCCTCCATTGGAGCGTTGAGGTAATCGGCGTGGCCTGTGTGAGCGCTCCGGTCCTCCAGGTTATTTTTCATTCTTTCTCTTCTGTCTGTCTCGGCTTTACCAAGGCTTTCGTCTGAGCTAACCTGGTGGAAGTGTTTAGCTAGAACTTCGGCCTTCTCTTTATCTGTTGTTGCAAGCTCGGGCCGTTTTATGGCTGGCATTATTTTTTTTGTTGAGGTCCCTTGTATAGCCTTCATCTTCCTCCAGATGTCTGTGATGTGGCTGGATGGGCCTATAGATTGGCAAAATTTTCTCCAATGGGTTTCTTTTTCCGCCCTGATGGTAGCATTGGCTGCGTTTCTACTGGCTCTGTACGTTTCCTTATTTTCCCTAGTCTTGTTTCTCCTGAACTTTCTAAGGGACTTTTTGGTTGCATTCACCGCCTGTTGGCACTTTTCGTTCCACCAGGGGACTGGGTTTCTATTTTTGGGTGGGCTGCTGTGGCGGCTCAGTGACCCGGTTAGGTATTCCGGCATATTTCTGTTTGGGATGTGTTTTATGGCTATATTGAGGATGTTGTGGGTTAGGGATTCGGCATACTTATCGACGTCATTGTCCTTGATACTGTCTAGGCGGAGATGTTTGATCTCTGAGATGAAAGCCGGCCAGTTTGCTTTTTTATAAGAGAAGGATGGTTTGGAGCAGGTTGAGCTTCTGACGGGCCTGGCTTCGATGGTAATTATAATGGGTAGGTGGTCTGTCGGGCTTGACTCTTCTACGCTCCACTGTGCGTTAGGGCAATTCTCTGTCGTGAAACAGAGGTCTATGGCGGAGTCTTCCTGGCCGATTTTTGGACTGACCCAGGTTAATGTACCATCGTTTAGTATTGCGAGGCTATTTTTGTCGGCGAATTCCACCAGTTTTTTCCCAGCTAAAGTATTTTTCCTGCTCCCCCACATATTGTGGTGTGCATTGAAGTCGCCGACAATTATTGTTTGATCGATCAACCTTTTTTCTATTTGTGTGAGGTCTGTGTCGTTTAATTTCCCTTTTGGACAGTACAGGTTGATTAGTTTGAGATGTCCTTCTTTGTACTTTATAGTTACTTCGATTCCTTCTAGGTTTTCCGTTCTGTAGCTTTCCCAGTCTATTATGTTACTATTCTCCTGTACTAGGATAGCTACCCCACCTCCTTTATCTTCAGTTCTGTCGTTCCTCAGTACTGTGTAACCTGGACATCTAAACTTATCCTTAGGTTTTAGCAGTGTTTCCTGTAGGGCGAATATTGGGTGGTTTGTGTTGTGTTTTTGGATGACGGAGTGTATGTTCTGTTTAATTCCCCTACAGTTCCATTGGATTATTTTTGTTGTTTCTGCCATTCTTGTGGTGTGAGGTTTACTATTGATTTGGTAGCTAAGCTTGTTTATTTGTTGTCCTTACTGCTGGCAGGGGTTTTTCTTTCAGGGACCCTCATAAGTTTATCCCTGGTTTTGCTAAGAATTTCTCCTGGGGATGACTTATTTGCACTCTCCTGGGGGCGGAGGGTTTGTTTGACCTGTGCGAACAATTCTTTTACTGTTTGTAGGGTGTCTTCATTTGACTTTCTCAGGTCTGCCATCTCGGTGACGTCTTTGTGGATGCGCGCCTCAATTTCTAGTAGATCTTTTTTAAGTTCAACTATTTTTTCCGTCTCCCGGCTCACCTTCTCTTCCACCATTTTCTTTAGGGAGGTAATCTGAGCCTCCTGTTCTTTTACTTTTTGTTTCAGGGTGAGTACTTCTTGCTCTAGGGAGCTGGAGTTTGGAGGTATGGGAGGTTTGGTTACCAACCTCTGTTGTTTGGCGGCTTCCGCGTAGCTGATTTTAAGAACATAGTAAAATATATGTCATTGATATTGACTAGAAGTATGTTATAATAAAGCTACTGTGTTTATTCTTTCAAACAACCTACAGTTTAGTAGTCAATTTGTAAAATACATTCTTTTGACAAGGTTACATAATTAATATAAAAAAATAGGTATAATGATTATGTAGTTAAAATTTAAAGAGTTTTATTGTGTTTTTCAACCTTGTCTTAGTTACATTTGGTTAATTTAGCAATTCTTGTGAAAGTTATTTCCCTTGAATAAAATTTAAGTATTAGGATTTCCAAATAAGAGTTAATTAGCTGCTATGTAAAATAGACATTCAATAGAATGTTATTATGCTTTTACACTGGAATGGGAGGAATTAGTACAAGCTTTTGTGATGAAGGAGGAAAGTAAAATTTGATTTTGATATCTACATTTAACGTTTATGCAATTTATAATAAATTAATATGTCATTTTTAATTAATTGTTTTTATAAGTTTTGCTTAGGGCGCTAAATAACTTGGCGCGGGCACTGAGTGCAATGATGTAGTTGAATGGTAGCTCTTATGTGCACAGAGACAGCAAAATAGGGAACAGGGGGACATAATGCTGACCACACAATCCCTTTATATGTTTGGTTCAAAGAAACAGAAAAACACTTCTTCATCTGCCGCATGAACTATTAGATCTTAAAGCGTAATTTAAAAAAAATACCTAGTTAGTTATCTTTACTAATGAGACATACAAAGGGATTTGATGATTTTTTTAAAGTGTTAATGTAGCTATAGGGGCCTAATTATTTTACTCACCATTTAATTTTTTTAAATGGAAGAGTTCCTCAGTTGAAGAAACATGCTGAATTTCCTACACACAGATTATGTTTCTTAGAAATATTCTGAATAAAGTTTTATTATGTTTGAGATGTAGGCAATGAGTACAACAAAATAGCTGGAGTTACAATCTATATTGTAGCTCTTCAAGTCAAAGGTTCATTTAGAATTCAAATGACAGATTTAAGTATTTTTTTTACGATCAGGGAAGTACACAATTTTGGAATGGCAATTTTTTTTTAGTATAAAATTGTTTTACTCTTTTAGGTTCTCCCACGTATCAAGAAATGTAATGGCAGCAAGAAAGGAGCTGGTGTTCTAGGTAGGTCTGTGTCTTTAAATTACAGTGTTCAAAGAACTTTTAAGCCAGTGTACGCAGTTTTATGCTCATGATGAAATCAGAAAATTATCTGGAAATCATGTCATTAACGTATTAAAGGGGGCCAGGAATCTTTGTAGCATGCCCTTTATTTCTGAGAATTGAGCTGGTCAGTCTTAAGTTCCCTCAGTAACATCAACTTAATCTGGCAGATTAAACTGTTGACTGTCATATCTTTAAAAGGTAACTCTGGGTGGTTTTTTACTAACAGAATCATCCATCAAAAGAGTTGTCTTTAAACAACAAAATTTGGCTTGATTAGAATTTTTTTTTAGAAACTCCTTCCATTTTTACATTAAAGGCAAGTATGTAGTTAGAATCTTAAAACAATCTAGACATAAGATGTAGTGTCAAACAAAAAAGACTTGTATTAGTCAAATAAATTGAAGAAAAAAAAGTACTTACTTTAATTGTTTTAATTTATTGTTAAGCTAATAATTTGATTACTTTAATTCATTTAGGTGTACATGTGGAAGGACCTTTCATCTGTGTGGAAAGAATAGGAGCCCACCCTAAGCAGTGTGTTAGAGATTATGAAAATGGCTTCTCAGATGTTCTTGAGACCTATGGAGATCTGACCAACATTGCAATAGTTACCTTGGCACCAGAAAAAAAGAACTCAATGGAAGTGATAGAAGAATTCTGCAAAAGGGGAATTGTTGTTTCTGTTGGTTAGTAAATTATATCTTTATTCATTGTCCACCTTAGGCCTAAATATGAGTCTTCCTTGTTTATATTGTTGATATAATATAATCAGATGTTGTTCAGATTAGATTTTTTCTTATTCTGGTACAAGAATTAGATCAGTGTATGTTAAAGTTTGTTGATATGAAAACCTAATAAAATTATACTAAAAAAATGCATTTCTTAAAGTTGAAGACCTCAAAATATGAGCATAAAATGTTCTGACTAATACAAGTCTTAAGAAAAAAAAAGTAGTCGAAAAATCTTACAATATATAATTCTTTGAGATGGGAATAGTTGTTTGAATCTAGAAGCTTCTAGAAAAATTAAATTCTGTCTTCTCAGATTCCCTTTGTTCATTCATGCTATGTAATAAAATGTATGTTTTCTTTAAAAAAAATTTAAAAAATAAATTTAAATAAACATTTTTCCAGGTCATTCAAATGCTAATTTGGTTGAAGGAGAAGAAGCCGTTAGATCAGGTGCCAGATTTATAACACATCTTTTCAATGCTATGCTTCCAGTAAGTATATTCCCAGTTTAGCATATAGGCTTTTTTTTTTTCTGTTGGAGATTTTTCACAGCTTATTAAATAAACACAAAATATATAACCTAAATAATAAACAAAATACTTAGACTCTATAATGACGTTCTTGACAACAGACAGAATAAAGAGTGAAGAAAGAGTAAAATAAAATGCTTTTTAGAGCAGTGGATTTGCATCTTTAAACCAAAGTTTAGGAACTGCTTGGCCAGATAACTGTTGTGAAAATATTAATAATTAATCCTAAAATGGCACTTAACATGACCTCAGAGAAAAAATGAAAAGTACTTACAAATATATTTGACAAATACTCTTTTTGTGGTTATACAATTTAGTTGTGTATTTTCTTTTCTAAAAAGAAATATGCATGCTTGAAAAAGTTCAACTTCTAGAGTAAGCAAAGGTATACTCTCCCTCCTAACCATGCACCCCCCACCCCAGTATTTATTAAAAATAAATATTTTTCTTCTTTTATTTGACAATAGACAAATTGGGAATATGAAAATAAGTAAACAATCCTGACATTAATTTTTTTGTTTTCAGTTTCATCATCGTGATCCTCATCTTGTTGGATTGCTAACTAGCGAGAAACTCCCTCGCAACAGGAGAGTGTTTTATGGTATTATTGCAGACGGCATCCACACCCACCCTGCAGCACTTCGTATAGCCCACAGAGTTCACCCTCAAGGTAGTTCATCAAAATATAATTGTTTCATTATGTTTTTGAATATCAATAACTCAAGCTACGTCTTTTTTAGTAGCTTCAATGGTTAAACTTTAGTGTTTGTTAAATTGTTGAAAGGTTTTATTAGGAAGCACAAAGTGTTTCCTTCAATGTCCACTGGGTATTTTACAATGAAATTCACATCTTCAATTCAGTTATATCTGATGAAGCCATGAAGGAATAACTGGTTGAAAAACTAAGCATATAAAAGAAAAACAAGCTTTTATGAAACATAACCTTACATTTCCATAATGATAATTTTTCATGATATGACCTTTATAAAAAATATACTAGGGCAGCTAACAATTCTAAGAACCCAATACAGCAAATAGTGCTATCTGAACTTTGTTTTCATTAAACTCATACATTGCTATAAATCAATAGCACATGTTTATCTTTGAGTTTCCTCCATTTTAGCTGAAAATAGATAAGTAAGTTGTTTTTATGATCGTTTTTTTTTCTGCCAAAACCCTGATGTGTTTATTATAAAAAGGATTAAAATCTAAAAGTGATAAAACTGAATTTAGACATCCAAATGTATTGAAGAAGAAAAAACCTGGTATATTTAGGTACAGTGCTTGTGACAGATGCTATTCAAGCCATGGGCTTACCTGATGGTACCTACCCTTTTGGTGAACAAACTATTGTTGTAGAGGGCAAGAGATCTTACATCAAAGGGACCAATACATTAGCTGGCAGGTTAGTTCATAGCTAATTAAAGCTTGTAAGTTTTTAGAATACAAAACTAGGATCATCATCATTTCCCGTTTGTGCCCAAGACACATGGAGCAGATGATGTAGAGTTCATCTGCTTCAGAGACCTCTGCATATGAAAGGATAGCTTGGTCAGCATTATGCCCAGCTACTTTTGTTTACCTAATGTGAGTTAGGTACCCATCAGAGCTGGATGGACTCAGGGACGTTCCACTAATTTGAACCTGGATTCGAACTTGAGACTCTCGGATTAGGAGTCGAGCTCTCTGCTGCTAAGCCATGCTGTCCCCCAAAACTAGGATGCTTATTAGATTTTAATTTTATATAGATTTATATATAAGTGTTCAAAAATCACAAGTACTTAGTAACTTTGAGTTATTATTCTATTATTCAAATCTCAATGTACCATATGAGTTGTCATTAAAAAATAATGTTAATTTGTACTCTTTTAATATCATGTAGTTTACATTTTTGTTTACTTATGACTTCATTGTAATAATTTTTAAAATTCTTTTCCTTTAGCACTGCAACATTAGACCATTGTGTGAGGTTATTTGCCAAACAAACAGGTAATGTTAATTATAATAATCTGCATAAGAATCATTGTTTTAGGTAAATGTCAATACATCTTTATAAAGTATTTTTTTATAAGACAGAAATTATCTAACAGCATGGGATCTTAATCTTATATACTTAAAACAAAATGTATCTTTTAATTAAATATGGTCTTAACCAATTTTGATCATAATATAAATTATACAACTGGCTAAAACATAAATTGTTCAATTTTAAAAACTTTTTAAAACTTAATTTTTTAATTAAATTGAAGTAATATGCACAAATAAACATATCAGACTTTCAATTTCACATTATCTAAAAAAAAATCATTGAAAGAATCTTTATGCTATTATAATAACACCTGGTTGTTAAAGCATTAAAACTGTTACAAACCAAATATTTGTTTTCTTACTATTACCTGATTCACTTTTTTGAAGATTGTGGCATTGAAAAAGCTTTAGAGGCAGCCTCTCTTCATCCAGCTCAACTGATGGGGATTGAAGACAAGAAAGGAACATTGGACTTTGGCACAGATGCTGACTTTATTATGTTGGATGATAGTTTAAACGTCAAGGCGACATACATTGCTGGGGAATGTGTGTACACAGCCCCATAAAACCATTGACATCATACAAATATCACATGTTCAAACTTCCATTTTTCTATCATGTCCAATACAAATTCACTCAGGACTTCTCTGTCAAAGATTTTTTTACTATATTAATGTTATAAAAACAAGGCATTATTCTTGTCCATTGTATAAAGAAGTTTTTGTAATATTCTTTTAAAAAATTTCTTTTCTTCATTTCTATAACCAGGATGAACTGCATAATCTCCGTTTGCATTTAAAAAAATTTAGACTTGTGATTTAATTGATTGTAGTTAATGTGAACAATCAGGTAAACATTTCCGTGTGTATTTATTGTTAGCTATAATAATTGAACATGCATAAATAATATATATGTATATAAAATATTTACTGGCTCCCCCCCCCCCCCCTTATTTGCACGCAATTCATGGATCTATCTTTGTATTAGTTTTATAGGTAGTTGTCAACAATGACATTTTAAATAATTCCAAATGTAACCTCAAATGTGTCCAATATTGAACCCAGGATCTTGATGGACCGAAATGAAAAGATGGATATTTGTCAGATTCACCCCCCCCCCCCCCCCCCCCCCCCCACAAAACAAAAAAAACATGTTTGTCAAATCATAAAAATGGCATTTCCTAATATTGAATTATGGCTGGCCAATTTAAAATAAGATTATTCCATTTTGCGGCAGGCAAGTTAATACTTTTGTTACTGTGATACCCTCAGCTCCACTACCTAGCATAATTTTTAGCAAACATTCCCTTTAAGCACACTTTACTTTATTTAAAATATTTTTTCTTATATTTTGTCTTTTATTAAAATTCAATTTTAAGTAACATACAGTTCTATGCAATAGCTATTATTTCCTCTGGTATGTTGTTTCAGTCGATTGTTTTGTTTGTTTTATGTATGTTTATCAAAACATGCTATTTTCTTCCAAATTTTACTAATAATTATTGTTTACAATTTTTAATTAAATAGAAAAATAATTTTAATAAAATATATTTATTTTTAAATACCTGCTTTCAAGCTTTGTTTAGTGTGTTCCCATTGGCTCGAATAAGGATTAAAGTGAGCTTTTTCAATGAGTAACTTTTAAGAAGATAAAATTTGGTGATAGATACTTTTATTCACATTTTATTGTACATTGCTGAAAATCAAGGCCAAAACAGTTGCAATAAAGATTTTATTCTGGAGAATTGGACAGTTTTCTGTTAGAATTCAATTTATAGGGCATCAACAATGGATATAAAAGTAAGAAGCATGTTTTGTATAAAAAGCTGATAATCAGCTAGTCATATATTTGGAAGACACAAGTGCTGATGGATGGCTAGCGGTTGTACCAGTTGTTCATATTTGTACCAGCTAACAACTTAAACAAGGTCCCTAGATCTTGTCAATTATTTTATTCATGTTTAGAGCAGTGGTCAGCTAAGTCGGCCTCTAACACTCATGTTAATGACCCCCCACTTTGAAAGTGATTTTAACATTTGATGTACAAAGTATTTCTTCATGAGTTTCATAATCATTGAAGAAAATAAGCACTGTAAATAATGCAAAGAGAAAAAAAATATGCATGATTCCTTACATCTGCTTTCATTTTCACATACCATAAAAGACAGAAAATTAAAAACATGCATAAAAATTACACACATTCCATCATACACAAAAATACTTTAACAATTCATCAATAATCAGCAATTAAATTCTACATCCAGTAATATGACAAGTAAGTATTATGAAGAAAAAAACATTGTACAGTTCTATAACTCCACCCCAAACAAGTCTATGTGCAGATAATGCTATCTGTAGACACAGATAAATGCTGCACTGTACAACTGCATTAACAATGTATAAATGTACCATAATAATAATATTTATATTACACATCAGGGTTGGACCAGTGTTTAACAAACCCAATCATTCACTGCTGGTCTGTTATAAATTCAAAAACGCAGTGTGTACAACTGCTTTTGTAATGTCTCCTGTAGTTAGAACAGGATAAATGAAAAGCTTTAGTCAAAAGAAGTCATGGGTAACCCATGAAGATCCTATGTACAATTATTTATACAGTATAAACTTATGATGAATACACAATCCAGTCTGTCAATTTTGTCACAAGAAGTTGTGTTACCCGTAATTTAACACCACAGACAGTAAACCATCTTATAATGTAGGTCTTTTATAAAAAAAAATCTACCTTATGAGACCTGATGGTCCATAAGTTTAATGCAAAGTTCAGAGTTTATTATGACCAATACACATGAAGGGAATGTGTTATAAAAAATGCCCTTTATTTGTTATTTTCCCTGACTGGTGCTAGGTATCCATCAGAGCTGAGTGGAACTCCGCTTTACCCAATGTTGTGAACATAGCGCAGAAAGCTTTTGTATGGCTTTAGTGCCGAAGCGAGCCATCTCATTTATACCTTATAAACTAGTCATACATCAAAAATTTAATACAATTTTAGCAAGTTGTTGCAACCATCTCTCAAGTGTGATCTGTAAATACAGTTTGATGCATCTTAATACCCCTCTCTCTAACCATTAACACTCTAAAAAAGTGGCAGTAAATCAAAGAGACAAACATTACAATAAAAAATTGACTGGTTAAACTAAAATACCTGCCAGAGGACAAGTGCTTGTTCCAAATATTGTGCCAAATTAATTAATTAATGCAACGTGTCATGATAGATGTAAATGGTTGAGTTAAAAATGTATACAATAATTATTAATAACAATAACAATAAGTGAGCTTTCTTTGTGCATTGAGATAATTAAATTTTTAAAATACATCTGTAAGCCTGGTTTGTGTATAAAGATTTACTTTGACTGGAATAAAATGATAAAGTGGAATATTTTGAGTATCCTTTTCATAATATAGAGAAAAATAAGTATAAAAAAATAAACTCCATGAAGCTTTTCTGTACAGTATTAATGAACACAGATCTTAGGAAAAGAAGGTATATCTTGTTATGTAGTGATTATTAATAGGTAAAATATCAATGAACTAAAAATAAGCCTAAATGCTGCATGATTCTATTTCTTAATACTGATATGTAAGTTTAAAATTTCTAGTTACCAACTCAGTAATGTAATAAATCAAATGTGATATAATGTAATAAAATATATAAAATTAAAATATAGCTAATTGGCAGTAATTTGTAAACATTATTTCCTAATAACAAAATGAGTTTTTAAAAATATGTTGATGAAATTTTAACTATAATAAGATTGCTTATTTTAAAAATGAGATTCACATACCATTACATTAAGTGTTTTTTAAAAAGTACCACAACCATTTTAATATTTTATAATGCAAAATTAGTTTCTATGTAGCACTGTCACATGCACATAATGTATTGCTTCCTGTTATGTAGTGAATGAGATCTTTGGTAAGCGACAGTAATTTTATAGCCTGTACAAAAAAATATTTTATGACCTATACAAAAAAAAATATCATTTTCAGCGTATTCTAAACATTCAACATTTTTGTAATTGTCATGATCTAGTTAAACATGAAGCCTCTGCTTTTAGCCTTTAACTTTAAGAAAAGTTTACAGGTAACAACTTATTAAAACATTAACTTGAATGTTTTTCCAAAACAAGTCAATGGTGCAACAATTTAGCACAAGTATTATAAAGAACCTTTAATGTCAAACTAACTGTATTTTTTTCACAGCTGATCTTAAAGAAAAATAAATCCCATCTGAAGTGTTCTGGAATCTTCCCCCATAAAAATTAAATGTTTGTACACACTGTACACCTTCAAGCAACTTTGAGTGGATGTATCAGTCCAAGAGTGTTCCTAGAATTTATACAGATTGTTTCATTTCTTTTTCACCAGTCCAACTTTTTAACGGGGTACTCTCCACTAAGACAGGCTGTGCAGTGGCCAGACTCCTGGTCCTCACTGATGCCCTCTGTGACCGCCTTCTTGAGCCCCTCCAGTGAGAGATACTTCACTGAGTCCGCTCCTGTTGAAACATTTATTAACATGAATAGTTAGCGGGATAATTTGATCTAGGAAGTATGAAATATATATTTAAAAAAAAAAAACTTACCAAATTCTTTGGCAATCTGGTCCATGGGCACCATGTTGGCTATGAGTTCTTCTCTTGTTGGAATGTTGATGCCCATATAACATGGGTACTTCACTGGAGGGGAAGCAACTCTAATGTGGACCTGTTGGTGTTTAATTTAACAATAAATAAACTTACAAAACAAGAGGTTATTTGGACCAATTTACAAAAAAAAAGAAGTTAAACAAGGAATTAAATCCAACAGGAACATACGCAAAAATATAACTACCTCTTTAGCTCCACATCTTTTCAGCAGAGCAACAATGGCTGCCATTGTATTCCCACGTACTATACTGTCATCTATCAAAACTATTCTCTTCCCCAAGAAATTGTCCACCAAGGGACCAAACTTCTTCGCCACTCCAAGCTTCCTTAACCTTGTGCATGGCTGGATGAATGTACGGCCAACGTATCTGTTTTTACACAGGACTTCCATGTAAGGAATATTTAACTGAATGAGAAGAAATTTTAAAAAATTATAATCTTTCTGAAAGCATATTAGAACTTTGTTAAACTGCATACAAAATATGAATTTTATGAAACCGAGCAAAAATTTATTTGGTAATTTTAACATCTTTAATAGCAGAGAATTTAACAAGACTTGTGGCGTACCGCATTAGCATACTCCATGGCGGCTGGGGTGGCAGATTCTGGCACAGTGCTGACCAAGTCCACATTCACTGGCCACTCCTCCGCCAGCTGTTTACCACACCTTCTCCTCACACTGGCAACCATCTGACCTGAAACATTTACAATAAAATTTAGGATAGAAAAAAACATTATTATTTTTTAAACAATTAAAGCACACAAGAAAAACAAGATGTTATTTAATTGAGTTAAAAAATACCATTAAAAAAAGGAAGAAGTAGAGTACTGAGTTGTACCTTCGAAGACCGTGTCTGGTCTAGCAAAATAAACATATTCAAATATGCAAAAAGCTGGAGGTTGAGCTTCGGGTCGAGGCACAATACATCTAGAAAATATTCCATCTTTGGTGATCTCCAGAATTTCACCTAAACAAAACATGAGTTCAAAGGATAGTTGAAATAAAAATGTCCATGCATTTATGCTTTTAAAATCACTGTTAAGTCTTGAAATGACAGATAACTGTGAGCTAGTATTCAAGAGTAACATTTGTACCTATAACATACTTCTAAATTCAAGTCATTTAGCCTAGACAAAACATTTCTGAATCCAAGGTATATAATTAAAAACTTGTATAAATTTACGGTATATACCTAAAACATACTCCTAAATTCCTGGTATATACTGAAAAACATACTTCAAGGATATCTTAAAAACCCACCTGGCAAAACATCTCTAACATACTTGGCCCCCATGGGATGAAAAGTGCAAGACTCGGATGCAACTATCCAGGCTTCACAATCATCAGACAGCTCTGGTCTTTTGCCTAGAATTTAAAAAGCACAGGAATAATCTTACAAGAAATATACAATGCACTGCTTATTCAATAAATAGTACAGTTAAAGACAAAGATGACTTAAAACTATAAAAGTTGTAATTATATGTGTCATTTCATTAAAAAAATTTATTTTAAATGTCCAACTGTAATATTATTCTTTTTATAGTCTACACATTTAAACTACTTTGAATCAACCTCTGGTAGTAGTAATTTGTAGAACTAACAAATGATTGTCTTTTTAAAGTCATACAAATTACTTATCATAGCTAATGATAACACATGCTGATAACAATACTAGTTTTAATCCAAAATATTTGAATACTGATTAATTATTTTAATCTCATTTTGCACAATGAGAATTAAAATGTTTCAGTATACAAGATCCTAAACATTACAAGATCACACTTAAGCAATATAAAAACTTATCAAGAGAAAAAAAAACATTTTAAGTTCTGCAAATAAATATTTTCTATTAAGGTTTAAAAAAAAACATGCACACATATTAGGTCTATGTGGGTTCTTGTTAGCTAGTGCTGATTAACTGATCACATTTGCTAATAAGACATGTATAAATGCAGGTTGTTTAAAAAATCTATAGCTATAATCTTATCATAAGGAAATACTCAGAATAACACAGCTCTATAAAACTATACAAAATAATACAAAACAGTTGTTTTCTTGAATAAAATGTGATGTTAAAATATTAACCTACAATTATTAATGATATAGACTGAAAAGATATAATATGTTTTGAAAAGGAGGTTCTCACTTTCATAAAATGAATGTTGGGTTAGAGAAATATTAAAACTGTCCTTTGTAGCTTAGCTCACTCATGCACCAATGTACACAATTTTATCCACAACAATGGTTTACTATGTATTTGGTAGCATACAGAAAAAAAAGATAGTTCACAATATGGTTTGCAATAAGAAAACAGCACACAACTCAAACTGAGGAAACTATCACACAAAACCATTTGTCTTATGAATAGCTATTGAAATATAAAAAGAGTCCCTTAAGGATAATTGACAACATCTGCATCAGCCATTCTCAGTCTTGGTTACGAAAGTGTCCATTTATAAAGAGCTGACCGGAGAAAATAACATCTTTCAATTTCCCACAAGTACATGTATACCTCTAGCCAATACAGCTGACAAAAAATGGCTGATCAACATGTTAATTCACAGAAGTTAGATAGGCAGCGAAAATGTAAAACATTTCAGAATAGCCTCACAATATACCTACAAACTTTATACAAAATGACAATTATTAAGGATATTAAAAAAATCCATCACTATTTCTATAGGAAGTAACGAATAAATTGTAATCTACTGACCGGCTGACTAATGTACACGTTTCTTGTGAGTGTTAGTAAAGTATTAAAGATTTGCAAAAATTATTCTTGTTGTGTTTTTAAAAAAAAAAAAATGTGTAACTGAAAAGTAAAAACTTAAGAATTTACTTTCAACACTCAAATTTTTTCACTCCAGAATAAAACAAAACAAGACTGGATTTTTTTTTTTTACATCTACCTACCTGTCTGTTCTTTGATTACTGTAAAATTTCAGAGGACAATTCAACAAAATGAAAATTTGTATTTAAAAAAAGAAAGTCAGTTTAAAAATGGAACCAAACAAATAAAAGCAACACACAATGAAACACATGTTAGAAACTTAAGTATTAAAATGTACACTTCAGCTTACTCATTTGTCAGCTGTCTATTAATGTGATTAATAACAATATTAACAAATAAACAAGAAAAAGAAATTTTCATTTTTTAAAGTTTGCATAACCCAATATAAATGTTTGATGAACCAAAGAGAAATGCTAAAAAATTATTTAGTTTAAGGAAAATGTTAATCACATTACGGATACTTATAAACAACAGCTTCGGGATAATCAAAAGAAAGTATTTTTACTGTTAAGTTGGACTATGTGTTCAAAATAATTTAAATGAAAGAAATATTAAGAAAAAGAGTTTGGGGATTTGTTTTTAAAAATTAGAATAAAGGGATGAAGTTTTTTTAACCTTGAACCAAGAAAAGTGTTGACAAAGTTGTGTGTGACCACAGAACCAGTTGAACAATTTAACAAAACACAACTGAGATAACAAAACTCACCAGTAAATGCATCAGTGGGGAGCAGTTTACCAATGCAGAGAGGTCGATTGCCGTAGGAGTCTCGGACAGCCCAAATTCTGTCCTTCAGCATGATCAGAAGGGAATAGGATGTGACTGTTTCCTGCATCATTTTCTTTATTCTGTAATACAACAACAATCATGCTAGACTAAGGAACAAGCATACAACTCTGAACAGAAAGTAATAAAGGCAAAAAATCAAATTTGACTGATGTCTTAATTAGGGTTTTACTGTAAAAAAAAAAAAGATATTTAAGAAAAACAAAGAAGTGTTTGTTGAATAGTGAATTGATTACTAAAGAAGTATTTGTTTAATAATGAATTACATTTTTTAAAATCTTCAGTTTCTTGGGTGAAAAAGCTAGACTAATGAGTTGTTTTTATTTGTAGAAAAAAATGCTTAACCAAAACAGTATTTGTTTAATTTCATTTAAAAAAAAATGTTTATTAGTTCCTTGGGTGAAAAAGCTAGACTAATGAGTTGTTTTTTTAACAGACCTTCCAACCCAGTTAGCTCCATTAGGTTCACCACAGTCAGGGGTGTGTGTCAGGAGTTGTGTGATTAATTCACTGTCAGAACTGGTGGACAGGCCAACACCATGTTTTAATAACTGAAAGGGAAAAAAAATTCAAATTATTTTTAACGATTAGGCCTACTAATTAACTGTGAGAAAATGTGTTGGGCAGATACTATTAATACCTGATGTGTAAGAAGAACCAACTAAAGGGAAGTAAAAATAACCCTTTCAGGCCAGACAAGGCAGATGTGATAAGTTCTATGTCACCTTACTTTCTTTAACTGAATTTAGTACCTAATAGCGACGGATGGACATCTAATGGACTATAATTCTTGAACTGGGGTAGGGGGGGGGGGGGGGGGGTGGAGAATGCAACCAAAATGATAAGTTTTACAAGCATTATTTCTCTGATAATTTATTGTCAATTTTAAGGGGAAAATTCTTAAAATCCAGAGTTTTCAAACAATTTATTATTTAAAGATATTTTTTTTTTATAATTCTCAAAAACGAGTTACCCAACTTAAGTTTTAAACACTGTTATACCTTTTTTTTCAAAGGCATGGCATTAACAAGTTCACCATTATGAGCCACTGCCATCAGCCCATGTATGCTTTCAACAACAAAAGGCTGGATATTTGATGTGTCAGAAAGCCCCTGAGTAGAGTAGCGAACATGACCTGCAATGATCAAACTATGTATAACAGGAGATTTTCTTGATAGTTTGTTACTGCAAACAAATACACAGATGAGAGATTTTTTAAGCTGTTTATAAGACACTATTTTTTTTAATGATGTTATCTTATTATAAAACGATAAATATTATAGCAAAAGTATGAGGTTAAAAAAAGATATTTACTACACTAAATAGTAATCCTCAGATAAATATTAAGATTCATTAAAGATTAAAGTTAGTGAAAAATGAAGTTCCATTGCTTCAGAGCATAAAGTAACAATTATTTCTAGTTCTCTACACAAAACTCATCTATGAATGATAGCAGCTACTGTATAGCACCTAAGTTTTATAAAATGATGATAGGTAATGCCATTAAGTACAAACCAATGCCCAGATCGCCTTTCAAACTTGCAATATCTTCATCTGAAAAAGCACTGTTAACTAGTCCCATAGCTTTTCTAACACAGAATCTGTCACTTTGGCCTGCTGTTACAATACCAACACTCTCTTGTCCTCTATAAATATAATATTAGATAAAATTATTAAAGCAATTTTTACTTATTTTAATAAAACAATAATTTAATAAATCTGCCTAGATTTACTTAATAACAAAATTTTTGGTACATTTTCACTGAGCTGTGATATTGACAGAAAATAATATTATAAGTAGAAATGTAAAATAAGGAAAATATCAAACAGTCTAACCCTACTCAAAATAGTAATAAAAAACTAATTTGTATAGGCCTACTAAGTTCACTCATGTCCTAATGTACAATAAGCACCATGATATTTTCAAAATATTCAAACCTGTGTTGAAGACCAACCAGTCCTAAATGTATGAGGTGAGAAAGGTTGAAGTCTGTCCCACTCCTAGCAGCAACCATCCCAAACAGACCACACTCTTCCCTCATCCCAGACTCTCCTCCAAAGGTTATCACATTTTCTGAAACTGTGGGTACAACTGATGCCATCTTGTAAGACTTAAAGTAACAGAAAGAGAAAAGAACATTACATTTGTTTCAATTAGCACCTTGGTAATCTGTAAGAAATTATAAGGCAAATAAGGGTTGTTTTAATTTTGTTACTGAAAATATAAGTAAATAGCCTACTAAATACAAGAAGTAAACAAGGCAGAACTAGGTCATGTCCTCCCTATTCGGGAGGTTTTTACTAGTTGTTTTTTTTTATACCAGTGTCTGATAATAGTCATAATAGAAATTAGAATCCTCTTAGTCTTAAAAATGGGTTTTAGTTTTAGATCTAGGTAGGCCTAGCTAGATCTAGTAGATCTAGTTAAATAAAATACAGACAACTCTGACATAGTTTGCTATACTATAATTAAAAAAATTATAATGGCAACTCAGTCATAGTCCTACGACCTACCATCTTGACTTGAGCAGTGAGTTAGTAGTACTAGTAGTATAGTTAGTATAGTACAGTAGAGTAGACCTAACCCGTAGGCCTTAACACAGGCGCATGCCAATAATTCCAATATTTCTAACCATTTAATTTAAAATAAATATATAGATCTAGATCTAGACTAAAATCTATTATTCTTACGTTATTTTATACTTTACACTTCAACACAGTTGAGTCGGTGTTGACTGTTGAGATAGACGATCTAGACTAGAATATATTCCTGGTCTAGATATAGAACTAACCCGGTTGGCAACAAGTACAAGACTGGTAAAGCTAGACTGTACATGTGATTCTAGTTAGTCTAATGAAAGAAATAACTTTTAGTCTAAAGACTTTCGTAACTTCAGTCTAGTTTTATTTTAGAATTACTTCCCTTGGTCTTTATATGAATTTTGTTTCTGTTTTATTAGAATGTTCATTTTTTTTAAAGGCATATGGGCTTCTGTGAAAAAGACAGATCTACGGTCTATATGCATAGCCTAGTTTCTGCAGTGATACAGTTTGAGACGCTCTATCAACTTCTTTCTTAAGGCATCTCTCCCGAAGAGGACCCTGCCACACACCCACACTCCACACCTGGAGCTCTTTAACTCCCCCCCCCCCCCCACACACACACGGACGAAATATAAGACATTGTTACACTATAATCAAGTTTAAAATAGCATACACAAAATACAAATATAGCCTAAATTTCAAGGGGCACCCCCCCCCCCCGAGAAAAATACCCGAAAGAAACACTCATATTTGCTCTACGCCCCCTCACACTCCCGAACGAAATGAAGGTAGAAGAAAGTGTGACGAAATATATTAGGATTTCATCAATGCCAATATTCTAATAGACGTGTGACCCTTGCCTGCAATTTGATCATATTTATCGTGGCCAGTGTTTCTTCCAGACTATTTTCTCCAGGGGGGAGGGGGGGGGGGACACGGGCTGAACTACATTTAGGGGCCTACAACCGACCATAATAAAAAAATTTATGGTTATAAATGTTTTAATTTTTCTTGCATTTTTTACTTGATGGTTGTTTTGTAAAACAGATTACCGTAGCTGCGGTTGGATTATCTTTATTCTATAGACACCACCCCACGCTCTTGTATATTCTTTTTCCCTTTGTTTTTAAACCACTGTGAAAGCCGAGTCTTCTTTCTCCAACAATCAAACTTATCAAAGATAAGCAAATGTTCAAACCACTTCCATGAGTTATTTCCCTTTTTTAAAATAGTTAAATAGGGGTGCTCATAAGCTCCTTTTAATAGATTTGTACTAAACAAATTAAAAAGCAATTACTTCTCTTAATTATTTTATTTTTATAAAGTACTTACTAAAGAATGACATTGTATAAAAAGGAAATTTATTTAAAATCAATAATATAAATAAAAAAAAAAACAACATAAAAATAAACATAACACGAGACACCATTACTTATACAAAGCTTTCATGGTTTCCATTCTTTTGACCGACAATTTGTTGTGAGGTCTTTATGGCAGACATAAAATAAAACTGATTTTCACAAAACACACTAATGCACTTACACACATAACATGATGTTGTAATTTGTTTTAATTGAAAAAAAACACAATTGTTTTTCAAGACCCGAATAGACCAGCAATGAGTACCCTATGTTCGTATTTTGTGTTTATATATATATATATATATATATATATATATATATATATATATATATATATATATATATATATATATATATATATATATATATATATATATATATATATATATATGGGGGGAGGGTGATTACAATTTTCTTGTGGGGTGCCCTTTTTTTTCTAGTTCCGCCACTGGGGGGGGGGGGGGGACTTGAAATTTTCGGGGGGGGGGGTGTGGCCGAATAAAATTTCCAGAGGGTCGGACACTGTTAAAAGTATACATTTTCTATACAAATTCCATTTCGTCCGGGGGGGGGGGCGGTAGACTCTCTTGGGGGGGGGGGGGGGAAGCCTGGAGAAACACTGATCGGGGCACGGGTTTACCTACATTACCGCCCAGCACACCCCATGGCGTGCTGTATAAAAGCCTTGTGTGTACGTTAATCACCCACCGTAAAAGTGAAGTAGAACACACTTCGGCGACTAACCAGATAGCAGGGACGTAGAGGGGCGCTCCTGGGAGCCCCTGATTACACTACCGCAGGGACACCACGTAAGGCCCTGGCTCGGTTTTATCATCAGATGTTGTATGCCACCGTGTCAATATTGTAGGGTGCTCCTTAAAACTAACATAGGCGCCATAGTGCTCAATGGATAGCTCAATCGCACTAAATCGTACCCTGTCGGGTGCCGGCGGAGGCGCCTAATTCAATTTACATAACGTAGATGCCACAGTGCTTACGTGAAAGTTCAGGGCCCCAAATCTCACCCTGCCGGGGCACCGCCCGGGCTAAATTTTAAAAAAAATTTGCGGGTACCTCCCCAGGAATATTCTCCATCAACTCCCCAAAGTTTCACGGCACTCGGATGAACGGTGTCAAACCGTGTCCGGCTTTTTGCTTTATATACCGTATATACTACTTTAAGGTATAGGCCTTAACCTACCCCATACCCCCCCCCTAAAAAGCATAAATACTGTAAAATATGTTACAGTTCACGTTAGCGTAGTCATATTCACAGTAAAAAAAAAGTATGCGCATCTTGGCGCGCTTTTTTTTTGTGTTTGATTTTTTTTTTCAGGTTTAGACTAGGATCTAGATGTCAAGATCTAAATGAACAAGAGAACTCTTCAGCAATAAAAGCACTGAACTTTAATGTAGGGTCTGAAAGACGACGTATATAATAATATACCACTCAAGTAAAATAATACATAGTAATTAGTCAACAATGCTTTATACAGTGATTTTAACATCAATAGGCTAGTTTTACTTAAATGGGGTTTTTTCGCGCTTTTAAGTTTGATTGCCATGTGAAGATCTAGCTAAGGTTTGACTTGTGTCCTTGGCCTGCAAGTAACCTCAAACTTGTGATCTGTGATCTTGCTATTCCGTATTTGGATTGGGGGGGGGGGGGGGGCACAGTTATAAGAATGGGTAAAGTCGGTTAAAGTTAAATATAGGTCTATATAAGTTAAATAGTTTCCATTTAACTGTAGTATTTTATTTTTATTTTGGAGCGATGCCTCAAAGCTCAAAGATACACCGTTTCTCACACAAGTCCGACACCCCCAGAGTTTCTTCCAGCCCCCCCCCGAACGAAATGATATTTATATAATTTATATAGAAAATATATACTTTTAACAGTGTCCGCCCCCCCCCCCCCCCGAAGAAAGTTTACCGCCCCCCCCCCCCCCCCCCCCGAAGATTTCAAGTGCCCCCCCGGAGAAAAAAGTCTGGAAGAAACACTGGACACCCCCCCCACCCCCCCCACCCCCCACACACACGCTTTCCCCGTCCGCACACGCCCCCTCTCCCTTAGGAGTGTGACGTCATTAAAACACGATCCCTTACATGTAAATGTAGCCAGGTAATCTTTTACGTGTAACTATCACTGTGGCACTAATGTAACAACAAACATCAGTACAATAACAACTCGTTTAGAATTGAATATCTCCTATTTGTTTTGTGCTTTTGTCTCAACCACGTGCTGTTTGTCTTGTTTTAAATTATTTTTAAACCTACACGAAATAAAATTGGTATTTACCGACACTTTAAATTTAAAAGAATAATGTTTGCATAAGAAGCGAGAGTGGCCGATAAAACAACAAAAAAATTGCGCCTGTCGATCATTGACCGGACACGACCGAACGAGAAGCAGGCATGAATTAGGCCTAGAATCTAGTTATCAAGCCAGAACTACCTAGTCCATCCTTCGGTTGATCCAACATACGCGTGCATTTGGCGCCCTCTTGGACAACATATCAACAAGAGTGTCCGCAATTAGGCCTATATATATCACTTATATAAGTATATATATATATATATATATATATATATATATATATATATATATATATATATATATATATATATATATATAATTTAAGCACTTTTGGATTATGTCGTTATAACGTACAATACTAAAGAAAATCTTATTTCTGAAGGCTTAATTAATCATAAAATAGTTAACATTCTGTGCTGATTTTTCTTTGTAACAATACTAAATTATATTTATGTATGGTGGGAGGCAATCCGACTCTCATCTCCTGTTGTTTTTTTTTTCTGAGGGCGCCTATAATTTGATGCCACACAATCAAGAATGTGTATTATTTTACGCCAAAATGTGACCGTGTTTTAAATACATTTGTTCACACAGCTATTGCAGACGACTGAGTGAACGACAGGCACGCGGTCATCGTCTGGGCCTGCTGGGGATAGAAAGCCGTCGTCCATCTGGGCAACCCATTGGTCAAGATATTGTACGTCCATCTGAGCAACCTATTGGTCAAGATATTGTACGTCCATCTGACCAACCCATTGGTCAAGATATTGTACGTCCATCTGGGCAACCCATTGGTCAAGATATTGTACGTCCATCTGAGCAACCCATTGGTCAAGATATTGTACGTCCATCTGACCAACCCATTGGTCAAGATATTGTACGTCCATCTGGGCAACCCATTGGTCAAGATATTGTACGTCCATCTGAGCAACCCATTGGTCAAGATATTGTACGTCCATCTGACCAACCCATTGGTCAAGATATTGTACGTCCATCTGAGCAACCCATTGGTCAAGATATTGTACGTCCATCTGACCAACCCATTGGTCAAGATATTGTACGTCCATCTGAGCAACCCATAGGTCAAGATATTGTACGTCCATCGGAGCAACCGATTGGTCAAGATAGTGTACGTCCATCTGAGCTAACGATTGGTCAAGATATTGTACGTCCATCTGAGCTAACGATTGGTCAAGATAGTGTACGTCCATCTGAGCTAACGATTGGTCAAAAGATTGTGTCCAGCGCAGTATAGTACGTCCATCTGATCAAAGATTGGTCAAGATATTCTACGTCCATCTGAGCTAACGATTGGTCAAAAGATTGTGTCCAGCGCAGTATAGTACGACCACAGCTGGTCAAGAGATTGTATACAGCTGAGAGGAAAACTTACCAAAAGCGTGTGCCCAGTTGACACAATAAAGACCATCAACATGGTAAGTAAAATTGTTATGGTTTCCTAAATAGGCCTATGTAACTTACTTCTCAATGGAGATGGCGTGTGTGTACACATAGGCCTGGGTATGTGGTAGTGTGGTCGTCTACACTTTAACGGTTAACGCTTCTCTTCTTCATCGAGTGGCTATCTCTTCTAGGGGTTTCTTTCAGACATTTAGCACGGGCTGGGGGTCCTGAGACTTCCGGAAAGGGGCATTTGTTAAAATGTATGTTTTACTTTTAAATTCTATAGACTATATTTTAAAATATTCACGGGTGGAGGGGGTGCGCATGACATACTCAGGATGGAGCAATGCCCCCCTGGAAGATGCCTGAAAGACAAACTCCACTTTCTAAAATTCGTGACACATGCACACACTCATGATGTAATGATCCACATCTCTCTGTCGTGTGTGCTGTCCTCTTCATTCATAACTCCGAGCTTGTAGACCCAGTTACCATTAACAGCAGGCAGAAAAACACACGTTTCCACAAGAATACAATACAAGACCTTCACATAAGTGCGCAGGGGGTTAGTCACCATTAAGTTGAGTGCTTCTTCCAGACATTTTTCTCCGGGAGGGGGGGGGGGGTGGGGGTGTTTGTGTCAGTGGCGTAGGCAGGGGGGGTTGGGGGTGGGGTCATAACCCCTCCCATAGAGCCCTCGGTATATATATATATAAAGTATGAAGGGGGAAGGGTGCAAATCGAAAGTTTGGGCGGGGGTGCAAATCGAAAGTTTAAGGGGGGGTGCAAATCGAAAGTTTGAGGGGGGGGGGGTGCAAATCGAAAGTTTATCCCCGGGCAAAAATTGGACCCCCCCCCCATTGAGGCGATCCTGGCTACGCCACTGGTTTGTGTGATGTTTTCGGGGGGGGGGGGGCGGATACTAAACTCTGATAAAATCGCGTCAACTTTCGAATTGTCTCGAGGCTATTTTTCCCTTTATCATATTTAACTGCTATCGTTAAAAAACGGTTTTCTTGTGTAAGGCTAATCTTTGTAAAGTAACAATGGTGCAACTTCTCTGTATGTGGATGTTTTGAAATTGGAAACATTCGACATACAACTTTATAGTGTATTTGTTTGTTATTTTATGAAAAATTAAATAAAATATTACAACTACTTTTGCCAATTATTGCAAATGCACATGCATTACTGTACTACTACTCGATGGGCATAAAAAATAGCCAATGTTACATATTTCTTAAAATTTGAACTCACACCCTACTAGTTACGTCCTAAGAGTAGGCCTACTCAGAGGCGTAGCGAGGGGCGGGGGGTGCCGACCGCACCGGGTGACGCCATTTAGGGGGGGGGGGTGACACCAAGGCAAAAAATAGCAAAATATATAGAGAAAAATGATAATTCCACTTACTTAAGTGATTAATTCGAGTGTTAGATAGTCTTTTAAGAGATGCAAATCGCAAGTTTGAGGGGGGGGGGGGTGCAAATCGAAAGTTTGAGGGTTGAGGGGGGGGGGGTGCAAATCGAAAATTGAAAGTTTGTCCCCGGGAAGGGTCTCTACGCCTCTGGGGGGTGACACCATTAGGTGCCGCACCGGGTGACACCCGACCTCGCTACGCCACTGGGCCTACTGTTATGTTTTATGCAGGCTTATTTCCCACCGTTAGAGAACACAACGCATACGGGTATTCTATCGATGCCTGCATCGGCTTAGTAGTAGACCTACGTTAGGCCCAAGCCTAGTTGCATGAAGAAAACATTGCATTAGGTCTACTACGTTCCTAACTCGGTATACACTGCGTCTTGTTTTAAGTTTTTAGTTTGGCGGGACTCGCTGTAACCTGATCACTTTTCATTGATTGAGGGGTGGAATATTTTTAAAGACCTCTGACGAATGATTTTCATTAAAGGGTCAAACAAAATTGTGAAGTCACATGACCCCCACGCCTCAGAGTTTCTTCCAGGCATCTCTTCGCCCCCCCCCCCCCCCCCCCGAACGAAATGAAATTTATATAATTTATATAGAAAATATATACTTTTAACAGTGTCCGCCCCCCGCAGAAAGTCAACCGCCCCCCCCCCCCCCGAAAATTTCTAGTGCCCCCCCCCCCCCCCGGGGAAAAAAAGCCTGGAAGAAACACTGCCACGCCTTCACCTCATTCTCACTCTTGCCTTTATAGTATATGTTTTCCACTAAGCGTTGTGTGGAGAGGTGGGGTGGGGTGGGGTGGGGGGGGGGGGTGTTGTAAAAATTTCATACCGTAGCTAGAATATCATAAAAGGCAAACGCCATTTTTTGTAGGCCTGGATCTACTATATCACAATATAATTTATGTAGCGCTGTGGATAGACATGCCGGGAAAGGGAGTTAATTAAATGTAGTCCATACGCTAGTCCTAAATATATTCGTTGAATGTAAATGCATTTTTAATATCTGTTTTGATTCATCGACAAATATTACTAGACAATGTAGTATGTCGCGTTAAATCGATTTTCCTAATCAATAGACTACCTGGTGTTAAAGTAGGACGGAGAAAAACTTCTCTTCAACTATTCTTACCGCCCTTTTTGCTGTTATGAAACAATTATTTGTAATAGAGTCGTCACCCTTGGTACACTTAGCAACATCGTAAACAGAGCAAACCATCGTGAACGATTATCGGGTTATCGACCGATAGATCCAAGTTTAAAATGCCTGGGCAGGGTTAAAAATAGCTTTCTGCAGTGGAATAGCCTGTTTAGTGCTTAGGCAACTGTAATATTTCAAATTGCCAGAGAGTAATTGGAGCCAGGGTTTTCTAAACGTAATTAAAATATGTGTTTCTTACGGCACACGGATTTATTATTCTTGCACAAAACTGTGACAACATCAACAATGTGTAGTGTAGATCTCTAAATTTAAGTAGATAAAAGGACCTGCATCTCAGGGATAACTTGGATTAGCTAATTTGGTAAACTATACTATTACTCAGCTATTTCTTAAAAATAAGATTAGGCCTAGTAATCTAATTTAGTAGCACTGCCTTTTACTTTTGTATTTTAGAGTTGTGACATCTTATATTATATTTAATTACATTAGTAAGAATAGGGCCTACTTATTATTTAATAATAACAAGGCCCTATGACTGCTTTATTTACATAGTCAAGATGAGAGTAGTAGGCCTATATAGTAGTAGGCCTATATATATATATATATATATATATATATATATATATATATATATATATATATATATATATATTTAGTTCTAGTTATATTATAGCCCTATTTTTCTAAATGGGGGAGGTTTGATTTATATTTATTTAGTTGTCTTACTTAAAGCAATGCTTGAAAATTTTCCCTATTTACTAAAGCCTGCTACCTCCCACCCCAAAATTTCTGTTTATTCGAAGGCTTGGATGATTAAATTTAAATAGACAGATTCCTACTAGATGTTAAAATTCTTTGTTTTAAAAACTATGTTGGAATTATTTTAGAATTTAATGGAAAAAGATGTGATACCCACAATAGGGCTTAAATGTAAGCTTATATTTAAGGAACAATGATGCTAGCTTAGAAAGAAAAAGATGTCTGACATAAGTATATTGAAACCAATATACGGCCGTCAATCAGTTGTTTATAAAAACATGACAAGATAAAAAAAAGCAAGGATGGAAATTCAATTCAAAGAAATGGAGAACAACCTAAAAATGAATAACAGCAAGAAAATATACCATCTAGTAAACAGTGTTTCTTCCAGACTTTTTTCTCCGGGGGGGGGGCACTTGAAATTTTCGGGGGGGGCGGTAAACTTTCTTCAGGGGGGCGGACACTGTTAAAAGTATATATTTTCTATATAAATTATATAAATTTCATTTCGTTCGGGGGGGGGGGGGCGGTAAAAATTTTTCGGGGGGGCTTTGACCCCCCCGAAGAGATGCCTGGAAGAAACTCTGCTAGTAAAAGATCTGACAAACTCAAAGCATGTGGTGACCACCAATCCGCAGCACAAAAATGGAAAATGTCTGACTAAAGACATAACAAGATGGACCTAGTATTTGTTATGAGTTGTACATCCGTGAAACCCCTGTATATAATATGATACTAAATGTCTGTCCTTAATGCAAAAAAAAACAATCACAGACAGGAGCATGGCTCAAGCTATGGACTCCATCTCCCATCATCACTATCCCCAAGAAAGGCAACTTACAGCTTAGCCAAAGCTACCATGCAATCAATCTTGTAAATCATCCAAATAAAACTTTATTAAAAAAAAAAACTGAAGCCACAACCTGAAAAGATCATAGCTGAAGACCAGGATGGCTTTAGATAGGGATGCAACACAAATGAGCAAATCTTTAATCTTAGGTTAAAAATATCTTCAACACCAGCAACATCTTTACTACTTTTTTTATTGACTTTAAGAAGGCATTCAACAGGGCTACTCTACACATACAACATTTGTACATACCTCTCAGAAATTATTAGAAATGTGTACAAGAGAGCAACCAGCACAGTAGTTTTCAACATCACTATAGACAAGCTAGTTAGAACAATGCTAGGCATCAGACAAGGCTGCTTGCTGTCTCCCATCCTATTCAATATCTACCTAGAAAGGATTATGTCTGATGCCTTGTAAGACCACATTGGCTCAGTCAGCAGCGGCTAATGGATTATTACCAACCTACGATTTGTTTATGACATAGATGCCATTGCAGGCAGTAAAGGTGAGTTGATAGAATTAGTAAATGGATTGGAGAGAACATCAATATAATACGGCATGGAAATCAATTCAGACAAGACAATGATCATGACCAACAACCATGGGTAAATAGCCAGAGATTGAAGAAAGTTCACTCCTTCAGGAAACTTGGCACCATACTTTATGAGGAGGGAATGAAGCAAGAACCCTTTGCAAGAATTGCAACAACAGCACTCTATAAATAAAGAAACATCTGGCTGACTAAAGATTTCTATTAGCACTCATGCAGTCACAGGTCATGTCTGTCTACCTGGATGGATGCCAGGCATGGAACCTCAAGGCAGACCTCCAACAAAGAATCCATGCCCTGGCAATGAGATACCTATAAAAAAGGCTTTAGGGATCTTATACACAAACAACTAATGAAGAGGTCTGGGAAAGGATCAGTAATGCTAATGGTCCCGTTGAGAGCCTACTGAGCACAGTCAAAACAAGTAAATTGAGATGGTATGAGCATGTCATATCAACCAACAGCCTATTAAAACAATAATGCAGGAGGGGGGTGAAGAGGAAGGCAAAAACATCATAAGATGGAGGATATCAAATATTGGACTGGGCAGAACTACTCAGAGCAGTAGAAGACTGAGAAAAATGGCTGAAAACTATGAGAAAATCAACTGTGGTGCCCCCAATGATCCCAATAAGGGTTAAGGGATGATTGATTGTTGATGGATTTGATATTTAAAAAAATACAACTTGAAGTGTTTTTGATATTATGGGGGGGGGGGGGGGGGTGAAGATGAGTGTTTGGTCATCATATACTCATTTCTTATAATAGTTTTACTCGTTTTATTCTGTTCTGAAAATAGTTTTTGAAAGGATTTCTTTTTTTGTAATATCCTTTGTAGTAACTTAGCTGTTTCTTAAAAAGGCAGTTCAAGAGGTTTACTTGATATACTCTAACTTAAAACTTTTCTGTCACTTTAAGTTTCGAACCCAGTGCAGGGGTTCGAATATCTAATTCAATCTTTTTATATAGTAGGCCTAACAGTAGCGGAAATTTTACTTAAATTTAAATGTTTTTTTTTCTGCGAAGTTGGAGTGCCATGTGAAGATGTAGCTAAGGTTTGACTTGTGCCCTTGGGCTGCAAGTAGCCTCAAACTTTTAAAGAGTTAAAAAAAAAAAAAAATTTGATTCTTTTTAATTGATTTAAAAAATATTTCAGATATCACAGAACAGGGTCCTCTTTTTTGGAACATTCCATCATGGATCGAAAGAAAGTCAAGCGAAGCCCAGAAGTTGGGGGAGGGGATGGTCATAATTTGGAAGAAAACACCAAGGACCTTAATCTTTCTGATATTGCTGCTATTAAAAATTCTTTTACAAGATTGAAGAAAAAGAGACATAAACATAAAATGCATAAACCTAAGCTGTCACCTTTTGAGGAGAGGTAAAGCTGGTCTTTTTTTTTATATAAGAGTCTGTAAATACATAATTTGTTTGTATGATTAAAAATTAAAATTTTTAAATAACTTCACACCACCAATAAGTTAGTCATTATCAGAATATATTTTGTTGTGTTATTTTAAAGATTCTTGCTCATGATTAATTTGTAGATGTTTTAACTGCATTAGTTAACATAATAATATAAAAAAAATATTTCGATACACATTTTCTTCATCCTTATTTTAAATGCTTTGCTTACAATTAATATTGATTAAAAATCTTCAGTTTAAATATCTTTCAGATACTCCTGGCTTTACAGTGAAAATAAGCTAAAACCTGAAGACAAACGGATAGATTATGTCCTGGTTTATCCCGTACCCAAAGACTATTCACATGATGCTGCAAGAGCCCAAGCAGAAGAGAAAAAAACTGTGAAGCGGGAAAAGTAAGTCTATGATTCTAACAAAGCATTCTCAAATAAACATGACACATCAGTTTAAAAATTACACTTATAAAAATTATAGCATATATCTGTTAGCAGCCTGACAGTTAGCCAGTCAGTCACTTTGTTTAATACTTTCTTCAATTTCTAGCTATCTGTCTGTGTTCTCTATGTGAATCCAGTTATTAAATGACTATCCATGAGTTTACAAGCAAACAAACAAATATTGTTTCAATTGCGATCAATATATATATATATATATATATATATATATATATATATATATATATATATATATATATATATATATATATATATATATATATATATATATATATATATATATTTGTATATATATATATATATATATAGCCTATATAGCATCTATAATAGTGTTAATTTTTTCAAAAAAACTAAAAAGCTTTTTTATTTTTATCTCCCTTAACCACTCTCCATTATTCCTTTTAAAAAATACATTCAAACACCACTGATTTAAAATCCTAATCTAATTTAAACTCTCCATCCAACAGGTTTGAAAACTTAATACTAGGTGAGGGTTTTCTCATACAAAAGACCACCATTAAGGAGAATGTTTTTGTCAAGCTCCATTGTTCTTTCAAGAGGCTGTGCTATGAAGCTGAAAAAGTGAAACTAGAAATGCCGTTGAAAGATGTAAGTTTGTAAACTATTTGCTCAAGAATAAATTTGTATTGAAAGATCTCATAATATTTCAAAATAAGCTTTTGGCCCTTTCCTTACAAAAGAAGAGAGCCATTAGAGAAACTGATATCCATAGGCCTACTACTTGTTCTACATTTTAAAACTATGCAACCTCAGGAAGTTCTGTAGTTCTCAATGTATTTGTAAAGATCTAAATAAATATTAAAGCGTATAGTCAGCTTTGTTTTTACAAGCTTTTATTTAACTCACTTCCTCGTCATTCTGTCTGTCGTCAGTCTAGACGGAAACGCAGGAGTGAAAATTCGGACAGTTCTACTTGACCGATACGATTCACATTTGGCACGTGGGTCAAGACATGAAGACAATGCAATCTGAAACTAAATTTGACTTAATTGGATGCCTAATTGATTTTTTATGAATTAATTAAAATTTGGACCGAATTAGTAGGCATGTCTAGCCAACCACACCACACGCGTCATCAATAGCTGCGCCATCAAGACCACGTAATGGCTGCGTTCAAAAACCATTGCGCGCCTACTGAACGTGATATTCAGTAGGCGCGCAATGGTTTTTAGTCATGTAACTCTATTGTAGATAAAACATGTAAAGTACTGAAAAAAAAATTCATAAAAAACGTTTTAATAACAAGCTTTTATGTAATGATGCACTAAAAAGTAGAAAATAAATTATAGACTACTATTTAAATAACTATAGAAGAAAAGCGTGGGTGTCTTCCTTAACATTAGTAAAGGTATCCAATAGATACTAAAGTGACCCACGCTTTTCTTTATAGTTATTTAAATAGTAGTCTATAATTTATTTTCTACTTTTTAGTGCATCATTACATAAAAGCTTGTTATTAAAACGTTTTTTATGAATTTTTTTCTTAATATGTTAATTATTCAATGTAGGCCTACTGGTCAGCTAACTTTTTGAGTCAACCTTGCACATTTATTTATGAAAATATAGGAAATGAAATACAGATAGCTCATTTATTATTTAAAAAAAAATAATTAAATCATATGATGATTTGTGGCTGGCAGTAGCCAATGTTTTTTTAAAATCAAATTAGTTAGCCCATGTAATACATCAGGCTGATAGGAGTAAATTATGATAGTATCTATAATATTATTAGGAATGTTGAGTTTAAGTAACCTCAGTAGTGATGATTGGAAGGACTAGTAATAGGTGTTGGTAAATTTTATTGTATTCATGCCTCGCTACACCTTCTAGAACGGAACAATGCTCTAGTAAATTGATCTATGTCAATAGATTTTACTTTGTTTCTGTGACCCCACTAGATTGTGTTGAGAACATGTCCTTTACATTTATTTACTGTTAGTGTAAAATACATTTAAATCACTAATAATTGGTGTTGAACATTTTATATAATTACAACAACTAAAAATAAACATTTCTAAAAAAATAAAAAAAATAAAAGTAAGTTTTCTACGTATTTTTATGACTTCTCTAAAAATTCTTTTGACTGTCCTCCACGTAATAATGTAAATATTACATACAGTGTAGAATACCAGAGGGGGAACCACACAGCATATTAGGGAGGTTTATTGCTGATCACCTAGAAACAGATGGGGAAGGTAAGTTCTTTTGTGCTTAATTTATCTGTAAACTGTAAGAGTGTAATAATCCCCTAATTTTTAAAAAATACTCCTGTTAATTTTTTTTTTAAATGAAATAATGATAATAATCTGCTTTTTAAAAAGTAGGTGTGTAAAGATTTTTAATGAAAAAATTCTAAATAATCTTTTTTTTTTTTAAAAAAGTAGTCTTATAAAGATTTTTAATGAAACAATACAAAATAATCTGTTTTTTTAATTTTAGTTTCAGACTTTGTCAGCACTCCATTCAGGATGAGTAAAGTTGATAGATTTGATAAATATGAAGATCCAGAAAACTTCTTCAGGCCAGCATTGAGATCACTCTTGGTGAGCAGTAGTTGCACATTTTTTAGGCCATTTTTTTAGGCCATTTCTTAGGCCATCTTTCAGATTGGTGATGGTGAGACCATCTTTTTGGCCATCATTAGGATTTGTGATGGTGATATGATCTTTTTGGCCATCATTAGGATTTGTGATGGTGAGACAATCTTTTTGGCCATCATTAGGATTTGTGATGGTGAGACCATCTTTTTGGCCATCAATAGGATTTGTGATGGTGAGATGATTTTTTTGGCCATCATTAGGATTTTAATGGTGAGACCATATTTTTGGCCATCATTAGGATTTGTGATGGTGAGATGATCTTTTTGGCCATCATTAGGATTTGTGATGGTGTACAATAGTTTAGGCCATCATAAGGATTGGTGATGGAGAGACAATCATTTTGGCCATCTTAAGAATTGGTGATGCTAAGAGAATCTTTTAGACCATGGTTATGATTGGTGATGGTTAGACAATAGTTTAGGCCATCATTAGGATTTGTTATGGTGAGACAATATTTTGGCCATCATTAGGATCGCTGATGGTGAGACAGTCATTTTGGCCCTTATAAGAATCACTATATACGAATAATTTGTTTCACCATATTTTGACTACACTGAACTGTTCATAGGCGAAACAATCTGTCAAATAAATTATACCTATACTTCCCATCTAACATTTCTGACTAAGCTTAACATTAAGTGTTAAACATGGTCTAGTAAGGCAGTGCGATACACATTCATTAAATGATAGCGTACCAGCAGTGGCGTCTCCGGGTCAGGTGTTGTCATCTGGTGCAGTAGCTTTGGGTGTCACCCCCGACCGCTCTCCAAAAATTTAACATTTTCTGTTTGGTGTCATACTTCTCCTCATGCTATTTCATCTTAGCTGGAATAAATATTGTTTTGAGAGTAGATTTTAATTTTAGAATTTTCCATTTTGGTGTCACCCCTAGAATATAATATATGTCATTACGGAATATACATATAAACCACATAACCTCCCCATCACAGGAGTCCTTTGGTGCATATCGCACCACCTTCCTCTTCTCTCCAAGATGCCACTTCTTACCAAAATTGTGAACATTAAGATGAGCTTATAATGATTAAATAAAATTAAATGAAACTGTTTCAGGTGGACCATATTCTATCAAACATAGACATATCTGAAAGTGAGGCTAAGAAGAAGGAAGATGCGGGTGTAGAGCCATCGGTTGGAGGCTGCCTAGAGAGTATCTTATGTTGCGGTGATTCAAAACCTGGCATGCCTAAGGACTTGCAGAATAAAAATGTTTGTACCAAGAGAGGTAATTCATCTTCTTTAATTTTTTAATCTTTCTTGAGAACTCTCCTTTTTTTCTCTCACAGGGCCTAAAGGAGTAACATTGTTCTAGGAGAGGTAATCTACAATTTTGTTTTATTTCCATCCTTTCTGAAAAAATGCTGGTACATTTTTTAAAAAAGTGGTCTGTTTTGTTCACCTAGGTTAAAAAATGAGGTTATCAGTTAAATCTAGGATAGTAAGTATTTACTTATCAAACAGTTTGTTTGAAATTCAACGTGGAGTGGGGTTGCGATATAGTCCAGTTGCTGGTCAGGCTCTCAAAACACTGCATACTGTTCTCAGCTGTGTATGAAAATTGGTTTCCCATGTTTCCCATGTCCAGTAAAATAACATTTCATAAATGTTACTTAATTTTATTTTCATTTCAGGGTTACCCTACCTGTTGATGAAAAATGTTTACACTGAAGCATTTATACTTCACGATGAATCCCTTCATCGTAAAAGTAAAATGGAAAACATTCCTCCCCAGAGCGGCAATATGTTCACAGAAACAGATGCATATAATCAAAATATAACGGACGCCCGCAAAGAGTTAAATGACAAATGGACCCGGCCGCTAGCTTACCAGCCAATGTGGCATATCAGAAATTATTTTGGTGAAAAGATTGCATTTTACTTTGCATGGACTGGCATGCTGGTAACAACACTGTGGATTCCAATGTTTTTTGGATTTGCAGTTTTCCTGTATGGACTGCACAAAAGGTATAGATTAGTTTTCTGAAGTAACGTTTCTACAGCTTAACGTTGTTTTGTGATATTTGTATTCAAAATCAAAGATTTTAATTTAAAAGCACATGTTTATTTTCTTTTTCAACAGTTAAAACTTTCCATTTTTTTATTATTTATTTCTAAATTTTGAGAAATTTTAAATTTTCAGATTTTTAAAATTTAATAAACTGTTTTTTATTTTTAGTGTACGTAGCTGTTTCACAACAGTTGTAGGTTTTGTTCATAACCCATTGTTGTAAACAATTATTATATATAATAGATTCTCTAACAGTAACACATATTAGTCATATTTTAACTAAACGATCATAAAGGTATTTACTTGTTTCTACTTATCAAATCAGTATCACAGATACATCAGCAGCGAGAAACGGAACAGGGTAAGATACCATTTTAAATTATCAAATTCTAAAATAATTTACCTGTTTCTCTGTAAGCTTTTAAACTAAAAAAAAAATAGGTTGTTTAATTTTTTGTTAGTCGACTTAGTTTGGCCATTTCATTAAATATTTTGCATGGCCATTTCATAGTGTGGCTAGGCAATTTTATGGAATATATGACTTGACTGTGCTCTAGAATTTATGACAGGCCATTTTTTTTATATGACTATTTTATGGAATATGTGATATTTTTTTAATCAAATATGTGACATGGTTATTTTTAAGAAATATGTTACGTGGAATTTAATTTTATTGAATATGTGACAATATTTTATGTTGTATTTTAGGTCAGCTGAGCTGCAGAATGTACTTGAAGACATCAAAAGGGCATTCGACAATGATGTAACACCATTTTACTCACTGTTTATATGCTGCTGGGGTTAGTTCTATCTTTTTTTTCAACATGCATTGCCAATACAATAGAAGATGTTGTATATAATTTAACTTTTATCTAAATTTTATTTTAAGCTTTTATATATGCCTATCCCTTACCCTTATCCTGTTGCTATTTGTATAGCAAACACTATCCCTAATCATAACCCTCTTCCAAACCCTATTCCCAGTCATATCCCTATCCCAAACCCTTTCCCCAGTCATATCCCCAAACCCTATCCCCAGCCATATCCCCAAACCCTATCCCCAGTCATATCCCTAACCCTATCCCAAACCCTTTCCTCAGTCATATCCCCAAACCCTATCCCCAGTCATATCCTTAACCATATCCCAAACCCTTTCCCCAGTCATATCCCCAAACCCTATCCCCAGTCATATCCCAAACCCTTTTCCCAGCCATATCCCCAAACCCTATCCCCAGTCATATCCCTAACCCTATCCCAAACCCTTTCCCCAGTCATATCCCCAAACCCTATCCCCAGTCATATCCCTAACCCTATCCCCAGTCATATCCTTAACCATATCCCAAACCCTTTCCCCAGTCATATCCCCAAACCCTATCCCCAGTCATATCCCAAACCCTTTCCCCAGTCATATCCCCAAACCCTATCCCCAGTCATATCCCTAACCCTATCCCAAACCCTATCCCCAGCCATATCTCTAACCCTATCCCAATGTGTGTACATATTTATATGTATGTATATACATTTCCAAGGAACAATTTTTCTGGAAGTTTGGAAGCGACAGTCTGCTAGATTAGCATACGAGTGGGATGTGGATATGTATGAAGCCAATGAGCCAGATAGGCCTCAGTTTAAAGGGACCAGATTTAAAAAGGTAAGAATTTTTAAAAAACAATTCCTTTAAACTTTTATCTGCATGTTTGTATTGTGCATATTTTTATGAATTCTGATTGAAATGATTAGGATTTTTTAGCTTTTTGTTTTTTTGTTAGAAATTTTTTAGAATTACTGTATATGTGTGTTGCTATATTTTCCATTCATTTGAGCAGAGGTAAATAAAGGTTTAAAGGAAAGCAATCCTTTGAGATTTTGAATACAAAAATTTAACCCTAAACCTAAATCTAAATCTAAACCTAACCCTAGGCCAAACCTTAACCCAATCCCTAGCCCTAAACCTAGCCCTAACCCTGTGCGTGAGGGGGGAAGGGGTAATGTCCTACTGGGCGTGGGGAGGGGGGTAATTGACATGGGGGTTATTACTCCGGGGGTAATGTCAGGGGGGGGGGAATGTCCCGGGGGGGGGGGGGGGTAATTGATGAGGGGGATGTCCTGTTCCCGATTGAAGAGCTGATGAAGAGAGTTGATTTAATTTCTTTAACTTCACAAGCAAAAAATGGTGCGGTCACACCTCACTGCCTTTACTATCCCATGGTTTGTATTTTTTCCTCATGACCACACTATTTCCTTACCTAATATTGTAATATTTGTTTCTTTAACTAGACTAGGTTAGACTTTTTCATCCTCGTTAACACATTTATTTTTATTGTTTTTCAGAATCCCATTACCAGTGAAATTGATTGGTACTATCCATTTGGAATGCGAGCTTTAAAATTTGCGACTTCAGGAATGGTGTTCATTGTAATGGTAAATATTTTTTTGGTTCTTGTAAACAATGTGAGATGTGGACAGGGTCAAAGGACAACTCAATCAAATCAGGATGGTGTTGATTAATGTCATCTTTTATTGTGCTGTCTAAATACACTACGGAGATGGACAAACTTTTTGACATTTCAAACGAGGACGAATACATCCACACCCTAACACGACATGATGAAGACTGATTATACTATTTCTCCTAACAACCAAATCATACTCTTCCACGTCACATTCTTACTTGCCTCGTCACATTCAAAATCTTTTAGTAATATAAATGATCCCACCACACACATACTCTCATACCCATTCAGTACCCTAAAATACTATTCACAACACAAACCACAAGTATGGAGCTGAGGCTGTTTTTGTGTGTTTGTGTGCTGGTATGATTGTTACAGTAAAAGTTGCAGGTCTAATGGTAGCAGTAAGGGCTTAGGTGGGTAAAAATAAGGAAAGTTCCCTTTCAAACAGGATGGTCCATTGGGCAAGGGAAGTAGAGTTCACCTGTTTCTTTGACCTGGAAGTAGAGTTCACCTGTTTCTTTGACCTCCGCATATCAAGGGATAGTGTGGTTAGCACTATGCCCAGCCACCTTTACTTTCAATGACGTGAGCCATGTACCTATAAAAGCAGGGTGGACTCAGGAAAGTATTACGGAATCGAACCCGGATTCAAACTCGACACTTTAGGGTTAGCTGTTGTATGCTCTACCATTCAATCACGCCTTCCCACAGGATTTGGATAATATTTGAGATAATAGTAGAATAAATAATAACTAATTCTCTCATTTAGAAAAAAAATTGTTTGTAATTCTTTTGTTTACAAATATTTAATTTTCTGCTCTATTATACACAGTTTAAACAGTATAGAATCACATAGAAAAAAGAATTGCGAACCAAAACCACATTAGATTATCAATTATTATGGTTCTTTTGAGAGATCAGAAATAGCATAAAATACTACTTTCTGACATCACAAAAAATCACAAAAAATTTGATAGAATCAAGAGAATATTATTTGTATGACATTTTGTCCATGTACCTGAAACAGTACACAAGTTAGTGGTATTTTAGAAACCAGAAATAGAATAAAGTACCACTTTTGGTTTATTGGCGTTCACTCAAAAATTTAAAATAATCCAAGTGTAAAAGATCCTATATGTTATATTTTGTATACTGGTACAATAAAGGGAGGTGTAAGCTGTGAAACTTCCAATATTTCATTTAATATTTGTGCGTTATTATAATACATCCTCTATACTCTGTATTGGAGAAAGTAATAAATGTTTTGTTTACAAATATTAATGGTGCTCTTCATATAGTGATGTAATTATTTTTATCTCAACAGGTTATCGTAGTAATAGCCAGTGTCATTAGCGTGATCATTTACAGAGTCATTATTAGTATTGACTACTGCCCCACCATGTCAAACCAAGCATGCTTTGTTCTCACAACTATTGTCTCATCAGTTCTAAATGCTGTTTCCATAATAATATTAGGACTGGTAAGTGAAATTGAAATATTTGAATTTTAATCAGAAGTTTAATGAAGGAATTGTCATTGTGATGAACACCTTTTCCTTTACCAAAATATTTTTAAGTGGGTAAAAAAGTGCTTGAACTGTTCCCCTTGTACAAATGACAGATCTGAAACAATAAATTTGAGTGCTCAAAAAAAAAAAAAAATAAACATACAAAACATGGAATGTAACAAACAAAACAAAAAAAACCATAAGAAATGATGGAATCTTTAATGATGCTTTTTTAAACCCTACTTTAAAAGTTTAAATCAATTGCTTTGTTTTTATTGCATGGGAGAGTTTGACTTACATTTTCATTCATAAACATTGTAAACAAAACTAGCAAACACACTTGAAAGGGCAAGTGATGAAGTAGAGTTCTTTTGTTTTAAAGAGGGATAGGGCTAGAAATAGTGTTAGGGATATGGTTTGGGATTGGGATCAGGTTAGGGAGATAGGGACAGGGGCAATACATATGCTAAAGAGGAGGTAATTACTCTTTATGTTAATTTAAAGGTTAATTAATCTTCAGAGTAACTGACGTGTGTGTGTGTGTGTGGGGGGGGGGGGGGGGGGTAATGTCTTAAACATGAGTTCTAAATACAATCTGTCATATTAGATGTGAAATAATTAAAATTGTAAAATCTATTTTCAGATATATGATAAGCTAGCTGTCATGTTCACAGATTGGGGTAATTAAGATTTTAACTTAAATAATTGTAGCTTATATTTGGTTTTACAAGTCTAAGTCATGGAATACAGCTAACTGTATACAGTTTTTCCTGTTTTCTAAAGTTTTAAATGATGCACAGAAAACAAGATTTGACTTTAGCAAGAAGATTTTCAAGTTGTTTTTTCTTTATAATTTTAGAGAATCACCGTACGCAAACTGACTACAATGATTCCTTGATTCTCAAAGTGTTTACATTCAAACTTGTGAACAGTTACGCATCTTGTTTTTATATTGCATTTTTCAGAGGGGTAAGCCAATATTTTAATTTTACTTTTAACACATTTTAAATTTTTGACCTAAACTTGGTAGGACTAAAGTGCTGTGATTGATATATAGGCATGGTGATGGAACTGCAGTCAGGGGCTCCGTACTTTCGACAGTGGTGTCGCTAGGTCAGGTGTCACCTGGTGCAGTAACTGAAGGTGTCAACCCACTTCCCTCCAAAGTATTTTTGTTTTTTTTGGTTTAGTGTCACCCCCTTCCCCACTGTTTTATTATTTTAACAAAATAAAATATTGTTTTGACAGTGAATTTTAAATATCTCTTAAATTGGTGTCACCCCCCTTCCTTATATGGTGTCACACGGTGCTGACCACAACGCCCCCACCCTTGTGACTTTGGGGTCCTTGCATAAAAGACTAATAGTATCACTTTCCAGCATTTAGATACTCAAAGTGATGTAAAGGGGTCGTCTATAAATGACGTCACACTCGTAAGGGGGAGGGGGATCCGTAATTTTGTGACGGTGTGTGATGAGGGGGAGGGGGTTCAGATGGTGTGACGTCACACTCTTGCATTTTAAAAAAGCAATGTTAAAAATGTTAAATTTTAGACGTTATTTCGCGTTTTAGAAAACTGTTTTAATAAATTGTAATAGGAATTGATTAAAATACTCTATTTTGACAGAGTTCAGACAAGATTTTAGAAAAATATCGATGTTTTAAGAAAAATTCAACTGCAATTTTGAGGGGTGTTGTAGGCTGAGGTGTGACGTCATTTTAGGGGGGGGGGGGGTCTGGCTTTTTGTGACGCCATGTGACGGAGGGGAGGGGGGGGGGAGGTAAAAATCGTCCAAAAAAAGCGTGACATCATTTATGAATTACCCCAAAGGGCCCCCAAAAACATTTTCCAGCAGAGTTCCTGTTGAAGGTTGATACTCCCCTGCTATAATATGACTAACTCCCTAGCATTGTATTACAGCAAACTGGTCGGAGCCTGCTGGAGTCTCGCTACGTTGACTCCTGTGAAGGTTCATGCATGACTCAGTTAAGTTTTCAAGTTATGACGCTGATGTTAACCAGGCCTTTATCAAAGTTTGTTTCAGACGTAGGAATACCGTAAGTGAGGTTTGACACATATTTATTTATCTTGTATTTAACTTAACAAATGAAATTGTAACCAAACAAAGAGTTAAGATAAAGGAGGTTTTCTAAAGTTTTAACAGCTTCGACCCCCACCTCAATATTATTATATTTCATCTTTAAAAAATATGCATTTTTCCCCCTCCTTTCCCTCTTCTAAAATGACTAAATTCCCTGTAATTTCATCCCAAAACTAATTTAATTTCTAAGTACAGTATCTTATTTTTAATCCCACATTTCAAATGACGCAAAACTTACCCCTAACACATTTGCATCATGTCATTTATGGAGGATAACCCCTTACTCCCAAAAGGAAGTTGTTTTTTTTAGGTGGTCTTGCAGTTTAAAATGTTATTACTGCATTTTAAAATTTTAATTAAATGTGTTGGCTGGGGATATCAATGCATGTAATGAAAAGAACTTTGAACTTTCACAGAATCGCCAAAAACATAGTTAAGAAAATGAAGATTATCAAACTTTGCAAAAGTATGCTTTGCTGTCGAAAAAACCAGGTGAAAATAGAAAATGAGGAAGAAAATACTCCCCAGGCAATATTTCTATTTAATGAATGGAGCAAACCAAGTTTAGGAGATTTTACTCTTGGAGAATATACAGAAAAGGTCATTTTATATGGATATTTAATGGTGAGGATTCATATTTTCAATCTGACATTTATTTCCAACTTAATTGTTCTATTTTTCCTTGGTTTCTAAATGAGTTTTGCAGATTGCGAATAAGAATTTTAAGTTTTATTTTTTTTGAAATTTAAAGCATTCACCCTTTTCTTTGCCTTCCTTTCTTGAGATACCATTAATCTTAATTTTTTAGCTTTTTTTAAAATAGAGACTACATATTTTTCAACTTCATTTTGTTTAATTTTTCTTGGTGACAAAATAAGAGTCACAGAATAGATTAAAAATATTTTTTTTATTAAATCATTAACTTTGCTAATGGTAAAGATTATATATTTTTAAAAATTGTTCATAGTTTGTTTTTTTTTCATGTAATATTAGCATACTAAAACCAACTACCCTTAAACTAAGGCTAATGTACCAAGATGTAATAAAAACTACATCAGCTTTATAGATTTTTTTTAATTTTGTACTTCATAACTGTGTTCTGTATTGCTCAGATCATTTTTCTCTCTTTAGAAAATGAGCTTTAATATTTAAAAACTTATCTCCCTTATTTCAGCTTTTTGCCTGTTCATTTCCCCTTGCCCCAATGATTGCACTAATTGTGTGTATGATAGACATCCGGGTGGATGCCAAAAGGTTGCTCTGGCTTTTTAGACGGCCTGTCGCTCTCATAAGTGCTGACATAGGTAAGGTGTTGAAGTCAAAAATTATTTTATTTTTAGTCTGGTTTATGAAATATTTGCTATTTGTGTTGTTGAGAATGCCGTCCAAGTTTTTTATAATCATACTCAGTGGTGTAGCGAGGTCGGGTGTCACCCGGTGCGGCACTTAATGGTGTCACTCCCCCCAGAGGCGCTGCGACCCTTCTGGGCAAATTTCCAAGTTTTCGATATGCACCCCCCCCCCCAAACTTTTGTTTCCCCTCCCCCCCCCCTCAAACTTTCGATTTGCATCCCCCCTCAACTTTTTGATTTGCACACCCCCCCTCAAACTTTCGATTTGCACCCCCCCTCAAGTTTTTCTCTATATATTTTGCTATTTTTTGCCTTGGTGTCGCCCCCCTAAATGGTGTCACCCGGTGCGGTCCGCACCCCCCGCCCCCCCCCCCCCTCGCTACGCCCCTGATCAAACTTTATTGTTAATGGGATGGCATAGCCTAGTGGTAGAGTGCTAGACTTCTAGAAAAGTCTAAGTTCAAATCCAGGATCAAGTCAGTAGAATGTCTCTGAGTCCCCCCAGCTCTGATGGGTACCTTATTCTCATTAGGGATAGTAAAGGCTCCCATTAGGGAAAGTAAAGGCGGCTTAGAAAAGGGCTGATCACACTGTCCCTTCAGCCAATATTATATAAACAAAAACAGGTGAATTCTACTTCACTTGCCCCATGAACCATCAGGTTCAAAATGGAACTATTTTTTCTTTATTCTGTTTTAATGACTTTATTATGCCAATTAAGGCTTTAACAAGTTCGTTAACAGTTTAAAATGGGACAAATGTTCATAATAACATAATTTGTAATGGTCATTTTTTAATTGTTGTTAATCTTTTGGAAAAAGATTTTTTAAAATGTTTTTTAATGAACAATTTAGCAACTAGAATCAAGTTTATGTATGTTGATAAATTTACTGTATGTCGTATTTACAAGTCATGCAATTTAAAGGGAGGGATTGAATACCATAGCAATGTAAGATTTCTCTTGTATGCATGATAATAGTTTTAATTTTATCTGTGTGGTTTGATATTCTGACCTTTCTTTTAAGCATGTGGTTTAATGTCCTAACTTTTCTTTTAGGGATGTGGTACAACATACTTGTCTTTCTTTTAGACATATGGTTTAACACCTTAACATTTCTTTTAAGCTTGTGGTACAACCAGAGGCGTAGCAAGGGGAGGGGGTGCAGACTGCACCGGGTGACACCATTTAGGGAGATGACACCAAGCAAAAAATAGCAAAATATATACAGAAAAATTATAATTTCACTTAGTTAAATGATTAATTAGAGTGAATTAAATAGTCTTTTAAGAGCAAAGTGGACAAATCCCAACACTTGAGGGGGGGGGGGGGGGGTGTGACACCAGGACTTCAACCTGCTAATGATAAAGAAAACATGCAACATCCAGCTGAATTTATAACCGATTATAGATACAGTTTAAAGCAATCACTGTGGGGGTGATGAGGGGGGGAAGGGGAAGAGTTACATCTGGTCTGACATCTTAACTTTTCTTTTAAGCATGTGGTTTGACATCCTAACTTTTCTTTTAGACATCTATAATATCCTATCTTTTCTTTTAGGCATGGTTTAACACCTTAACTTTTTTTTTAGGCATGGTATAATATCCTAACTTTTCTTTTAGACATGGTTTAACATCTTAACTTTCCTTTTAGGCATGTGGTAACACATCCTAACTTTTCTTTTAGACATGGTACAATATCCTATCTTTTCTTTTAGGCATGGTTTAATTAACATCATAACTTTTCTTTTAGGCATGGTTTAACATCCTAACTTTTCTTTTAGGCATGGTTTAACATCCTAACTTTTCTTTTAGACATGGTATAACATCCTAACTTTTCTTTTAGGCATGTGGTACAACATCCTGACCTTTCTCAATCTTCTTGGAGTACTGAGCAATGCTTTTATTATTGCCTTTACATCAAACTGGGGCTCACAGTTTAGTATGATGGGAAAACTGTGGGTGATCATTGGCTTTGAGGTTTGGCTCATTTTTTGTTTCTTAGAAAATTAGAAAATTATTGTTTTTATACAAGGCCCTCCATATTGCTGTAAAATATCCTCTCAAAAGGAAAATTTAAATGGTTGAAAAACGTAATTAAACAAATATTTTCTTATGGAAATATTTTTAAAATTTCTTAGCATCAATAATAACTTTAAGGGCTGGGGTGTTTGAGCTGATAAAACTGAACCTAAAAGTTTTGAGTTCAAACCCTCGTGCAGATGAGCCTTAATAGTTGGGGATGGCAAGCCACTTAGGAGAGAAAACTCCAAAATCAAACAACTGCTGCCTTGCAGTTTGTTCTTATGTGAACAAAGGCTATGGAAGCAAATCCAGAAAGAAATTCAGGCTGAAATAGGAATAAATAGGCCATGTGGTGCATAATATGTTGACACGGACACGCAATACTAAATTGCGATGGAGGAAATCCTGTCCAACATTACGATTAAGAAGAAGAAGTCTTCATTTTTGGATTATTCCAAAAACGGTTTCCATTTCCATTTTTCTTAGTAATCTATCATTAGAGATGACTGTGTAGAGATATATAAGATATAAATTAAATTTTGACAGCTAAATAATTCCCAGCCTACATTTCTTTCCTAATATTAATTAATAATAGCATTTTTAATAATAGATTTTTTGTGTGACTATGTGTACACTATAAGAGTCACCCTAATCCAATTTTCTTTTTTCAGCATATTGTACTAGCTTTGAAGTTTTTTCTTGCATTCATAATCCCTGATGTACCTCAAGATGTTACGTTAGCTATGAGGAGGGTAAGATTTTAAACTCTTCTTTTATAGTTGTGTGATGGATAAATTAAACATGAAATCTAATGAATAGTAGTATTCTAAAATTTAATGCTAGACAAAAACAATCTGAAAAGCAAGTTATTGCCGTCATTCTGAAAAACAGTGAAATAATTTACAATGTAGGCCTACATTTTTATTAAGAGAAACTTATTAAATGTGTGTCACCAAAATTTGATGATAGATAATGGTTTAACAATGGAAAAATCAACCCAATAAAAATGTTTTAACTTGACTTGTAATAATCAAATATATTAATATAAGTCAAATGGAAATCAATGGCATGTAAAATGAATGTTAAAAACAAAAATTACTTTTGAGTTAAAGTATTCATCATGTAAACATCATAATATTCAAACATTTGTCTTAGTTTTGGAGAATTGCTTTTTGTTTGTAAATCAACACATTGAAAATCTTTTTTTTTTAAAAATAAACTAATTTTTGTTAATTATCATTTAGGAAAAGTACCTCATTCACAAGAAACTGGAAAAGGAGATAGATGTCAAAATCACGACAGGTTTTAATGAACTATTTCCGGATTCTGAGTATGTATTTATATATGTGTATGTCTTTTAAGACTTATGTCATTAACCATATGAATTATTACATTTTATTGCTGCTATGTATCAACACAAAACAATGTAAGGAATATTCATATAATAATCATCGGTATAAAATGGTGTATTTAATTTAGTATGTTGTAAACGAACATCTTGTAATTATTTAATAAACAACTATTTCCCACGCACATCAAGCAATCTAGTATAGCACTCATGCTAGAATTTAAATGTATATATATATACATATATATATATATATATAACAGAGTGTAACCAATTGTGATTGGTTAACCCGTGTCTAAGAATTGTGGCGCTAGACGGAGGACACATTTTTGAAACTAGTTCATCAATTAAAGAAGAACTCTCTGAATTGTAGGTTTTAATTACTTAAGTAATCGTAATAAAATTCATGTTCCCTCGCAAGAAGAACACACACAGTAAATCAACAGACCTCCACTGCCACACTAGTTCTCACAAGTCCATACATGTATTACAAGTTCTTTCTCACATTGTTCTAATCGCGCTCTCTAATTGGGCCCTATATATCCACTGCATTTCTTTGACAATTGCACCAATGTGCGTTGCTAGTGTGATTAGCTAACTTTGTTCATCAGTCTATATATATATATATATATATATATATATATATATATATATATATATATATATATATATATATGTATGTATATATATATATATATATATATATATATATATATATATATATATATATATATATATATATATATATATATATATATATATATATATGTATGTATGTATATATATATATATATATTATATATATATATATATATATATATATATATATATATATATATATATATATATATATATATATATATATATATATATATTTATTTATATGAGGGGATGAGGGGTACTACTTCATTCAATGGTAAAACTGTACCAGGTTGAGTGACCTGTAGCGCCCCTGGCTCCGCAGCTTGCGCTATGGTTCCTACATTCATTTTAAAGAGTGTGATACACTATGGATAGGATGGGCTACTATAATCATTTACTAAGTTGAATCAGGAGTGTCCTCCGGCGCGCTAGCAAGGGGTGCTTTGGTGCCCCAAGCTTTCAGCCACCCCCATCCCCTCCCCCCGGCAGTCAGGTGATCCGGAGCATCCTGTGCTCCCTGTGAGCACTACTATGGTGCCTACATTAGTTTAGTGTTTGGCGACATAGACACTACCATATATATATATATATATATATATATAGACACACACATATATAACTATGTATATATTTATATCCTAATACATATTTAATATCTTATTTTACTAGGAAGAAACTCTCATCAGAACCGTCCAAGGTGACATCCAAAGGTACATTATTAGCAGCAGGAAATGGAACTAACCCTGCCCCAAAGTTTGTTTTGTTTTCTATTTCTTATTTAACTATTACTTTTTCGTTTGCAATCTGTTGATAAACCTATTATTTTTTTCAACTTCTTATAGCTTTTCATACTAATTCATATACTATTCTAAATTTTAATAACAATAACTCTGATTAGAAAATAATCTTTTTAGCTTATAAAATAATATTTGCTGTCATTTATTTTATTTAACACACTTTAACTGCATACAAGATTTAATATGCATTATCTTTCCTTTTTATTGAAAATAACCTTCAAAAATATTTTTCAAATTAGTAAAAAAAAATGTAATAAATTTACCCTCAACTGAATTTACTAGCCTTGGCTTATTTAATGGGCTTCAACAGTCAAAGCACTGATAAAAATAACTCTTTCAAACCAGTTATCGGATGAATTTTTTGTCACCGGAGCATAACGTTGATACGGGAGATTCCTTTGGCCCTAGTCCTGATATAAGGTTAGTTTTTTTAAGGTAAACAGAATGTTAGATAAGCTTTGTACTTAAATGTAGAGATTGTCTGCACAAAAAATATAGAACTAGAGTTTGTTTTCACAAAAAATATAGAACTAGAATTTGTTTTCACAAAAAATATAGAACTAGAATTTGTTTTCACAAAAAAATATAGAACTATCACGGTATTAAGAAGTAAAACTTAAATTTTGTTTTGTGTGGGTTTTTAAAAAATTTATCAAAGCTGACTCCTTCTGTCATAAAATAATATTTTGGATAATTACTTGTATTTTTTTTAACTAAAAAAAGTGCAACAATTTTTATTTTCTCATTTACTATTTTTACTGTATTTAACCCAAAAAGGTACCAGATATTAAAAAAAATGTATCAAATTTTACTGTACACAATCATTTTACATCAAATTAAGAAAAAATTATATATTAAATTTGACAGTACACAAACATTTTGCATCAAATTTAAACAAACGTGACTTGAATTATCAACACCTGAAGTCTTCTACTCATTTGTCTCACATTGTGTAGGTATTCCAGCTTTTAATTTGAAAGCTTTTTGCCAGCTGTCCTTCCATGTATAAAATATCATGCTTTTAACTGGTTGTGTCAAGAGTATAGTTGGTACTATAGGGTTATAAGATTTTTATTTGATCAAAATTGATAGGGTACACAACCAAAAAGAAAAGCACGCTGAAATTGGAGTCTTAAACCTATATGGCACATAACATATTGACACCTAATACTTAATTGTGTTGGCGAAAATCCTGTCCAGCACTATAATTAAGAACAAAGAAGAAATAAGAGATGGAGATATCCTCTATAGTACCAATTTTATTTTATTGTTGTTACCGCTTTGGCTCAATTAAAGTGGCCAATATGATATATTCCTCACTTTTAACAATATAACAATTGAATTTTCTTTCTTAAGAAATCTAAATCTATGATATATATATATATATATATATATATATATAGTGATCCCTTGAGATACAAATTCAATTCATTCCTTAACCTTGCTCATATGTCAAAGCGCTCGTATCTCAAATTAGTTTTCTCCATTGAAAAAAACTGAAATGTCAATAATCTGTCCTGGCCCCCAAATACAACCCCAATTTTTATACCAATTTTTTTTAATAAGGAAAATGTATTTATATGATACAGGATAATGCAAAGAAATAAACTTGTTTTATAAAATGTATTTTCCTTGTAAATTAGCCGACTTATGGAAGATGTTTGCACTGTTACTGCTAAACTTTTCCTGTCATTTTAATTTACTTGTTACATTCTTAACGCTACTTTTTATCCCTAAACTCAAAAGTACTTAAATTTAACATAATACAAATTAACCTAAACTTTACTAAATAATCTTTTGTTACTTTTGCTTATTTTTTGCCATTGCTTTTCTCTTCACTGGGCTATGCTTGTTTGCCATGCTTTCCTCACTTTTCCAAAACAGGCAGTTCAAATAAACCTGTCTAAGGAGGTTAGTTTTTTCCTCCCTTTCAGAATATTTCTGAAATGAGTTAGGCAAGTGTAATTAAATAACTCTGATTGCATAATCAGTTGCAACATATCCTGGATGCTTCTGTCCACAAACTGTTTTAATCTGATTACTCGTATCTCAAATTTTGCTTGCATGACAAAGCAAATTTTAGCTCAGTAGACAGCTCATATCTAAAAAATCTCGTATGTAGGGCACTCTTATGTCCAGGCACCACCTTATATATATATATATATATATATATATATATATATATATATATATATATATATATATATATATATATATAAGCCTATATGTATATACTATTTTTTTATAATGATGAATTTTAAACCACATTTTGTTTTTCCTTTATCAATACATAGTGAATATTCAGTTATGTTGAAAAGTAGAGTTAATTATTTCTAATCATAGCCTAGCATATATCCATTTAATAACTTTACGTTGGAAGTGATTTCATTCTTAGATGAGTTTTGAATGTTTGAAGGTCCTTAAATAATACAATCATATGTTGGTGACATTTGGAACCAAAGTAGCCAGATTTTATATTTTCACAGCACTTGGATAAATATGTTCTGAGAGTATCATAATATGGAACCTTATTTAGTGGATGAAAAATTATGATATCAGTTTTAGTGTTGAATGTGTAATGTGGTAAAAGTAATGCTTTAATACTAAACTACAAAAACTTTAAGGGCTATGTTTTACCTGCATGAACATTAGAAATTATGGGAAATTTGAATCATGATCTTATTTTTTAATTGTTAAATTACTAAATGTCTATTTTTTAACTGGATAATAAGAATGTCATTGTTTATAATTTGCTTTGAGGTTATCCTAAGTTTTTATAATAAATATGCATATAAAATGTTATTAATTTTTATCGCAAATAGCATGCACATTAAGTTTTTTCAATGGCGTCTCTGATTTAATTATCGAGAGTCATTGAGTAACTTTCTATTATTCTAAATAGTTTTTATGGCATGTTATTATTCAACTTAGAAGAATTAAAACTATTATAGTTAGTTTAGCAATATTTTTATCCATTTAAAAAGAAAATATATAATTCGGCAAATTAGCCTGCAAATCTTTCACTATCTTAACTATCTAAGACTTTTTAAGAATTATTATTTTCCCAAATGGTCAATTACTTTTACACAGTAAATTAATAAGTTTATTGATAATCAGTTTAAACTGATGGCTACCTGTAAGCCTTTTTACTTTTTTTAAAGCAAAATATTTACAAACTTTTCTTTACATAAATTCCAGCAAGACACAGGTCACAGTATTCCAGACGGTTCCAGAAGATACAGAAGTAACAGAAGCTTAAAACTTTCAACCAAGACCCTCATTAATTTTCAACTATACAAACATCTACTGTTATATACAATAAAATTTTGACATCATTAAATAAAAAAAAAACAATTCTTATTGTACATATATTTAAAATCAATGTTTATTATCATTATATTAAAAACAATATGTTAACATCATTATGGAAATAAAAAATCAATTTAACATTTTATTCTACAAAACTGAGTATTTTTTTTATAATAAAAAGTGAAGCAGCTATTTTAAAATTCTTTTTTTTTACTGTTGTATCCAATATCTTAGTACAAATATAATTCTGTTTTCCCTATTACAAATGCCTTTGAACATTAAACATTTTCAGGGTTGATTTAGAGTTTGAATGTGCTGTTGCATTGTTTTGCACCTTACATTTGTAGAAATTAAATAATGTTATTGTTGATCTATCTGATTGATACATTGCAGCTTCTATATTGCCTTACTTTTTTGTATTATTTTTGTAAGTACAAAATGTCAGTTTGAAAAAAAACCAACTATTTATTAAGTGCCAAAATTGTTTAATGATCCTTTCCTTTGTTTTTGTTATCAATTATTTAGATTGTTCAATAGCACCAGAATCTCAGCTTTTTTTTATATTAATATTATTTGTATATGTGATAATTCTATTGAATAATTATTATTATATTCTCATTCAGGCTAACTATTTACACTTCTTATCATAGTATTTTTCAATAAATATTGCTCTTAAGGGGTTTGCTTACATCAAATATTGAAACTGTTTTGTTAGCTTTTAAGTCATAGAAATATCATAAAGCTTATGATTGTTTTGAATTAAATGAATTTTGACGATAGCATTTTTAATCTTCAGGAAGTAGAGATTAAGACTGTTAATGTGGTTAGTGCAATAACCAGCTGCTCTCTTTTTTTGGGATTAGCCCGTCAAAACTGAAATTTTAGTATTGTCTGTACTGGCAAAATTCTTTTTTATTTAAAAAAATCAAATATTGATTAGGGTTAGGTTTAAAAATCAATTTGTGGAAAATTGTCAAAAATTTCAGTTTTGCCACTACAGCCTAGACCCTCTAATTTCACAAATTTGTTAGAGTTAAAACAGCACTGCTCACCCAAGTAATTTACCTAAACTTGAATCAGTATCCAAAAGAAATGAGCAAGAATTATCAAGTATTATTGATCTTCTAAAACATTGTTCTCTGTATTATTAGGGCAGTTTTTTTTAAATTCTCTTCTACTTTTATTATTGTTTATTTCCACTCTTTATTGTCTATCATGGAGAGACTTCAATCAAGCCTTCTGACACTTGTTGTATGCATCCAATTAATGTGTTTAATTAAGTAAACCTGCTGATGTGTTAGATTCTATGCTTCTTCAAAACATGTTTATATATTTAATTTATGCTATTACATCTCCACACCACAAGGAATACATTTTTTCGTTTCCAGGCAATATAATTTTGTATGTCTTTAAGGTTCTATTCATTTTATTATGCAATTATTTTTAATTATTTAAGTTACAGAAAAAAAAAGATGACATGTTTGGACCTAAGTTCAGACTTACTTGTAAATGAAAGGGAATTTAAAGATCTTATGTTTGATTACCAAAAAACTTTATTTTACAAATAAGTTATTCTGTTGAAGTAGTGTTACATTTTTAAAGATATTGATGCATCAACTGCTTTTTGTTTATATGAAAAACAGTATCTGAACAAATACTTTTACAGTAATAATACGTTAATCTGATGTATATTCAGATCTGTTTATCATGTAAAATATTTTGTCGTTTCACAGCTTAAATTTCAGGGCTGTTTTGTGATATGTACATAAACTTTTATAGAGATACATTAATAAATTGTTTACAATTGTAGAAAATGCCAATAATCAGCTGAATTTTTTTCAGATGTTGAAATTCTGTTGCATTTTTTAAAAGAACCTCATTTCTAATGATTGCACCATTTAAAATTTATATCTAATAGATTTTTTATTTGCTGAAATGTAATAACTATTTTTGTGGCAGGTAATACAGTTGCTCATTTCTTAATAATCAATTACTAAACTAAATTATTTAATTTAAGTTTATAAAATTATTAACATTAAAAGTTTTTAAAAATTATTAGCATGTTAGAGTCAATAAATATATTTCTATAATAAATATACACACACACTTTTTTTATGCATAATGTATTCTTGCACTTAATATTGCTGTGCGTGGGTAGCACACAATCAGCAAAGGTATTTTAAAATAGCTCAATAAGGTGAAGTTTTGATAAATGTTTAAAATAAATAAGACAATTCAAATAAAAATGTGTTGCCTTGTTTTATTTCTCATTGTGTATTTGTTTTATGGTCAAGTGGTGCTTAAGTGGATTGTGTTATCTGTCAGCGTCATGGTTGCAAAGTCCAGAATTCAGACCAGCAGGCAGACAAAGATAGCTGGGGACAACAACCCATTTAGAAAAGAAAACTTCAAAATCAAACAACTGTTGCTTTGCAGATTATTTTGGTGACAAAGGCTATGGAAGCAAATCCAAAAAGAAAAGCAGGTTGATGAGTCAACCTCTACCGCGCATAACAGGTTTACATGTAATACTTAACTGTGTTGGAGGATACCCTGTTCAATATTATAATTTAGGTAGTAAAAAAGAAAGTGGAGGTATGAAAATTTCGCAGATTATGGTTTGACTTGTCTCCACAAGTGTGCTAATTGGCGAGGATCTTTTTGCCACCGGGATATACTTTGTTGCATGGAGATTATGGAATTATTGCTATGCTGAGTTATAAAGATTTTTTTTATAATGTAATTACAATTTACCTCACCCTAGAAATGGCTTTTTAAAAGCCATATTGTGGTTACCAGGTGCTTACAAAAATATTAGTAATAGGGTATTGGTACTATATTGTATAAAAAACAAAATGTCAAATTATAGCAATATCCTCTCAATGTGGCAATTAAAACAGATAATGAAACATTAATTACCAGTAGTGGTAATAAAATAAACATCTTAACAAAAAATTCATCATCATATTTTCCCATCCCTGCACAAGACACTTGGGGCAGATGAAGTAGATCATCAGTTTCAATGACCTCAACAGTGGTCAGAACTTCCCAGATACCTTGGTTTCCCTAATCTGAGTCAGGTACCCATTAGAGCTGGGTGGACTCAGGGACAAGCTACAGACTTGGACCTGGATTTGAAATCGAGACTTTAGGTTTGGCAGTCGTAACTCTGTTAAATGGGTTTAAAGATCTTTCAAAGAACTGTTGTAGGCTGAACATTCTTTTAATACACTTCACTCAAACTGTACACGTACACATAGAACAATAAAAATAGATTCTGAAGAGAAAATTAACTTTATTGTAAAAAAATTGCTTAACAAATATTTCACTTTCTCACAAATGATTAAATGGTCAATGAGTTGAAACAAATGATGCACCCGAGATAATCAAGTGTAGGATTTCTAATTAATTTTCACATAATAAAACATCCAAAAAATTTTTCCCTCTTGTCCTTAGTCTTTACAATCTTGATGGAAATCATGATTTCAGATGTTAAACAGATTTCTTAATCCAACCTAACCAGCAACCAAGCACCTATTTTTAGGACTTTTTAGGACTTAAATAACACTGTTGTGATTATAAAATTTCATACATAATACATTGACTGAAACCAAGATATTAAGCTCTACAAAACAATAAATTAAGTGAAAGAAAAAAAAACAGGAGCAAAAAAGATTTTCCAATTGGAAAACATATTGTAAAAAATAAGTCAAATAGGCCCTATAGCTTTTCATTTCTCAAAGCACTTAAAATATATATTGCTTATAAGGAAAAAATGTCATTTTAAAATAAAATTATAAAATAAAGGGATAGCTCATATAATAAATATGGTTAAAAGGAAAGTAATTCAGTTATTTACACTATATAAAGATCTGTTTATGTAATATCATTGTAACCGAAACTGTTCATAGGAATTTTCATTACCCCCTTTGAAAAACTCTAGGTAAGTAAGATATTCTTAGAACAAGTGGAATGCAGTTCAATAGTGAGTTTAACACTATAATAATAGATTCTAATCAAAGAAAGCTTGAAGGTGTTTTCCAAAAAATGTATTCGTGACAAAAGTAATGAAACCAAAAATGTAAAACCACATCAGGCTAATCTCAATAAACTTAGTATTTACTTGTCGCAACATGATCTAGCTTGTTAAAGTTAAAGATAATAAGAAAATTTTATATCCTTTTGCAGTCTGAGCTCAGAGATCTACATAATTTTACTCTCTCTGAAATATACATATTAAAAATTGTTTTCTTTTAATTGAGATGAATATATTACCAATAAATAAATAAATTCCACACCTTTGAACAGTAAAAATTAAAATGTTAACCTTTGTATACTGTAAAAATATGAAAAACATAAACCAGAAATCTCTAAATAAAAACTCTAAACTTTTTAATCTTGGAGCAATAAATTAAAAATTTAAATGTTAACCATAGGTAGTATTTAAAATCTGGATAAAAAAAAATTACACTAATTCTGGTTGTCTCATCAAATTAAAAATCTACATAAAGCATAACTTTAAGCAAAAGTTTAAAAAAAAACAACATTCTCAAGAAAATCAATTTCTTATCCAATAGTGAAAAACACAACATAGCAGGCCATCTGTCCCCTGTTGCTGTCACTTAAGATGACTTGTCCTTGGTAGTTCCCACTAAGGAAAATAGCAGCATCAATCTCCACGTCAAAGTTATCAAGTTTGTATTCACCCTGAGGAAGAGTAACGTTTAATTTTTTAAATCACAAATAAATAGATGTAACCTTATAAAAATATTCAATTAAATAATTTTGAAAGTATTGTTTACAATTATCATCTAGACAGGGCATTGCATAGAACCATCCCAACACAAGGATATACCAACATACTTTGTTGTTCATATGTATCAATGACATTGTTATTTTAGTAAACATACTTTAACTTTGCTGTAATAGAGTGGTGCATTTAATGACTTCACTAATACAAGCTGTATTGTCTAAAATTGTTTTAATTTAATCTATTGAAAAAAAAATCCATCATCACATTTTGTTAAACCTCATCACATATTGTGAGCATTGTATATTTTTAAAACAATAACAAGCCACACAAAATATTTCAAAGTTTTAGTTTTCAATTACCCAAATTAAAATGAGGTTACTTAAAAACTGAAAGCTAAATTTGTAAGAATACAAATTCACAATAATGGGAGCATAATTTTTTAATTTCTCAAGAAATACAGCAGAACTTACATTAAATGGACAGGTGCATGGAATGCCTTTCTTTTTCAACTCATCGGGGCAGCTGATGGCCTGCGTCATGGAGCAGATGTCTGTGTAAGTGCAGGAGCCAATCTGGCCAATACATGGGATAGAGATCCAGGAACCAGAACTTGCTTGGAACAATAATTTCAAAGATCCCTGCCATGTTATAAAAAGTGTGTCAAGTTTCATAAATTAATGACCTTGTGGTCATGTATCGCTGCAACAATAAATAAGAATTTTGTGTTGCCAGTACAAGGCCTGACCCCATTTACTTAATCTGCCTGGTACCTCATCAGGCTGAGCGGAACCAGGGACATTTTCTAAACAAAACTCGGGAGAATGTTTACACCGATGTCTGATAATGGAATCTTCTTTAAAAAAGGGGTGCTAGGCTACTGGTAGTTAACTAAATACACACATGGCTGGCTAATGTCAATGCTAAACCTGTCCCTAACCCTGGTCCAACCATACGCCTAACCATAAAATTAGTCGAGATTACAATACTACTAACAACCCAACACCCCTTTTTTAAAGAAGATTCCATTATCGGACACTGGTATCTATAATCATCCCAAAACTCAACATCCTTCTGTTGAGCAATATTTTATACTGCTCACCATATCATATCAAAATTGACTATTTTTACTTTTCACATATTAGTAAAAAAAAGAAAATCTGAAAATGAAAAAAGTGTAGGCTTAACTAAATGTTCAATAAAAAGTGATTAACTCACTGTTATTTTGTCACTTGGATTTATTGCACTGTGAAAGACAACATCAAACCCAAAGCTAAGCTTCCCGGGGAAGTAGAGTGGAGAAGGATTAATGGTAAGATTGCGTAGCTCTATTGATTGGTCAGCTGGTCCACAGGATTTCCATTTGAAGTCATCAGTAAGAATTCTTCTTTTAGTTGAAGAGGACAAACCCTTAAATTTAAAACAAAAAGTATCAGGCTTGATGTTAATATTTAATTTAGACCTAATAGTATAGGCCAATTACTACTAATACTAATAGTCTAGTAGCAATAGCAGCAATTAAAAATTACTAGAATCTAGATTCTAGATCTAGACCAGATCTATAAAATTAGTTGGAAGCCTTGGCTTACTCCAGAATTTACTTTTAGGTAAAATCTTAGTTTAGCGTCGTAAATTCGGCCAAAACTAGTAATGTGGGAGAGAGTGAATTAATGAATATGTCATTAAATATGAGTATATTTTCGTATATTTTAATAAAATATTATAAATAATTGAATTATAGATCACCATTGATGGTTAAATCAATTTAAATATCCTGAAATTAATTTTTATCGACCCTGTTCGAGATAGTAAATTTGCTATTAAAAACAGCAGCCATCTTAAGAAAATGTTATTGAGAGTAGCTTCCCTTTCATTTCTATTCATATGAAAATGTATTTAAATATGATTGTCTTGTTGTATAGTCCGTATTACAAAGCATTTTTTTAAATGTGAATTTCCTAACAAACAACTTTATTAATTCTAGAAGCATTGTGAGATGCAACTTGTATCCATGTATTAAATCACGTTTTTTCTTACTCAGAGGCGTAGCGACCCTTCCCGGGACAAACTTTTCGATTTGCACCCCCCCCTCGAGATTTCGATTTGCACCCCCCTCAAACTTTCAATTTGCACCCCCACCCCCCTCGAGATTTCCATTTGCACCCCCCCCCCTCAAACTTTCGATTTGCACTCCCCTCAACCTTTCAATTTATTTTTCCAACCCATTTTGGCGCACCCTAAGGTCGGCGCCCGGGGACATATGTCCCCCCCCGTCCCCCTCGCTACGCTACTGATCTTACTATTACTAAATAGTTGTGAGTTTTTTCTTATTGTTTGAATGTTCACTATTTTCATTTCAGGTTTTTCTTTTCATCAGTTAGTAATTCTATCGTAACTTATGACATTTTTTTTTTACTTCTCTTTACCTTAATTAAACCCCAACCTCCGTCATATTTTTGTCGTCAATGTCACAACAAGTCATAATGTAAAAAATTACGCTTCACTCTGCCTTATCTAAGATCTCTAACCATAATTTTGACAACATTAAATGTTTGTCATCATTTACATATACAAAGAGACCAAATGTATTATCCACCAGCTTCCCTCGTAAAACATCATCTAAAACAATGAGCCCGTCCACCCCTTAAGCGCGTGTTGTCATTATGGTCGATCCCAAGTCTCCACCTGCCAGACACATTTTGGTTATCCTTTGTTGTCAAATCGTCAATATCAAGTACACAAGTGAGTGATATGGGGTTGTCCATAAATGATGTCACAATGATGTCACATATGATTTGCTACGGGAGTGAGTGAAGATTTGTGACGTCAACTCAGGCGGCTTTGCAATTTATGACGTGTCGGTCTCATGAAAGGAGGTGAACGGGGAAAAATACCTAGGTGATTGATGGAGAACCTCTATAATGCTTTGTTCAATCAAAATAACGATAAATAAGCATTAGTATACGTATACCTTGCTTAAAACACAAATGTCGCAAGCCTGCTAGTTTAAGACATTCGGCAAAACGTCCGCAACACATTATCCCCGTCAAAAAGGCTTGCCACCAAATGCCTGCCGACGAATAAGCCGTGTCTAATGCGGGGCGTTAGGAATACGGCCATTAGCATGGGCCACGTTAGAGCACCAGTAAGCTATCGCGCTTTGTAAGATGACGTAAATACTTAAATTCAATTTCGCTAAACTGCGCGAAAATTTAGTAATGTTCCATCGTTTGAGGAAATTTATTTTCTTGGACTTAAATTGAAATATGTTGACTGTCTGGTCTGGCTCTTAATTTCCGAATATCACTTTTAATGTATCAAGATTCAGAACTATAATTTACTTTAATATAAGTGTCATCTTATCGTTTATTGTGGTTTTTAAAAAGCGCAGAGCAGCTACAAAATCGGACGGCCATCCTGTTTTCACCAAGCTTCTTTTGGAGCTTAATATGGGTAGTCTAGTTCTATACGGTGTGAGCTTAATACATTTTTAAAGGGCCGAAAGTCTCAAGACAGCAAGCTTGCAGAAATAACTACGTACGTTTAAATGGACGAGTGATAGATGTGTTAGGGGCTGTTTAATGAACACCAACTTATGTAATCAAACTAAACGTCGCGAAAGCGTCAAAAAGGCAATGCTTATTGTTGTTTTTTTCTATAAAATTAGCCTAACGGTCGGCGGTACCGCTACATGACGTCACGTGCGAGCGTTAACTCGGTGACGATGTGCTAAGTGGGGGAATGAAAAAGGTAGGGTTCAAGAAATGCGACTCGGCAAGCTTTTGACATTTCTTGACCTTTCTTAATAGTTCTTTCGTCCCCACTGAGAAAATGGATCACCAAATAAAGTGTTAATCAGCAAATAAAGTGTTAAAAAGTTCGACCTCCCAACAATTGTTGTGGTCTTGGATGCACACTATTAAGTCTGATATGGTCTATTAGTCATTCATGTCAACTATATTTTTAAAAAAAGAAAAATTACTATACAGGGGGTCATCCATAAATGATGTCACGCTTTTTTTGACGATTTTTACCTCCCCCCCCCTCCCCTCCGTCAAACGTAGTCACAAAAAGCCAGACCCCCCCTAAAATGACGTCACACCTCAGCCTACACCCCCCCCCCCCCTCAAAATTGCAGTTGAATTTTTTTTTAACAGCTATATTTTTCCAAAATCTTGTCTGAACTCTGTCAAAATAGAGTATTTTAATCAATTGTTATTACAATGTATTAAAACAGTTTTTTAAAACGCAAAATAACGTCTAAAATTCGTTTTGTAACATTGCTTTTTTAAAATGCAAAAGTGTGATGTCGCACCATCTGAACCCCTCCCCCTCCCCCTCACACACAACGTCACAAAATTACGGGCCCCCTTCCCCCCTACGAGTGTGACGTCATTTATGGACGACCCCCGGCATATATTAAAACAATACAAAACAATCATATTAAACCACAAAATCAACACAAAAGACATGCGAATAGACAATTTATTGTTTTTAAAACATGGCCGCTGCTTGTATTTACTCATTGTTGTCTCGAACGGGGTAGTTTAAAGTTTATTCCAGGATATTTATGACTGGTTTGGTCTCGGATTGTGATTTGGTATTCAATTATCTGTTATATTATGTAAAATATGACATAAATATGGCCAAATGAAAGAAATATTCATTAGTTACCTTCATCGCACATTACTAGCTAAGTTGGAATTTACGACGCTAAACTAAGATTTTACCTTACTTTTATTTAGTTTAGTATTTATTTAAGTATTTAGGCTAGGCCTATTCACTACTAACTATCTAATACCTAATTATCTAGGCCTATAGTATAGTCTACTATAATAATTATACTTACAGTAGGCCTACTTCCAAGTCTTTGAGGGAAATGATGTCTTATTAAATTTGACGAAAGCAGGGAAGTGGCTTGGTTTTCTAGTTTCGATACTTGACGCACAACGCTTTGCTCTTTCTCAATCACGAAGTTTTCAACATTTTTAAAGTTGAGTTTCAAGCAGTGTGAATACGCGATAAACAGTATCAGAATGGCAAAGCTTGTAAACTTCATTTTCATCCGAGAAATTACGATAACGATCTATCCTAACTCCTAGTAGTTTAAATAAAGAATTTAAGATCTGATTCAGTAGTCTAGTACAGTAGCAGACTCGTAGCAGAGAGAAGTAAATTTCCACTTGTACTACTTGTAGACTTTTGTGTTGAAAAAATCTAACCTTTAACCTAGTTTCTCTACTTAACGAAAAGTTGCCACTAGCATAATAGGATCACTCAAAAAATGAGTTTGTAAAGATCTTTATTAATAACGAGAAAAATGGCCCGTTGAGGAAGGATACACCGGGCGCTAGGTTGATAGTGCTGTCTCTTTTCTCTAAACAAAAACCACCCCCCCCCACACACACCACCCCCACCCCCACCCCCACCCACACCACCCCAACCCCCCACCCCCCCACACACCACCCCCCCCATACACCACCCCCCCACCCCCACCCCTACACCCACCACCACACCCACCCCCCACCCACCACCCCCCCCCCCCCCCCCAAAAAAAAAGCATGTCTACCGTCCCATTCAACAAAATATAATTATATACTTTTTCCAGTGTCCGCCCCCTCCCCGAAAATTCTACCCCCGCCCCCGAAAATTTCAAGTACCCCCACCCCTCTCCGGGGAGGAAAAAGTCTAAATTAAAACCACCCCCCCCCACTCACCCCCCATCCCCCCCCCACACACCCCCCCTCCCCCCACCCCCCACCCACAACCCCCCCCCTAAAAAAACATGTCTGCCGTCCCATTCAACGAAATATAATTATATACTTTTTCCAGTGTCCGCCCCTCCCCGAAAATTCTACCCCCGCCCCCGAAAATTTCAAGTACCCTCACCCCTCTCCGGGGAGGAAAAAGTCTAAATTAAAACCACCCCCCCCCCCACTCACCCCCCATCCCCCCCCACACACCCCCCCCCTCCCCCCACCCCCCACCCACAACCCCCCCCCCCTAAAAAAACATGTCTACCGTCCCATTCAACGAAATATAATTATATACTTTTTCCAGTGTCCGCCCCTCCCCGAAAATTCTACCCCCGCCCCCGAAAATTTCAAGTACCCCCACCCCTCTCCGGGGAGGAAAAAGTCTAAATTAAAACCACCCCCCCCCACTCAACCCCCCCCACCCCCACCCCCCTCAGACGTTCTTACGCGGGGGTGGGGCTTCGCCCCTACCCGAAGAATTGTATGCAAGAAACTCTTCACGCAAACCATTTAGATTAGACAACATTTCCTTTTTTTCAATGTTTCAATGACGTCATTACATTACTGTGTGCACCCTCTGGTTTGAGATTATGTTCTACTCTACGCTAAATGTGTCGACGTCATATTTCGTTTTTCGAATTACTGTGCAGGTTTTTAAATTCCTTGTGTTTTCTCTAGAGCGTTCTTGTCAGACAGATAGATAGATAGAGAGACAGCGAAACTATTATTATAGATGGGGCCCATTGAGTTATAAAAGACAATAAGTAATGCACAGTATAATAGATTGACGACAGAAGCCTGTGGTTGTATATAACACATTTATTTGGGTCTAACCACCACGATGGTAACACACAGAGAGGACGGGAGGAAGTACACAAGGGACATCACTCAAGATAACAATATTATAAATATAACTAATACAGAAGAGTGAGTTCCCTTGACCTCACAATTATTTCAATCTATTACATCCCTTTACCCTTAGAACACAATAACACATCTCTCAATAGAACAATTGATAGTATCCTAAAATCACCAATTATATTGTAACATGAACACTATGGTAGATTACATCCTTACAAACAATGCACAATATGCTACAACATAATCAAAATACAAAACAATAATGTCAAAGTCCTTTTGACCTTTAGAATCATAGGTCTAACTTATTTGGGACTTTGATTGTCCTGCTTGACCTTCTCAGTGGCTTCTGATTTGGTGACTCAAGATTCTGACCATCTGGATTCTCTATCTCAGGAGGTCTAGGATTTAAATTATTAACTCCAGAATTTACATTTTCTGACTCCAGACAACTTGGTTCACTCATATCAACAGAACTTGGTTGTGGAACAACTGAGTTGGTGTGAACTGATCAGACTTGGTGGGATTGACAGATTCACCCTTATTATCTGCACAAGTTATTTTTAACTGGTCTGCATGTCTACGGACAATAAGTCCATCATTTGTTTTTACTTTATAAGACACAGGTCCTGTACATTGAACAATTTGACCTGGAATCCATTTTTCCTTTCTCCCATAATTTCTTAGATACACATTATCATTAACTGCAAATTCTCTTTCAATGGATGATTTGTCATGATTTACTTTTTGTGTATGTTGATGTTGGGAAACAGACCTTTGAACAGTTGGATGTAGTAGGTCAAGATGAGTTTTAATTTTCCTACCACATAGCAATTCACATGGTGCAACACCTGTTGTTATATGAGGAGTTGTGCGGTATTTGGTTAAGAACCTGTTTACTCTTTCTCTAAGAGAAAACTTGTTACCGGTATTCATTTTTACCATAGCGGTTTTGAATATGCCTACCGCTCTTTCAGCTAAACCATTCCCAGCAGGATGATAGGGGGATGTGGTTATATGCTCAATACCATTTGCCACACAAAACAGTTTAAACTCATGAGCTGTGAAACTAGGCCCATTATCTGAAACAATTTGATCTGGTAATCCATGAGTTGAAAATATTTCCTTAAGTTCTATAATGGTATCATTTGCAGTGATTGTGTTCATGATTTTAACTTCTAACCATTTAGAATGTGAATCAATAACAATTAAGAACATTTTGTTCATGAAAGGTCCTGCGAAATCTATATGTATACGCTTCCATGGTTCAATTGGCCAGTCCCAGTTTTGCAAAGGTGCTGTAGCTGGTTGATTTGAATGTTGTGCACAGCTTGAACAAAGTTTTACATATTTTTCAATATCAGCATCCATATGTGGCCACCAGAACCATGATCTTGCTAGACTCTTCATTTTGGAAGAACCAAGATGAGTATCATGTAAAGTTCTTAAAACTTCTTTTTGTAACATTTTGGGGATAATTACTCTTGACCCCCATAGTATACATCCATCTTCTAGACTTAACTCTGTTTTTCTTATTTTATATGGCTTTAAGTCCTCATTCACTGACTCTTCAGGCCAACCATTCTTACAGTACTCATATACTTTTATTAAGCACTCATCTTTTTGTGTTTCTCTTTTAATATCATTCACATTTATATTGGAGTTATCCATGATAGTGAAGAGAACAAATACATCTTCTGGTACATAGCTCAGGCTTTGGTTTTTTAAAGGTAATCTACTCAGACTATCTGCACTATTCTCAGATCCAGGTTTGTATTTCAATTCATAATTGTATGCATTTAGTGTGATAGCCCATCTTTGAATTCTTGGTGGGGCATGCTCAGGTAGGGTTTTGTTTTCTCCAAATAAACCTAGCAATGGTTTATGATCTGTAAAGATGGTGAACTTCCTACCAAACAGAAACTTATGAAATTTCTTAACACCAAAAATGATGCCTAAGCCTTCCCTATCTAACTGAGAATAATTTTTCTCAGCCTGGTTCAAAGATCTACTGGCAAAAGCAATGGGTCTGTCACCCTTCTCATCCATGTGGGACAAGACTGCTCCTACACCATCTGGTGAAGCATCACATGTCAATACAAGTCTTTTCCCTGGGTCATAGTGAGTTAGTAAGGTGTCAGCAGACAAAGCCTCTTTTGCTGTGTTAAAAGCAGCTTCTTGTTGTTTACCCCAGTGCCAAGTTGCATTTTTCTGTAGCAGCTTGTACAGTGGTGATAGTTTACCAGACAGATTTCCTATGAACTTTGCATAGTAATTTATTAAGCCCAAAAAAGCTCTTAGTTGTTGGGTATTTTCAGGTTTGGGTGCTTCTTTAATGGCTTTTGTTTTCTCAGGTTGAGGTCTGATGCCTTGTTTGCTCAATATATAACCAAGAAAACTAATTTCTGTCAGCATGAATTGACATTTATCTTTGTTTATCTTTAAACCTTTTTCACCAACAATTTTTAATACTTTATCAAGTGTTTTAAGATGTTCAGTGTCATTCTTACCAGTTATGTACACATTGTCAAAGTACACACAAACATTTGGAATGTCCTTAAAAATACTGTCCATGACAGCTTGGAAAATTCCAGGGCTAGATGATATGCCAAAACATAGTCTTTCATATTGGTAGAGTCCTTTATGTGTGTTTATTGTCGTATAGACTTTTGAATCTGGATGCAGTTCTAGTTGAGTGTAAGCATGACTAAAGTCTAATTCAGTGAATTTGTCTCCTCCTGCCAAATTCAAAGAAATTTCCTCAATGTTAGGTATAGGGTACCTATTTAGCTCTATTTGCTTATTCAGTGTAGTTTTATAATCTCCACAAATTCTTATAGAACCATCCTTCTTTAACACTGGCACAATGGGCGTTGCCCAATCAGAATAGTCTACCTTCTTTATGATGCCATTAGATTCCAATCTACTTAGCTCATTTTCAATTTTATTCCTCATTGCATAAGGTGGAACTCTAGCTTTGCAGTATCTTGGATTTGTGTCTTTAATGCTTAACTTCACTGTTCTATCATTTAGTAAACCTGAATTGCCAAAAACACTTTTATTTTCAGATATAACTTTATCTAGTGAAGTAAGACTAGATTCTTTTACATTCTTCAATGAACAAATACTCTCCCAATTTAACTTAAGATCACTTAACCAGTTCCTACCTAGTAATGGCGGTCCATTTCCTTCAACCACAAGAAGAGGAAGTTTAACACTTTGACCATTATAACTTACATGAACCATACACTCTCCTATTACCGGAACATTGTCACCAGTGTATGTTGTTAGACACTTGTGACACGGCTGTAGAGGCACTGATCCTCCTGTGACAGCGTCAAAATCTTTCTTTGTTATGACTGTTAGAGATGCTCCAGTGTCAAGTTGGAAGCTGATGCTCTTACCGTTGATATAAACTGGTACATTGATGGGAGCATGACTTATTGATTTCACAGAGAACAGGTTGAAATCCGGCTGCAAATCAATTTGAGAATTTTCACAGGTAGAGTGGTTCATTGGTTGGGTTAGGTAGTCTTGGTGAGAGTTAACATAGTGCTGCCTTTGGTTGCGGTACTGTCTTGACTGGCTAGATTTAGCAACAGACG